TTTTAGTAATTAAAATTAAGATATATTCTTGGTTAATTCTAAAATGTTAGATATTTATTCTGTCCATTATAAATTAATATCAATATCTTTTTTAAAAAAGTATACAGAAATAACAAAATATTGTATGAATTTCACTAGGATTGATCTATTGAAATAAAGAAATTTTAGATCATAGATAGTTTGATTGAATATTAATCTAATGTTGTAATATAAATCAGCTAATTGAATAAAATTTCTTGTAATATCTCATTACTTGCTATTCTTGACCTCCACAAGGCAACAGCTTGGTTGGGATATTGAGGGGTCTGAGTGTATTTGCACTAACAAGCATAAGGGATGAAGAAAGACTCAAGAAATCTGATAATAGGCTCTCTTATATGTTTAATTTGAGAGGTTCTCTAAGGGCGTCATCTTTACAACACCTCCTGAAATCGTTTAATTCTGCGTCTTAGATTAGGACATCGTTATAAATTTAATATAAACTGATTGTTGCTGATGATGAAAACGTCGGATAACTATCTATGCCTATTTTAATAGTCATACCTATGATATGAATAAATTAATCTTTTACAAATTGTCCATAATCGTACACATCATCATAGACTTAGATTTGCATATTTTTGAAAGCAGGTGTATAAAGTGTGAGTATTTGAAACCCAACATTTGATAAATTTTAAACCTTATGAGCAGTTATCACCACTATCTATGGATTGTCCAGTTTTTCTACTTTGTTATTTTTAATTGCTTGATATAATTCATGTACAGATGCTGTCTTTTACAAATAAGAATAGTAAATTCTAACGATTGAAGATTGAGCATAAATATTCTTATTGAGGAATTTTTCTGCTATCAAAGAAGAAAGAGGAGTATATTCCTTCAATGTTGAATGCAAAATACAAAGAGCATGCATATTTAATTTCTATTCAAAAATCTCCCCAAGAACCTCTGCTATAACTAATCATAATTACTTGGATTCTCAATTACTGCCTCCTAGAGCATGTCTTTAGCAACATTTAAGTCAATCGACTCATCCGTAATTTAATGGATAAATTGCTACTTTCCATTCATTATTATGAAATTATTATATTATTAACATTAATAATAGATTAACAATAATAACATATATTACTCTCTAATTTTTATGATTATATTCACTTTCCAACTCTCTATTTAATAAACTAAACTAGATCTTTCAAATTAACGGTCTCTTCCTTCTTCTCAACGAAATCCTTGAATTTCACAACTTCTTATTTGACTTCATCTTCTCCAATGACAATTGCAAACGGGATTTATTAATCATTTGCATAAGTTAATTACTTACCCAAATTCCAATTTAATTTATAACAGACATCAGCTTTTATACCATTAGACCATAACAAATCATAGATTTTGAATTTCTCAGCATTCATATCAATGTTTTTAGATGGGATTGTTGCAACTACACAATCTGATTGATTTTCTCTCAACACTACTCCGCTTTTCTTATACTTTTCCTCTAAAATAGCAAAAATTCTTTCAATTCCAATTGATGCGCCAACACAAGGGATACTATTTTTTGAAAACATACCTACTAATTCATCATAACGACCACTAATAATATAAATAAATTATCGTACCCTCCAGAAATTGAACCTAATTATCCTCCTAATAAAACAGTTTCTTGGATTAATCCAGTGTAATAGTCAAGTCCTCTTGCTAAGGAGAGATCGAAGATCACATTTTTTAATCCATTCATGTACTTCAACAAATTAAATAGCAATTCCATTTCATCCAAGGCTTCTTTTCCCTATTATTCAAATATCTTCTATTCCTTGAGTTGTTAAATCAATTAGAAAGGTTCTCCTCTCAATTACACCATTTTGCTTAGGATGTCTGCCTATTCTTCAGTTACTCCCTTTTTCTCAGTCAATTCTTATCTGATCTCTTTCCATGGTTATTTATCCAATTTATCAATACTGGAGCATACGGTCTTAAATTAAGTCTTAGGAATTCCAGCAATTTAGATCATGGCATCCAATAATTTTCTATTAGATATTTTAATTTGAAAAGGTCCTAAATCTAACTTAGTAAATATCTAATCAATTATCTTGATTAACTCTGCATCAGCCACCATGGGATCATTTCTAATATATAATTAAATTGGTACTCTCCAGCAATATCAAAATCACACTAAAAGAATTCACGGAATCTCCCTTATTATATTGAAGGATTGTCTCTTCTATACACCTTTCCAATGTGATATCTTTTCAATTTCTTATATCCGTGAGTGGCTAGGTATCTGGCAAAGGGTACTGTTAGATCATATCTTAAAGACAGGATTTCACCACCCTAGTCTTAAAGGTCATATATCAATTTTCCTCCTTCTTCACCGTACTTACCGATAAGGGTTTCTTTCAACTCAAAAACGGGAGTATCAATTTCAACTGCTCCGTGCTACTCGAATACGTCTGTAATTATTTTAAAAGCTTGTCTCCTTATCACCATTTATTGGGGTAAGAAATCTCTTGTTCCCTTTGGATTTTTGACTGCTAATTGTTTTTCTTTGGGTTATTATTTTCCTTATTATTATTTTTATTGTGCTTTGTTTTGAACTTATTCCTCCACTTGTTATTCTGGTTTTTAATCCATCAATTAAAATTTTATATTATTATTTTTAATACAATATGCAAATTAGGATTGAAATATTGAATATTTTCTTGTTAATACAAAACTCAAAATTCTTTTAGCAATCATAATTCTTTTATTAAAATTTATTAAAATAATTGTATATAAATAAATCAGAGATGCGTACTTTTTGAGATTGGTTCAAGAATCACATAATAATTAAAGAAGGAATAAATAACTTTTCATAAGTAAATATCATAATTATTTTAAAGAACTCATTGTCTTTGGCTCCAACAGGATTTCATAAGGGATTAGTGTCAAACTTAATCTCATTAATTTCATTCGCCTACTAACATACTTTAACCAAAAATACGAGATCGACCCTAAAATAATTAACAAACCTAGTCCTGTTATATAAATATATAATTGCATAATTGTTGTTGCCTATTATAATTTCGATTAATTCTATTCGAACAAATTGTCCCCTATGATTGTCAATAACTTTCCAGGATCAAGAAAATACTCAACAAATTGATTAATATGAATTTGTGTTTTTAAAAAAGATACTGCCTCTTAAGTTGTGGATACTTGCAATTCTTTTAATTAAATCTCTTTGGAGAAATACGAATTTAAACTCTTTGTAAACTCTTAAACACACCCTGTAATGCCACCAGATAAATAATCAAAATTATTATCCTCTAACCATGGACTACCATAAGTTGTTTTGAAGGAGTCAGGAACTGAAAAGTTTTAATTTGACACTCTAATGGTACAAAAAGGTATTTCCTCGCTCATGTAATTGCACAGACTATCCTCAAAATACATCAGCAGTTCTTTCTTTTATGCTTCCAAGAGTCCAGATTAACTAGCAAGGGAATCATAGATGCTTCTCATTGAGTCCTAAAATCCATCAGTTTGCTCGCTAAAGAGATCCAAAATTAATTGATTTTTCATATCAATATTAATGTTTCCAAATTTGGCTTCAAATTTATCACTAATTACTTATTGAGTTTTTAAGCACTCCCCCAAGACAATCAAGGTGTCAAATCTAAGTTTGAATCTAATCAATTGTAAATTAAGATTAAGGGTCGGTTTAATATCTGATACTTAACTGATAGTAACCAAAATTCCTCCAATTATGAATAGTATAGCTAAGAACCAAAGGAAAAAAAGGAAAATAAGATTCGAAGGATAACTTAAGGTTAAATCATAGATTCTCTAGGCCAAAGAGTTACTTTAATATGATCTTTTTGATCGTACTTTTGACTTTTGCCCAGATAATTCATTCGATTTGGTAACTGATTAAGTTTTAACTGATTTTGCAAATAAAAGACTCGTTACTTACTGATTTTATTGGACTTAGTCATAATTTAATTCAAAGTAATTTACTCTTTTCCATATCAATTATGAAGGTTCAATCAAAATTGTCTTTACATCAGTCAGTTTCTACATGATATCTTCAGCAGTTCTATGAGACACTCTAGTTATTAGCATCAAAATCTATCTTTCATATTGAGTCAACAAAAATGTATTATACAGTATGTACAAAATGATACAACTATTGACAGCAATAAAAGTCATGGTTAAGATTACCACATCGTTTATGATTCTATCCTCATAATAAACCAAGTTTTCATTAAGTAAAGTGATATATTTGTAAGCGAACTTGTAAACATAAGGGACATTCAATCTAAAGAACATGCTATCAGAAAAGATGACACCTTCTTCAGCATTATCTATATAATTAAACGAATGCAATTGAATTTATTAAATCAATTAAGTAAGATCAAGCTATTATTCCGAAAAAGATAAATCATTAATGCTTACTAATCTAAGCTCATCATTCATGATTTACTCTTCAAATTATATAATTCCTTTATATAATTCATTTAGTTTTATATCTATGATAGCTCTAGTGGCTTTCAGTTCTTCTATTTGTTACTTTCTAATGAACTCACTATATTTAATGATTTCCAGCCTTTCTTACAAACTAATCCAAGCAAAAAAGGCTATCTTTTAGAAGTAAAAGTTCAAAGTTTCAGGATAAGTTACATAATTAATATTAGTTTATAAAATGTCATAATTGTCTACATAAATTCTTACATTTTACTTTGAATGATGCTTAACTTAACAAACACAAGACAAAATTGCAAAGCAAGATAGACTAAAATGGCAAATATAACAGACTTAAGTCCTCCTCCAAATGTACTTACTTAATACAAGGAACGAACAAGCAATGAAGGAGACTTGGAAGTACTAGTCTTTGATGAACTTGCAATTGATCTTTTCTTCTTCTCCTCCTCATCATTATCATTTTGATTCCTATAATGAGATATTATTATTCACTCTTACTCTTATTGCATTTTTTTATTCTCCATTAATAATTGAATAAAGTTTTTCTTATTGACATTTTAGTTTGAAGAATGCTTCTCAAAATTATCCTCTATTTCCTATTGTGATTCATCCTTATCTTTAAAATCATCGCTTGATTTTTCCTTCTATAACTCTTTCTCCTCTACTTTGAATTGTTTTTCCTAAATAACAATATTGAATTCTTACATCGAACTACTTGTGTAATTAAAAGAACTCGTCAGAATCATTGTCTTAATCCTTCTGCAGCGGGATTCCACTAAAATCTGGCCTGTATGCATTTTTGGGTAACATGATTTCAGATGGAGGAGCTGATACATCTTAAACTTCTATTACACTTGGTTTATCAAATAATCTTATTTAGGAATGATCATTTCCAAACAAGATATTACTGTCATCCTATTAAATTAATTATTTTATTTTTTCTTCATTAATTTTTAATGGCTTTGTCGGTTGATTCCGTTATGAATCTATTACTAATTTACCTTGTTAAAAACTAAATTGCTTAGTATCGTTAAGTGATCTATCTGCACTTGATGGAACTGTTTCATTTAAAGATTTGTGGTTATAAGCTGAGTTAAATATAGTATTAGAAGCCTCAAAGTTTTATCCCATAGTTGGATATCTGTTGTAAAACTTATGTTGAGAACTAATTTCATTCATGTGTTCTAATTCAATAATAAAGTAAGGATAAGAATATCTTTTTACTTTCATCATCTAATAAGATATTTTTATTTTGGTTCTTATTATCGAGTACTTTAATTTAAATGAAATTAATACCTTCTCTAATTAGTCTTTATGCTAATTCATAAACTGAAAGTGGAAGTTAATATTAGATTTATCTGCTATAGGTACTTTCTCTCCTAATATTGTTGTATTGCCTCTATCCAATCCCAAGGAATGATCACTCTTCAAAGATTTCGACACTGATTTCCAAGATCTCCAAGAACTCAAATTTTAACTCTCTAAGCCCTCTTGAAGAGTATTGCCAATTCTTTCATACGATTCTCTTACAAACAAAGAATTAAGTTCAACTAAATTTGATGGTATGTAGAATAGATGTTCTTCATCTTCAATAAATTGATGATCTAATTCATTTATTTTATTTAGATTTTAGTTCAAGATAGTCAAAAAGGAGGGGAATATAAGAAAGAAGTGACAGAATTCTTTAAAAAACTCAATGGTAATATTCGGAATCTTTGCACTGATTGATTTAAATAATCCTTCACTTATTCCAATAATCTTTCCTTCAGCATCAACCAAAATAATTTAATTAGATATATTGCATTTAAGAATGGATGCTGTAATAACATAATCATCTAATTCCTCAAACAAATTCCCTAATTTTACATAGCATTTCTCAATAAATCCATTTTTATTCTCATAATATCCAGAAATCTTACGAATAAAATATTCACTATGTCCTTTCTATATAAAAGCATCTATTAAATATTCATGACCTTTCATCATAGTTTTTGGTAGCAAATTATGTACCTAAGAGACTGATTCCTTGAAATCATTTGCATCAATGTAATGGAAGAAATTTGCTAATGCCAATTGATTTTTATTGACAATCTTCCCTTTATTCTTAACAATGCTGACCAAAATAATAGTAGTGGAATCATTGTAAAGAGATATGTTATCGATTATATCAATTTCTTTTTATCTATCATTTGAAGTTAAGTCTTTCACATACTATTCTACATAAACAGCCTATTTATTAAAAATAACCTTACTCTATCAAAATCATTCATTATTAGAGAATAGAATAAAGAGTATAATTTTAAAGTTATTACATTTATGTTTAGTTAAGCATGACTTAGTTTTTTTACAGCAATACCTTTAGTAGTGGTTGTTTTCAAATCAAACCATTCTTAAGGGACTCCTATATATTTATCCAACGAGATCCTAAGCTAATCATATGTCCATACATTACATTCATGATTTTTTCACATAACTTTTATGTATTATATTAAAATGGATTCAAACTCGGATATCCATTTATTAGATTCTGCCAATGTTCTATTTTTTAATCTACCAATTTTATGTAGATTTATAATAAATTTTCATACAGATTTTGAGTTTACCATTGTTAAGTCAATGAGATTTCTATAAGTTAGGTTCTTTGTTCATGGATTAAGACGGCCTTTGAGTTCTGTCTCACTTAGTTATCCATGATTTGTTTTTTTAATTGATCTGCCAGTTTGTTCGTAATCTCAACGAAGTAAGAGGAATTGTTATTCAATTTGTTGTTCTAATATTGTCTCAATTCCAAATATCCAATGAGTGGCTTCTGAGCGATTTCGGACACAAAACTAATATACTATAATTACAGCTGCTCGAATTATAAATCTGCATTTTGATTATGACTATTTTATTATTATAAAGAGTACATAGAAAACAGCCAGTTTTGGGCTGCCTTAAATATACATTTGATGATGCTCAGAGTGAGTATGTTAAGATCCTTCTTCTAATCAACATTTAAGGTCTCAAACCGTTTGAGTTTGGAGTAACACTTATTATTCTTACAATACAAACGATGAATCATTAAAAACTGAAAATATTGCAATTATGCTTATGGGTCCTAGAATCAATTGCTTATAACTATACTTTTAAATAATCAATATGATATTTATAAAATTAGTCCACCGCAATAATGATATGTTTTTCTTCTATCTGAATGCTAGAGTTATAATTTAGTATGGCATGATTTTAAAACAAAAGATGATAAGGTTTCTCCTACAATAGCTAATCCTGGCAAAGGCAAGATGATCAGGAAAAATAGGTTCTCTTCTTGAAAAAACCCAAATTTAAAGGCAGTAACAGCGATGACTATCCAAGCATATACGAATGCCAATCTAATAGAAGGAACGCGTATCGGATCTCGATAAGGGAAATTAGTTAATTGATCTACAATTTAATTCAAAGCAAAAAAAATAGCCATTGAATATTTCAAAATATCGGCAGCTTGGAACTATTAGGTAATTGATCTAATTTTACATCAAAAATGTAATGGGAAAAAATCTCGACTAGTATAATTGTGTTATTTAACAATAATAGAGGGGAGTATCTTCTTTTCAAAGAGTTGGGCTCATGAAATCTGTGATTCCTCATTATATAAATCAATATTTGTCCATTTATGTATGAAATAATTAATGGAGTTATGGCTAGTATTTGTGTTCCTACTCCTATTTCGCAATCAGATTTGGGAAAAATGCTTACAGAATTGCACGTGAGGGAACTAAAAGAAATAACTGCAATTTGGAGATAAATTACAGGATACAGAACAAAAAACCAATGGAGGGTTTCATTGAAACTCATCACCCATTGCTATATTTGGGAATTCATGTTATCATTTCCTGTGATGTCTCTTCTTATAAGATTGGCTGTCCATATTCTAATGAATGTGGAGAACGTCAAAAATAGGATGAGTATCAATTGGGAGGCAAATGAGATTGCTATTATAACTAATGCCAAATTTGATGTCATAGATGATTTTAAGGTATTATTTAGGATGAAAAACTCCAAAAAGTTTTGTGAATAAGCCAATTTAAAATCGGTAAAAGGCTTGTTCTAATTTGCATTCACGATTATTGATAAATATTGAAAATGATTGATTAAATGCAAAATAAAATAAAATGTACCATCCATCTAATTTAATAAAATCTGTTGTATACTTTAAATTTTGGTCTCTCTTCAATCCCATAGAGCATGGTTTGCATATAGCCTCTTGCGAATTTTCGAAAAGTATGCATTCTGTTCTACTGATATAAATTATTAAATATTAAATATTAATATTAATTACTTTAGTCTTTATTCCCAATTTAATCTTGAGAAACAAATAAATATTTCTCAATCTCATTTTCCCACTCAATTTAGAATTTATTCAAAAAAGTACTATCATAGAAAAAAAAAGGAACGATTTAAATTTAATTAAAATAAAACTTAGCCAATAACAATAAAATGATTGTTTAAAGAAAAAAGTAAATAATATTTGCATATAGAAAATATGTGCAAGACAAAGAAAATAAAAAAGGAAAAAAAAAGAAGGCAATTTCAATTTGCCCAGTATCTTATATTGATTTATTAAACTCATTTTCTACGCAGATGACTCATTGTCATTTTCTCTATTTTGGTTGGTTCGTGCAACAGGATGGAGAAATCTAGACTGTAGATCAGAGTGCCATTCACTCTTAATAGAAAAGTACTCCATACATGGACCAAAGTTCATCTCATAATTCTCATCGAATACATGATACTTATCCAAGCTCATTGAAATAAGTTCACTTTCTGTACTATTTGCCTCAAAGCCTCTAAGTCCTTGACTCAGAATGTTGTCTGAAGGAGCCGTTAGGAAGGTTTCTGGAACAACTTGTTTGTAATTTATTCTTCTAATTCCACTAGTGCTTTGTTCCTTGAAAAATATATTTATCATTACTTCAAAGTAATTGAAACCTCTAGAATCGACACCGCCTTATTTTGTTATTGCTTTTGAACCTTCTCCCACGAGAATCAAAGCCACTTTGACATATCTTACATGGGTAGTATCTTTAGTTTTCAGATTCAATTCAACGTTTTGCATTTGGGAATCCAGAGTACAATTGATTTAAAGAGCATATGGTCCGTTTTCTGGATTAATTTTGAACCCCACAAGAAAAGCACTAACTTTGGGTGATTGGATGTTAGCATTGACAGGTTGGGTGAAGGTGTCTTCCCTAATGCCAGAACCTTGAGATAATTGATGGATGAGAATACCTTGACGAAGTTCCCTTAATTGCATGAAATTGAATTCACGATAGGTGAGTTATACATTTTTATCGACGAATGCCACCCATCTGACTTTAAGTTATTGGACTCTTGCAGGTCCTCCTAAGCGATACCTTAATTCAAAACCTAAAAGGAGAGCTTAAATATTCTACCAGATTTGGTCACTTGACCCAAGGAGAGATTAATGTCAACATCCAAGGTTGATTCGAAGGTTACTTGTTCAAACATGAGCAATACTTCAGGTACTCTTTTAAGAGGGATACATACTCTGAGAATTGCTTGTCAAATAGGATTTCAATTTGAGTGTGGATTGGATAATTGCTGGTGAGTGTTAATTGAGGTTGGTTTTTGATCACGTTGTCTAAACCTGTTTGCCATTCAGCTCCCAAAGTCAAGACTATGAAGAGTACAAAATGAAATGGTTTGTGCATAATATATTAATAAAATGTAATTAATTGATGCCATTTTCGAGGATCAATTCAAACCAGCTCTCATTGAACACTACAAACAAAACAAAATAGTCCGAAGAGCTGATTATCTTTTAAAGGCATTATAATCTGTGGATCAAACACCCCTGGAAGAATAACAAAAGTTTTACGATCATTTAGAGAAATAATTATTAAAATGTTCTTCACTATAAGCTTTAGCATTAATACACAACTAAAATGAGCAGATTGTAGATTTGTTATTGGAGTTTTGTCTGACAAATGAAATTGTATCAATTATCTTTAATTTCTCAGCACACGCAATAATTGTTTCGGATTATCGATTGGTTTTTGGGAGCAATCACATTGACTAAGCGAAATTACAAAACTATGTTCATGTACATCAAAAACTAGATGTACAATTCCTAATTAACAAACGAAAAGGTTCAGAGATTCATAACATTATTATAAGTATAATTACACTCAAATTTTATAGAAAGTTTTTGCAGAATAACACTACAATTCCCCTTATGCCTCATTCTACTTCAATTATATTCACAGTGGATTGGTTGTAGACACAAGAGAAATGAAATGGTGTTTTAGCAAAGGCATTTCTCTACAAACCTGGCTTTATCCTATTGCAATAAAATCAGAAGTTGAAACTAAAATTATGTACCTAATGTCTGATAAAAAAAAAGGATGTCAATTTATTTTAAATGGAAACAAATTAGTCTATCAATATGTTGATCTAAATTGTATACTTTATTACTCATTATCATACAGCCCCTCATCATGAAGTCCCTATTAGTCTGATCGAAATACCTTATAATGAATGGTCGTCTTTATGCATTCAGATTCAATCCAAAAAATTCTTCCTGTAGGAATCCTATTACCTCTATTTGACTTGTGGGAATCAATAAATAAGAGAAATCAAAATAGATTTTCCCCAAATCACTAATGAGGCTCTTGTCATTGAATTTCAATTTTTTACCAACTTTTATGGTTATGTCACTAGTCTGCTAATTTATAATGATGGATTTGATGGAAAGTATAAACTACTATTATGCATATAGTGATTTAACTTGCGGAGACAAAAACTTGGGTATTTAAACAAATGATCACCTTAGAAATTTGCATAAATCTCATGGCAATAATAGATTACTATTGTGTTATACTCCACTCAGAGCTAGAGCCAATTTTATAACTGATCCAATCAATCAATTTGATGGAGCCTTACAATCATATAGTGGGTCTTACTTGAGAATAACACAAAAACAGCAATTTGCATAATTTTGTAGAATTGAAAACTTTGTTCCTCTACTATTGTTTTTACGACTGTAGCCTTACGACTAATTGTTGAATGAGTTGTTGGCTCTATTCTGTTAAATTTTTAAATCAAGACCAGAATCATAGTCAGATGCAATCAGAACAGAATATTTAAGTTTGATAGCCCTTAAACTTAATGATTCCGGACTCGCTATGATCAACAGCTAAACAATAGAACTGCTCTCCCAATTATATAACTCCATTCAGGACGTGAAATTAAAGTAACAATTCGTATGCAGTCTGTTGTGGAGAATCCAAATTTATAGACTAGATGATTTTTCTATCATTGAGGACTATCTAAAATTTATACGAGTGATCTACAATGATAATCCTGAATTTTGTATATCCATTTTTGGTATAAGTAAGATACTAGAAACTCTGATATATGATATTGATCCAAAAAATAGATTATGCTGCGAAGAACACGCTAATCAAATGGGGTATACCAATTTTAGTTTGCCAACAATACCGTACTCTTAATTAATTGATTCCTATCTAAGTATTATTATTTTATTACATTATTAGACATCATTGATGCAATTCTGCATTATAAACTATTTTAGTCGCAATCCAAAATTGAGAAAGAGAATATCATAGATATTACAAGAGTCTTCACGTTAAAATGCTCTCCTTGCTTTTACTAATTACTACTCAAAAAGCTATAAGGATTATTTTAATACGAGACCAAGAGCAATAATCCCATATCTCAGATCCTCATCCAAGAGGAAGTAATGCAAATGTTATTGAATCTACTAACAACTTGTTCCTGTCCAGATGTGAAAACTAGTTGTATCAAATTGATAGCCGAGAGCATTCGGATTAATTAATCTTCAAACGAAAAAGAAATTGCTAGTTGGATTGCTCACACTCTAGGAAATAGTGCTGCAGTGGAGACCTACTCAGATGATGAAGATGAGGATGTTTAACCTAGAAAACCATTAGTAAATTAAGCTTTAGTCTTTCATTAACAAGAAGAACAATAAAGTTCAATTGAGGAAAAAAAAAAATAACCAGTCACACAAACGAAAAAGATTGTATAGCCAAATAGAAGAATCATAGATTATGAACCTCTCTATGTTGCAATTATGGAATGGATGTTGAGAACAAGAGTTGGCAAAACCAATTCAGACACACTTATTCTAGATGAGAATTTCGTTATTAAATCGGATGGTGGATTATCTTTGTTGATCAGCTATTTCCAATATTGTGTGGATTCAGTCAAAGGTCGCATCATGTAAGATTTATGTATGCTAATTAAATGGAATCAGGCCAGTGCCCTTTTTCTATTAAATAATGAAGAGTTTCATTGGTGGATCCTAGAAACCCTCCTAGAAATCTAATATTAATATAACAATAGAGAATTGACACAATTTGAGTTCTGGATTTGGGATAGTGGATTGAAATTATATTGCAATGTTATCAAAGTTGCTATTTAAAATGAAAAAAATGGATTTCAAAGGGTGGCTTAATTGCAAAGTTATTGCAGAGTATTGGAGGAATTCTTTAAAGAAAAGATCAATTAGTAAGCTACCTAATTATTGATGAGACTGATATATAAGCAATTACTATCTAATTTATCGTAAATTCTATTGATTTATTTACTAGTGACTGTTATAAATTGGACTTGTTTTCAGTGTTTTGGGTCAACCTATATTCTGTTATTTTTGAAACATTCAGATTGGTAACTGCAGATCCAAGGACTATGGAAAATGAACATTACTATTTATTCCATAAATTCTAATCTATTGCCTTTAGGTTAACAATCTCATAGTAGGAAATGCCTAAGAGTAAATATTTTATTAATTACATCTTTAGAATGGAAATAACAATTCGGAATTATTCAATGGGTTGATCATATCCTAATTGTGAATATCTGTGAAATAGTGAATCAATTTTGTGGCAAATTCTCCCCACAAATAATTGGTTCCTTAGAAGACTATCATATTGTTTAGAAAGGAATCTTAGGCATCTTGGAGTAGAAGAACCCAACAGAATTACAAAAGTCTTTTGCTGCCATGATGTTCTCATTTGAGATCGGGATGGAATAACATTAGTGTCCCATTTTTGTTTAAGTTTGTCAACTATTTTTGTAATTGAATGCTGAGTATTTTGCTTATAATGTGCAGAGTAGTGAAAACATCAAGTAATTGCAAGTGATATTGAATACACTTGATAAATTGGTCAGGACTTTGATTATTTCATCTGAAACACTAAGAGACAAAGAGATTGAGGAAACGCAGGATAAAGTAGTTTATTTGATTATCGGATCACATTTCATATTTCTGTATTAAATGGAGGATAAAATTAAAGAGATTAATTATGATGAAGAAATCAAACAGGAATTATTATAAATCGTGAGAAATTGCTTATTTTATTCATTTAAATTTCTAATCGTTTATGTTGATAGTTTCACTCAAATTTTAAATAAGAATGAGTCCTTCCAAGCTCTCATTTTTGAAGGGTACAAACAGCACAAACTATTTTTAATCAAAATGCTCAATGATTTAATTAAAAAGGACAGCTCTCACATATTTGACGTAATTGAGACAAAATCACTGAAAGTAAATGACAAATTGATCATGGAGAAAATGATATCAGCAAAGTAAGTGTTTGTAGATAATCAAACTTTATTGAAAAAAATACAAGAATCATTTTTCATAGATGAGGAGTATCATTCTAAAACAAAATGTGACTTTGAAGAATCTTATAGGATTTTTGCTTAGAAGAAGAAAACATTATAGGACAAATTGCAATAATAACGCCAGGGAATCGAGGAAGTCTTATTCTCATAGATGTAATTGATTACAGTATATTGCCTTTAGGATATCTTCATCAACGACTTATTCTTATGATTAAAAGATACAGAGAATAGACTCGGAACAAATCTGTATGAGACAGGCAAGATACATGTTTAAAAAGTCATTTAATCGAGTCCGGGTCTTTAATCAATGGTGGGCTCATCCAGATTTCAAGGCCCAAATAGATAAACCATTCGATTCGATTGATATGCATTATGAAAACATTAAATAAAATTAGATGTAAAAGACAGAATTTATATTAGCTTTACATGGAAAATGTGGAAATACGAAACCAAGTAAAAGTCAAGACCATTACTCAAACCAAAGTTATACGACTACCCTTAAATTGATACCGTTATGCAATCCCAACAATAAAGCACAAGAATAATGAATTTGGCTGATTACGATAAGAAACAACCAGAGAGACAAAGAAAGAAAATACATGAAATCATATTTGATACCATCATCCCCTTTTATTCATAATAACATGAAGAAGATGAGGTGATTCTTCACAGAGTCTAATGGATTAAGACCTTAACAGTTAGAATAGGTTCTTTGCGTATAAGTGACACTCATTTGATCTTCTATTTTGAATCAATCACTCAAAAAGAGACTCATCAAAGTCTAATTAAATTTAGAGTTCCTGAAGATTCCCAATTAGTCAAATAGTGGGATTTGGATTAAATCTATGATATATAATTTCGAAGGTATATAGGTAGATGGACTTCTTTAGAGTTGACCTTATTGGAAGGCAGTACGCTCGTATTCAATTTTTCAAATGGAGATCATCAAAAAGTGATTGAAAAACTGATCTCATTGAAGAAATAACGAACCATCAATATTAAACCTAGGATTTTATCTGGGAAGTTGGATCCTATTAGTGTCTTATTGGAAAGCAAGGCAATGAACAAGTGGTATAATTATAAGATCTCAACCTTCGAATACTTAATGAAAGTCAATAAAATTGCTGGAAGAAGTAATAAGGATTTAACTTAATATCCCGTATTTCCATGGATAATGAATGACGGCGAGCAATTGCACAAATATCGTGATCTGACTAAAAGCATGGGGGCTTTGGGTACTAAAGACAGGATTGAAGTGTTTGAATAGAGATACAATATGATAGATCATTTTAATAAGGTGCCGTAATTTCACTTTGGGAGTCATTATTCAAGTCCAGCAATAATTTTCCATTATCTGATAAGATTGAAACCTTTCTCTGATGGTGCCAAAGAGTTGCAATCAGGGAAATTCGATTTAGCGGATCGGCTCTTTTTTTCATTCATTGACACCTATAGGAATGCAGTTGAAGAATTAAGTGATGTCAGAGAATTGATACCTGAATTCTTTTACTTGCCTGAGATGTTTCTTAATTTATCTAAGTATGACTATGGGTTATAGCAAACTGGACAAAGAGTAAACAATGTAGACTTACCTAGTTGGACTCAATAGAATCCCTATTTGTTCATCTGTGCTCACAGAATGGAATTGGAAAGTGATTATGTCTCATAACATATTTGCAATTGGATTGACTTAATTTTTGGATATAAATAAAAAGGAGAGGAGGCAGTCAAGGCTTTGAATACATTCTATTATTTGACATACGAAAATTCGATAGATTGGGACTCAATCAAGAATGAAAAACAAAAGATTTCCTTAGAATCATAGGCAATCCATTTTGGTTAATGTCCAAGCTAAATTTGGGACAGACCCCATATTTCTAGAGGAAAATTAAAAATTGTATATAGAATTGTAGATGAAAAGATAGAAAAGAGAATTTTTAGGTAAAAACAAAATAATGCCCAAACTCAATCATAAAACTTTTCGAGAAACAAATCGATTATTAGAATACAGTTTTTGAGTGATAGCAAAGTGTGGATGATTCGTCGTAGTGGTGAATGTGCTACAGTTAAATTAGATTTAAAAGACAATAAGCTTGATATTAATAATTAGAAGGATCAATCAATCAATTTTGGTAAATTTTTGGATGAAAATCAATATCTCTTTGATTGGACTTGTAATTATGATGAATTACCTGTGTTAATCAGAGGAAAACAAGTATTGATTGGTGGTATTTGGGATGGGAGAATGCTAATTTATAATAACGGTATAATTTCTGAATAGAAATTTGAATAAGAGTATACGATAACTGTAATGAGATTTGATTATAAAATGAGAATATTAGCAACTGGTAGTAAGGATGGAACTCTAATAATATACAAAGTGTCTAATAATTCATACATTCCTGTTAGTAAACATCATCATCATGATTAATAAATTACAGATATATTTATTTGTAATGATTTGAAAGTTGTATTAACATGTTCTAGTGATAGTTGGATTCACATGTATAATTAATGGTCAGGCAAATATCTAAGAAGTTATAGACATCCTAAAGGATTACCCATTAGTAAAGTTTGTAGCTATTGTACACCTCTGTATGGAATAGCCTTTTATGAAAACAAAAATATTTATTCATATAGCATCAATGGGTAATTCTTGGCCCATCTTGAATTAAAATAATATGTTGTTAATTAAGGACATCTCAAAGTTGTAAAAGACTCAAAACTAACTGATATTATTGTAAGTTTTATTTAAATATCATAGGTTTTACCATTATGTATGGAAAAGAAAATCTTGATGCTGTCAACTCCCTTTCTACAAAAAAGAAATGAAGTCTAATTGACTGATTGTCCACAATCTATGAATGATATAAGTTCGTTTGCTTTGTCACCAGACAGAACAATCTTAGCATTTGGAACATCTGATGGAGAATTTGGATTGGCAGTTGATTAGAGAATCTTTCAATAGGATTGAGATTTAAATGTATATCAATATCATAAATCGTTATTATTCTACAAAATATTATCAAATCTAATTTTTTAAGATGAAGGCAATTTCTTTATTCTTTAATTGTCTAACAGCCAAATAACTCGAAGCCACAGCAATCAAAATTCCACCAAGGAAAGTAAAAAGAAAAGTATACAAAGGAAATGCTAATCTGAACTAACTTTCCGAAAATGTGGCTATTTACATTGCAAAAGTAGACGCTGTTATGAATCCAACTAAAGAACCTATTAAACCTGAAGATACTATTAAAGATATAGATTCATAGATAAACACCTTTTGAATTTATACCTAATGTAATCATGATTATCTTACTTCTTGTAAACCTATTGCTCTTAGGATACCAATTTCCCAGCAATTATTTCTTACATTACTAATAAATGATATTAAAAGTAAGAAAAAGGATAAAATCAAAGCAATGGCTGCAACCACGGCATTAAATATCTCAAAATATGTGAACACTTCATCAAAAGTTCTCATAAGCTCTTGAGAATCTATCAAATAAATTTAATCATTTTTGAAATAATTTCTCATTCGATTACTAAAATCCAATCTTTCTTCCCTAGTTGTATCCCTGTTAAACTTTATAAACAACTAATCTTTAGGCAAGCCAAAACTCAAATTCTTTGGTAATTGCTCTATAAATTCCTTAAGTTTCCTATATTTTCTACTCTTTCTTACCGCTCTATTGTTCAGAATCTCTTTTAATAATAATTCTGCATCCTACATAGTAATCAATCCTTGTCCAAAAAATACAACTGTAGTATAAGCACTAAAATCAAAATTTGGTATCTTAGTTGCCATATGCCTAATTTTCAATCTCTTCTCTATCATGTACTCCTTATTTTTAATCGTAAGTAATGCAGGTGTATTAACACTTATACTACCTGCATTCCTATACCCTTCTGGAATTATTATATTTATTTCCCTATCTATTTTTATGGTTTTTTATTTTGGTTCAAATATTTAATAATATTTGGAATTGGAAATTATTCCAGAGATATCTTTCTGTTATTTCATATCATAATTAGAGTCCCTATTATATAAATCATATATTCCATCTCTTACACCATTGTCCAAATATTTAACGTCACTTGATTCAGTATCATATTCAGTTGGTTGATAATATTCTAATGTGATTGAATTCAGTAGGTTTTTCTCGACTGGTTGCAATATGATAAGGTTTCTCGGAAAACGAGATAATGGAGAGATTGAAAAGTGATTTTAGATACCAGGATATTCATTCAAAGGTAAAGCACTAAATGTATAATCTTTGATCAAAGTAGAGTCATTCTTTTATTCCCATTCAAGATGTTGCCTTAATCCATACTCATCTAAGCCAAACTTTTTGGAGGCATCAAAAATACGAATATCTGCAGCTGTGCTGACTTTGATGTAATTTTACATCATCTAGCTCATAATTGCAAATGAAGATCCTGTGAATATAATCAAAGACAAACCAAGCGAGTACATAAGGGTTGTTTTCGCATTTCTATTCTCATGACTTTTTAAATTATTTAAGATTACGGGTTTCAAATTTTAATCGGATGATTTCAGACATAATATCAAATAGAGAAGATATTTTTCAACTATTTTTTGAACTAAATTGATTATCATTGTTACACCTATTAACATCGTTACAAATACAATATTTAATACAAAAATAGCAAGTCCAACATTTTAATATATAATATTCATAGGAATAACGTAATAACTTATAAATCCTATAGATATTAACATTATTGAATAAATTGTTTAATTTAAACTTATCCCTATCTTTTCAAGTCTCATAACAGTTACAACAATGTTGCTGACAACCTTATGTAATAAATTTAAAGAATCTCTAAGAGTTGTCGATAAAGCCTGTTTAATTGGTAGGATATTGCTAACAATAGGCATACAGATTCCTATGCTTATTTGAACAATCAATGCATAGAGAGGAATACTATATGAGGAAATCAAAAGAGACATATCAAATATATACATTGAAACTAACGCATTTAATAAGTAACAAGTAATTAAGGCTAATAATAAGCCTGGTACTAATAATATAGAATATAGATTACTAACTTGCAAATGTCAATGCTTAGAATAGTAATAATACAATTAACCATGATTTTCTGAACCCTAAGGCTCTCAACATACCAAATTCATAAGTCTTCTCATCTACATCACCTATCATCAATGAATAAATCAATAAAATAGATAGCATTAATAAAATTATAGTTGCCACCTATATCAGAGTATCAATGAAGTGTTTTATTAAATGGTATAGTTCAACGATAAAACCTAATGGTGCCATAATTTAAACAGGATAATCATACCCAGCAATTGAGTAAAATTGATTTGTTGATGAAATGACTGCAGCTTTTGCATTTTCTGGAGTCTCATATTTTGGATATTTATTCTAGAATACCACATTGGCCATCAGAGAATACTCCTAGAGTTAAAAATGTTTTAGCTTGTCCCTCACTGAATTTCTAGTCTCTTTAACAGGAATTAATTATGATACCGCTCCTGCCATACCTTAGTCATACTTTCTCTTTTATTTAATCACAGCATCAAATCTATCGAGGATGGCATCTAAAAATAAACTGGTTGCATCTTTATAATCCATGAATACCATCATTCCTAGAGCTTCTGTCCATTTTCCTTTTGGGGATTCGACACTTTGATAAACTGAAAAATTTAATTCAAATTCTGCTATTTCAATTGCTATATCAAAGAAACCATCTTCTATCTATGAAATGGTGATTTCCTTAGTAAACTTTGAAAGTCGAAAAACAAATCGATACATGCTTCTGGCATCCTTAGTCAAATTTCTAGTAAATATGTAGTCGACCATTTGTTTTGCCAATTTCTTCTAAGGAGTTGTTATGTTTTAACTATAAATTGATTAAATTAAACTTTTTTTAGTCTGATTTTTCTTCCATTCAGATGCTTCTAAATCATTAACAAAATATTTATATTCTTCTACATATTTCAACATAGTTGCAACATCAAATTTCCTATGTAATATATCATCATCAGAAATTTGCAATAGGTCATTTAAAAACCTTTTGAAAGATTCTCTTAGATGATTCTTAGATTCACCTTCTGTGTTGTTGAATCCAAAGTGTTTAAGAAATTGAAGGACACTAAATTTGATTTGAATAGTGTCTCCAATTTGAACTCCCAGTCCCTTTTAGAGTGTGTTGGATATATAAATTTAATTAGAAGTGATGATGTCAGTATCTAATCTTCGACCAAGGCCTATGCTATTTTCAAGTTGTGAATCTAGAATCATAAAAAAAGAAGTCAAATTAAGGGATGCTTTGGGATTGTAGATATCGCACATAAACAGCCATCTCGGAGAAACATCTAGAAATTCGTCGATTTAAGAAGTGTACTAAATAAAATGAATAGATTACTTGGCGTAACTCTGTTATGTTGATGAGCCTGAAATCATTTTTGCTAGCCAGAGTTTTGGGTAAAAATTGTAGATCTGTGTCCCCAACAGAGGTTTCAGCCAATTGAAGAAATAAAAAAGGACTTAGACTTTTTAAACATTACAGTAATCCCAGAAATGCAATAACAATATAAGTTGAGAGTAATCCAATCTTAAAAGAACGTGGCCTCTTGGCAATATCGGACAAGATGTATTTAAAAAAGAGTCGAATCAGTCTTTGAGGTTGGGTTGATTGCAACTCTGCTAAAGAAGGTTGATCTTCATTGGGTTAAGCCATTCAAAGTATTAATATTTATCATTATTTTGTTAGAAATATTAAAAAATTATCACAATAGACCTTTTAAAATGACTGAAATGCTTTTGTCCTTCATATCCAAGACTGCTAAGTAACTGGCGACTACGGCTGTGACGAATCCTCCAAGACAAGTAATTAAAAATGTGGCTGTTGGGAACATCAACACAAAAGGTAATTCTATGAACATGAGAATTTGGAGGGTCAGTAAAATGGCCAAAGAGATTCCAATGAAAGTACCAAGTATTCCAGATGCGGTGATTAAGGATATGGCCTCATAAATGTAGATTCTAGTAAGTTGGTTTTTATTTAATCCAATAGCTCGAAGAACTCCGAATTCCCATGAATTGTCTTTGACATTTCCAACAAATGAAATTAGAATTAAAAAGAATGATAACGTAAGGGCAATCACAGCAACAACTATGTTCAGGATTTGAATATAAAAGAAGGCATTCTCTGCTTCCTCCTTTAGAGTTTTCACATCAAATAGCAATGTTTAATCATTTCTAAAATAGTTTCTTAATCGATTACAGAAATCCACCCTCTCAGTCTTACTAGTCTATCTTGCAAACTTAACTCTTAAGCTTGTTTTTGGCAATCCATATGTCAATCCCTTTGGCAAATTACTCAAATATTCTCTTATCGATGGATTTGAAATACTAGATATATTGCGGATATCTCCTCCTAAATATCTATTGACCATATATAATTAGTCAGGCATAGAAATGATTCCTTATCCAAACTTTGTTACTTATCTGTAGGATGAGAAATCAAAACCAGGCACCTTTGAGGCTGTATGTCTAACATTAATTCGAAAGTATCTTCCCCACCAAATTAAGGATGGAGTGTTAACATCAATAGAAATTTCATATTTATAGCCTTACGGAATAATTATATTGATTTCTCTATCTTCTTCTATTCTAACATTTGGTCTTGATAAATTGAGATCCTAGTAGTATCTATCCCGTATGGTCATTTAAGTAATAACCTTCTTAGCATCCTCCTAGCTCTCAATATCCAGATTGCCACTCCTATCATAAAGACCATATACACCATCTTTCTTTCCACTCTTTAATTTTGGATATGAAACTTAATCATCGTAATCATCAGGCAAATAATATTCCTGCATAATCGTTTCTAAGTAGTTTGGTTCCACTCCTCCTAATCGTATTTTTGCCCATGGAAAGGTTGCCATTGTTGTAAACCATTAAATTCCTCCTTAAAATGGAAAATGAGTTAACAAAATGGCATTAAATGAATAATCTTGAATTAATGTGTTATCTCTAATCCTTTCACTCTCTAAATGCTTACGTATTTCGAATTCATCCAAACCAATTTTATCAGTGGGTATTACCATAACAGTCACATCTCCTCCTAAAGCTGATTGCAATGCATCGCCAATTACTTTGGAATCCAGCGTAAGGGATGCTCCTGCAAATAGAATGAATGACAGGGCAAGTGAATACATGAATGTAGTTTTCCAATTTCTGCTTGCATGACCTGATAAATTCTTAAAAATTATCTATTTAAGATTTCTATCGAATTTACAAATCCATAAAATACAATACAAAATGGCTCTTTCTAATGGCCCTTAAAGCAAGTTGACTAATATCATGAATCCTATGATCATGATAATAAAGATGACGTTGATAATATTCAAGGCCAAGGTCACATTATTAAAAATGAATGCCATCGGTATTAAGTAATAACTAACAAAACCAATGGCAACTAAAAGCAAAGAACAAAAAGTCTAAGTAAGAGATATACCCATTTTCTCAAGTTTCACTACATTAACCATCACTTCTTGAATTGTTCTATGATACAAATCTAAAGAGTCTCGCAATGTCTTCGATAAAGCTCTCTAGATAGGAAATATATTGCTAATGATAGGTATGAATATTCCTAAACTCACAGCTAGATATAACGCTGGATCTGCAATCACATAATTGGAAACCATGTCAGTAGTCTCAAATATTAACATAGATACCAAAGAGTTAAGAATGTAACAAGTAATTAAGGCTAATAATAAGCCTGGTACTAATAATATAGAATATAGATTACTAACTTGCAAATGTCAATGCTTAGAATAGTAATAATACAATTAACCATGATTTTCTGAACCCTAAGGCTCTCAACATACCAAATTCATAAGTCTTCTCATCTACATCACCTATCATCAATGAATAAATCAATAGAATAGATAGCATTAATAAAATCATTGTGGCAGCTGCTATGAGATTATCAATGAAATTTTTCAATATAAAGTAATTTGAAACAGCAGTTGCTAAGGTTGAAGATGCTGAAACAGGGTAATCAAACCCAGTTTTTGTAAAAAATTAATTGGTGACATCTATGATACCTTATTTGATGGTATTTTTGTCTTAGTAAACTTGCAATCTATTTTTTAATATAAGATTCTAAGCTAATGAGTAATCTGGCAAATAGATCCTTTGAGAGGCATTCCAAACAACTGATTTGACAAAATCTATTGGTATCAATTCTGCAACAGCTCCAATTGTGGTATCATCATTCAATCTTTTGTCAATGACCACTTCTTCAAATTTGGTCAGGAGTCCTTCCACCAAGATATTGGTTGCATTTTGTTAATCCATCAACAAAGCATTGAATCCATCTTGCCATTTTCCTCTGGGTGATTCGATCTTTTCGGTGACAATGACGTCAAAAGTGAAATTAGCACTTTATGCTACCAGACTGGATATGGCCATTTCAATTTCATAAACGGTAACACTTTCGTTTAATTTATAAGCAAATCTTTCTAAGGTTCTGGCATCTTCACTTAGATTTCTTTAGTATTCGATATCAATAATATCTAACAATAATTTCTTTTCATCCTAAGGAAAATCCTGACCGTTAATATATTCTTCGATGTATTCTTTGGATAAATTTTTCAACTCTTAGTTGGATTCCAACAAATCAGCTAGAGCCACAACTTCTTCTGCTCCTTGTTAGATTTCTTCTCTTTAAATAATCTTATTTTGAAAATCATCTCCGAATATTCTTCTTAAAGGTTTATTAATAGTCGAATCGATTAATTAATAAAAAAAGTCTTCACTTCCTCCTTTTGTGTTTCCATCTAACAATGAGATCAATTCATCCACATCTATATTCACCTACAATACATCACCAACACTGGCATTCAATCCTCTGAGAGTGGAAGCTGAGACCTGGACTTGATTTGCAGTTAAGTAATTTTGAGTCGATCTGCGACCCAAACCTATGCTGATTTCTTGGGTTTGATTGAGTATGATGACAAAAGTTCTTAATTTCTGATTAATCTTCTCCACATGAGTATTATTGTTTATGAGATTACCTGTCAATAACCATCTTGGCGATGATCCGAAGATGCCATCAGTCTCATTGAAATACTCGTTAATTTCGGTGGTGTTGATAAATGTGGAAGAGGATTCGTAAGTGATCGATTTGTTAAATGAAGACATGGGAGTGAATAGTAAGTCGCTGTCTCCCGATTGAGTCTCAGCCAATTGAATAAATATTAAGGGAGAGAGTTGAACTGCACTTTCGAGCAAAGCCAAGAAGGTTACTACCAAATAGATCGTAAACAATCCGATCTTAAATGATCTTGGTCTCTTGGTGATGTCAGATATTATGTACCGCACTATTATCCATATGGTTTTCGTTTTGCTGTGTTTCACCAATACATTTTATTTTTCCTCCGAATCTTCAATCAATGGAGAATGCAACATTATATAATTTTGTATATGAAATATTACATAAACAAATCCTCAAATTATACGCAGATCACCAGATTTACAACCAAAAATTGAAATTTGTTTTGTTGCCTAAATAAACCTTGTGCAAATTTGGGCAGGCACCACCGACAGTCTATCCAAAAAGGGCAGTCGATACTCAAAAACGTTTATGTCTGTGATGACAATCTACAAAATTATAATTAATTCCATACCAAAGTATTTATGGCAGATTTCCTGATTTCCATATATTCGATGTTTCCCTTGATTTGCAGCGATTGCAACAAGAACCCATTGATTGAATAAGCCACAATCCGCTCATCATGGGAACTAAACAACACACAAGGTAAGGGAGAATAACTCAATTTTAAGTAGAAGATAGGCAACCCCTTCGGATGATTGATGAATCTATAGAGAGTGCGATTGTACAAATTATATAAGAATATGGTTCCATCCTAAGTCCCAACACCAAAGATGGTTAGCTATTCTGAAATTTCTATTGAATTTATTTGCGAAGTTGTGTCATAGATGACGTACTTACCCTTAAGCAACTCCTCCTATTTTATGTCCTACTTACCTTACAGCAATTTATTGTAATAGTACACAAAACCCTTATTAGTTCCCAGTATCACGATATTCTGTTGCTTGTTAGCTGCTAGAACTGTGACCGTACAATGATTGTTGATAATCTCACTTTCCAATTCAATCACTCCCTACAACTTCAAATTATCTAAACTATAGTATGTAAGTGTTCCATTGTTATTTCCACCAAACAATACTATTGACTATTCAATCAATACTAAAATGGGTGATTGTACATATTTGATCATTGCATCAAAATTAATCTTTGGCAATTACACCTATTTCTCCTATTGAAACTGATACTAATTTTTAACAATCTACCATTAAATTAATGTAAAGTCCTCTTGGACGCTCACCACTTTGCTCTTATTACAAATCAAGTAGATCAATTTGCTTTATGACTTTTTATTCTTTACTGTCTGCCACTAAGTCTTATCTACTATCTAGTTCTTTTGAGCATGTGGTTTATAGAAGATCTACTCTGGTGTTTATCCAAAGTGGGCTATTTGCGTTTCCATCGCTAATTCATTGATTTCTATGCTATTTTCATCGAAGTTTGAGTAAGTCAATGGATAGAATACGTTGAATGAATCTACGGCAGCACTTCCTTGTTGTTTGTATCCCCAAATCAAATCAATCCATTCATTTAACTTTATTGCATACTCACTCTCCAATGCTATCATATTTTGAGCAACAAAATAAAAAGCATTCTTGTTAGAGTAGAATGGTAATAGTACATTGTTTACTATTTGACTGCTTTACAACTTACCGAAATTATACCCATTGACATTTAAGAAGGCCTCAGGCAAATAAAAAAACTCAGGTGTTAACTCTCTTACATCAGCCATCTCATTATTGCAATCGATCCATGATTTCATTATTGATCTAAACAGTCGATCTGGAATATCAAACTTACCATCTTGTATAGATATGGCTGCTTCTGTAAATGGACTCAATCTGATCAAGTACTAAGACACCAATGCTTAACTAGAATAATGTGTTCCATAATAAAACTATTCATTTTCAAATCTCTTAATAAATTAGTCTAATCTCTGCTCAGTTCCACAAGCTCCTATGGGAAGAGAAAGGTCTCTGTAATTAATCTCATTCTGTATTGATGCAATATCATTGTCATCAAAATCTGAAGCATTTCCCTTCAAAACCCATGGAAACACTGGATATCTGGTTAAATCAATGTAGGATCGACAAGATAGAAAATTCAAATACATTAAATACTTGAAATTACTAGCTTTATTGAAATCGCATTGTTTCGGTTGTATTTTCAACTTCTCAATTATCTGTTCCTTTAATCCCTGGTCCTAAAATATCAAGTACAATGATTCTCCATCCTTGAAGATGATTTCAATGGCATTTCTATTCCTGATATATATTCTTTCATGCAGCCATCTAATCTGATTCCTCTTCCACGATTTCTTGAATGGCTTGGTGATTTGGTATCGTGTGGGGCAACAAGGTAATGTGATTCGCTTATTAAGAGTACGAGTAATAGGAGAATGTTATCTTGTCCTCTCCTATTGTGACACCTCCTTGTTTTAAGTACAAACTCTTTAGCCAAAAGCATTTGTACTGCTACTTCTTTTCCAGAGGCACTTAAGCATCATTCTCAAATTCAGGATTCTTTTTAAACTTTATTTTTAATATTGGACGAGAGTAACATTTATTGATGTATTTCTCAATTTTATTGATGTAATAAGGATTCTCATGGAATTGGTAATCATGATCAATTTATTCATCCACTTGAAATTTGCATTCCTATGGTCTATATACAGTAATTCGTAAATTGTGCCAAAGCTTACACCACCTTTCTCTGATTTTTCTGGTTTTATTCATCAATTTGTAAACAGACACTTCCATCTATGCTGCAGCCTGATTGATTTCATCTGTTAATTTAGATAATTCTTCTGATTGATTCATCTTGATCTATTGCTGTTCCTGAGTCCATTTAATCAACAACTGTTCTTGGATAACTTAAAAATCTTCTTAAAATTTAATCGAATCAAATACTTGCACCTATTGTTCTGCGAGTGATTGAAGAATTAGCTCATTTTGAGTAAGGAATTATTCAATACTCTCCTTTACCTATTCGTCCTAACTCTATGATTGAATTGCTTTGAGTAAATCAATTATTTGGATCATAAAGCTTTAACTCGCTTCTGTGCGTTGAGATTAAGTCTATTAAAAGAGTTTGGTAAAATAGAGTAACCATTCTTTCAACTTATCAAGAGGAAAACTTAAGTTGATAATCTTTTGAATGGCAAAGGGCAGTTCTTTTTGTTCAACCATTTTGGATAGTTCTTACTCATTTTCTAAAGAGATTACATGTCTCATCAGTTTAGTTAAGAACACTTCAAAGTTTTTGAATGATTGAACTGAGAAATATATCTGGAACATTATCTGTTAGACTTGATATATTTGTTCCTCATTGAACTATTCTATTGCTTCAGTGACTACAGTGATGAGTGCTGACACATCCTTTCTAATTTGAAAATGAATCAAAGTTTAAAACATGAATCGAGGATTCTATTTTAGAAGATAAACAAAAATCTCTAAGAGTCTCTCATTTGATTCAAACTTCAATTGATCCAAAAACCATATTGAATATTGTTAGAGTATGAGTTGTTATTATTCAATCGTAATCTTCTTCACATAATTAAGATAGTATTCGAGGATATTTTATTACTTGGTTTAAGAGTATAAGTGCTAAAGAATTTCAACACTTAAGCAATTAATCTTCAGTAATTAGGTCAACACATTCAACAAGTTATCAAAGTTATTGGTTACACAAATTGCCTTAGAAATGTAGGAGATCATCCCTTAACTTAAGAGATCATTAGTTCCATAAAGCATTTGTCCCAATAATGTGATAGTTGCCACCAAGCAATCCATACTATCAGTTTGCAAGAGAAGAAGGATGTCATTTAGGATCTTATTTTGAATGTTATGATCTCTAAAAACAATAAAGTTGTCTTAGTCATCTCTGAATAAGTCAGAAACCAATCTAGTTGCACTTTGAACGGCTTTAATTTTAAGTTCAATTGTTGATGCTTCAGCTACTTTTAAGAAGAGTTTGAATTGTTCTTTCAAAGTATTAAAGTTATATTGACAGGAGTAGATCATAATTTATAGAATTTGATCTTGGATTTGGCTTTTCTAATTGACACTCACCAATAATTGAGCCAGATACTAGATTGAGGTGACTTTTAAGTATTGCTGATGATCATTGATGTAGAATTATTGTAACAAGATGCAGTATTGCTATTAATCGGTGACTCGTTTAATGAAATTGACATCAATAATTAAAAGCAAGAGCTGATTCAATATGTCTTAATCCTATACTTACTGTTTGATTTATAAAATTTAACTGAGATTAGGGATGTCTACCTTGATAATTTAGGCTATCTATTGGAATAGTTTCATATCAGTAATTTGATTTTTGTTGATTTGACTATCCTGCAAAAGAGTGTAGAGTAGGATTTCGAACAAATCATCAATTTTAGAGTGATCATAATATTGAATTAGATTGAAAAGTGGAATTAATATTTTAATACCACCATATTCTACAAAATCATACTTCTGCAAAGAGGATGTCATTTTGGTGTTTCCTTAGAGTTCATAAACTACATTCTGGATTCGGTCTTTGACTCTTTAGGTTTGGTGAGGATCGTACAATGGGTAGATTTGAATAAAAGGGGGATTTCAGATGGAGATCCACGACTTCACTATAAACGGAGATCTCCTTGACTTTGCACTTAATGTGCTAGAAGTAGAGGAGCTCAAGATTCTGATTCCTGATTTTGGGATACTCAATCTGCAAAGTGTTTTTTTTCTGATTAATTGAATATATAAACTTTGGTCTGGAATATAGTTTTCCACATTCATGTGAAATAATTAGTTCGTTCCACCCATCCATGATGACGTCCCCCAACTTATTATTGGAAGAGTAATCCTCCACAATAACCTTCTCTAGAGTGAATCTCTGGTACACATTCTTATAGAATACTACCCCAGCCATTATATAACAATGAACTCCATTGGCGATTATTCTTTTGCCATCGACATGAGAGGATGAAAATTAGAAGAGCGTTCCATCTCCTTGAGGATTGAATGTTAAACAGATTGAGTATTACTTTTCGAAATGCCATTAAGATTGATGGATGAGTTTTATTCCTCCATTGTTGATGACGAATTGATCTTCGTTCTTCTCTTACTTCAGATACTCATACACACCCTAGATGCACTCACTCATAGTTTGAGGGTTGTATGTACTTTTGGCATATTCATCGGATAAATCATGAAAGTACTTTAACATGAGTATATATTAATCATAGAAATTGTTAAATAGTCTTCCGAATTGATCTTTTTTTCATTACATTTTCAGCATCCTTCTAACTAATCTTGGCCAGGAGATCAACTCTGGTTAGGTTAGCCACGTCATCTAGATTTCCATCATGGGAGACTTGCACTGATTGCAATCTGTCCTTCATTTTCACCTCCTCATTCTTCTTCTTCGTGATATTGCTCTCCTCCTCCTCTAATTGATCCAAATCTCTTATTGGAATCATGGGAGCCTCCTAATTTCTGATGTTATTCCAATCAATCCCATCGAAGAATTTATGAGATTTCACTTCATCAGCACCCTTCTCTCCGAGTCTCATATGGTATTATGGTTCCAATAATGAATTGATTAATTCGTAAGCATCCTAACTCATCATGTCTTCTCCACTGCCTATCTCTGGCCATTCTATAAATCTATTAATTATATTCTCGAACACTTTCGGAATGCTAGAATCATTAAATGGTGGAATTCCTACTAAAAATTCATAGGCTATCACTCCAAATGCCCACCAATCTATTGAAAAGTTAGATATGGACAATCCACAAATAACCTCAGGGGGAATGTAATCGGGAGTTCCAATTATTCTATTCTATCTTTTCCCTGATTGCGTTCGCTCCTAAATACTGGTCTTGCTAGTAGTCTTTTGTAAATGAAATTCAATATTGCATTTTGTTTTGATGTTTCTCTTCGAAACGTTCATTGGTAAGGCTTCAGGGTCAATTGAACAATTAATTCCATCCTTGCCTTCCCTTATCTTCTACACTAAGGCAATTTCAGACAAACCAAAATCGGCTAATTTTAGATGACCCTGTGCATCTAATAGGATATTTTGTGGTTTCAAATCTCTATGAATTATACCTTTCTTGTGTAATGATTCAATCGCCAATAGCAATTCAGCCAGATAAAATTTAGCCACTGATTCAGAAATACGTCCATATTGAAACAGCACTTGGCTAAAATCCCCCCCCATCATATATTCTAATAGGAACAACAGACAATTGTCTTAAATAAAGGAATAATAGGCTTTGACTACAAAATCACCCTCTAAAATTTCAAAGACGTTTTTTTCAGCTCTCAAATTCTAAATTTCATTCATATTCTTATTTCTACAATCTATCACTTTCATTGCATAATAATCCTTAGTCTTCTTCTTAGAGACCAACCACACTGCCCCAAATGCTCCAACACCCAAAACCTGGATAAATTCAAAATCCTGAAGAGTTACATTCAATCTAACATATTTAATAATATTATGGTTTACAATTGTTTGTTCTTGACTAATTTGGTAGTTTTGAAATCTCCATCACTGTAATACCCCTTAACTTTCTATTCCTTCTCATTATCGAAATCACACTTATCAACCATGTTAATTAAATTTTAATTTAAATCTTTAAATGAAATTACATTGCTTTTGGATTGTTAAACAAAATCTTCCATTTCAAAAGATTCCTCTAGTGATTTCTTAGTGATATTCTTTTTGTCTTCCTTATCTGATACTTCTTCTGATTCTGATTCACTGCTGCTTGCTCCACCATCCTCAGATTCACTCAAGCACTTTGAGAAAATACAATCTTTTCCTACACCTTCAGTAAACGTCTTGGATTACACTTAGTGAGTGTTTTCAAAATTGGATATGATATTTTACTTATTCAACCATTTGGATCCAGTCGAACTATTTTTGAACATTTCAAAATGTTCTTGTAAAGAATTACCCAAAGAAGTTCTGCGATTTCCAGTTTCAACTTTGGAGATCTTCATACGGAGTGGAGAAGTGAGGTTTTCAAGCTTTTCTTCTTCGGATATGAGTTTTTGTAATCTCGAAATTTTTTATGTACATTAAACCTTTTCCTAAAATTATAAAATATTTTTCAATTTTACTTCAATTAGCTTCAAAGTCATTTTTATTAGATCTTGTACTTCTTTTTGGAGTGTATGTTTGATGTTGAACAATTCCACCTGTATTTTTAGATCAAATTAAATTGACTGAGTGCCATGATGGGTTTTAAGAGTTTCTTCAGTATATTTAGTAATTATGGAGAGAGAGTTTAACTGTAATCTCAAATCTTTTAAAATTTCTGTATTATCACTAATTTATAAACACAACGTTGTACTCAAGAGAGAAGGGACTCCCCATTCCATTCGATAATGGAGAACTTATTTATTTGATTTCCGGAGAAGGAGAATGCGCAAACTTAACTCCTTGTTTCTACTACTCTATTTTCTTTGACAACTTGATCTGTTGTTTCATTATTCGTTCCAGATCCTCCCCCGTAATATTCTCTTCCACAACCTAAATCACAGATTTTTACTCAGGTTCATCGGGCTCATCATCTGCCAAGCTTGTTCCCAAATTCGCAAACCTCGACTTCACAGTACACTACCATTATACACGTTTACACTCACCTTGTTTGTTCTTGAACCCGTATCCTCACTTGCACAATCTTCTGGTTGATTCAATTTCAACGGAGCACTGTTACGCATCCCTCGATTCTCGTTGTTTGTGTACCTAGCCTGTTTGGACTTGTGAATTTGGTATTTTGTATTTAATGTGCGAAAGCAGTTTTGTGCCAACTCGGCCAACTTCTAAATTTACACATCCAATTAATGCAATTGCTTTCTAGCTTCAAAGATTTGTTAACAATTAACCAAATGATTCTCAATCAATGTAGCATCCGTCTACACTTGTAATTGTACACTCTTACTTTTTTTTCGCAGATTCTACACATTACTTATAGATCTTCATTACTCTGGACCTCAGCAATCATAATTATATATAAATATTATAAACTCAACTATTCTAGACTACCACCTAAACCACCTCCTCAGACTCCACAACTTTCCCACAAACATATGTCTGTTACACCCATTTAATTAAATGTAAATTATACTTCCTTAGTATTTTGTTCTTACTAATGATTAAATTTGGATCCTAATTTAATTCCCTTCTCTCTAATACACACACACAAACTTTTATTTTACTTATAAGTTAATATATTAGTTAATGAATGTTTGATATGTATTAATTAATGTTTTCTGACCTTTTTTGTTTTATTTCAAATATTAGTATTTCCATATTCTTTACTATATAATATTATCATATGCAAAATTGTCAAATTTATATGACATGTTTTATAATTGAAAATAACGAAATCATCCAAACCTCATTCATTCCACAATAGATTTTTGTAGAGTTTCCAAGTTAAAAACACAAGCCATAACTAGGTTATTAATTGATAAATAAAAAAATATAATTTTACTCAGCCAATTATCCCATAACCATTATTACCTTAATAATAAATTCATTATTGTTCTTAACTCTTAGTCTAAACGATCTCCCTTTTTGAGTTCATAATCTAAATTACCATAAGGAATGAAGAACAAAATTTTTCAATCTATTGATTACTATCTAAGGAACATATGTAATAATAATTTTAATTAAAATACTTAATAATTACTTTAAACTTATATTAAATACCATATTAATAACTGATTATATCTATAAATATATTAATTGATATATTTTCATTTAATATTATGCTCAATTGAAGAATTCAAGCATAAACTCCTTTTTATTTATGCTCAAATTATTATATTGGTATTCATCACCCAAATAAGAGAAACTATGATATAAGTTCTTTAATAACAAAATAGTGACATTAATTACGATATTGTTACTTCAAAATTTCTATCTTTTGAGAATAATGAATCCTTGGTGTTTGGATTAAAGTCAGTGCTTAAAATGCACTTAGAGTGTTAATTCATGAATAATCAATTCCTACTCTAATTAGTTGGAGCCAATCTCATCAATCAATTTAAATTTATTTGATTTCTCTTAGAGGTTGCTTTTTATGAAGAGAAAATAATTCCTATTGCATAGTATTAATTTAATAACTTTTTTAATGAAAATTAATCATCTCAATACTGAAATTTGTAATCATTGAATTTTATCATTACAAGAGGATAAATTGGACCTTGAGAATTATGGTCATTCTGTTCGATCTCTATTAAAAGTGACTGAATAAGACCAAGAAATAAATTTGTATGAGAATTAGAACTCAAGGACACATAGACAAGTTGATCTTGCGAGCATAATCATTGAATCAAAAAATAAGTATTTCCAATTGCTTACTTAGATTGAGCACAACGAGTGCACGATAATAAAGAATGAGAGCAGTTAGTTTTCAAACTAATAAACCCATGCTTAATTATAAGGAGGACAGCCCAATCTAATCAGAAAGTCACAACTCTATCGAAAACTTTGGTTTCAGTAATAAAATTTGGAAAACCAAGGCTTTGGAGATACTTATGATTACATTGCGATTTATTAGTTTTATAACAAAATCAAATTTCGCAACAAGCTTTAAATTAATTAAGAAGAATGTATTTGACATAATAGGGGACGTTTCAGCAGATTTTGAATTCTATCAGCTGCGCAACTTCTTTAAGTACGAAGTAAAAATAGTGATAAATTTGTTTATTTTCTAGAAACCAACAGGATTCCAGAAATTGATATATTTTTTGAGCCAGAGGATTTTAGTCCCAATCAGAAAAACTAAACTCTTAAAAATCTATTTTGGGAATTAGAGACTGATTTTGAGACCGGAATCACTGGCATCTATTTGGTGGAATATATACATATTGACCATTTTGAATATTAACGTGCTTTATGTATCAGCCAAAATAGCTTTTAAATTTGACGATAGTACGAATGATGATCTTCAATAAGCAAGATAGATCATTTTTGATGTCTTACCATCATACTCATTTATGCTTGAGATACTATTGAAATTCAACACATGCTATTACAATAAGGGAGCAGTCATAGAGAATAGATATTTGATAGCTAAGAACTATTTTCGATCATGTAAAATTGACAATATACAATTAGCATTTTTGTTTGATATCTTTGTGATAATCCCATATTTTGTAAGTTTAAGATTTGATTTAGAATACTTGGATTTGGTGATTATATTAAAGGTGTTTCAAATTAAAAAGTTCTCAAGAACGTTATTCGACAGATTAGAATTAACAGCAATTTAGATAGTTATCTTCGATTTAATTAAATTGGTTTACACGATATTGGCAGCTGCTCATTTTTCAGCTTGTCTTTGGTTTTTAGTAGGATCGACAGGAGATCCAAGTGGGAATTCTTGGATTAAAGTACAGAATATAGAAGATGAATATTGGTTTAACTAATATTTGCATTCATTTTATTGGAGCATAATAACAATGACGACAATAGGATACGGCGATATCACTCCATAGAACTTGAGGGAGAGAGTATTTGCTGTGGGAATGGCATTGTCAGCAGTAGGAGTATTTGGATATTCAATAGGGAATATAAACACGATATATGCAGAGTGGAATAGGAGAAGTTTTTAAGTGAGGACTGATATGAATAATTTAAAGAAATTTATTCGCATTAAGGGAATCAACAAACACTTAGCTGAGAAGATTAGGAAATACTTTGAGTATTTATGGAGTGATCAGATGGAGGATAATGATAGGGAAGTGTACAAATTTAGTGATTTGATTCCGAGACAATTGGCAGAGGAAATGAAGATTGATACAAATATGAAATTGATATCGAAGATAAATTTCCTCACTCAGAATTTCAGTGAATAGTTCTTGATTTCTCTCTCCAAAACCATGGTGGAAGAGAAGTTCGTTCCTGAATCTACAATATATGAGGTAAAATATATATTTGAAAAGGCAGCAATATGATCCAAGTGAGTATCTCTATATTCTATCTAATGGGAGTCTTTCCTTTTACATTACTATGAACAACAAATAGTAAACTGTTAAAGTCCTTGAGACAGTAAGGTAGGAAGGCATTCCTTTTGGTGTATTGGAATTCTTTCAATCTTAAGCCTACTAGATGTCATGCAAATCAAATCAGTTCTCTTATGTCTTAAAAATAGACAGATCTCAATTTTTAGATATTCTCCAACAACATCAAAATGATTATGTAGAAATCTCGATTGTATTATTACTAGTTTAAGTATTGTGAGTTAGTGCAATAAATCTCATTTATGAACAAACAGGAATTGATTGATGTTACATGCCGAGCTTGCAACAAGACAACTCATATCATCAAAGAGTGTCCGTAAGTACATAGTCTAATCTTAGAATGGTGTGTGGATATCCCAATAGAGCCAAAGTGTTGCTCAATTATAGAAGGAACATTCCATCTGACAGAGTGAAATACAGAAGGAAGATAGAGAGAAAGATCTCCACAAGAAAGGAATCTCTAGACATAAGGAATAGTATCTATTTATACATGTGCAAAACTCAGATGATCTCCCAAGAAATAGATGACCAGCGTTGTCTATTTGATAGCAGAGGTAGTCAACAATTGATATCAATAACAAGGAGCAAGTTTTGCTGATAGTGCCAATGATGAGATTATAGAAAATTAACAAGAAGTCGATAAGGAAGTGCTTAACAGTACACTATTGGCCTTAGATCGAAACTCCAGGTTATCAAAATAATATGGAAAACGTAAATTGACATTCCAAGCATGTACTGACGCTTTGAAGGATGAGGAGATTGTATGTTTATTTGTTTAAGTAAATAGAGAGATAGAATTTTAGATGTTATCAGTAAGATTTAAAGAGCTGAGAGACAAAGTATACGTTAAAACAATGTCTCAAATGTTCAATAAATGTAATTGAATACGAGATAGCAGAATCATCAAAACACGGTGTTGAGTAATAAGAGTAATCAGGATTCAGATAAGAAAACAAGTGAGCAAATGAGAGATTAATAGAGAAGACAAACAAAGATAGTAGTTACGCCATTTATAAAAGTGAATGACAATTCGATGGAGTATCTATATCTGAATAAGAATTTGGAAGAGGAACAGGGTAAGAAGATGGGATAATATTTGGAGATTTTCGAAGGATTTGACAAGGTAAAGAACTTTGAATATTATTTGAAACATAATAATATTAGGGAAATAGCTCGATAATTTAAGGGTTAAATAAAAAATTAAAGAATCAGAAATTAAAATAAATTAGAAACAATAAAATTTATTTGAATATATTTATATATTTTATTTCATTGAATAATCAATCCTTGGCTGCTCTGTAGATTTTATTTGCAGCATCTTCGAGTAATCCTAACAATGATTCTTGAGATTCTTCTCTTAGTTTCTTCTCCTCTTCTATTTCACTCTTCACTCTCGACACTAGATCTTTGAGCATCTCAAAGATGGCTGTTTCTGATTCCTCTCTAATGAAATGCTATGATCAAGATGTACCTCAATTTCTTTTGATTTCCCAAACCTTCATTAAGACGACGAATTTCATCTCCTGCTCTCCTCAAAGTTCCATTGTCACTGTCCTCTCTATCTTACCCTTCTGTTTTCACCATGTCATACAATTTTGGTAGATCGTTCTCTAGAGATGTAGTAATGTTCTCTGTCTATTCTTATCTGATCTTGCCTTCAGTCTGGATATCGGATTTCAAGTATACGACCTATTATATTGAGATTTATGGGAAAACCTTCTCATCCAAATATCCTTGCAATTTTAGATTTCCATCTCTTCTCAATGCTATTTCCTATTCCAACTTGGTTGTGATGCGACTCTCAAATGCTGCAACCTCTCTTACTCTTTGTTCAAATTGAGTTTCGAAGGCATTGTTTTCTTCCTCAATTTGCTTTTACAAACGAACTATCTCGTCCTTTAGTGAATGCTAAATGAGTCATATATTCATCTACTTACAAGCTTTCTGTTGTAAGATGTGATTGTGTCTTGAGTTCTCTCCTCTACGGCTGTGATCCTGCCGCAAATCGTATCTATTCTATGAGCCTTGGATTGATCATGTTGTAAGGGAATCGAATTCAATTTCTCCTGAATCTTATGGAAGCGTTCATTGAAAGGTGTATTGGGATTCATTTTAATAACAAATTTATTTAAAAATAATATTTAATCAAATATGGATCAAATAGAGGAAGAGCGCAAGATAATCCAAATAGAAATCAAATACACCACTGAAATCCACAAAAATGTGCCCATCGATCTCAATGGAACTGTACTCAAGTTCCAGGAGACACTCCAGGAACTGCTCAAGGTCCCCATTGAGAAATAGAAGATTATGATCAAGGGATCCCTCTTGAAAAAGGACCAGGACATTTCAAAATTGAATCTCAAGAATGTAGACAGACCTTTATATCTTAGGGACAACAAATCATGGTCATGGGAGCACGGGAAGAGCATCTTTTAAATTTGAAATAGGGCAAGAAAATTTTTGAAGAGGATCTCACTCCAGAATAGAAGGCCATTCTATTGAAGGAGAAAGCAGGGGTATGTCCTTCAATCTCCACTTTAATAGATTGTTCTACCAATAGGATTGGTCAATTTGGGAAATACTTGCTATATGAATGCCTCAATTTAAATTTTGAGAAGAGTCAACGAGTTGAATGAATACGTCAAGAGCAACACAAAGCAAGGACAGGGATCAAGTGTCAAGTTTTTTAATGCATTAAAGGATGTCTTCCAAAAACTTGAACTCAAGGGCGAACCATTTAAGCCTTAGAATTTTCTGGCCGTAATCCATCTCCCAAATATGTCTAGGTTTTCTTCTAGTTGTATCCAGAGTTCGCTTAAAGGGACAACCAAATGCAACTCAAGCAACAAGACGCTGACGAATGCTTTTAAAACATCCTTTAGACCATTTAACCATTGACCGCCTACGAGAATGAAGAGGGAAAGGTAAAAAACCTAATCCAAGAACTCTTTGAAATAGAACTGGAATCAACAATTGAGAATCAAGACATACCAGATGAACCAAAGAAGGTGGCTATCGAGAAGGGAAGAAAGTTAATGTGTATTATTGACAATCAGAGCAAACCAGTCAACACATTGGTGGAAGGTATTACAGTGAGTTTGGAAGAGCAGATGGAGAAGATCTCTGAGACTGATCAATAGACCCATATCTATAAGAAAACACAAAGGATTAGTAAATTGGTAAGATATTTTATAATATTCTTAAAGCCTAGTTATTTATTATGCCAGATGGTTAGATTTTATTGGAAACAAGGAGTATAGGGCAAGGAGGGAGTGAAGGCCAAAATTTTGAGAAATGTGGCATTCCCAAAGATTTTAGAGTTATATGATTTCTGCACTCCAGAATTACAACAAGTATTGCAAGCTGGAAGAGATTATGAAAAAAAGAAACTGTTGGAGATGGCTGCCAAGGAAACAGATGAGTTGGAACAATTCAAAAAGGATTTAGAGGCATCTGGTAAGATGGTGCCTGATGATACCAGAGAAATCTACAAGCAATTTAAGGCCAAAAAATTACAAGAGGAAATCAAGAATCATGATGATTAGTTGTATAGAAAACATGGATATGGATTGGATACAGGAAATTACGAGTTGATTGGAGTTTTAAGTATATAATTGTATAATTTGTAGCTCATACTGGAAGAGAGGCTGACTCTGGACATTATATGGCTTGGGTGCATCATTCAGGAGATGATTGGATATGGTATGATGATGACAAGACTGCAGAGAGGAAAATTGAAAATATTTTGGATTTGAGAGGAGGTGGAGATTGGCATATGGGTTATTATCTGCTGTATAGAAAATTAGAAATTGAGTGATATTATAAAAATGAATAATTATCATTATTTATTCAAGTTCATTATTGTGGGAGAATCAAGTACTTGTCTGATTTGACTTAGATGTTGGAAAGAGTTGTTTATTGTTACAATACACAGAAGGCAGATTCCAGGTTGGGTATGATGCTACCATTGGTGTTGAATATGGATCTAAGGAAATAATCTATGATGATAAACTCATCAAGTTGCAGCTTTGGGATACGGTATAATTTAATTATATTCAGGCAGGCTAAGAATCCTTTCGCTCTATAACTAGAGCATATTACAGAGGGTATTTAAGTGCGATTAATATGTTTAGATCAATAGGGTGTTTTTTGGTTTATGACATTACGAGGAGGATAACATTCGACAGAATCTAAGCATGGGTTAAGGATGTGAGACAAGACACTAATAACAGAATTGAGTTCTTGTTGGTGGGCAACAAATGCGATTTAAAAGATCGAAAAGTTAGTTACGATGAAGGTCGACAATTGTCAATCTAATTGGGATGTGAATTCCAGGAGACATCTGCCAAAACTGGAGAAAATGTGGAATTTATATTTGAATAACTGACCAAGAAAATATATGAGAATATCAAGACAAACAAAATTGACCCTCATGATCCTAATCATGGAATCAAAATAGGAAGGATAGGAGAAAACGAAAAGATTACAGAAATTCCAAAATAGAAGCAGAAAAGTATTTGTTGCTGAACATATTTACAATTCAATAATGTCATAATTAATTAATATCTAAATTCAATTCTTTTTCCTTTATTTAATTGGACTTTAACTAGTTTTTCTCTTTTTTGGTCTTTTCATACAATAAAATGACATACATTTCAACTCCTTTCTACTTGAGCATACCGTACTTTTTAGCTAGTGGTATTTCTTCAAAGTTCTCCTCAAAAACTGAATCTTTCCAACAAACTGTCTCAGCGCATGAATTTTATCCACCATTTTAATTACCTGTTTCAGCAGTCTACTTCATATTCTAATTAATATCTTAAGGAGAATTATCATCACACACTTTGATATCAAAAGCCATTTGTGAAGCTTAGTATTTGGGCCTTATTGAATTGTAAGTACTCAACATCACACTCCCAGAAACCACGCTGGGCTACTGGGAATCTTGTCTTTTCAATTGGGAAGGTGGGATTAAAAATTGATTGTTGCTTAATCTATCTGATACAACTTGAAATTTACTATCTAATCAAATTGGATCCTTGTTTCTCAATTGATTTCTTCATCTCAGTCGATTAAGGAGGTTACAATTATTATTGAGTATTTGATCGTTATAAATTATCTATATTCTCATTATTACTCTGTGAGATCTTCATCTATTACTATTAATCCCAATCAAATATATTATCTAATTGGATTCCTTGATTTTCAGCAGCCTTTTCGAATTGATGATACACGAAATAATAATTAGGGTCACTGTTATATTGTAATTATTTCAGATATCTATAGACTTTAGTACAATCAACTTACTCTAGAATTTTAGCAAACTCAATTGGTACATCTTTGCACAATTCTCGAGGATCCATGTTCATTTTCATTTCACCGACTTTGACAGTTCTTTCTTCATCACTGACATTCTGCATATTTTGCCATGGAAGCTGCCTAGACTTCTGATAATTCAAGATTCCTTTACCCTTTCATGAAATACAATAACACATATATTAATGATTCGATATCATCCTTCCTACTTAATTCATGACCCTTATGTGCAGCAATCGATGCATACCTTGTAGTACCTATAAATGATGCATTGTCTCTGAAGGGTCTAACTCATAACAAATAGCAATTACAAAATATTTCCTTGAGCATCTCTATATATTTTGCTGATCCCAAAATCGACTACGTATATTTTAGATGATTCATCTTCAATTCCGAATAAAATATTTTCTGGTTTCAGATCTCTATGCACAACACCTTTGTTATGTATCCTCTCTAAAACATGCACAATTTGAATGCCCAACTGTATCGTGGTTTTAAAAGAAAACTTCTTCTTTGTCTTCATGAAATGGGATAGATCCTTCCCCAACAACTGCAGAATGATTACATTGTATTCATCCTACTGCCCATGCCACAACAATTTCGGTACCCCATCAGTTCCTTACAATCTTTCCAAGACTTAAACTTCCCTCTCTAATGAACGCACATCCTCATTCTCCTCTTTTTCTATTTTTATCGCCACATCAACATTTCTCTCTTTATCTTGTCCCAGAAGCACCACTCCAAATGACCCAGAAGATATCTTTTTTTATACTACATATATTCCATTAAATATAGATGCAGTTTGCATATTATTATATTGATAATTAATGATTTATAAATATCCATTATATTATTTACGATTTAACTACTGAATGTCAGAAATAATCCCTCATGTTTACCTGTCCTCAATTGTCTATGCCAAAGACTTATATTGGCTTAAAAAGCAAAAGATTTCAAATATTCTGATTATTGGACAATTGCCAAAATACTTCCCATTAAAGTTTTAATACAAATGCATCCTCATTGAAGATAAACCAGAAAATGATATCTCACAATATTTTGAAGAATGCATACAGTACATCGATCAAGTTGTTGCATAAAACAAAAATATTTTAGTTCATTGTTATGGAGGTTAAAGCAGATCGGTTAGCATTATTATAGCCTATGTTATGAGAAAATTATCTATTGATGCAGAAAAGGCTTTTAATTACGTCAAAGAAAGACACCCAAGAGCAGAACCTAACCAAGGGTTCTTGAAATAACTCAAAACTTTTAAATGATAATTCTTCATATTTAATACTCCATATAGATAGATTTTCATTTTTGGAAATCCTGCTTTAAAATATACAGGATTTAATCGAAATTTCTAAATTTATTACACTCATATACTTTAGAATTTAATTTTAAGATCCAATAAGAGCACGATTTTATTTTAAGTATGTTGATAAAATCTACTCCTTTAGTCTTTCTAATTCTGGAATGAATTAATTGTCCTATTGAATTTCTTCAGGAACGCCTATGTTATTCTTTTTAACTATTTTCGAAGAATACAACACATTTTTATTATTATTTGGTCCACTCTATTGCTTATTGAGTTTTGTTTGATCTATAAATGATATTTTCATTGGATTCTGCAATGACTGCTCTTTAAACACAAGAGGTGATGATTTAGCTTAATTTCCAGGGTTTGCCTTTGTAGTCTATGGTCTTTGATAATTTTAATTCTGTAACTTCTTTACTCCATTCCATTTCCTCATTTCTTGAGTTTCTTCATTAACAAATTTAATACATTGCTCTTTATAACTCTTGTTCGGAGCAATCAAATGAACTGGAGTTTTAACCTGCTTATGTTTATTGTTTTAAATAAAAGGTTAATTCTCCCTTTCTTCTGTAAACACTGCATCCTCTTCTATAATGATGTGTGGCTTGATTGATTCCTTGTTTTGATCATCCAATTAAGCAACTTAACGCACATCAGTAATTAACTTACCAGTTATAACTATATTGGAACTTGAATGCAAAGATTATGAATTTTTTTGATGGGTCCAAGTTGCAATCAAATTTTCAACCTTTTAGTTCTATGAACTTAAATTCAACTATAGAATGATGTTAACTCTTTACTTGTTTTTCACCAGAATATGATTGCCCATTGTTTTTCTATCTTTAATTGTCTATTGAAAATTTCAATGATCTCTAATAGGTTTGTGATCTTTCATTTGAAGGGTTTCTAGAACGAAAAGACTTCAAACCTAAAATGGATGCCTTCATTATTTCTAATTCCTAGAGTTAAGTTGATTGGCGCTAGGATAATAATAACATTTATTGTGGCTATAAAATTAAATTATAAAATTGCAATTATTTTATCCAAAGATTTGGACATCATTCCTTAGTGTCAGGTAAGCGTAGAAGTGATAATACAATTATTAATTTGAAAGCAATGTTATTACAAGATTATTTAAATTATTTTATATTTAAGTTGTACCTTCTTTATGGATTTACCTCCACTTTCCGAATTAGAGTTGTAAAATATTTATGCTTGGGTAAATTCTTAAATTTAAATTACAGTTAGACAAACTCCCACTCTCAAGGGCTAAGAAGAATATTCAAAGAGATTTTGCAGATGGAGCTATGGTAGCTGAAATTGTATACCATTACTTGCCCAAATTAGTTGAGAAGCATAATTACCCTCAAGCTCATAGTGTTTAACAAAAGTAATACAATTGGAGCACTCTCAATTTGAAAGTACATATAAATACAATCTGTTAGGTTTTCAAGAAACTTGGATTTCAATTATCTAAAAATGATATTGATAGTGTTATTGCTTGTTCACCAGAAGCTATTGAAAGAGTTTTGAAGTTTTTATAAATTAAGATTGAGAAATATTTGGAACAATAAAAAGAATTGGAGAAAAAGGCACTTGAATAATAAAAGCAACAGTAATATTAATAGCAACAAAAATAGTCAGTGTAGGAGGATCCCCTACAAAACCAAGATTTTGGATTCATCTTGGCTGAGAAGAATCAAGCAATTTCGGAGTTAAAAGAAACTGTCGAAATTTTATAATTGAAAGTTAAAAAACTTGAATAGCTCTTACAAATTAAGGATAATAAAATTTAAGGGTTAGTGAATCAATTGCAAGGCAAACAATGAATTCTTATTATTTTCAATTCTTTACAACATAATTTTTTTTAATTGATTGCAATTGCAAGAGTATATTATTTTATTTACATTATAAAATAGAAATATAAATGTCAAGTCAAAATGAAGAAGAAAGCGACGTCCAAGATGTTGACATCATCAGTAAATACACCAGTGATTACAATGGTGAACAATCAAGTCAACAACCCTATTAGGAATCACATGAATATGAAAGAGTTGCTGATGATATTAAATCTGATTACATATCACATCAAGAATCATTCTTTGCTAAATAACAACCTCCACTTTAGAATAATAATAATAATGCAGAAAACGAAGAATTTGTTAAATTATGTCTGAAGAAGGCATCTGCAATCAATGAGTAAATTATGATCCAAAGGAAACAGCTCAAAGATCAATTCAAAGAGTTTTAGAATGTATTCGTTTAACAATGACTTTAGACAATAAACGCTGCAAGAAGCAACCTTAAAGATTATGATATGCCTTATCAGACGGCTCATTTTCCTTTATATTTAAAGACCTAAGAAAAATTTGTGGTGTTGCCTGCCTAAAATCTAAATATTAGGAAAGGGACGGTTGAATCCTTCATTAAAACCAATTTGGAAAATGAGAATTCAGTTAAGAAAGCAGAGCAAGACAAAAGAGTGGCATTTAAGCAACGAAGACCATATTAGAGAAGAAAATTCGATTCTTGATTATAATGAGACACCATTTAATCGTATTTAGTCAATTCACTAGAACTTATATTGCTAATTGCAATCAATTATTTATTGTTTCTTCATGATTGAATAGAAGTTTTATGATATTCTTAATTTTTTGTTTAAGTTGGTGTTAATCATCCTTCAAATCCAATGTTGCTTTTCTTAATTACTTAACTTTGAAAGGTCTCTCCTTTTTATTGTATTAAATTTATTCATATATTTTGCAAATCTTGCTCTTATTGTTTTAATTTCCGTTTAATAAATTTTCAATATTTAGCATCTTTTGTTAAAGAATTAAAAATTGATTGCCTACTGGTTTATTATTAATTAACTTAAAGATTTCTCGGTTAATGTTATTCCCTACCCGCAAAGTATGCTGTCTAATCTCCATAGTGAGTCTATGAATAGGCGCGAAAATTTGCACTATTACAATAAACTCAAGTAACATAAGAAAAACTGAGAAGGAAAAATTAGAAACTATCATCTTCATAAAGATCGTATTTAATTCTTAATTTTTTTCATCCAATCTCCCTTACATCTCAATTGTAGTAGTAATGTTCGAGTATCTCAAAATTATATATTACAAATACATGATGAGAGTATATTCTTGATTAGGAAGTTAAAATGCAATTAGATACACAGATTGATTTGATAGTTTATGGTAGAAAATTTGGGGGGTTTAATTGTTGTTTAACGAATTTTCTTAGATTATTAGCCAATCAGTTTTGTTAAAACCTGTGATGCTCTAATTATATAAATAGATTGACTAGGAGTCATTAAAATAGTTATCTGAATTAGTGTATAACACAACACCTGTATTATCCAATAGAAATACATTATAGGGGATCTACGGAATCATATATGAGTCAAATCTTAATTGAGTTTTAGAAACAGCGATAAGTTCCTTCGCTTTCGATTTAATTGAATAACATATTGAAACTTCCAAGGTTTAACTAAGAAAATGATTAAATGGGGGAGTGTAACTAATGTTCAAATCTGGGTTCTTCGAATAGGCTTGAACGTGATTCTGATACCTAAATATGATATGTCTATTACCAAGGTCGCTTTAGTACATTATAAGTTTTGATTAGGTAGCTAACAGGGTATGTTGCCAGATACTAAATGTTCGAGACAGCTCCGATATGAAAGTATTCTTTCAATTTCACTATATCTAATCCAAAAATCATGGAGTAACCACTCAATAAAGTTAAAGTGGAATGGAGTGATTGAACTGAAGTGTCATTTTTAGGCAGAGTAATTGAATCATTTAATCCATTAGCTTGATAGCAAAAGGATTCATAATTGATGAAATAGTCATCTCCTTTTAAATAAGCAGATGGAACACACGCAGGCAGAGGATATTTCAAATCTATTGTAATGTTGTTGTAATCAAAATAATTGTAAGATTTCGAAATAGATTCCAATTGGTTTATTACTTAATAAGAACAATAATATTACTTTTTATATGTTATAAAGCCACTCTTCTCATTAACATATTTCCAATAATTATAAGTTGACTTTTATCCTACTAGACTTGCAATAGTTCAGTTGAGTGACTTGATATATAAGTAAAAATTTTCGACTAAGCATAAAATGCTGAAATTGGCAATAAAATGACAATGGTTAGAAATAGGATGTTGGCTAATATGATTTAATTTCTCATTTTTAAACTCCTTATTTTTCTAATGAGCTTCTGAAACATATTAAATTTTAAGATAATTTTATATGATTTACGTAAAATTAAATATTAGTCATAAAAAGCTATGGAAACAGAATTCATTTCATAAAAACATCAAAAAATCAAAATAAGACTTTTTTTTAAATATACGTTATTACAACCAAGCCTTTACTTTGCATCTATAATTTACATTCGAGAATTAGGAAGAAACCAGTTTTAGTTGCTAAAAATATTTTTGGTATTGCTAATTCAAGGATTTTGAAACCTTTTTCAATATCCCTTAATTCCCTTTCTTTATAGGCCAGACTATATTGACAACTGAAATTAGCATAATTTATTGGTATATTAAACAAATAATAGATCTTGAGGACAATGTAATATTTTTAGTGAAAATTTAAAGTAATTTAAACAAATGAGAAATAGTTATTTAAACTCAATTTTATAATTAAATCCTTCTCATGATAGAATACAAAATATGATCAATACCAAGATTCAAGTTCAATAAGGAGGGGTCCTTTGTTGGGATTATTCAAGAATAATTTCATAATTTAGAACATAGAAACAGATTCAAAGTCAGAAAACAGTATTGTAAAAGAAATAAATAAATATATGAATTGGTGTTGAAGATCTAGACTTTCGAAAAGGATTTTAACTTAATTAACTAGGTATTTAGAATAAAACAAGGGTTAGAATAAAATTATTACTATTATTGCCTCGAAAAAATTTAAGAAAGAGGAAATATTATAGGACTTTGAAAATGTAGAAGTACACTAACAATAAAAATCATGAAAATATTAATAAAGGCAAATCGTTAACTTAATATATATAAAAAGATCAGCATCATCATCAAATGTTGATAGTTTAAATATTTAATAGTGAAAGAATTATGATGCTAAGGACGATTTTGTTTTGGATGTTAATTGATCTAAAAGTATTTTGCTTTGATAAAAATAGAGTCTTAATTAAATTGTTTATAAATAGTTAAATATTATTTGAGTATTTTAATTGATAATACCTTGATGACTGATGTTTGGAGTGAAACCTGAGAATCTTGAATATATAGATACAATTCTAATAGTAAGATCAATATCTTGCTTGGGATACCATAATAATATTTTATTTAAAATTAGTGTGCATATTTAATAATTATTTATAAAATGGGAGTTTGTATAAGTAAAATTCCATAACCTCAGCCTGAAATCACTATAGATCCCATGCCTACAGTTTAACCTTTAAAAGGAAATTACTCGATGAGTAGTTTGCCTGCGGAAGTAAGTTTATGCAACTAAATCATGAAGCCAAGAAGAGGGGACAAGAAACGTTAAGCCAAAATAGAAGTGATGGAGGAGCAAATTCATGAGAATGTGGTTAAGTAGGCGAAGGAGAAATCCCCTTTTGATTTTTAAATGATTTTGAATGCCTTTGGTGATCACTTTATGTTTGCCCAGCTTGACAATGATGACAAGTAAAGAAAAGTATTAAAGGTAGAGCTAAACTAATTGATGAGATGTATTATGTTACAGCTAAAAACACAGATTTCGTATTTAAACAGGGGGATAAAGCAACATTATTTTTTATAATTGGTAGATTTCATCATTAATAAGTAAGAAAGGGGAGATTGTAAAATAATCATAAATGAGGAGGTTAAGCGAGTATTGAAAACTCCAGCGTATTTTGGGGAATTGGCCTTAATGTATCATGCACCAAGATCTGCATCAGTATAAGCAATAGGCGATTGCGGATTTTGGGTATTGGAAAGAAAGAAATTCAGAAAGGCAGTTGAGGATATCCAATAAAAGGCATATGAGACAAATAGGAAATTCTTGGATTAAGTTAAATTTTTTGGTATTGTGTTGTATATTGAGAGTTTTAGACTTTATGACTGAAGAGTAGAGAGACAGTATAGCCAATGTGTTGATAACATTAAAATTTAAGTAGGGAGAGATAATTGTCAATGAGGGAGACATGGCAAATTCATTCTACATCATACAGAAAGGAATAGTCTAAGTCACGAAGTAGGGATAATTCTTGAGATACATGAACTAGGGGGATTCCTTTGGAGAGCAAGCCCTTTTTGGTAATTGTGTAAGAGGAGCAACTGTAAAAGCCAATGATGAGGATGTGAATTTGTTATCGTTGAGTAGAGAAGATATTACAACTATTTTGGGAGAGAAGATTCAGGTACCATAATTGTATTTATTTAGTTGCATAGTTGATCATTTATACAAATATGCAGAAATGGGCATTTGAAAAACACCCTTAATTAAGGGATCTGACAAAGATGTAAATTTAAAAGATAGTGTCAAACTTTAAAATAAAGACATATGAAAGTAAAGAATACTTATTCTCGAAAAATTAAATGATTGACAAACTCATTATTATTCTTGATGGTTAATTAGAGTTTAATGGACAACTATTTAACAATGGTCAATTGTTTGGAGACACATTCCTCCAAGTTGAGGAGTCTAAAAGGAAAATTAGTTCGGATATAGTAACTACAAGTAAAACCACATTGTCTGTGCTTCCTTTTAAGCAATTCTTTGAGTGTATTGGAGGAGAATTGGAAACTGTAGTAAAGAAGAATAAGGACAGAGCTGGATCTTCAAGTTTGTTAGAGAAACGATAAAAAAGCAATTACTCTCTGCTTACCTTAGAAGACTTCATTGGATTATAGCTTTTAGGGGAAGGCACCTTTGGAAATGCTTATTTGGTTAAAGATATCCCTCAATAAAATTTGCATGTCATGAAATGTGTTCCAAAAGTAAATATTATTGCAAATAATACGGAAAGACACATAAAGAATGAGAAACAAGCTTTAGATTTGTTGAATCATCCAAGTTTGGTCTGCTTTCATAGGTCCTTTAAGGATCAAAATTACATATACTTATTGACTGAATATGTCAAAGGAAAGGAACTATTTCATGTTATTAGAGATCTAGGTCTTTTGAATTCATATGAAACTCAATTCTACATAGCTTAGATGATTAATATTTTAGAGAAACTCCACTCTTATCACATCATCTACAGAGATGTAAAACCTGAGAACTTCATTGTCATGGAAGATGGGTATTTAAAGTTGATAGATATGGGTACTGCCAAAGTGTTAAAATCTAGAGCTTCTAAGACTTACACTATTGTTGGCACACCTCATTACATGTCTCCTGAAATATTGAAAGGCAAAGGTTACACCTTCTCCACAGATTTGTGGTCTTTGGGCATCTGCTTTTTCGAATTGATGTGCGGAGAAGTGCCCTTTGCTGGCAACGAAGATGATGACCCGTATTAATCCTCTTATATTTTAGATACATAATCTAAGAAGCCATTCTGAATGGGAGAGTAGAGTACCCTTAATTTTTGAAGGATTTCAAGGCCATTAAATTGATGGATCAATTGATGAATAGGACACCTGAGTTAAGATTGGGGGGATCTTATGACGCCCTCAAAGTTCATACTTGGTTCGATGGATTTTAGTGGGTAAACAATTGGTCCTATAATTTTCAAGGAAGACTTAGAAATGATGGGAATTAAACCTCCACACATTCCCAAACTCTAATAATCCAAGTTTGAGGAAATACCCTTCCTAGAGATGATTACACGAGATACAAGTCCTGATATGATTTGCACAGTCGCTGTCGATTGGGACTCAGAATTTTGAAAAATATTTGCTCATTTATAATGATGATTCTTTTCTAATAATTACATAAGCAATTCACATCAATTCTACTGTTTTCGAACTTTTTATATAATAGATAATATCGAAATTTAAATAAGATTTTTTATTTTTCTGTTTTGTTTATTAATGGAGAAAAATTGAAGAAATTCCTCAATGTAATAAAAATCAGAATTTGAATAAATGCCAATATTATCGATTAATAAAATATAAATTCAATTAGTAACAAACTCAGATTATTAAAGAATTTCCAGATGAAAAAAAAATTAAATTATTTAATTTCTTATGAATAACACCACAAATCCCTACGTACTATAAAAACATGTAATATTAGGAAAAAATCCCAGTTAAAGTGTTCAATAACTAAAGATGTGCTTCTGTGTGGATAGCTGGAGAGATAGCACAAATTATCAAGTAGAAATAAGCTTAGCAGCTCCCTTGTGTTCTGGGTTTAGCTACTGGATCAACTCCAATTCAGGTCTATAAGGAGCTAGTTAGATTACATAAGGAAGAAGGATTATCATTTTAGAATGTGATAACATTCAATTTGGATGAATATTTCCCAATTCCTAAGGTAGCTGTGTCGTGTATATAAATTTAGGAATCTCTCCATTCGTATTACCATTTCATGCACGAGAATCTATTCAATCATGTGGACATTCAGAAGGAGAACATTCATATCCCAGACGGAACCTTAATTAAGGAGTAGATTGAGGACTTTTGTCAATACTACGAAAAGTTGATATTGGAGAAGGGGGGATTGGACTTTTAGCTGTTAGGCATTGGAAGCACTGGTAAAGGATTTGACAATAAATTTAGGACACATTGGATTTAATGAGCCAGGATCTTCAGTGAATAGCAAAACCAGATTGATCACTTTGGATAGGAAAACAAGAGCAGATGCTTCGTCTTCATTTTATGGAATTGAAAATGTTCCAAAATATGCAATAACAATGGGAATTGGAACCATATTATAAGCAAAAAAGATCATAATAGCTGCATTCACAGAAGGAAAGTAAAGGATAGCATCGACAGTGATTGAAGGTTAACTTTCATCATAGTATCCTGCAACATTCTTGTAGAATCACAAGAACACATTGTTTGTTTTGGAGAGAGCATCAGCTTAAGGGTTGACAAGATATCAAGCACCTTGGTTGTTGGAGGCTTAAGGGTTGAAGGGTGAATTGCAAATAAAGTACGATTTAAGTACAGCAAAGAAGGGAGTGATATGGTTGAGTTAGAAAGTGGGAAAGCCAATATTGAGATTATAGTAGGAAGATTACGAGGACAATGGATTGTTGGAGTTGATCACTTAGATTGGATAAGGAAACTGTGGGATAGTGAATTTGACAGTGTTTAGAGAGTTAACATAAATGTATGCAGATTAATATAAAATTTAGAATTACTGGATGGCCAGCAGGAGGAAGACCTGATAAATTGCCAGAATCATACTTTACTTAGAAGAAGGCAATAAGCAAATAGAAGATCATAATATTTTCACCACATCCAGATGATGATGTGATTTGTATGGGTGGAACTATGAAGAAACTAACTAATTAGGGTCATGAAGTTCATGTAGTATATATGGTGAGTGGTAATTTGGCAGTGTTTGATTTTGATGCTCTGAGATTTGCAGATGTTTTGAAGGAGACTTCTAAGGTGATTGGTGGAAATGGAGAAGAATTTTATGAGAAAGTGAAAAAATAGATCAAAGATAAGAAGCCTGGAGAAGTAGACGGTCCAGATCTGGCTTATGTGAAGACTATAATCAGAAGAACTGAAGCAAGAAGTGCTGCATTGTGCACAGGAGTGGAGGAATAGAATATTCATTTCTTGGATTTGCCATTTTATGAGACTGGTAAGTCATAGAAGAAACCACTTGGTGAAGAGGATAAGCAAATAGTGAAGGATATAATATTGAAGATTCAACCAGAGTATATTTATGCTGCTGGAGATTTGACTGATCCACATGGAACTCATAGAGTGTGTTTGGAATCTATCTTGGCAGTGTTGCCATAAGTAAAGGAACAATTACCAAATTTGAACACTCTCTTGTATAGAGGTGCTTGGTAGGAGTGGGAATTGGATAAAGTAACAATGGCAGTACCATTGTCCCCTGATGAATTGTATGAGAAGAGGATTGCAATATTCAAACATCAGAGTCAAAAGGATAGGCCAATGTTCCCAGGGTCTGATAGTAGAGAATTCTGGTAACGATCGGAGTCTAGAAATAAGGAGACAGCAAGGTAATGTATGAATTTTATGGTAGATTGTTCACTAATTTGGGATTTGTTAATTATGAGGCATTGGAATGCTTTGTTTCTTTGGATGTGTTGGTTATGTTGGGAGAGTTGTGAGAGAGTAATTTCTATTAAAAATATTAATTTAATTTAATCATGATTTTCCGAATGTTTAACTTTATGAATTCGCGGATGGATGAATTCATCGAGGACAAGAAGGACATCAAATTAATATTGGATGAATCGTTGCTATTGTAAGATCTCTTGATGCCCTAATAACAATACAAATTGCTTAATTAGTAATCATGGCCATGATTCATAGCGTCAAAGATCACCCTGAGCATCTGGATACCCTCATCGAGTATATCACCGATTTCGTAGATGAGGCCTATCATCAGAGATAACAATATAAGTATGAGTCTATTCAAGAACAAACTAGATATCCTTTTTTGGCAAGCGAGATCCTGAGCAAGGAGAATGATTTCTTCTAAGATTTCCTATTCGAAGAACAAAACCTCCAATATTTGAATAGACTATTTTCACTTCTGAATGAGGATATCCTCAACATTACACAAGCAGGTTACTTCTCTAAGGTCATCCTCACTTTACTAAAGAAGAAGCATTTCAAAGTATCGCATTCAAAATCGAACATTAGATGTTGCAATACTTAAATGACAGAGATATCTCCAATCTTCTTAAACATCTAGACGTACCACATGTCGCTGAAATTATTGAAAAAGTCATCACTCCTGATCCCAATGACGAGAATCAACTACTAGACAAGCAGAAGGCCATCTTGCAGAGGATAATGAAGATCGCCTTGAATCGTTATTATGAAACCGAAGTATCTATCACAATTCAAAACTTAGATTTTCGATAATTGCATGCAGATAATCAACAATCTCTTAAAGAGCTCAATCAATCCAGATCAGGAGGAGTTAATCAAAAGTCTAATGAACCCCTATTTCTTTCTCACCATCTGTGTAAATGTTTGTTGCTCATATTGATAGTATTAAAGTCAGAGAACTTCAGCCTATGAATTAGTGTCCAATCTATTGTAATATATTAATAATTCAGGTAAAACAGACTACTTTCTCTACTTTATGGATGTAGCTAAGCATCTCCCAAATGCTTTCACCACTACTAATATCTAAGCTATTCCTCATCAAACCACCTATGGTTAAATTATAACTCCCTTGTCCTCCAACAAACTCACCTTACTCCAAATATACAATTTACTACTACTGAGTGAGAAGGAGGAGATAGTGAATGAACTGATCAATAACCAATCATTCTAAGTTATTACTAATCTAGTAATGTCGCATGAATTCAACAATCAAGCTCTCATTTGGTTTGATAAGATAGTAGTCTTTATTTATTAGAAACTTCCAGAGATGTTCAAATCCATCTCGCAATTCTTGGCTTCGACCATTATTAAATACAATACAAATGAAAAAAAGAAAGTTGGATCCCTTCAAAACCATATCAAACCTGGATATTAAGGGATATTAACCAAAATATCTAATTTATTGGTAGACAGTCATTTCACAAATGAGGAATGGGATCAGTATGTTAATGACACTCTCTATAAAATTAATTCAGTAGAAAAGAGATTACTATGCGATGTGGATCCAAAACCAAGATCAATGTTTTAGTCCATCCAAGATTCAACTGCAATTTAGCCTCAAAAAGAAAATAAAGAAGAAGATTTTGAAGTAGAAGAAGACATCCCTGAAGAAGATAATAATAAAGAAAATGAGAATGAAGATTCTGATTTGGAATTAGATGATGATGAACTAGATTATGAACTAGCCAATCTTTAAGAAGAGAAATTTTATGATTGTAATGAGGAGGGACGATTGTAACAATTGTAAGAAATGCAGTAAATTCAATAAGAAGAACCGAAAGTGGAGTCAAAGTACACTTATCTATTTAGTTATTAGACATAAAGCAAGCTCGGAGGAGTAAGAATTGATTGATGAACAAATCGAAGAAATAATTTCGGATCCTCAAACTAAACCAGAATAGGGTATTCATGATTCTATGAATTAGTTGCACAAATCATCTAGAATGAAGAAAATCTCATTGATGACATCGGGCCATTAGAGTTAGAAAACAAACAAGATCATCAGGTCAATGAATATTATAAAAAACATGATGATCCCAAGAATGAAGAATGATATAAAAATAGATATATATATTTAAGCATTTTAGCTTAAAATAAATATAATAAAAAATAAAAAAAAGTATGAATCAAGATGTATTTTTGAAGAAATAATGGTTCATTATGAGCCATGAAGGCAAGATTGAATAATATTATGATATCAATCTAAAAAAGGTCATTGGATCTGGCACCTATGGGAGTGTTGTCAAGGCCACACTCAAGGGCACTAAAAATCAGAGGGCTGTCAAAGTCATTCCGAAAAGCAAAGTTAAGAACCCTGACCGATTCAAAAAAGAAATAGATATTCTGAGATAATTGGATCATCCAAATATCATCAAACTATACGAAACCTTCGAAGATCAAAGAAACGTCTATCTCGTTATGGAGTATCAATATCATACTACTATTCAAGACTTTGCGAAGGTGGAGAGCTCTTCGATCGAATTATGGACAAGGGATGTTTTAGCGAAGCAGAAGCACATGAAATCTTTCTTCAAATTATGCAAGTACATCCTTATACAATAATTCCTTAGGCATTGAACTATTGCCATACTAATGGTATTTGTCATCGAGATTTGAAACCTGAAAACTTCTTATTCCTAACTAAAGCCGAAGATTCTCCAATCAAGGTTATTGATTTTGGATTGAGCACCTTATTTGAAGATCCAATCTCAGCCAAACAAGCAGGAAATCAGAAGGTCACTATGAAAACAAAGGCTGGAACGCCATACTACATTTCTCCTGAAGTGCTCAAAGGAAGTTACGATGAATCCTGCGACATCTGGAGTGCAGGTGTCATCCTCTACATACTCTTATCAGGAGTGCCACCCTTTTATGGAGACAGTGATCCTGAAATCTTGGATGCTGTTCAAAAGGGAGAATATACTTTGGAAATCCCAGAGATGAAGGCTGTGACCGAGTCAGCCAAGGATCTCATCTCTCATATGATTACGACTCCTGAGAAGAGGTACAAGGCATCATAGGTGATACAACATAAGTGGATGAAAGATGGCAGTAAACAAACTAAATGTAGAATTCTTAAATTTCTATTTTAGAATTGAAATTAAATTTTGGTTAATTAAAGAATTTTACAGGCAGCAATAAACTGAAGAAGGTGGCATTGACATTCATAGCTTCTCAATTGAATGAATAAGAAATCACAGATCTAGGAAAGTAATCATTAAATACTAAGAAAAGGTTATTCAAACAATTGGATAAGAATGGAGATGGAGTTCTGACTATCGAGGAATTGAGAGAAGGGTTGACAGGAATGAGTGATTCATAAGCAAAAGACTTGGCAAATGTCATCAAGAGCATTGATACTGATGGAAATGGCACAATCAATTACACAGGTAGGAATTCAAATAATCTCAAGAATTCTTGGCTGCAACTATGGAGAAGTCTCTGTACATGAAGGAAGAAAAGTTGTATCAGGCGTTTAAGATGTTGGATTTGGATGGAAGTGGAAAGATTGACAAACATGAATTGCAAACTGTATTGGGAAGTAAATAAAGTATTGTTATTTTTAGAAAGTGACAATATTATTGATGAGAAATATTGGGATGATATGGTCAGAGAGGCAGATAAGAATGGAGATGGAGAAATAGATTACAATGAATTCATAGAAATGATGGATAAATTTAGTTTATTAAATTGATTAATCTATAGAATGAGAGAGTTACTCGATTGTATAATTTCTTATAACAAATTATTATAAATGGATGAACCCGGCAAGCCATACGATGAATTATATAAAAGTAACTCATTCTTCTCAAATCATAGTAATCTTAGTGGGAGACTCAAGCGTTGGTAAGACAAGCTATCTGATTCGGTAACAAATCTAATCCAATTTAGATTAACCAAAAATGTTATCAAGAAACAATCCCAACCAACAATTGGTGTAGAATATGCAGCTCAATCCATTCTACTACCGGAAGAAGGTAAAATAGTGAAGTCGGTAATTTGGGATACGGCAGGAGCTGAAAAGTATAAAGCCATCACTACAGCACATTATCGAAAATCAGAAGGAGCACTATTGTTTTACGATTTAAGCGATAAGAATTCGTTTGATAATGTACTGAGTTGGCGTCAGGAGGTATTGATCTAAATTTCAATGGAGATTATTTAATACACAGAGGACAGCATAGTTATCATGTTAGTTGGCAATAAATTGGATTTGATTTAGGAGAACCCCTCAAATCGATGTGTGTCTGTCAATGAAGTCTAACAGGTGTGTTCTAAATACAACATGATTTATTATGAGACATCAGCTAAGGAAGGAACCAATGTTAAGGAATCCTTTGAACAATTGATTAGAAGTTACTATTCATATACATACTAGAAATTTATGAGCACAAACAGTAATGTATTGAAGAAGAGAAGTCTTCAAACCATTAAGATTATCCGAATTCTGAACACAAAAGTTCCTATTAACCGTTAGTGTAATCGAATTTCGAACAAAGCATTCAGATCAAAAAACAATCAGACACTTGTTGTGGTACTTAATGATTGAACTACACATAATTAATGATTTTTATATAAACCATTCAACTAAAATAAGAACTTTTTATAGAAATGTCTAATTTTAGAGTCTATTTACAAAAAAATAAAGGTCTTTAATGATGTATTATCAACTCTTTAGTGAAAACATTAATCATCATGATTAAATTAATTGTATTCAAATATGAATGATATTTACTCTTTTCCTGTAGAGGAACAACTTAATTACATCTAAGGTAAGATCACCATATTTTTAGAATGAGGATAACCATACAAATGCCAGTTTTTTCATCCAGGATTTACTTGTGAATCCCAACTGCTTCATATGTAAATTACTTATTATAATGAGGTTTCCACTCTTATTTTACAAGAACGCTAAAGTCTATCTTCCTGTCCATTTGTTGCCGTTCTTGATATATAAGCGAAAAGCCTTTATAAAAAAGTATGATTGCATTTCTTATAATTAAGTCCAATAAGTACAACAGCAAGATCATTACTATCTTACATTAAGAGTGTGTTGTTTTTAACTTTAATGGTTTAATCGTTGAGATACAATTGGTGCAAGCAGGTAAGATTTCGAAAAGTCGTTGACCCATTGATTCCTATGACAGGAGGTTTTTTAGGAGCTTTTTCCTTACTTTTAGAATCGAAAACTAGGTATGATTGTCTATGAAGTTAAAGAGTTTAGGAGATCATGTTGAGTATTGTGCCTCGTTTTTTTGAAACACTCCTGAACCTTATGAAGAGGAAGGGGTATATGATAGATATTCCAAAGGGAGATGTTCTGGTTTTTGCAGTGATATTGGCAATAATTCATTACTATTATTAACACGATGTAAAATAAATTATTAAATTGAATAGCATAAAGCTTTGAAGGCAACATACAGAGGAGTGTTTGCTAAATTTTGGGGGAAGAATTGATTGTAATTTAATAAAAATATTATGAGTGTGATGTTTAAAAAAGTAAAATTAAATTAAATCTTTAATTCATGTCTATAAAATTACATTCACCATCTGGTTAAACAAGAACAAATAAAATCTTAGTGGCAGCTAAGTTGGCACACCTCTAATTGGAATTGGTTGATACACAATCGAATGACAAGAACACCTAAACCTAATTCCCATTTGGAAAACTTCCAGTCTTGGAAACAAAAGAAGGCAATCTTTTTGAAAGCAACGCCATCCTTAGATACATAGCAAGACACTCATAAGGATTATATGGGTATATATATTATATTAATTGAACTTAGAAAAACACCCTATTAATAGGGTTTAGTTGATTAATGGCTTGATGTAACAATAAATGAGCTAGAAACAGACGTCATAACAGCAGCTATCTAAGTTTTGGGTCAAATTCCAGCTATTCCTTCGTAATTTAAGACCTCATTGGCTTAAATTACCTACGCATTGACAATTGTGGATACTCAATTAGGAAAAACTAAATTCATCTCTGGAGATTCATTGACAATCGCTGATATTGCCTTAGCATAAGTTGTTACCTTTGCATTCACCCTTTTGTTCGGAGAGGCAGAGAGAAGCAAATTCCAACATTTATTAAAATGGTTGAACGAAGTGAATTCACTTCCTGAATGGAGAGCAGTAATAGAATTTTGTAATATTATCAAAGGAGTTCGGCAGACCAAGATTCCCAAAGACTGCCTTTGCTTTAAATGAAGTAGCTTAGGAGAAAGAGAAGAAAGAGAAGAAATAAGAATAACCAAAATAAAACGAGCAACATGAAAAACCCAAATAAAAAGAATAACCTAAATAGAAAGAACAACCTAAATAGACAGAATAACCTAAATAATAGCCAAAATAGGAAGAGGAGGACGATGCACCAAAAAAGAAAGAAGCAAACCCTCTAGATTTGTTACCACCTTCAACTTTCAACATTGATGATTACAAGAGAATCTTTTTTGCAGAAAAAGATATTTAAAAAAACATCGATACCCTCTTTGCCACAATTGATTTGAATGGATGGTCCTTGTGGTTAGTCAGATATAACAAGTCAGAAAACGAAGGAAAGCAATTGATTCTCACCAACAACTTAATGAAGGGCTTCATTAACTAAAGATTAGATCAAAATTTCAGAAAGTATGCCTTCGCCATTCACGGAGTCTATGGTGATGAACCAAATCTCCAATTGAGAGGAGCATGGCTCTGGAGAGGAACTGAAGTTCCAAAGGAGTGGGTATATAACAATTAATATATGAAATTTAGAAAGATCACGTTGCCTATGATTATCATTAATTCATTAAGGTCGATGTTAACAACGCAGCTTAGAAGCAACTATTCGTTGATTATTGGATTAAATAAGAGGAGGATGTTTCAGAGGTTGAAGGATTAAAGGCCAGAAGTTTAATGTATTTCAGATGAGATATATATAAAATATAACAATACATTGTAAATCAATCAGTTAATATGAGTTTAACAATTGACTCACGTATGCCAGGTAGGGTATCTAAATTGTGATTGGAAAATGATTTAAGGATCCTTTCAATGTTTGTATGGCACTATTAAACAGTATAAACTCCAAGGGGAACAACCTTATAGTCAGTTTGTTGTTGTTAATCAGTGGAATCCCCTCCTTCACTTTGAGTAATATCGAATTACTCTGAACCCAAGATGGAACTGTCTTCAGCCAAAGAGGAAATGATATCTACTGATGATCCATCCTCCTACAATTTCATCTTCTTTTATTACAATAACTACGATAATTCCACACAATGACTTACATATTAATATCTCTCCATACAACTCTAGGGGTTTTTCTCTTGAAATCTAGATGTAATTTGATTCCAAACTCCTTTATATATTTTAAAGGCAGCCCACAGCATTTTGTCATCCATAGCATTCCAAACATTCTAATATTAAGTTTAGGCCTACTTCTGAATCTACTCTCTTTTCTGTTGTTAAAGTAATGTCAATTAATATGGTTATTTAATTAGAGCCTATTGGAATTACTATAGATGCATTGATTCACTAGAGGATTCCTCATTGTAATCAAAGTGTGGATTGTATCTCCGAGGTATTTCTCTTTGTTTTTTCTTGGCTTTCTTCACTTTGTGGTTTTGATTGTCCATGTCTGAATAATCACCCAAAGCATCCAATCTCTCCAAAATTTCTTCTTTCTAAGTCATCTTAAGGATATATTACATTTTTTAGGATCTTCCACCTTGCTTGACATTGTTTGGAATCCTTGGTTGGAACTTCTTCTTGTATTTTACTCCATTGATTTCCATATTTCTTGATGGCTTTGAGTAGTAATTCATCTTCGACTTCTTTCCATTTCTTTCTTGGAAGTTGCTTGCTCATTTGAGTACCATTGTTTTTTTAACAGAAATCCAAAAAATCATTTATCATTAATAATGTTCCATTTGGGACTGCAGATTTTGAATAATTTATTAGCAAATTTATCTAATGATTATTTTTGTGTATTATATATATACAATAAATTTGATATTATAATATGATCCAAAAGCCTTGTTTAGAGGACACCTTAAAATAAAAATGGAGTGACAAATATGAAAAATCAAGAGATCTATTTCGATCCACTTTAAAATTCATCCACACCAAACCCATCTTACCATTCAAGGCCTACTTTAATTTACAATTAGTAATCGTCCTTCATTCATTTAGAGATTGAAAACAAAGTGCCCACTCAAATCAGAGATCCTGAAACAGAATTGATTGGAGAATTCAATGAAGATGACGTTAACTTTCTTAATGTGGAATAAAAAGAGATCCTGTTTCGAGTAGATATCTCTACAGGGGAAATAGTGGATGACGAAAACAATATGAATGAAAATAACGACAACCCGATCCTCGTTAACACAGCACCCATATGCTCATATCATTCAATTGTCGTCCCATTTTTGAATTCCAAATTTCAATAACTTCTTAGCGGATTCATAGCTGAAAGTGTATTCATCCTTTTCAAGATATCCCAATCCCCTCATTTGAGAATAGGATATAATAGGTACTCAAAATCACTCATATATTTACATAGCAAATTAGCCAATTGTTCTATCAATCATTTGCATTTGCATCTTATTTATGTGGATCAACTTTTTGATAACAATCGATTCCCAGTTGAAGAATTCCCCATCAAACCCTTGGCCACCATCAAAAATGCAACACTTGGAGAAGTTGAAAATTATCCCATAAGAACCCTGGTGATAACAGGAGAAAACATCATAGAATTGTTATCTCTAACCATAGACACACTTTTGGCTCATGAAATACCACACAATATCATGTTCGTTAGTCCACAATTGGCATACATCTTCCCTAGGGTATTATTGTTGATGTGCTAAGATAGAGAAATCAATTTGATTTCATTCATGAACACGGAATGAAACCAGCCTATGCTGAACTTTGTGGTTTGATGATCTGTAGAAGCAAAAAGTATTTCGAGGAATTGACACTTCAAGAAATTGAAGCCAAATTGTCAGAATTGACTCATCCTCTATTTGATAACGTAGTCTAAGATTTAGTGATGTTATCGGCTGAATGATATTCATATAAAAAGATAATATAAATATTACAGTAATTGACATTTTTCCTTATTTTTACTAAATTATTTTTAACATTCATTACTAATACCAATTCCCACAACTCCATTTCATAATATAAAGTGAGAGATTTCGTTTGTTTTTCAAATGATCTAGAAACAATAGAGAATGCTTAATCTTATGCTGCTTATTAAATCTAGATGCTATATGATGAGTATTAAGCACTTCAAGTAGACATATTAGTTTAATTTCTTTGAATTTTTATCTTATATACAATAATACTACAACGACATAACATTATAAATATTTTAGTTTAAAAAGACATCAGTTCTGTAATTTATTAATATTATCAATGGACGTGTCTGAAAACATAGTATCAATATACTAATAGAGTGTTGATGAAAGAGCACTTATCAGGTCAGATTACTCACCGCAGAGAAAGGGGAAAAAGATACAACTTAGTGAAAATTAGAAGTAAGAGAGCAAATCAAACAAGTTAATTTTGGATGCTACTGAAACTCTGTGTATAAAACAAAAACACATAAGGAAGAGAAACAAGATTTATGAAAACAAGAAAATTAGAAAACCCTGGAGTGCTCAGGAAGATCATTAATTGCAGTGCTCCTTATAATTACATGGACCTAATTGGGTTCAAATTGCAGCTTCTATGATCAATCGAAATCCTTCATAATGTGCTTAGAGATGGAAAAGAATCAAGCCAGATGATGTAAATTTGATTAGTTATGTTAAGTTAAAAAAAAGAAAACCCTTTACTAAAGAAGAGGATCAACTTATTTTGAAATTAGTCGCTAAATACAGAAAAAATTGGAGCAGAATTGCTAAATTCCTTCCTGAAAAAACGAGTAAATAAATTCGAGAAAGGTTTATTAATAAACTTAATCCACAAATAAAGTTTGAACCTTTTACTGAAGAAGAAGATCACATCATCCTCAAAGCTTATCAAGAAATAGGCTCAAAGTGGACTAAAATCTAAGACCTCTTGGTTGGTAGACCTGTAAATATTAATCTCTTATTCTTTAGGAAAATATGATCAAAAATCGTTTTTACTCCTATTTGAGGCAAAAATACTTGAAGATCAAGAACCCTTATTATGCAATTCCCTCAAAGAAAGCCATTATTAACAAGGATCAACAATCTAAAATTGATAAAGCTTAACATATAACAGAAGAAAAGCATCTTACAGAGTCTCGACAATATATGGAACATTATAATGATATTCAAGAAATTTAACCTCAATTGCCAATTAATCCATATTTTTCAATTCCATACCCTATGATGCTTGGAAATTTCTCTTGTAATATATTTCAATTTATCTGTAGATCCTTAATATTAGTTATATTAAGCTCCTGTAGCCGTAGTTTACAGTCCAATACAGCAAGGACAATTAAATTAGCAACATGGTTTGAACACTTTATTTCAACAACAGGTTTATTTGGGTCACTAAGTAACCAACTAATTAGTGTTTTTATCTAATTCTTGATAGAAACATGATTTATTTTTTTTATAAGGCTAGTAACATTATTAAATTTTCAATTATCGATTCTTGACTATCCTTTCAACTAAACTACTACATCTTATAAGTAACTAAATATATTTATCCTATTTCTTTTTTGATTCTTATGGATAATGAGAAGAATGTGAATGAAATATTATTAATTTATTTGAGTTGAGGATTCCCTTAAACTATGGTTTAAATTAATAATTATTTAATATCTACTCAGGTTTATGTATCATTGAAAGGATAGATTGCTTTTAGTTTCAAACAAATTCATTTTTATAAATTCTTTATCAAATAGTCTCTTTTAACTTCATTAAAAAATGTATAAAATTATAATAAACTTCCCAATAATATAAATCTATTTTAAATAAATTTATCTTATAGAATTGATAAAAATAGATATTCAATTATCAAAGATGTTAATCTTTAGGATTTCTCTTTAAATTTTTATGTGAATCTTTTCGACTTGAAAATTTAACAAAAATTTATTGATTCCCTTAGAGTAACTGAAATCTTGTTGAATGTAACTTTTAAATGATTGTCTTGTAGAACAAAAAATGTTTCTAAACTCCACATCTACTTTAATTCTAAAATTGTTTTAATATTTATATTCACTGAAATTTTATAAATAAATAAATAAATATAGTCATTGAATATAGTTATCATAATCAATATATTAATATTATCCTGTCTTACTACACATGTATTATAATATCTTATCCAATTTGTTACTTTGATATTCAATGTCATCGCAATCTTATTGTAAGGAATCTATCTATTAATCAAACTGATTGTTCTGCTCTCTTTAATCCTAAATATGATAAAATAGGCTCTTGAGGAATATTAATCAAAGTTACAGATTTCAATTTATTGACATTGACTGTGAATTCATATTCAGTATTGAGAATGTCTCTTTATTGAGAGTGTTCCAGATTGTTTAGACTCAATCTCAAATCTTGGATACCTTGACGAAGTCTATTTTTCGTTTCTTTAGTGGATTGAATAATTTCCTCTGTTTAAATTATACTATGATACTCTTATTATTCTTATATGGTCATTGGCACTCTAGGCCATCAAAATGAAGGCAATCGAATCTTCACATAGAGAATGAGGCTATCTTGCAGTAGTTGAATCTAAAATTGAGTCCATCAAACTCGATTCATGCATTCTAAATGTAATAGATCCCGAATGTTTCATTTTCTTATTCATTATATTGAGATGAAATAAATATATATAATGATAATTATTATTGCAATTGCTTAGCTTGTAATTTTATATATAATAAGTAATAGAATGATATAAGATGATCATCTTAGAGTATTAGAGAAGGAGAAGAAAAAAGAGAACCTAAAACGATAAGAATAGCAGAGATTGGAAGAAGAACAAGCAAGGCAACAGAAAGAGGAAGATATATTGATTAACAACAAGGAGGAAATTGATAGCAATTTTAAAGATAAGAAAAAATCTGCAAGGGATAAAAGCATTAAAATTTAGATAGATGAGGATATAAGTTCTAAAGAAAAATCATAAAGGAAAAAGAAGTAAGTTAATTAAGCAGAAAAATATGATAAAAAATTAGAGAACTTGAGGCCAGAACAATTGATTGAGAATGAGATAGGCAAGCCTTATTATTTAGTGCTTGATGATACTAAATTAGAAATCAATGTAGAATTTTTATTTGATTTTAGAAAGAACTAATAATGATGGAGGATAATAAAGTTAGGATATGGAAGGTTTTTATTAATGAAATAAGGTTGGAGAATTTATAAAAGGAATAATTATCAATTTTTCTGAATTTCAGAATAGGTTAAATTGGAAAGAATGCTAATGAGTATGCAGATGTATCAAGTGGAGAAGTCTTTTTTAAATCAGAAATCTGCCAGGATCTAAAAAGAAGTGAAGTCAAGGTAATTAAGGTGATGTTTGAAACTGAGATGCATCTCTCATATTAAATGCTTAAGGAACGTTATTTCATAATAGAAGTTTGGGAATATAGGAGATTTAGATTGAATTTGTTTTTGGGTAAAATTCAAGTGTCTTTGATTAATATTGCATCTGGAAATATAAGGAGACAAGATGATATTAAAAAGGCTTTTGGAGAGAAAAGATAATTTGCTAGGATCTATTACAATGTTTTGTTTTAGGAGGTGTGGGATTACAAACTAACATTTGAAGCTTGGAAAGGATCAAACATCATAGCAGATAAAGGGAAAGAGCATGATCCTAAAATACAATTGACTTTGATGACAGATGAACTAATTTAACCATAAGTTGAATCAGAACAAATTAAGAAGACCAAGAATCCCAATTTTAGAAATCTTAAAGGATATATGCACTTTAGAGGAACCATGGAGGATTTGACATAATAAATGATGAAGGTAACATTATTTTTTGATGCCTATTTTAATAAAGTTGAAAAATTAGTCTCATTACGTGGAATACAAGATACCAATTACTTGAAAGTGCAATTTCGATTAAAACTTAAAGTACCTCCACCAAAGAAGAAAAATAAGCATCAAAAGAAGTGGGATGGGAATGATGAAGAAGAAGAATAGGATTTAGGAGACAATGAAGATGGTTTAAGAGATGAAGCATATATAGCAATTATTGAAGGAAGAGTAAATCTTAATAAGGTACCACGATATTCATAAAATGGAGAACTCAACCCCTACATTCCAGAATAATATTATCTAGTAGTTACAATTAATAGATTGAACAGTGTGTTGAGTCCAGATGATAGAGGAGTCATCAACACATACTTGACTGTGGCCTGGAGGGATCAGGCTAAAACAACCAGAATGATAAAGAATGATCCTAATCCATCTTATAATGAGGAATTATACTTCAGGATACCTATCCTTAGAAAAGAGAAGACCTTTGAAGATATAATTAATTAAAAAACAGACAAAGATTTACTCATAGATGCTTTACGTGAGGAATTGAAATCAAGACCAGATATTACTATACAATTATGGTTAGATGGATAAGATATATTGAGTGACGAATCTTTGGGATATTGCAGAGTGTTTCTATCTGAAATTCAAAAAGCAAGCAAATTCAAAAAAAATTTATTGACTGATGATAATAGGAGATATTAATTTGACACACGTGAAGCTACCTTTACTAAGAAATTTGAGAGCGGGTTGTTTAATGTTAGTCATATTTAAATTACATTTTAAGCGTTCTTTGCTCCTGATTTACCTGAAGAATTAAAATTAGATGAATTTTGTGAGGTTCCTGATGATCATTTATCCATATCAGATATCAGATCAACTCTAAGTTAAATAGGATCATGGAGAGAATAAGGAGTATAAAGCTTGGGATAAACATGTGAGAAGTAATTTTTCATAGTTTGATATGGATAATAACTAGGCAGCCTTTAACATATTTTTTAAGAATATCTTTGTGAGGGATCAATTTAATTATTATCATTTGGTTTGTAAATATTTGGAGAAGTTTTATATTAAATTTAAAAATGATGAAGCTACAGATGAATTGTTTGCTAATCCTAAAGATATTAGGATGAAAAACTTACATGAAATGTGTCATTTTGTTAGAAATATTCCATTTATCTAAGATTCTTCTTCAGCAAATGATGTCTGGAGATCACCTGATTTCTTATTGAAAATAAGAAAAGGATTTATACAGGATCATGCAATCTTGGGTGCTTGTTTATTTATGGGATTTGAGAGAGAAGACAGAAAGAGAGAGCGTGAAAAAGATTCTCATAAATATATCCCATTTGAGCATAGAGTTTTTGTTTGTTTGGGTACACTCAAGTCCAATTCCAAATTTCATGCTTGGCTTATGGTTTTTTCACATGATCTATCTGGTGTCTCATTTTGGGATGTTCAAGAAAATTTTCATATGAATTTAGAAGGAAGAGTGAGAAAAGATAAAAGAGCAGCCTTAAGAAAGTTTTTGTATGCTGAAAAACAGGTAGCAAAGAAGGAAGGTGGATTAGGATTGGATGCCTTAGGTAATGTAAGTAAGGATAAAAAGAAGCCAGTTCCAAAGAGGAAATAAGTAATGGATTTGAAGAGATAAGAATTAGAAAAAGCGTAATTGGAGTAAGCTTAGAAAAAATAGAAATAAAATGATATTCTTATGTAATAACAAAAAGAGGGAGAGGAGAATAGGCGAAAGGCAAGAACTAATGCTACTTTCTAACCTGAAGATGATGGCAGAGGAGATCAGGATGATTAGGCTATAGAAACAATTTAATTAGAAAATTTAAATGGAAATATCAGACTTAAAAACCAAAGATAAATGGGAGAAGTGAAATAATCAAAGGAAAGAATGAGTGTACTAAAAGAGGAGGATGGCAACAAGTCTACTGTAAAAGGAGCAGGATCAGCTTCACAAAAAAAAACATTTACTAATCCTTTTTTTGTTTATAGAGAGGATGAAAAAGAAACTGCCATTGCTAAAAAGCAGGAAGCGGAGGAAGAAATTTTAAGAGCCAACCCAATTGCCAAATTTTCTAAAATTGATCGTTTTTTTGATAAAGATGGAAAACAGTATAATTTATTATTTTATAATATTAGAGTTGTTGACCCTGGTTAATTACCGTATAAAACTATTGAGATTATTTTTAATAACAAAAATATGTAATTATTAATGATTGAAAAATAGATTTGGTAATATGGCTAATTAGAATCCCTAGCAGATATATTATCATTTGCATGACAAAAGATAATGGTATCCATTTATTAAAGAGACTATTCCCAATCCAGGAAAATAAGAGGAAAGCGAAGAGGAGGAGTCTGATGGTGATACTAACATAAAAATAGATGAGGAAGAACTTGAAGATATGCTAAAATTATAGAATGAGGAATTCATAGAAAAAACTTGGAATCAAAGTGTAGGTTCTTTTTATTCTGCTCAAATTCTAAAAGAACCAATCAAAAAGAATAGAATCAATAGGTTATTAGAGGATATTTTCATGGAAGTAAAATAAGGAGTAGAAAAGGCTAGAGGAAAACGTTCCCTTTATACTAAATGGAAGCATGATTTAGATGGAATTAATAAAAAGATGGAGTAATATTTGAAAATCTTAGAATATAAGACCACTTATAGAACGTTAAGAGTAGTCTAATAGAAACAAGATGAGGAATCAGTTGCTAAATGGAATCATATTTATAAGAGTAGAAATTATGAAGAAATCATTGAGCAATGGAGAAAAGAAGTCAAGATAATGCTACCTTTGAATACGCATTTGTGCATACTTCCAATGAGATTTAATTATACTGAAGTAAATATCTTATAATTATTATAAAAGTCTGAGAAAATCAAATCAGCAATAGTTGAAAATATGGAATCCTTTTTTATGAGAAGAGATAATAAAATTATATTTAATCTTGCAGGAAAGATTTTTAACTATCCAAATAGAGTAAATGATCATATTAAATATGAAAGATAGTTTGTGTTAGGTTGATTCTCGGATATTCATATTGTCAAAATTTAGATGATACTAAAAAGAAAGATGAAAATGAGGAAAACAAAGAATATCAAGAAGGCGAAATTGATATTCAAAAGCTAATGCTTGATGATTTTGATGCGGATGATGATGAAAATTTAGATTTATTAAAAAAGCAAAAAAAAGCCGAGAATTAATAACAGTGAACCTTTAATAGGGTTATAATCTTTTCAATAAAATACTTTAAATAATAAAATTCTATTTATTAAGAACTCTTCTCAAAAATAATTATCTCGATTCATTATTTTATTTATTAAATTATTGTAAGTAATCTAAAAGATTATTCTATAAATGTAATTATTCATATAAAATTGACTATAAGAATTCTATTCAAGTATATTAAGCCAAATAAATAAATAACAATATTATTAAAATATGTCTCAATCAAAGCTGAAATATAAATTGTATTTTTTTTTATTAGCATTTTTTTCTTTTGAAAATTTTACTGTTAATTCACTTTTTGAATTTTTTGACTTTTAAATATTAAGAGCTTCTTGGTAATACGGTCCAAATGTTCCATTAATAAAGCTTTCAACCCCTTAACCAAATTACTAAAAGCGCAGTTTTAATGTTTCATTTAAGTATTTTGATCCAACTACATTCTAATATAACTAGATTTAATTTGTTTGAGAGTTATCTGAAAATATGCCTGATTTATTTAAGGTAACCTTCAATTATTATTAATTTTACATTGTGATTGATTATGGATACATTATAATTCAACAATTCTGATAGATATCGATCAGTGTTAGAATAGCCATTAAATACAAAGTTAGTAATAGTAAAATTATTGATGGTTGAATTATATCTCACATCTATTTCACATTTAACACAATTTACAGACCTAATAATATAATAAAGGTACGTTTGTCTAATGGATAAAATGACTTTGGTAATTGATAGTAGTACATTTTATGTAAAAATTCTTCTAAACTTACATTTGCATCTGAGATAGATAAACAAATAAATTCAGAATTAAAGGTTGCATAAATGACACCCTTCTAGTAATACTTTTAGATCGATTCAATCAATTCTTTATATTCTTTACTTCTTTAGTAATTAAGAGTTACCCAAATTCATGATATACTCCAATAATTAGCCAATTCTCCTCATCTAATAGGTATGCATGATTTGCTTTGCAATTATTACAAATATCACTAATTATTGATAGATTAGATTTGCAGTCCATTCTTTCAGATAGAAATTCCTAATTTAACTTCTAAGGTCTCAACGTTTAATGTGTTAATTATTATTGAAGTGTAATCGAAACAAGAACAACTAATGGAAACATAAATTTAATCATAATATAATTAATATTTAGTATTTCGATTAAATTGCTTCTGAGAATGCATCAGCAATTTAGGATAAATAAATAAAACCCAAAGGTGTAGAATTATAATCATTTAAGAAATGATAAAATTGTAATTTCAAAACAAGAATAAATATATTTAATTTAAATTCAATCTTATTCGATTGACTTTCGTTCTTAATTTAACTAATTTTATTAAGTGTTCAGGAATTGGTTCTTAAATTACTATATAATGATATTGTATAATTACATCTAAATAACCAGGAGGGAATTTGATATTAATATTCATATCTGTGATAACTTCTCCATTTTACTGAGCCTCAATAATCATTTTCTAATTATAGAATAGGTGATGTATTTACTGCAAATTTTTCTCTATCAGTTTTATTGCCTCCATCATGCTTCAATTTGATGTGCAAATTCAAAGAAACATCACTTCCATACTGTTTATTACATTTTTCATAAGGACAAACAAAACTCTTCTCAATTTCCTAGGAAGTCCTTCTATTTTTCTTTTTATGACGATAACTCACGAGCAAAATGCAATTCTTATTATAATTTCTTAATAATATCACTTAGGTTTACATCTATATCTCCTATTAATTCATGCAATTTTTAATTTTAAGAATGAAGTTCATTGACTTTCTTTATAGCCATTTCATTTAGAATATAGTATCTCCAAAACTCCTTATAATAATTTACATCGCTATTATACTCTAAATTTGAATTAGATTATGCATACCCTAATTCTAATCCTTATTTTACAGTAGCTATTCAGTCGATTAGTCATCTAATTATGATTTTATTTCTTGTGACTATTTTAATTTTCGATTTAATTCATCATCCACAATATTCCAATCCCTTGACTTATTCATTAACTGTAATATATATATTAATAATTAAATCAAATGTTAACAAATTATCATTGATTGAATTCACTTTACCTTATACTCGATGCAAGTGCCAAACAACTTATCAAACAGAACGAATTGTGATCCATAATTACCATTGTTTTCACTATGATGCAATCCATGATGGATCGAATTCGTAGCAAAGGGCAAATAATTATAGAGTTCCCAAGGGAAAACATACCCACAATGTTGGTGTATGGCTTTTGACAAATGCAATCCAACATAAATTAGAATTGTTATACAATGAATTCGATCGCCTAATAGGTAAGGACCAGAGAAAATTGGAATTATGTTACTAGATATAAATTCTATAGGATGAGCATATTCAGTCGCAATGGCAACTAAGTATAGTTACATATCTTACTTGAAACATTGTATTAATGATGCACTTTATGAATCTTTGGATACAACTTTGGTAAATGTAAAATTCTATGACTCCAATAAAATATGAAATCCTCGCTAAGATGACAAATAATGACGTGTTTCATAATTTCTAAGTAGCTTGGAAAACTGAGAGTATCCATTCTACATTGAAATGGCGGTATCACTGTAACAAGCAAAGCAGCCAGGGATTAATTTAAGATAATTGATTTTAAGGTTTTTATTTTCATTTTTTTCCATTCTTCTTTGTTCTTTTCCCAAGGCCATGGTTTCTTATTTCATAATTCATATATACCTAAACTAGTTTATATTATTCAAAGAATGGATGATTCAGCGAATAAAATATCTAATAATATGCACAAACGAGAACTTAAATTACATTTTGAACGACTACCATGACCACAATAAAGAATGCATTTTCTAAATTACAATAATACATTACTATTTTGTATCTCATTTGGCCAGATATACTCCAAAAACTTGGTAAAGTAGATCAGATAAATAAGATAACCTGAAATTCCAATTAATTTATAAATCATTATTAGCTGATAATTTATATTATCACTTCTAATCAATTTATTTAATATCAATATATTCATTTCTAATAATTATATCAAGTCCAAGATTTTTCAATTTAATTTGTTCTTTAAGTTATTTATAATATTTATAATTAATTTATACACGTTTATGATTTAATTAGCGTTTTTATTATTTGTTCTAACACTAGGTTAAGACATCGAAGAAGAAGAGTAACTTATTTGGTTTATCTAGACTGTCTAAAAAAATTGGTGCCTGTTGGATGAAAACTATTAAGGATATTAATAATGAAAAAGACAATATGGGCAAAATTATTGAAAGTGTATAAAATGCTAATAAGACATTGATCTTTCATAAAATATAAATGTCTATGATTTTGTAATGTGAATCTTTGATTGATATCAACAATGAAGTAATTTTTAAATTGAATATTTAGAATTATTTGAGTTTAAGTTACAAAGATGTTGTAAAGGACTTTGATTATAAATAATATATTGGCATAGAATTTAAATTAACTAAAGAAGAAGAAACCTTATTGAGAATTATCAAGAAGATGGAGAAGGACTTAGGCGAACTTAACAAATAAAATTAAATTAAATAATAATATAAGCAGACTTAATAAGTTGAATAGGATTGGCAAGATGCATATAAAACAAACTAAGCTGTACCGACTCTACTTACAAAACCAAACTATTTTCATTATGCATTCTTTTTAGTGTTGTTCGTTGCTATATTCGGTGGAGGTTATTGGAGTGTAAAAATGATATAAGGAATGAAAGATAGCTCAAATAAAAATTAAAATAAAGCAAAATGAATTAATCTTACATATTTCATATATATTATAATTATTATTTTGAAATTTATAAAATCTAAAATTATATTCATAGATATTTTTTATACAACATAAATCTATTCAATTTCATTTAGATCTTAAACTACGAATGTTGAAGATTAAATAACATCTAGTTCTGATTAAATATACATTCAATTCTAGTAAATTTCTTAGGTAATAAAGAGAAATTAATTCTAGAAGTAGCTGTGAGATAAATTTCAAGATTGATAATTCATCCAAACATAGCCTCTCAAGCAAATCTTCTATTTTAAATCCACATAATGTTAATTAAAGCAATTTATACTACCTAATAGAATATTAAGATTTCCACTACTTATTCAATAAGGTGAGTTTTTAAATAATTATTTAAGATTTATCTGTAATAATAGATTATATTATTATGTTCTTAATATGCTTCTTCTACTTTCAACTATTTTTATCCTTCTTATTATTATGATAATTAAAAAATATTAATAATAATTAATCAGAAATTAGAATAATGCTTGATAATTGCCAGAATTTGTTTATCTTCAAGTTCATTACTTTAAAATATAGAAGAAAGATTGAAGACTGATCAAAATTAATATCAATAATAATATATTGTTGACATCATACTTTTTTTTCAGGAGAAACAGGTTATGATTTTCTTTATGAATGATTCTTTTAAGTCTGTTGATGTTGAATGTTTTTTAGTTCTATGTCATAGTGATATCCTTCAAATAACGCTAATTTATTTATTCATTTGTAATACATTGAACAGTATCTCTTCTCAAAAGAGTTTAATTTTCTAACAATTATTCATCATTTAATTGTGTTTCCTCAGAAATCTAGTTTTAAAAATCGAAATTGTCATCAACAGCCTTTATAAAAGAAGAACTAATACCCCAGGTACATAAAGGGCTTGAATCTTTTTCTTCAGTAAATCATCCCAGGGATAACCTTTTAACCAAGGATGATGTAGAATTTCTTCAATTCCATTGCTACCTAATCTCCTTTCTGGTTTTCTTAGAATTAACTGAATATTAATGCATAGTATTTACCTAATTCACAAAATCAAGGGAATTCTCACTCCATCCTAAGGGTAATTCCTCTTTTTTAACTTAAACCTGCTTTGCAAGAATTTGTTCTCGAATATCTTATCTGGTTCTACCATTATATGGTCTTCTTCCCAACATTAACTCATAGGTAATGACACCTAATGCATAATAGTCAGCCACAACTGAATGATCCATCCTACACATGACTTCTGGAGCCATGTAACCAGGTGTTCCTGAAGTATCTCCAGCGTTATTTCCTTTATTCATTCTGGCAATCCCCAAGTCTGTTAATCTCATATAACCATCTTCATCCAAAACCAAATTTTCAGGTTTGAGATCCCTATGAATGATTCCATTTTAATGAAGATAGGTTAAAGCCAATAAAATACAAGCAACGAAGAATTCTAAAAAGATTATTATTTTTATATACTTGTTTATGCTTCACTAAATCTTCTCATTTTACCTAAGTGAAATCTGAGATCTCCTCCAGTTAATAGATCTATGATTAAAAATAGATTTTCTCTGTCTTAGAATGCATACCACATGTTAACTAAAAAGGGATGATGTAAGTGTTCTAAGAGGTACTTTTCATTCAACACTGAATTGACACTTCTTTTTTAGATGACTTTAGCCTTGGACATTTCTTTTAAGGCGAATAATTTTTTATTCTTTTTCATTTCAACTCTCCAAACTCTTCCGAAACCTCCTTTTCCAATCACGTATAGAAATTTAAAATGTAATCTACCTACCTATTCATCTATTTTCAAACCGAGAACTTGAGTTTTTTCTGAGATTTCTCCTGTAGATTTTCTTCTGATTTCACTAGATTTCGAGTCATTTTAATTGATTTTACTTTTCGAGATAGAATCATTTGGAGTGATTTTGCTCTTTGTAGAATTTTCATGATTATTGGGAGAATTTGGAGCTGATTCAACTAATCCTGAATTGATAATCTAATAATTGAAGAAATAAGATACAGCTGAAAATTTAGGTCCTTGTTGATTAAGTTTCAACTTAAAAGATGTTTAAGTGTTGCTAAGGACGTGACTTTTTGATTCAATCCTTTTTGGTATGACTTTGGACTTAACATTATAACTGTTCTCATACAACTATGAATTACTTAAATTTCCCTTTTGATAATAGTTATTTAAAAAATTTTCCATGTTATGATAAAATTATGGCTTTTTGCTTTGTTCTTTAGGAGCTTATTTGGACTGAGGACGAGATTCTTATAATTGTTATAGGTGGCTTTGTAATTACTTTTGTAAGAACATTTATTGCATTTAATACTATTTCTCGCGGTTAGGAGATTGATGAGCAGAAACTGAACTTGTTACTTTAATTTCTCTTCTACTATCTTGATCACAAGCTTAATTTTTGGTTGCTACCTTAACTTTTAATAGAGGCGAAGCATTAATCACAACCCTTTTCTTCATACAAACAGTGCAATTTTTTTAATTGCAAGAGCATTGAGATACATCCGCTTTTTTATCCCAATTCCCTGATTATTTTCTAGTCGGTTGTATTTTATTGACTGGTTCCCCTTTAAATTTGATTTTGCTATTGAGTTGTTGCTTAATCAACAAATCCCTTAAGTTTTTTGCTGTTGATTGACTCATTTCGTTAATTATTTTTATTAAGTGATAATATAAATAATTCCAAATAAAAAACACACATATTCACAAGACCAAGATTATCCGACCTTACTGTGCTCATAAGAAACTCTCATTCATTAGATTTATATATTCTGTATTATTTATATTTTTTTTTTCAATAATTATATAATCATGATTAATAATTAATAATGAAAAAATTTCTTAATTATCTTAAAGCATCCAATGCCGAATAATAAGAGCCTATCACACAGAATCAGTCAGATCAAGAACATTTTCTAGTTTTGGTTGGTGATATAATTAAATACCAAAATGAACCAACCAATCCAACCAAAATCATTTCTGTCATTAGGCAAATCATTCTCTATGCTATCAAAGGAGACAATGAATTGCATAAGTAATTATTTGAGCAATTTATGGAAATCGATGTTCTCAATAGATTATATGACATCTTATAACGAAGATTATGTCATCATTCATTGATTTAAGAAGTAAGAGAATCAACGAATATTTATAGATTTTTGAATAGGTAAGTTCATTATTGATCAATGTGAAAGAGATCACTAATAAGAATTACATCTTATCCCATTCTAGCATTTCAAATATGGTTTTATGGAAACAATCGTTTGAATAATATTAACCGAATATCGAGATTGTAGAAACATATATCAGCTTTTTGAATTTATTGGCAGTGAAACTAGATGACATTACAACAATGTTTTTTATTAATCTCAAATATCCATAGTTTCCACTTTTATGGAATGCTATCCGATTCTATAATCATCCTGAATTGATGGTGAGAAATAAAAGTAGATCAATTGTTCTGCATATTCTTAATAGTAATATTTTATAGTTATTTTTAGTCAAAAATCAAAATATCATAGCTTATACCAAAAGCTTTCCATTTCTACAATATTATTTCAACTTGGGAAATTAAGTTTTGCTTACTATCAAATAGATCAATGTGGTTGTTGAAAAAATCAAGTGGCGATTTGAAGGTTAGTAGTAAGACCAATTAGCAATGCTATCTGAAGAGTTAAAAGAATAATTATAATATATTCATGATCTCTTTATAAATAATGAATATTTGGAATAATTAATTTTAGATTATGCAATTCAGAGACCTGTAATCCAATTAAGTCAAGTTATCAAGTATGGCTATGTAAGTTATCATAATAATTCAATAGCAACACTTTCATATTGCTGTTGCTCTTCAAGCCTTCCTTTTACTACTGTTATATTTTAGGACGAATGCTAAAATTATCCAATACATATATTAAGTTTTCCTCTCCCAAGACAAATCAAAAATCACAATTAATGAAGAATTTTGGGGATATTCTAATGCTTACGATAATGACCCAGATTTTATGAAAAAGCTATGTCTTCAAATCTATTAAACTTCAAAGCCTATTGATTTATTAGATCTAAAACACGAGAATTTAGAAATTAAAATGAGTCTATAATAATTGAAGCAAGTGGATTGCATAAATTAATAATAAAGAATAGAAAGTGAGATTAAAATATAGGAAAGCTAAATCTTAAATAGTGTTTATTAACATAGTTCAAATAAGGAAGTGTTAATTTATGTTCTCCTTTTTATGAAGGAATTAGGCAATCAACATAATATATAAACTTACTATTAATATGTAATTATTATTTATATTCTAGATTCTTAAACTTGCATCAGAGCAAGATTAGCAATTAGTTGTTGTTATTTTATCACTAGACATCATATACGCATTTAAATAATAATTTGATTCTCAAAATTATATTAAACAATTATATCACTAGATATTGACAGAGCTTATTTTAAATATCAAAACATCCTAGTTTTTTCTAGATTAATTAATAGATATTTTTAAGAAGTACAATAGAATTTTATTTTAGAAAACCACTATCAATCAAAAGAGAATTCATTATTGATTAATAAATCAATGTTCATCATGAAAAATATGCCATACTTTTTGACCCATATAGTTCTTTGGCTAAAATTTAGAAACTCGAATATTGCATCCTACTATCTTAGCATTAGATTTTTGAGGATCTTCCAAAGATTAATGAATAATATCCTGAACTGACAAAACTTCAAGTACCTATATATTAGATTGGGGATAAGCCTGATTGTGCAAAGATGGCTTGTGAATACAGTGAAACAGGACATTTCCATAGCACGGAAACATAGTAATATCAACTTATATTTAGTTATATCCTAAATGTTGATAATTTCTTACATGTTGTGTAATTAGATTAATAGGGAGTCATCGTTGATGTGATATGTTCTAAATTATGGCAATTATTGTAGGTTTATGGAATCGAAAGAGTTTAAGTTCTCCAATTTACTTACTTCGATTTCTCTAAAGTATTAGATTCGCTATAATAATAGTTTTATTTGAGATTTTAAAATTTCGATGATGTCAAATACATAGATTCCTTATCTTCATAGTAGTAGCAATAATTTGGAGATTGGTTCAAAGAGTTACTTATTTAGAAATTTGAGAAATTACAATAGGAGAATCACCTTATTTTTAAATGAATTATTAACTAAAGTTGAATAATATAAACATCACAGTATTAAAATTAAATCGAATGGTTGATACTATAATTACTTAATTTTACTATTTTATGATAGATAGATAAATCATTGCTGTTTTAGCTTTTATTTAACTAAGCATTCTTTCAGCACAAATTCGAATTCATTGAATGAAACTGATCCATCTTTATTATGATCAAAAAAAACAAAAATGGATTTGCATTCTTCATCTGTCACAGAAGAATCTATACGTTTTAATAGTTTGCCCAATTCTAGAACATCTAGCTCATGATTTGCTGATTTATCATACTTAAATCAAAAGATATAATTACCTTATTAAATAAATCTAAAAGGTTGATATTATATTTGACAATTGAAGTTTTCAACTTATCAATTACAATTCTAGCTCTGTCATCGAGTGATCCAGCCTATATATCTTACTAAGGTTTCAAAAGAATGCTGACTTTCTTCTTTGTTCTACTTACTTCTGAAGCGGTCATTCTACACTAAAATGGAAATCAGAATTAATATTTACATCATTTTCCTCCAGCCATTTTTTAAATTCATTGAATTCAATTAAATTGTTGCCATCATCATCAAATTTATTAAATATGTATTCAATTTCTTCTCTTGTTAAATTTTTATCAACCCTTGTTAAGAATTTTCCAAGTTCATTAACATTTAATGCTTTATCTTTAGTCATATCCAACTCAGCAAACAATTCCCCAATATCTAATTATTCTTTTATAATCATTTATCTGATATCATTAATGAGATAAGTTGCTTTATCTTCCAAAATGCTAACATTCTTTATGAAATCTGTGAAATGTCCTTTAAAGAGTGGATGTCTATAGATATCATCCCATGACAATCTATCTTTTTCCTCAGCTTACAAACATCCAGTTAAGAATTCTTAAGCTTCCTTTGAAATTTGTGGTCCCTTGAATTGAAGAGGCTGATTTCTAATATTTTTCAGTAACTCTTATGGTGATCTGGCAGTCCAGGGAGCTAAAAAAAGATATGATTAGTAGTTGAAATACTTTTGCCGAACAATGCTTCATAGAAAATAAATGCTATACTCCAAATATCAGTCTTTGAAGTATATTTTTTGTTATCCAAGATTTGAGGAGACATATAAAGTGGTGTTCCTACTAATGATGCTAACATATCCTTTTTAAAATTATCAACACATTTTGCAAATCCGAAATCTGCCAATTTGAATGTCTAAATGATTTTAATAAGAATACTCCTTTATCTATTAGGATGTTGGCAGGTTTGAGATCTCTATGAATGATTCCATTTTTAATTAGCTAGATAAATCCATTTAAAATGTCAATCATAAATTTGACAGCATCCTTTTCAGGCATAGTCTTTTTTTGTGACACATAACTAATTTAGAGTCTATTGATACTTTTCTATCAATTTATCCAAATCTCCACTATCACAGTATTCCTGTATTATATAATAATTGTTATTAGTTTCCATCACATCCATAAGTTGTACGATATTAGGACTCTTCAATTTCTGCATGACCTTGATTTCTGAAATCAACCCCTCTCTTAAATAATCGTCTCTGAACATTTTTCAAATATTAATACGCATTGATGACTTATTTGTTCAATACTTTAATGGCCACCTTGACTCCTGTCTTCTCCTCTCGTCCTCTGTACACTTGAGCATATGAACCTTCTCCGATAAGATCTTTAGGATTGAAGAGATATTTGTCGATTCTTTTCTCCCCCATTAAATAAATTTAAATTCAATCATCTTCATCATAATCATCATCCGATTATTATCTTCGAACTCTTTTCGATTTTCGTCCTCCTGCTTTCTTCTCCACCTTCTCAAACTCATCATTCCCCTTACGTTTCTTCCCCACTTCGTCGCTCTATTCATCCTATTGTAAACCCTTCTTCTTCTTTTTGCTTTCCTCCAAATCAGGCAATTTTTACGCATAATCCTTCATGAAATCGTATTGAGACTCCTGTAGAACAATCTTTCTTTTATTCAATAACTTTTTTACAATAAACCAGGAGTAGCCTTATTTAATTTTCTGTCTTTCAAAGTCTCTTTACATTTCGAGAGAATGTCTGATAAAAACAATTCAAGTGATTTTGCTTTCAATAACATTCAAGTAATACTTAAAACATATGGAACTACATTATTAATTTTGCCCACATCTTAATTTTCCTATACAATTTTTTTCACTTTGGACACAGGGAATTTAAGCTAATTCTTTTTTAATTATTGATCCTGTTGTGTGTCCATTTTATTTATTATTTTATAAAATATTATCCATAATTCATTATTAATATATATATTTTAAATGACAGATTTTTTTTACATCCAAGTCCCAGCCGATGTTAAAGTCTTGTTGCTGACTGGAACCTCACTGAATAAGAATCAATTGGATTAAGTATAAAAATGCACTAACCTACTTAAATTGGATTTGTCAAATTGCAATCTAACACTCATTCCAAATATCAAGAGGCTAACCAATTTAAGGATCCTATATTTACATCAGAATCAGATCTCTTAACTTTCTATAGAACCAATCTCAGGATGCAACAATTTGAATTATCTCACTCTTTTCTTAAATCCTGTATCGGCTCAATGTTCTCTCAGAAGACAAGTTATATCGTAAGTAAAATCTTTATGGGCATTTGATTTTAATGCAATTACCGATGAAGAGAAACACAAAGAATTGAGATTATAGTAATCCACCGAAAAGAGTCGCCTCCCTTGGCCAATTATAAGCACTCCAAAGGAATTCAAGGATCAATCTTAAATAGTTTTTTTGCTGTGGAAAGAACTAGAAGTGATCAGAAAAATTTGGCAAAGATGTTCTGCCATTTTGACTATCTAACGTAATATTAAATGTTTTTTAACAAGAAAAAAATACAAAAAAATTGTTTAGAAACAAATAAAAATACAGTAAATTTTACTTTATATTTAGAGCATTTGTAAGACAAGCAGTTAAGCATTGGATAAGATTTACTAGGAACAAAAAAGACCTTAATTAATTTTTAGCACATTAATACAGTACCTAATTTGAGAAGGTTAAAGTTCTGGTTCAAAATTATAGACAAAGAAAAGGAAAGGCGATTAAAGAATAAAAGAGTGCTAGGATCATTTACAGATCCTTGAAATCCTTTTATTTTGAACATAAACTTAAACTTAAATCTATTGGAAATATCCACAGACTCTATTTCTATAAAGAACAACTGAATCTATTCAAATCAATCTTAAAAAAGCTCATTAATAAACCTGAAATCTAAGCAATTATTGATTAAACCCCTCTTTTACATGAGGATTTTTAAAAACCTAATAAGATTTATGATTCAGAAATTTTCACTTTTAGGCTACCTAACCAATTACATTTCTAAAACAACCCTATTTATTTTAAGAATATGCTAACATATCCTGCTTCTTTAGCTAAAATAAGTTGCTGTCTACAATAATTATCATTGAGTATAATAAGACAATGGACATCTGTGACATAATTTTGTCAGGATGTACATGCTTATTCATATTTGCAAAAGTATGACGAATTGATGCCTGCTAGAAAACCATATGTTATTATGTACAAATTGCCTAAGCAGGATAAGATTAAATATTAAAACTGTTTAAAATAAATAAACAAATTTTAACTTCGAGAATACAGATAATTGTATGTTATAAACTTAAGCAAAGAAAATCTATCTATGATAATTAAATGTATAATTTTGCACAATAAGGATCATCCTTCATAAGTTTTTATTACAATATTTGAGAAATAATTGAAAGAAGCTGTGGCGGCTTTGAAGATACAAAGACAATATAGAGCATATCAAGATGTAAAAAAGAATGGCATGAACATGCAAACTATAATTAAAATATTAGTAAAGGAAAGATCCTTATTGATATTATAAAAATGGTGTAAGGATTTAAAAATGCATCATAGAAATAATTTTTTTAAAGTTATAGGTTATCGACTCAAACAATTAACACAAAATGTATTGTATTTAAATTACTCAATCTATATACAATTGAATTAATGTGTATCAAAGTTGTAATTTCTTGAATAAAAATCAAAACTAAGGTTCATTAATTATAAATTCCTAGCAGTTCTTGAATAGTTTCCTAACAAAAATGTTATAGCAATTTGGTTAAGAAGACAAATTATCCAATTAGATGATAGTGAGTAATAAGAATTTTCAATTAGTAAAAATTGTGATATATATCATTTGTTACATTTTGAAACTTAAAGTGAAATTAAGAATTTATTTAATCAAAAATGGATGAAAATTACATTTCCGTAAAATGAATAGCTAAGATTGAGATTATTTTTATTAGCTCTATATACTTACTCTTTTAAAAACTAATGTTTTGTATAATTGTATCAAGAACATGAATTGTTAGAGCAAACTTAAGGTGTGAAACAAAAAGATGACTTGGTAATATAGACATATCGACTACAATAATATACTGAGTAAGTAGAAAATTGTGAAATACCATGTAAACCACTAATATGGTTATCAAAACAATTATCTGATAAAACAACTAATGAAATTGAAGTGAGATTTTATAAAAATGGAATTGATTAAAAAAATAAAAAGAAAAAAAACATTTCAAAATTGCCTGAATGTGAATAAATTTCAACTCATCTTTTTTTCAGTTCTATTTAAAAACAGTTGAATCTCTTTTAGTTTACTTAAATCAAATAAAACTGTCCTACTGCCTCAACTAATATGAGAACTATTACTTAAACTGACAAACCTAAAACTGCCTTACAAACATTTATTTTTCAATAGGACAGTTTTGAATTAGAAACCACCAATCCAGAAAAGTAGCAATAAAAATTGAAATTAGTTACAAATGCTACAAGATAGCATCTAAGAACAAAATCTGTTACTAACAAAAAGTAAGCATTATAGGTAGAATTACCGATATTCTTTTAATAATAAAATTTTAATTTAAGCTATAGTGTTGGAAGAAAAAATAACTAACCTGATATATCTAAGTAATTGCAGTATTGGGAAGATAGAGAAAATCAATAGAGACAATAAATAAAATAGTAAAATCGAGAAAAAAGATAAGCAAAATTATAGATTCAACAGGAAAGGTCTTTTTGTCAGGAATTCAATATCGGCTAGAATATTATTAGTAGACAAGGAGATAGACATCTGATGCGATTATAATAAAAGAAATAATAATAAATATCATAGTAACTTGTGCAATAATTTAAAGAACATTCCAATAACATTAAGGAGATATAATCTATTAACAACAAGATGAAATTATAGGCAATTAAAGAAGCTAATTCTTAATATAAGGCTTCTCTTGAATAACCAGAACAATAGCCTAAAATTATTTAAAAGCACCAGACAAAAAGATTGGGAATAGCGAATAAATATATCCATTCTGTATTACCAGAAGAAATATTTCCAATTAAAATTGACTTTGAAAATATATGATATAATTTAATTTATAAACACATGGGTTGTCAATGTTGTAAAGACGAAGAGAGTGTTAAAGATAGAAAATAGAGTGAGTTACCAGATAATTGGAATCCTAACAGAGTCGACATTATTAATAGCAAAACCAAAATCAAAGTTGTCTATGTCCCTGGTGATTCCTCTAAAATTGATAGCTCTGTCTTTGCTGTTAGCACAAAAGGACTTTCCCCCTTATTTTCAAATTAGTTGATTAACGCTGCATAAGAAAGTTTATAAGATAATCAGGGCTCATTTGAATATGGAAATTGTTATCAAATAAACAATAAAGAAAAAAAGATATTTCTAGTGTGTATTCCAATGTGGAGAGGTGGTTAATTCAATGAAAACAAGCTTGTTGAGATGGCCTTTAACTAATTGGCAAAATAAGTTAAAGAGTCATCCTTGCAATAAATCGTTATTAATGAAGTAGGTGTTAGATATTTTGGGTATCCAAGATAGGTATATTAAACAATCCTACATAATTATAGGTAATTATATCAAGTTTGATGCATTCATTTAAACAGTTTATACTAGCGGAGACATATTTAGAATAAATCATATACACTTCAAATGACAGAGCAACCATAGCCTTGATAGAAACCTAACTTAAGTCTGCTCATCCTGAGTTGTTTTAAGATGAGGGAAAACCAGATATTAAAAAAATAGGTAAAAAGAATGACAATGATGTCACCTCAGATTTAGAATAACCCTTATTAGCAGAATGAATATCAAATAATATAAATAATTATTATATTATTTATATCTATTATTTAAAAATATATATATATTTATGAAAAAGATTATCAATTAAATATTAATTTTTCCACCTCTATTTTTAAGTTTAATATTTCACATTTCTCTTGTGTAATAAACTTATGTAGTTATTTAATAGATGATCAAAATAATGAGTAAGATGAATTTAGATGTAGTTCCAATTATTATCAAATTATCATTTTTAAGGAGTAATAATATATTGGGAAAAGAATATAAATATGAAGACAAGACTATTCTTCTTATATCCTCATAAATTTTAGGATGGAAATGAAAGAGAACTTATTATTGGTTTAATCAATTTCTAAATTTTCACTATCAGTTTATAATTTTTTGAAGTAATGAATCGTAAATAGAGTTGAGTATCACGAAGAAAACAATTGAATTCCACATTCTATTCAATATCAAAATGTTCTCATTTCAAAAAATGTTTACATGAAGATGGAGAAAATTGAATTGTTTTTAGATAAATTAGGATGCAATTTTAAAGTCAAGAGCAACTTTGAGTTGACTCCTACCTAAAATTGGAACATAAAATCTGAAATCTCTAAACAAGTGAAGTTGATATGTCATTCCTAATTACAAAATGAAAAAAGAGTAAATGTATTATTTCTAAAGTAATGAGTTTCTAATTTAAAATGAGGTATCATTTTGTAGGAATTACATCTGAAATTGATTGGAATGGTTTAGAAATCTATATATCAAAATTTTAGTGGAACTTGAGTTGAACTTAAGTTGAAAAACACAATATTTTTCACCAATTTCAATTAAGTTGATTAATAATTATAATAATGAGAGTCTCTGTATGTTGTATTTGGTTTAGAGAATATCAGAATGAGGATCTGGAGGATTCTAGGATGAAGTTTTGGAAATGAAGAGCTGATTGGTACGGTCTGAGCATACTAATAAGGAATTTAATGATGGGTGGAAAAGAGGAGGGGACATTTGTTTTTGAAGGTGTTTGGAGTGTTTTTAGTTTGATTTGTAATGTTTTTGGTTTTCCTTGGGATAGTATCTTCCTATATATTCAAGTTTCTTTAATTATTAATCGATTGGGCACCCAAGAAAATGAAATCAAGACCAAGTAAGATCGATCCAACAAAACCAGTCCTGATCTCCAACAGTCTAGAAGCATTCACTAATGCAGAAGGGCAAGAAGTAGACATAAAAAACACGGAATAAATCATCACACCTGATCAACTCTTAAAAGAAAAGTAAATTGCATATATTCAATCAATTACTAATAAGGAGCAAGTGGAACATTTTCATACTACTTTATTGTGGTTTGTAACAGCTTGCTCCTTGACCCCCGCCATATTTATTTTTATATTATACTCATTATTATTTAGACCCAAATAATTTGAAGAGCCCACATTAAAATCGCAGCTTCCTACAAAATGCCGTGAGGATTACATCTCTTACAAGGCACCTGTCTATCCAGATGGCACAGCTTACGAATTAACCGAAGAGGATATTCATTTCCTCTCGACAATTAATGAAAAACTAAGCAACCCTGTTCATATTGAAGACTTTGAGTAATATTTATCACTTCTTGACCAAAAGAGCGGAAAAGATGTAGAAATCGACTTTACAGAATTTCTCAAGCTCAAGCTACCCCTACCTAAGACCATTAATATATAAATGTAATCTACTTAGGAATAATTATACGCCTACTTTAAAAAATAGAGATAACATTTTTCTCGCCCTCTAACCAGATATCTTATGCACCCCTATTATGAAGATAATAATCCACATTTAGCCTTTCGTCCTCGTACCTAACCAATGGATAGAACTATGAAATTGAGAAGAGGCAATCCCCAGAATTCAAGAGGAGTTATTGAGATGGAGAATTTAGGGTAGAAGATTGTTATGTTAAAGAAAGACATATTGATGGTTTCGTATTTGATTGATCAAAGTGTTCAGAGAGAAAAGGCAATGGAAATTGATAGGAGATTCACTTTTTGTAAATTCATTAAAGAATTCTTTGATCAATCTAAAAGAGAAAAAGACAGTAATTCAGAAATTAAATAATGGCCAAAAGATTGTTTTGTAAGGGATTGCCCGGAAAAATGCAACATCAATGTAGTTGAAAAGTAAGATGAGATGTTTGATCATATTACTAAAGAAATATTGAGTTGGAAGGAACAAAATGAAATCTAAAGAAGGGAAAAACAAAAAAAGGAAGACTAAATTGTTAAATATGAAAAATAAATTGAAGATTTAATTATAGAAAAACAAAAGTATGAAGAAAAACCCATTGTAATACTTCCTCCGGCCCCTTAACCACCTATCATTCTTCCCCCTCCTCCTGTGATTCCTTAAGAACCTCCAGATGAAAAAATGGAAAGTGTTGCTAGGTTCTTGGCTACCTTATATTTAGAGGCTAGGAAATATTAATTTACATTTGATTAGGTACTTTCCGATTCCTTTCCCATTTACAAGATCTAAAATCAATAACAACCAGTGAATTCCAAGAGCGTCTTCCCTTTTTCTTTGATGCAAATTGAAGGAAATGGTTTAGTCTATAAAGTTAGAAAGGATAGTTGTTTGGAGAAAAAGGATAAGGCTTACTGGGAAAGTTACACAGATCCATCACTATCCAACACTCTATATTATTAGAATGACTATTTTAAAGAAAAGGTCAATGATATTATGGAAATGGCAGATATGGATTAAATGGTCTATGCTTAAGGTTTGGATGATGACAAGTAGGATGAAGATGATAAATTATTCAAAAAGAAGGTCAAAGGAAGTACAACCAGACTAACTGGTTCTAATGGAGGATAAATAAAATGATTAATAACTAATTTAGTATGTAAAATATTAAATATTTAATATTCAAATGAAAGGGTTCTTTGATGTATTTTAATTTGGTTACTTTTAATGCTCATTACCATAATCAGCAAATGGGTTACTTGGTTAATAAGTTTAAAACATTCTTGGAGGAGCTTATTGATTATTCTCATTTGCAAATGGATTATTAGATCTGGATGATAGGATTTATGAATGAATTTGTAATTATTGATTTTAATTTTAATTTTGCTATTATTGAACATAGGTATCATCAACCTCATCATCAAAAGGATTTCTAACACTTTTTCTAAATGATTGTTAATTATTTTAACCTTCATCAAAAGGATTCCAAGGTACATTGGATTAAATAACCATTGATTAGCTTAGTCTAAAATCTTATTGTTATTAGAATTAATGTTGCTATTGCTATTATGATTATGACAATTATTGTTATTAGTGTTATTATTATTGTTATTATTATTATTATTATTATTATTATTATTATTATTATTATTATTATTATTATTATTATTACTATTATTGTTATTATTACTATTATTATTACTATTATTATTATTATTATTATTATTATTACTATTATTGTTATTATTATTGTTATTATTATTATGGTAATTGTTATTAGGATGATATAAAGGGGTTTGGAAAGCCTTAATTAACATCACTTTAATTTGATTACTTTATATCTGATTATTCTAACTACTTTCTTTAATTTTTAATAGTTTAATAAAATTATTCTTATTATTATTAAATTTATGATAGTTTTTATTATTGGTTTAACTTTGAAGTCTTTAAATCCTTACACAATGCCGGAGACTCTGAATCCTCTTTAAATTCTCCAGCAAATTATGCTGAAACTCTATTAAATTCTTCAAATGGATCAGTATCTGGATTTGGCGTAGGGGTTTCCCCAAATTATTATTGTTTAACTTGATGTGATTTTTCAATTTATTGGACTTCTAAGGTAGATTACAAATTTAATAATTTTCTGGTTTTATTTATAAAGTTATTTTCCTATTCTTAATTTTCTGGTTAAACAGATTTAATTGTGTTACCATTTGAAAATTCCTTATCAAAATCCAAAGATTCTTAAAATCGTTTACTCTCTTACGAAGAAACATCATGTTCTATGCTAATAATTGAGGATAATACAAAGTTCATCATTCTTAATTTATTTGAGATTATATTATCCATTTTACCAATCATGTCAATGCAAATATTTTAATAAGCTGTAGTTGCCTTTTCTAATTTTCTTTCATTCTAAATTACATAATAATTCATACTCTATTGATCTTATCTGAATCCTTACTATTTTACAATTCTTTCATTTTTAACTTATAATGATCATAAATTAACCTATCCTCCTAATATCTTTCCAATAAGATCTTTATCTATTCCATAGTGTCAAACCAAGGCTTCAACTCAAGTTTCAACTAATAAACGGGTGTCACCTTCTCACCATGTAATTCTGATATCTTTTGGAACATCTTCACAAGATTAGTCGCAATTAATTTATTAGATCCTATTTCATGCTCAAATATTTTAGTGACAATCATGGCAAATTGGTTGTATTGTATTTATAATTCTGCATTTATATTAAATGATACATGAATGACATTAGCTGATTGTAACCAATGTTCTTTCAGCCATTTAAAAATAATTGTTTAGTTCGTAAGCTTCATTCTTCTTGTCTTCCAATTAGGTATTCTTTGTTATCTGTTAACCCCAAAATTCTTTCCACTACCTTAAAAGTTAAATCAAGTACCTTTTAACCTGCCCTAGTAACTGCACTACTCATTTAATTATTTATATTGTATGTTTATGAATGTACATTGTAATAAAATCAATAAAAGAAACCAAGGATTTTACCTCCGATATGTCTTTATCTAGCTTCTTCATGAGTAAGAATGCCAACATTTGTGGTTAACACAACGCATCCAAATTATCTGGCAGGTAAAATGTTATTTGCCCATCTTTCAAATTCCCCTAAGGTCACATCATAACGAGGTGAGATGACTCCACATTTATTGATGCGTCCTTAAAGTAAACAAATATTTTTACCCAATAATTCAACGACAATCTTTCCACTTCTATGATCATCGACGATTTCAAATTCTCCAATATATCCATGTCTCTACATCACTTGCAAAAATTTCACAACTAATTTTGATGTTGGTCTAATTAACACTTATTTTCTTCCTTGTCTTTTCAAATTAAATAATTTTTAATACCTTTCAGCATTGACAATTGAACGAAGGCAATCATTGAGAACATTCATCTTAACCATTTTAAATTAAAGATTTAAAATATATTAATATTTTATATATTAATTTTTACTCCATTCTCCCTTTACTTTATCCACATCATTTACATTTCATATCTCTAAATTCACATAAACTCTTAAATTTGTATTATAAATTCTAACATTTAAAGAAGTTTTTAATAATTTTAATAGTCCAATTGCATGTATATTTTAATGTATTATTAAAATATCATTCATTATCTACAAAATTTATAGATCTTTTATATGACTTTTATATTTTAATTGATCAAATGTAAATAAAAAATTTGAAAAACATTCTTAAACTTTAATTATTATTTTAATTTCCATTGAATTATATCTAATTTGTTTGTTTTTAAGATTAATGAGACTTAATATGATCCATTAAAATAAAAAACAATATTGAAATGGAAATATTATTCAGAAAAGTATATATCTATCAATTACTAATAATTTTTTAAAGATTTTGAGGTAATCAAATATTTCATCAACATAGAAATTGATGTTCTTAATTCGATTACTTTATAAAAATTGTAAATAGAATTTAGAATTTTATAAATCATCCTTTATTGGCTAGTCTTGATAGCTCCGTTTAAGATATTATTCTAATCCTCTTTGGGGAATGTTAATTCATTCTTAATGACAATTTCATTGGGGTTCTAAGATTCTATTGAATTTATAAGTATAATTAAAATACTATAAGATGCTATGTAGTAAAATGTTGTCCTTTTGGGATTTCTGTAGAAGAAGAATCGTTTTTATACTTCTTAACTTTATGATTGTATTTATAAGGATTATCACTTTCATAGATTCTTTCAGACATCAGCATAGGAATGTGAATTCTTTGTTAGTTTTCAGTATGAATGGGTGGTAGTTCATTTTAATTATCGGAAACTAATTAATCAAATAATTTGAATTCAGGTTAAGCATATTAATTCTTATCAGTGCTGAGTTGCTTGCTCTTTCTTCTCATAGAACGATTCGTTTAGTCCTATTCTGATTTGTAGTACTGAGATGTGCTTAATTTTCTTATTCGACTCTAAGTCATAATATTAACAACTACCTAGCGTTATTCTATTTATTCTTTTTCCTGTAATCTTTTTAAAATAGCAATTTATTGATAATCACTAGATTTTTTAGCTGACTTAATAAAATCAGCTTCCTCTATTTCATTATCTTCATCGTCTTTTAATTCAACAACTTTATTATAACAAATGTCCTCTAAAGACAAAAGATTTTTGCATTGCTTAACCTTCTACTAAGTATTCAACTAACTAGAATTTATCTTTTGTATAAGTTCTTCTCTCAATACACAGTAATTCATGTATTGTATCATGTTTGGAAAGCTCAATGGGATAAAATTTAATTGATCATTTTTTCCTTTCCTTTCTGTAGACTCCTTTATTTTTCTCATGAGTTCGGCAAACACTATTTATTTAAGATGTAAAGCTTACTTTACAGTGCTTCTTAGTTTTGCAAGGCTTATTTGAAATCAGTCCAATTGAGTTTGTCTGAGATAAATGATGTGTTTACCATCTTCATCTTAATCGATTCTTTTAAAGAATTCTTTGAGTTTAGTCTTCGTTATGTTGATGCCATATCGTTTGAACATATCATAGAGTTCTTACCTATCTAAGAATTCTAAAAATAAGGTGAAAGAATAAAATGAAACTTGATTTATCTCTATCAATAGATTTGAAAACAGCTTTCATCATAATTTGTTCCTTGAGTTCTTTATCATTTAAAATATATTTATCTCTAACCTAATTCTTAAATCGGTTTTTCAACCAATTCACTGTTTCAAAATTTTTGAGTTTTGTAGAGACATTCTTATCCATTCTCAATTAAATATAAATTTGAGTTAAAAATTACACAAAAAAATTCAATAATCAGGCCTGGAATCCTTAAACATTGGATTCCTCATTCATTTAGAAGGTAATGAGTTTTTACTATATCAAATACCTTCTCAAAAGGAACAAGATAGCTATCAACATGAAGAACATTAAAGCAAACACCAAATACATATAAATTGGATCTTCGCTATCATTATTGGACTAAGGGAAAGGAAGTTCATCTTCTTTTTCAATAGGCTTTTCTCCTTTTGAGCTAATATTGGTTGATGTATTAGTATTTGAGGTTGTATTTTGATTTTTACTAGTATTAACAAAGAATTTTTCAAACGCACTTATTAAAGCAGCAGCATCTTGGGTAGTCAAATTATTGAACTCTTCTTAGACTGTGAGATTTTTGATTTTGGTATCATAAAAAAAATATGCTATTGCCATTTCTTCCTAACTTACATTTGCATGCTACCAAGTCAAAGGAGAAATGTATGTAGTTGTATTTATGTTTTTCTTATTTTCATCAAGGATGTTGGTTTGATTAGAGATTTGTTCAATCAAAATAGTTTGGTTATAGTTTTCAGGATCTTCTGATTAAATCATTTCATTAATGTTTTGAATGACAATCTATAAGATTATACTTTTATCATCCTATAAATTGATAGAATAAGTTATACATCTGTTTAGTTTTGCCACTATTCAATATATTACTCTGTTGCTTGCAATCCTTCTTGATCTTATGGAATAATGCTTTGAAATTATTTATTGTCTATGATGTTTAAAATTGAATGGTTGCTTGTTTTATTTGTCGTCTGATTTAGGACATTTTCAGTGTTGATCCACAATTCTAATGCAAAATTGGCATTTTCTTGGGTTTATTGCGTTGTCAAATTTAGTGACTTTTCTAAATCTATGAAGCGTGTTAAATAGTAGATTTATTTGATTTTGAGTGGTTCATCAAACTATGAAAAATTAAGTTTGGTTGTTTCTTATCGAGCCAACGTAATAAAGGTGAGAATTAGAATTGGAAGCATATACTTATTTTATAAAATATAGTTTTTATATTGGATTGTATAAAAATGAATAATAATTCAAATTTAATGTACCCCGGTGCAAGGATATTTTGGATATTCAAATATGAAAGTAACTGCTGAAATTCAAATAATTTTTTTAGAGAGTTTTCATCACATAGCACTTTAAAAATGAGAGAAGTCATTTCTATTCACGTCGGATAAGGAGGTATTTAAGTCGGTAATGCCTGTTGGGAATTGTTCTGTCTTGAACACGGAATCCAGCCAGATGGTCAAATGCCATCAGACAAGACTATCGGAGGAGGAGATGATGCCTTCAACACCTTTTTCTCAGAAACTGGTGCAGGAAAGCACGTCCCAAGAGCCGTCTTCTTGGATTTGGAACCAACAGTTATTGATGAAGTCAGAACAGGAACATACAGATAATTATTCCACCCAGAATAATTGATCTCAGGAAAGGAAGATGCTGCCAACAACTTCGCAAGAGGTCACTACACCATCGGAAAGGAAATCGTCGATTTATGCTTAGACAGAATCAGAAAGTTAGCTGATAACTGCACAGGTCTCCAAGGTTTCTTGGTCTTCCACTCAGTCGGAGGAGGTACCGGATCAGGATTGGGATCACTCTTATTGGAAAGATTGTCAGTCGATTATGGTAAGAAATCTAAGTTGGGTTTCACCATCTATCCATCACCATAAGTTTCAACTGCAGTCGTTGAACCATACAACTCCATCTTGTCAACCCACTCTTTGTTGGAACACACTGATGTCTGTGTTATGTTGGATAACGAAGCCATTTATGATATTTGCAGAAGAAATTTGGATATTGAAAGACCAACATACACCAACTTGAACAGATTGATTGCTTAAGTCATCTCTTCATTGACAGCTTCATTGAGATTTGATGGTGCCTTGAATGTCGATATCACTGAGTTCTAAACCAACTTGGTCCCATATCCAAGAATCCACTTTATGCTTTGCTCATATGCCCCAATCATCTCAGCTGAAAAGGCTTATCACGAATAATTGTCAGTTGCTGAAATCACAAACTCAGCCTTTGAACCAGCAAACATGATGGCTAAGTGTGACCCAAGACATGGTAAATACATGGCTTGCTCCATGCTTTACAGAGGTGATGTCGTCCCCAAGGATGTCAACGCTGCTATTGCCACCATCAAGACAAAGAGAACCATCTAATTCGTCGACTGGTGCCCAACAGGATTCAAGGTCGGAATCAACTATCAACCACCAACAGTCGTCCCAGGAGGTGATTTGGCCAAGGTCATGAGAGCTGTTTGTATGATCTCCAACTCAACTGCCATCGCTGAAGTCTTCTCCAGACTTGATCACAAATTCGATCTTATGTACGCCAAGAGAGCCTTCGTCCACTGGTACGTCGGTGAAGGTATGGAAGAGGGAGAATTCTCTGAAGCCATGAGAAGATCTTGCTGCCTTAGAAAAGGATTATGAAGAAGTTGGTATTGAAACTGCTGAAGGAGAAGGTGAAGAAGGAGAAGCATGATAAATCAATTTATATACAAATCAATATATAAAAACACATCACAATATAATTATTTATTACAAAATGAGAGAGATTCTTTAATTTCATGTTGGATAAGCTGGAATCCAAATAGGAAATACTGCTTGGGAATTGCTTTGTTTAGAACACGGAATTCAACCTGATGGTTCTGCTCCAAGCTCTTAGAATCTCTAGGTTTTATTTTCAGAGTCATAAACTAAAGCAAATGTACCCAGGGCTGCATTCTTTGATGATGACCCACTTACTATCAATTCACTTAATAGAGGACCATTAAAGAAGGTCTTGAATTAAAACCTCATTAAATTATTTAAAGATGATGCATCATCAATATGGGCATCCAAGAAAATCACATAATATGATGAAAAAGATCGGTCTTCTCGTGCTGCCGATGAAATCGTTCGCAAAATGTTGGAAGCTGCAGATGCAGCCTCAGCTATTATAATATATCATTCATTAGCAGGAGGATTTGGAAGCGGTTTCACATGCAAATTATTATAATTGTTGAATGATGAAACTGCTAAAACAACAAAGTTGACTGTGTCAGTATTTCCATCAACTAAACAAGATTAATTATTTACTTAACCTATTGTTGAACCCTATAATACAATACTCACTTTGCCAACACTTTCAGAATTGTCAGATTTCAATATTCTTTATGATAATGCTGCTATGTATAAAGTATGCCAGAATTAATTAGATTTTGAAACACCCAATTTTAGTCATCTCAATTATATGATTGCTTAAACAATTTCATCAATTTCTCAATCAATTAGATTTCGAGGGACTAAATTGGTTGATTTTAATGATATGAGAACTAACCTAATAACAACACCCAAATAATAATTTCTATGGACTTCCTACTCTCCATTCATCTACACTGATTAACAGCATTTAAAAAAACCTAATCTTTAAAACATAACAGAATCTTTATTTGACGATAATGGACATCTTCTTAGTTTCAATAGACTAACCCATAAATACCTTGGTTCATCCCTATTTTTCAAAGGAGATTGTCCTCTGCCTGAATTAAATTATGTGATTAAACAAATCAAACAATCAGAAGAAATACGCTTTGCAGAAGGAACTTAAGTGGCTTATTAAACTTGTGTTTCAATGGCTCAACCTTGCACTCTGCCAAATTACCCATTTGCAAAATATAGCAAAACTGCTTGTATGTTAGCCCATTCTACTGGTGTCTTGTAAAGTTTTGAATCCCTTAAAAAACGATTTAGCACTCTTTATTCAAAAAGAGCATTTGTTTCGTGGTATGTAGGACAAGGATTAGAAGAAGGACAATTTAGTGAATCAAATGAATCTTTACAATAAATTATTGAATTATACAAAGGCAAACATGGAGATGGAAAACCCATTGAAGTTTAACCAAAAACAGATAGAAAATAAGAATATGGTTATAAAAAGGAGAAATAAGCATAATAATAACCCTAAGTTAAAAAAACTCAAGAAGTTAAAAAAACATAAGATGTTAAAAAAAACCAAGCCCCAAAAGCAAGCAATTAAATTACAACAGCAAGAGTGGAAAATAACGATTATTCTGAAGATGCATATGATCAAAGAGCACCTGCAAGAGCTCAATAGAAACCCTTAAAACTTACTACGAATGATTAAAAATAATCTAACTCCGCAAAACCAAATAGAATTTAACAAGAAGATGATAATATTGTAAATCAACCATAATAGCAAGAAGATGATAATTAAATAAATGAACCTTAAGAACAAGAAGATATTAATTAATAAGCCATATAATAATATGATGAGGAGCCTGTTTAATAGTAAGAAGACCAATAATAAAATCAAGATGATGGATTTGGCGAAAGCAATAATCAATAACCTAAATAAAACGATCAGAAAGGACCTTAAGCAAATCAATTAAATGCAGTTGAAAATATATCCTTCTAATGAAAAGTATATAAATATATTAATAAAATCAAAGTTATATTTTTTGATTGCCCATCTCTAGATGAAATTCCTAAGGCAATTTTAAAAGAAATTTTAAAAAATGATTCTTTTTTATAGGATGATTAGGTTATGAATGCAATTTTATTCTTAGGCTGCTTTATCCATTGTAATTTGATGTTAATTCAAACTATTCTTTTGTTTTTTTTTCTTCATTTTAATTTATTTAATTTCCAAAACTCATGTTATATAAATTATGCGATTCATTTCTTTCATTCTCAACCTATCTTCTTTAAACTTCCTGTTTCTAATCTAATTATGGTTCTGGCGTTTTAATTAAAGGTAGTCTAAAGAATGTCTCCATCTATTTTTCAGCCTCAGCAGATTTTGGAATTGATTTCAATGTCATTAAAGATTTAGGTGATTGAACTTTCTTTATCCTTTAAGATCCATTACATCCCCCCAATAATCTATTAATGAGTTATTGTTTTTATTTATTTTCTTAAACTAATTCTTCATTTTTTCTCTGCAAATATTCAATCACTTCGTTTTATTCAATAGGAGAAAGTACTCTCTACTTTCCCTTACTCTCTTAGTCCAGACTCTTCTCATCTTTTTTTAGCAAGTGTTTAGGACTTCTATAAGATTGTACACTCTCTTTAGCATTTTGTAATAGTTTCTTGAGAATAGAGAATTATTTTACTTAGTCATCAGTTATAATAAGTAGATTTTTAACTTTTATTGATTTTCTTTATAATGCATCAACATGGCTTGTACATTATCGGCTTTCTTTTTTAACCACTGAAGATTTAATTTCTATTTTGTTTATTCTTGCACTTGATGCTGGCAGATTGCTTTAGTGATCCGAAAAGTTTGCAAGGTTTGAAGTTGTTTGAGAATTTCTCATTAAATCTTTATTAAATTAATTATTAATTGAACCAAAACATACCCTATATTAATTCTTAATTAAATTTTTTTTACTGTTAATTCCTTATCATAATTACTTGGTGAGCTAAAATTATCACATTCTTAGCTTAACTGATAATTAAAATGGTATTAATGAGGTAAATTTAAAGGATTATTGAAATTAAAAAATCGTATGATTATTCATTCTTTAAGCAAATATTGATTTAAAATAAGCATAAATCCAATTTATAAAATATTAAGTTTGTGTTTCATTTTGCTTTTCAAAATATTTATTAAAAATTAAATTATTTGATATTGAAATTATTATTCGTTTTTAATTTTTTTGATATACTTGAAAGATTTTAAAGACATAACGATATAACCTAAAAGATTTTTCCACTATTTCTTATGAATAGGAATGGAGATTTATAGATAATTTTATTGTTTATCTATTAATATTGCAGAATACTTAGACATATTGATTTTATTATCTTTTAAATTAACATCTTAATTGCTTTATTATTTAAACATCAATACTAATCTAATCACAATAAGAGTAAGAGATAAATATTAGAGAGAATTTTATATTTTATTTTTGATTGATATTTAGTGGATTACTAATTTAGTTGTATTTAAAAACATAAATTATCTAAAGTTATTCTTGGAGATCATCAATACAGAATTTTACATAGTTATAATACTAATTTAGTGAAGCCAATACATATTTGGTTACCTTCATTAAAAGATTAAGGAGAGTGATATATAATATTAGAACAAAATACTTCATATTAATTTTATGTTATAGTTAATTAACTTGATAAAATTGAGACAATAACAGCTATTTGAAAATTAGCCATATGACCCAAAAATTGATAAAGAACGTATAAATTAGGAGAATTAATTACTCCAAGTTTTATATCGTTTCTAAAGAGTACATATCGATGAAAAGTAAGAGAAATTATGATTTAATTTAATCAGATTGAATTTCTATGAACAATCAGCTCAACTAATGAATAAACCTATTCAACCTTTACTTCCAATGCAAGTGTATGATTTTATTGCTAAACTATATATGGAATTTTTTCAAGAAAACGAATTTTAAGACAAAGCATAAAAAATCTAATTAATCTTGGAAAATGAGATGCATAAAAATCAATCATTCATTATTCTAATGATTAAATGGCTTTTAGAGTATTATCGACTTTAAGTCAAAAAAAAGGAGCCTCAATTAAAACCTGTTTAAGTAATGAGAAGAAAACTACTAATGACAATTGATCAAAATAAATTAGAGGTGAAAAAATCTTCAGAATCACAGACAAAAAGGATAAGAATGCTGAATTTATCTAAAAGTCCAGAGAGTGATTAGAATACTCTGTCCTCATCTTATCAATAATCAACTCTGAGGAGAACTAAAATAAATTAAAGACAGTTATATAATGTAATACCTGACTTAGATTGGGATATGCCATGGGATAGATCATATAAGATTTTGTTCAATAGAAACTAAAGAATATCGAGATCTATATAAAAGAATTGCAACTGATATCAACTATTTATATTAATTGTTATTATTATTTTCTCCTAGATTTTATATTAGAAAATAAAAATAGTGGAATTGTTGTTTATATGAATTTCTAATCATTATTATAAATAATGTTAATATCTCTCCATATTTCTCTGTAGAACTTGCTCAAGTGGACCCATTAACCTTTTGAAAGAATTGAAATCGCAATAAAGTAAGGTAACATCTGTCTAAAAGTATTAGTCAATATTACTTTAGCAATAACGGTTGCTTATCTTGGACTATTTTTTAATAAGGCTAATTCCCCAAAATAATCTCCGGATTTGTAGTCGTACACTTTTTCATTTAATTTATTTGAATAAGCTTCAAGTTCTCCTTCAATAATTAAATAAATACGATCTCCTATTTCTCCCTAATATATTAAAATGATTGAACCTCTGTAATAATAGATTTGCCTGCCTAATGCTTTTCCTCCCTCAATACATCACACAACTAAACTCTTTCATAATTATCCATAGATTGGAGTAACTCAATTTTACCTAAGATTTCTTCCATTTATTCTCTTTTTTTTATAGCTGAAAATTTGACAATATTATTAAAAGTTTCTCTATCCAAAGCAAATGTTGTGACATTTTCGATTGCCTTAATGGTAGCAGCTCTTGGAGCATTATACAATAATGCTAGTTCACCAAAGGATTCACCAGGAATGTATGTCTTCAGTAACTTTTCTTCTTACAAGCCTGCAAATCTTTTGTAACATTCAAGACGACCTTCATCAATCACATATAATTCATTTCCATCTTCACCTTGTTTAATTACAAAATCTCCATCCCTTTAAATTAATATATAAAATTACTAAAACTTCTTTTCTTCCATTGCTCCTAAAACGATATTAAGATCCTTTTCATCTAATGCCTAAAACATAAAAGAATTAAGGATTCTTTTCTTAATTCTATCAATCTATCCCTAGGACTTTTATATAAATCTTGGTTTGAAATCCTCTTTTTTGTTATATTCTCCATAAACTTCAGCAGATACTGCCGATCTTGTCTATTGCTTTTGAGTCTATTTAATTTCCAAAACCAGTTCCTCTTCCTCCTCCTCTTCTTCACTGAGATCATTATTTACCACTTGCAACTATAATTAACCTCTTTCTAAATATGAACAATCGATAAATATTTACACTATTTTTATAACCAATTTATTGACCATGTATAAACATCATCTGGTTTTTCAATTACAATACGAGCAATCAATTAATCAAACACTGGTTTAACTTTTGTGGTTATATAATCCAAGGTAGCGGTTTTCTTTGAACTCATAAATTTTATAAATTAATTACGATTTTTTTGTATAAATCTTCTTGTGGATTTTTCGATGTCTCTGCATAATATCATGGTTGTAGAAATATGTTATAAATAAAGATAATCGAATTGCTAAATATATAATCACAAAAACAAATAGTACTGCTATCAGGAACTTAAAAATTAATCTTCTTCCTCTGGAAAATGATCTTATTCTAATTTATGTATTAGAAATCCTTCAATCTGTCTTTTGATGGTTTTAAGATCTATTGTAGTATGCATTTCAAAAGTAAAAAGATCATCATAATCTTATTCTAAATATGCTTTGGTTTCTTAACTAACATGTACAAAACCCTTAACTCCATTTGATTCCATTTTATTTGCAATTAGCACATCTGGACCGTAGATATCATATCTTACGATATCTGTTCCCATGATTCCTCCAAACACTGAGCCAGTATGTATTCCTATTCTCATATTCAATCCATCAAAGTTTATTTACTTTCTCACCTAAGTTATTATTTTAATCATCTCAAAAGCTAAATCCACAATATTCTTTGCTTCTTAATGAGGATTTCTATTATTGTAATCAATCATCCCAATTGCAACATAGCAATCTCCAATTGTGTACAATTTATAGACATTCAATTCACAACATTTTCTATCAAATTCTACGAACAGATTTTTCAACATTACTAAGACTTCTTCTGGTTTCACTTTACTTGAATATTCTGTAAAACCAGCAATGTCAGCAAATAGAATTGTCAATTTATCTAATTTATCGCAAATTCCTATGTTATTAATTCTGTCATCCAAAAACTTATTTAGTATGTGTTTAGGCAATAAATACTGAAGTAATTATGATTCTTTTTGCTGTTGAGTTTTAAAAATGTTCTTTTGATTAAAACAACCTACTTATTATTGTTCGATGAATAATATCAAAGTCAAATTGTACATTGAACTTACGAAAATGAAAAATATACTTATTAATTAAGTTCCATCAATGCAAATGATTATTATTAGGTAAAAAAAGTTGAAAAAACAAAATAACACTTTTACCCAAAAACTAAGAATTTAAACACTACAAAATACACATTAGATGAAAACGATCTCATAAACATGAACATTCTTCAATTCATCACTATCATCTAAAACTATAGCTATCCCTGCTAATATAACTTAAATGAGTAATAGCATTTTTATAAGGATCTTCCATTTTTCAAAGTAGGGCTTTCTGTTTATCAAAAACTGAATTAGGTTCAAAATGCAGCAGAACCATTGTAATACTATTATAACTATATTGTAATCATTGTAGAATTGTATCTAACAAAATTACTTTATCATATAATATAAGGTATACAACCTTAAATTATAAATTGTCTGATTCTTCGACTAAAATTTCACAAATTCCATATACTAATCATAGCTTATAAACTGATTCATTTGTTTCTTATAATAAGAAATTTCTAACAATTAAAGAAACGAGATATCTTTTATCAAGTTATGTTCTAGAGTGTATTCATTCTTTAATAAAATTACATTCTCTAATTAATTACATAAAAAATACCAATAACTATTCATAATCTATCATCTCATCGATTTCTGGTTCATAATTTTCTAATTGAAATCTGTTCTGAAGCATTGTGACTAACCTTTTAAATGTACTTGGTTATTCTAAAGATTATTATTTTCCTTATTTATCTTCAGAAACTTGCTTAGATAATAATTGAATTGATTATTCTGATTTTTCATCATAAGATTAATAAATGGCAGGATCAGTAGGTTTAATACCAAAAACATTCTGAGTTCCTTTATCTTAAATTGACTCTCTTCTTTAATTCATAGTATCTATATATGTCAAAATGGTCTTTCTTTTCTTTAAGTTTTTTTTCAATATTTCAGGATTCTTTCTTACAACGTAGCTTCTTGCATCTCTGCTTTACAAATCCTGTTCATATTGCATAGAATAAGTATTGTCTTTATTTTAAATCTTACATTTAAATATATAGGTTGGTCTAATACCCAAACCTTTCATTTCTACATTTCTGATCTCAAATTCAATATTTTCATTTTTTATTTAATCAAATGCTTATTCTGACAAAGTAATTGTGTCCTCTAATCCAGTTGAACAAACTCTACTCGTCGTATTTACAGTGTCACCAATTAAGGAAAATTAAGGTTTATGAAACCCTATGACTCCACTAATAGCTCCTCCGTAATGAATTCCAATCTTCCCAACTAATTATTAACCCTATGTACCCCACCTTAGATAAAATAAAGTATTACTATTTTGATCTTATATAATTCATCATTTATTCAGCCAAATTCAATGCTCTCTAAACAGGATCAACCTAGGACAAATATGTTAATTCTTATTCACATGCCTATAGACCAGCCGAAGCCAAATAAGTTTTTCCAACTGTTTCTATCTTTTAAACACCATAAACCTAACAGAATTTATCAAAGGTTCTAAATATATCATCCAAAAATGGAATAATTTTATCCTTTTCTTCTATGACCATTTAATCAAAATTGCAAATGTCACAAAAGACAATTGCCACTAAACCTTAGTTTTAATGGATGTTATATTAATCAGCTAAAATATTAATTCAACTTAAATACTTTCATTTAATCTATCTCTAATGAATTTTGGTAAGAGTATTCCAAGGATGTCATTAATTTTATTATTTTACTCAATAAAGTTTAATTTATTTTAAGCCTAATCTTCTTCTAATTAAATATACTAGATTTATTATGTTAATAATCTTACATAGCTCTTTACAAAATACTGAGATCCTGAAAACAGAACAATAAATTATAAGATTTAAATTATGAAAGAAACATTAGATTCATTCTCAATAATATACCAAATTATATAACCAATTATTGTTGTTAAAGTGGAGCCCAGATATAATCTGTAATCATAAATTGGATGGAATTTTATGGATAATTAATAAGTTATAAAATACTACATAACTAATGTAGATCCAATATGTTCAGAGTTATTTGATGTAAAAAGAATTGAAACTGTTGCTGCAGTTGCAATAATAAATTTGGCATACTCAAGATATTGTTATTTATTAGTTGGTAGTTGAATAAATGTAAATAAGATAAATACAATTACTTGAAGTCCAAAAATGATCAAATAATCTACTAAAAAGTAATTGTTGTAATCTTGATACAAATACATTATGAGTAGGAATGTGCAATGATAAAATAGTAGTTAAAGACATTAAATAGTTTATTTTTGTTTCCATTTTAATATGGTTTATGCTTTATGGAAAATCTATTATGTCCATTGACCAAACCTGCTCTAATAATTTTGCTCATTTAACAATACTAAAATGTAATAATTTGTATTTACATTTTTGGATGCTCAAATCTACTTGTTCTATGTTATCAAAGAGATCATTTACTTTATTCTACAAAATAGTTACAGTTTTCTTTTTTTAAACAGGTGCACTAATTAGATGGATATAACTTAAATAAGATAAAAATTCTTCTTCCTTTTTAGGAAGATCATTTACACTGCAATTTTATAGATAATCCCCTAGAATATTGGTAATTAACATAAAAGAAACTCCTAAGATAATTGAAAATACTTCCTAAGTATTTATTTGATTTTTCCATTCTTCATCTTCTTGTGCATCTAGCAAAGTGTAAATGTAAAAAAGGAGTGAAAAGATACTACAAGCTATAATTTTTAATTTCAGTCCAAAATTTATTATTATACAAAGCCAATCACTGATGCTAATCGACATAAAAATGTAAAGATAAAATTCTTTCTAATAAATATCATATAAGAATATGCATGAGATTATTATTCCTTACAAAATATTCTTAATTATTATTAATATCTATATTTCAGTTTCAGATTTATGTTTAGAGTACAACTAAAGTAAAAGAGATTAATCCCGAGTGTATTTGAGTTTTTTTGAATCATCAAGAAATTAATAATGTTAGATACCTAATAAAAAGAATTGGTATATGTAAAAATAGAATACTACTTCTATCAAGTAATTCAATTAATCTAATGTATTCCATGTGTAAAGAATTGAAGTAAAAGTAAAATAAGATATAAATGTTACTGTTTTGTAGACAGTTTATTATTATAAAGATCTAAACAATATTTTTAATAAGGGACTTTAAAAGAATAATAATCTATTCAATTCTTTAAAACCTTAAATAATTACCTCTGTGTTTGAATTAATTTGCAATTCATTATAATAGCATTTTTCATAAATAAGTCTTTATCTCAAAGATTATTTTAATTTCCTAAAGAAATTGTTCTTGTCCACTCTTCCGAATTTCTAATCCCTAAATTAGCTAAATTGTTATAATTATAATATTTAAATTTAACATCCACTAATACATCTTAACAAGCTTTAATTTTCATATAATAGATTGATAGTTTTCTCTGATGTACACCATAAATCTTAAACAATATTTAATTGATCTTGAGTTGCTTAGTACAAAAATAATGCTTTGGTAAAATTAAGTAATAATTTTAAATGGTTCTTAAAATAAGCATTTTCCATTATCTATTAACAAGTTGAATTGTTCAAAATGACAAAGACTTTTTTAGTCTTTGATTTTTCTGCTACATGATCCAATTCAGTAGACTTTTAAGCACTATAATTAGATATTTTGATAAATCTAGAACTATTGATGCTAGCATGAGAAAACTAATTGGAAAATTCTTCTAGACATTACTTAAAGTAGGCTCTTAAATCTTCCTCATTTTATTAGTTGAAATGGAAGATTAAATCATTTTATTATAATAATTCAGTTTAGTATAGTATAGAGGTTGCTGAAATCTCCTAATTTTGTGTATAAATGAATAATTAATAATCTGATTTCCTAATGTTTCTCATAAAATCTTGACAATCCTGTTTCAACTCATAGCTCAAACCAAATATAATATTCAATTTAAATAGTTGTTCCATGAGCGTGTACAATTAATTTTCTGATGTATTACTCTCTGCAGAAGATAAATATAAGTTAGCTTCTTCTTAACTCAAAAAACAATAGTAATAGTATATGTAATGCAATGACTCTGATTGAAGTTTCAACACCTTATCTTCAATACTCTCATTTTTCCTTACGTTAGCTTCTCTCAAAAATAAAATGAATTGTTGATCAATTTCTTAAGAACAATCATCCATTTCAAATAGCATATACAGTCTTTGGTTTTGGATATGTAATTTAGTGTTGACTAGTTTGAATTAATAAAGTTCCTTGTTGATTTAGATGATATAATGTTGTTACTACCTATTTAATATGATAAATATATTACTAAACATTATTAACACAAATGAATTCATAACCCATCATTTTAGCCATATTGACTTACTTTTAATCAAGCAAACTGAGAAATTTATTTTTGACTTTTTATTCATGTTTTTCGGTAATCAGTAATTTCGAAAATGCAAGATGATTCATTGCCAATTACAAAAGTAAAGGATTGAGCTCATTTTTTGAATTATTCTATATCATAGATTTATATAGAGCATTTTCATCAATTAAATACTTATCTTATTTTACCTAATCCTTTGATGATTGATATATTTTTGAGCTTTTTTATTGATTAGATTATCTTTAAGCCGTAAGATGATCCCCTATCTCCTAATTTTCGAATAAATTCTTATCATTCTAAAATTATTCTTAGATAATTAATTGAGCTTAATTTAGATTCAATTCATCTTTATAATCTTATTGATACAAGTGGATAAACCTACCATCAACTGATTTTGGAACTTTATTAACAATGCATTCTCTTTAACTAAATAAAATCTCTGAACTTGAGCTCTACATTTCATAATTAACCACTTATGAATTTAATTAATTATTCATTTGTTCTAAATTAATATCATAAGGATTCTTACCTTAATCTTATTTATTTAATCCATTTTCTGCAGTGGTCAAGAACTGCAAAAATTGTTATTCTTCAAAATCACAATATTAATTGTTGTAAATAATGCGTTTCAATTTAAATGACTATTCTATAAATGCTTCTACACTAACAGTAAGGAATTGTTTCTCCAAATATCTATCTATGTGACATGACATAATTTATTTTTAATCCATGGTACCAATTATAGTCAGTTAAAATAGACTGCATATATTATAATAAATCTTAAAGAAATGAGGTACCATTAAAATTAAATAGACACAATTATCCAGTACAATTTAGGTTATCTATCGTAATTCAAACAAGTATTCATTTTGATTAAAAGCTATGATTTAAATCTAAAGGATATACAAATATTTACAATCATGATTACACAAATAACAAAGTAAAATCCAAAATATTAATTATTATCAAATCTTAATTTTCCTTAGAGTTTTTAATAGCAAAAGCAACCATTGCCCACTTTTACAACAACTCCCAAAATCCAAGGTGTTGCCAATAATTTCTCTTGGCAGAATATAAAATTTTCAAAGTCAAGCATTTTGGATTAAGGATCTTTCTTTAGCTGAAAAAAACCTTTGATTTAAGAGTTCTGTTCATGAAATACTATATTTCCAGTCAAAGACTTTTTAAATTAAACCAATGTTTATGATTCAGCTAATACCAAAGATTTAATTTTTACATCTATTTTACACTACTGGCTTTCTCACAGTTGATTGAGAGTAATCACATAATTATTATTAAACACAAAAATTTTCATCATTGCATTGTAAAACAATAATATCACAAGGGGCTATTTCATTTCTTTGCAATAATATAACTTCACCTATTTTAATATCTTGCACATTTTGAGATTTAATTAAATTCATTTTATCTTTTTCCATTTTTTTCAACTTTTCATTTAATGGTACTTTTGCAGTTGTTTAAACTAGGTCTTTAGGAAATATGCTTGGAACCAGCTTTTTAAATTGAATAATCAAAGGATCATTTTCCATTATTTAGATTTATTGCAATTTCAAAGCCAAATCCTTATAAATTAATGGACTCATTTGATTTTATTTCTTAATATTGTCCGAGGCTTTGATATTTTTGTTACTTTGTTGTTATTTGTATTGGATTTATTAAAATGGAATGGAATCATTTGCTAAAATAAATAAGTAATTGCATTACATATAATTGTTTTAGAGATTCCTTTCTTATGACTCTGACCATATTCAACTTTCTTATTATTTTACGAATTTCTTTCAAATTAAGACTTACTTTTTAATCTCAAATTACTCTCACTCTATTCTTTCTAATCCTATCTTTCCTTTATTTTTGATATAATTTCCTTATTAACTATGCAATCATCCCATTACTTTATAATTTTTGCCTCTTATTCTTTTAACATTTTATCCATGTTTCGTATTTTTAAACAATTGTGTAAATCGATTATCCATTATTATAAAACCAAGGGAATTGCCACAAAATAAAAAGGCAGAGAAGAAAATGCTTATAATATAAGAAGTAAGAAGTAGAAGATGTTTTCCTTAATGGCTCTTAAAGGGAATAGAAATATAAAATTCACCCTCTAAATTTTATTTTCACTTTCTAAAAATCCTTCGGATGAAACAGTTTCTCCATTTCTAAATTGAATCTTATTAACTATGTAGATAGTACTTGATATGTATTTTTTCTCATTTCATTATTATGCCTATAATTCAGGAATAATTATTTCATTTTAATTTATAACAGAATACAAATCAATTAAGAACTTAGTTTTGATCTCAAAATTCATATCAATATTAATTTTGATTTGCAACGATCTAGCTACTCCAATTTAGCTGAACAATTGCAAAAGAAATAATTAATCTCTTTAAAATATCGCAAATTAAACATTCGAAAAAGAATTCAACTATTCATTATAATAAGCGAAATCATGAATGTTAAATAAAAAGTTGAATATATGCGAATTAACAATATAATAAATAGACACTAAATTCTTAGACATTATTGCTTTATTTAAGCACATCAATCAATCCTTTATTATGCGATTATCCGTAAATTAATGAACAAACAGCTCTTTATTACTATCTAAAGGTTCCATTTTACATACTTATTATTCATATAAAATTTAATGTTACAACCAAATATAGCTATATTTTCTTATTACCAATTATCATCAAATTTAGCCTATTTTTTATAAACTGTTTATTATTTGAGTCATAATAATTTTTCATTCCTTGTATTTGTATTAGTTTATAAGTAATCTAGATGTAGACATTTGAAAGTCTTGAAAATAATTGCCAACTAAAATTAAATGTAAATTCCTATTCAATCAGTGGCGCACTATTAAATGAGTCTAAAAAGTGGAATAATAGCTATTTAGATTAAGGTAATTTTAATTCAACTAAATTTATACATGTATAGATTCTCAAAAGGGTTACTAGTAAATATTGAATATCAAATTTAATATTAACAGGATATCTCAACCTTACATATTTATTTATTAAGAATAAAGACAACATATTGTAACAATTAAGATTTTACATGCTGTTTTCAATTCGCTATATATGAGGTAAAATAACTGCTTATTGCTTTGTATAAGAATTATTAAATCATTTATATATCATTTTGTTATTAAATGATGAATTGTAATCTATGGATTATTTAGGAAATAACAAAAGAATTAATAACCGTCGGATAGTATTTTAGAATAATGCATTTTGCCTTTTAATTGATATTAGAGTATTGGAAATTATAAAACCAAACAGATTCCTATGTAAAAGTGTAAATTAAAGCTTTTATATCTTACTATTAATACCCTGAGATAAAAGTAATTTCAATAACTTATAAATAAACCGATGGCTTTTTGTATCGAAATAAATAACTTTTATTTTTTGTTTTTTTAAATTTAATTCAGTTATATAAGTCAATCAATTGTTTCCAACATTTCTTTACAATTTTGCATCTAATATGATATTAAATTTTAATTATACTTTATATATATCTGCTTACTCATTTTCATTCTTAATCTTATACATTTAATTTAATTGCTGTAGTTTCCTTGTTGTTATAATCTTGAAGGGCTAGTTAAACATATCAGGTCAATATTTTTAGATTAAACTTAAATTTATTCATTCTTAGAATATTACTCATACTTTTTAGTGTTGGAAAATGTTCATAAATAATTGGAATATTTGTAGAAAACTCTTGAAACATTAAAATAATTTTCTATTATTAATCTAAATTAAAAGAAATCAATTCTTATCATTAGTTATCTTTTTGCTAAATAAAATAATTCGCTAATTATTGATATTAATATAATAAATCTAGGTATAATAATAAAATAATAAGAATGGGTGCAACTTGTTCAAATATTAAAAACCAAAATGTATTTAACATCATGGAACTACCATATAAGTATAGATATTAAGAGTGTTAGTATCCATGTGATGGCATACATCTGGTCTGATAATGGACATAATTTATTTGATTATGAGAGTGATTCGCTAGTAAAAAAATCAATTGATTTCGATTTCTAAGGTATTTCCCTTAAATATATTAGGAAGAGTGGTTCAATTGGACAGAGATATTTTGGCTTTAACAAAAAATGTAAGATTATTTAGATTATTATACAGGAGGTGGTAAGAAATTAAAGAGAAATATTTGAGTTTCGTAGTAATCAAAAATATATTGAAATATATAACCCTAAGATTGAAAATGCATTCTGGAAAGTCATTCGTCCTATCCAGGCATCAGATTTACCAACTTTGGAGCGTCAAAAATTAATCATTAATACAACAATAAAATTAGGAAGAGTCAAGTTGACAGTCCTTGATTATAGCTTTGCTTATGAATTTGATGATGGGGGAGGAGTGCCTGATGAATTAGATGAAAAAAATAACTTAAATGATAGTGAGTTTGTAGAAGGTTAAGTGTAATGCAGATTTTGTCTAAGTAAATTGGCAAAATTTGAAAATCCCTTCATAAGTCCATGCAAATGCGCTGGTTCTATCAAATATATACATTTAAAATGCTTACAAAGTTGGATAAATAGTCAATTAAAAACAAAAACATAAAATGGAGTAACTCTATATTATTGGAAAAGTATGAAATGTGAGTTATGTAAGACTATGTACAAAAGTAAGTATTCAAAATATCATTTATAGCATCATTTAAATTTAAGACAATCCAATACAATATATGCGATATAAATAAACCTAAGGAACCTTATTTATTATTATAAATAAACCATAGCGATAAAAATAAAGAGTAGGGACTATATGTAATTGATATAAAAACAAGGGATACAATTAAAATAGGCAGAACATAAGATTGTGATATAAAATTGCATGATATTTCTGTCTCTAGACATCATGCTAGTATACTGGTTAACCATTAAGAATAATCCTTTTTTTTAGAAGATAATTGTTCAAAATTTGGAACACTAGTACTAGCATAAGATGAAGATTTATAGATTTAATTGAATTCTCCAAAAAGATTAGCTTTATAAGTAGGTAGGATTGTAATAGTAGTAACAATAGAGAAAAAAATAAATAAAAAGAAGTATGTAATTATGATATGAATTTTTAGAATAAATAAATATCGAGTTCCTGCTTAATTTGAAGTATTTAGATAAATTAAATAACATGAAGATGAAGTAGAATAATAATCTGCTGAACAATAATAATAATCAGATGTTGAGGACATTTTAATAAATGATCCAACATTTGATAGAGATTAAGACATGAGTAAATTTAAAAATATGAATTTTTTAACTGGAAGTATTATTTAGAGAGAGTAATAGTGATTTGATATCTTATATTGATAATTTTTCAAATCTTCTATTATTATTTTTTCAAAGCAATTGCTTTTTTGGCTTTTTTTGATAAATACAATAGTTTAACAACAATTTTTAGAGCCATCTATATATTTAAACTAGTTAATGCGAATTTAATATCCATTTCAGTAACATCGACATATTGAATATATTCATTTTGTAATGGTTATTTACCAAACTCAGTCAACCAATCATCTAAAATTATTTAATCTATTTTATATCTTTTTTCAGCATTTTTTTCTAGCATTCCTTTCAGTAATTTGAGGATTGATGAGTGAAATCCAATTGGTTAAGGGAAGGGAGGACTTGATTTTATAACATTGTAGTTTACTTGTCTTCTAATATTTATTATCTTAGTTCCATAGACTTTTAACTTGGAAAGGGTAATCTACCATAAACCATTTAATATAAAGTCACTCCTCCTGCCCAAATATCAACAGGTTTTCCATCGAAATTCGATCCTTTAATTAAGATATTATTATAAAATACCTTTAAATACTTCAGGTGCCAAATAAGCTTGAGTACCAGTTTAATTGGAGATTCTTCCATCTTATCCATCTTCCATGATATGTGAAACTCCAAAATCAGCAATTTTCAATTAATCCTAAATATTGACTAATAAATTATCAGGTTTGATGTCTCTATGTATAACATTAACACATTCATGTACTTAATTAAATTTAATTTTAAATACAATAATCTAATCCTTTAATGAAATCACTAAAATAATGTCTACATTATTCTTCAGTCAACCTTTAATTTATATTTTTATCTTCAATTTCATCCAAAATATTAGATGTCTCTTTATTCTTTTTAAAAAACCCTTTGCTGAGTATGCTACCCTTTCCCATGTATTCCATAACTAAGTACAACTTATCCTATTTAGGATCATCAATGACCTCATATAATTGGACTACATTTGTATGTGAGATCTATGATGAATATTAAAATAATTCCTACTTTTTTCATAATAGCAATTTCCCTTTCCAACATTGTATATGCATTTGATTTAGATAAAAGTTTCTTTTTTAGTTTTTTTTTGTTTGCTATCTTAATTGCCTAATGATATAGCATATTATCAATACAAATTATTCCCCTTTAAAATTTTAGGCCTTTTTAACTTTTCCAAATGCTCCCTGACCCAATGATTCAATTACTGTATATTAATTAATTTGTGCCATTCCTTCAACATTTATACTTTTTTCCAGACGAGATGTCTAAACAACTTCGAGTGTGTGTTAAACAGCTAAGGATTTTCGAGGCTTAAGTCTTTGGGAACCCAATATTTAAGATTCCTTAATATTGAGATATTTTTCCATGGAAAGTTCAGCTTTCTAGATATAATATATATAATGACTTCCATCTTTTAAGATGATCTAATAAAATGTATGAGATTTGTTTGAGCATAATCAATAAATGGTTTATTTATACTAGGGGATTTCGAAATAACTCCACTATCACGCATTGGAGTTGCATTAACTTTTTTTGGTTTATTACGAATCAATTCAATTAGATTGGTTTAATACTTGAGTTTATTCTTAGGTGAAACCATTGTCGTATCCTCTAATTTATTGTTACATTCACTTTGGTCAGGTTTTACTTTATCATTTTCCAAAGACTTCTCCTAAAATAGAGAAAGCATTCTAATTCTAATATAACACCGTACCTAAAGTTATTTATTTGATTGTTCGACAGTCCACTACCCATTTTATTTAACAATTAATTAATCTTATTAAACATCCACTTTCTTTGTTGAAAACGAGATATTAGACTTAGTATTTTGAACTACCAAGCTATTTATGTAACAAATCCCTTTCATTTCAGAATTATTAAAACCATACCATTTGAAGATTACACTTAGGAATGACATATAGAGATTGTAAATCAAAAGACTGGAATAGTTATAAAAAGAGATGATACAATATTAATTAATTGGTGTTAATTAATGTCTGATAGTCAATATATAACGATTAAAAGAATGATATTAATTTTACAACCATATATGAAGAATAATCATATAGTGCTGAGTTAAGAAATGGTAAATCTTTGACATAAATTTTCATTTTATTAATATCGTTCATTGTGGACCAACATTAGATCTTGGAGCCTATTGTTATTGTTATTATTAGGGTTTTGGTTATTAAGGGATTTGTTATGGTTAGAATTACTAAACATAAGATGGAGCATAAGTGGGTGCGAAACCTTAAGGAACAACTCTGGAAGCGACCAATGGTTATGCATAAGTAACAGGTTATTAAACATATTAGACTGGTTATTGATAAACTGGTTATTAATAAACTGGTTATTAGACAACCTAGACTGGTTGTTAGACTACTTGAACTGGTTATTAAACAACCTATTGGACAGGTTAAACTTATTGATGGACAACTTGTCTTTCGACTGGATAATACTCTACTCTCTCTTGATATCTGTCAACTGGGACGTATTCTATTTTATTAACTATTTCAGAATACCTGTGAATTTCTCTTGAAACACTTAAGGGACATATTCGGTTTAGTACTCAACAGCATAATAATCTGTCACTTTTCTTTCTCTTGGGACATATTGAACCACTTCTTATTCTTCATATTCTACAACAGCCTTTTAATAAGGAACATATTCAATTCTTGATTCTCCTTTGATTGATTGATGCTAATTTGAATATTATTAAATTATTGTACTTAAACTTATGGGACTGGTTATTAAACGTATTAGACTGGTTACTAAACATATTAGACTGGTTATTGAACATATTAGACTGGTTAAGGAGCAGGGGCATATTGAACTGGTTGGATATATGATTATCGGATTGGGGATTATTGCAATGGGACAGCATACTACTATGAAAATACATTCTTACCTAGGGAACTGGTTGTTAGAGGGTTGGTTGACCAAATTTAGGAGCCTAAGTGGTGGCCAAAGGCTAAGCAGGTGGGGCATTGCTATATGGATGATTAGACATCTAATTATTTAAATAATAAAGATATATATATTTATATATATTTATCAAGCGAAATAAAATGAAATAAAAATAATCACATTTGTTAATAACAGAAAATATTGGCAGGATGATATTTGATATCCTTTCTAATTCTTTCAGATGGTTTAATAATAAGATGACATCCATGTAAACGATATGTCTTATTTCCAACTGGCAATAAAAATATGGTATTTTCTTTCTCTATAACTTTTTGGATATATTATCATTAATTTACCACTTAATTAATCATTTTCTTTTATGATAATGAATGATTTCTTCTTCTCCCTCACTACTATTCCCTCCTACCCCTCGTAGGTTTTACATTTGGAATATACTATCTAAATCAATGCTCCATGAAAATCAGCCCTTAATAATCTTTAGAACTTTGAATCTGCTTATTATTCCTTACTCAATAAATCTTCAATATATAATCTCCATAAGTTATTTAACTTTGACACTGCAGCATAAGATAGATTCCCTAAATCTCTCTTAAATATCTTAAGTTATCTATTTAGACCACTTTTAAGAGGTTCTAATTACTTTATAAATTAATTCTTACATTATTATTCTCCATCAGCATTATTTCTCAATTAAAATGGTTTTTCAAATTTTCCTATCAAAAAACCTTTATGCTTGATTTTATCCCCATATAAATCAGCATCTCCTATCATTTATGCCATCTCTAAATCTACCATTTCATTTTGCTACAAAATACTAAAGTCATTTACAAATTAATTTGCTGTGTCTATATTTATTGATTATCAATAAATATTCTCGGCTGTCAATTTCACCAATTCTAATCTATTTATCTCATGATTCAATTTCAATCTCAATTAATGTTATTCCCTATTCTGAATTGACTTTTGCTATTTATCAACCTTTTAAGGTGGTTTATCAACCTTTTATGGTTATTTCTCTTTTGGTTTTTTATCTTATTTCTCTATTTTCCCGAATATTTCATCTAAATCCATTTATCTCAATAATTAATGTTAAAATTATTCACACTATTAATTAAAGACTTCCTTAAATTCCTGTAATATAAATACTAGGATCTCAAACACCTCCCTACTACTTTGATAAGCTCAACATTAGGTAAAAATGTTTTAAAAAGTAGGGTGAAATCAAAATTAATTATTAAAATCATAGTTAAACTATCTTCTATGTAAATGTTAAGCCCTGATGATAAATCCTCAATTAAATCATATAATATATGTTTAATGATTCCAAAGATGTCTTATGTTCATTCATGTATTAAGATTATAAAATGAAGAATAAGTACTTTACATACAAGTATCTAAGATGTATAAATGAGAGAAACATTGAATAAGCAATTACAAGTTTTATGAAATATTATTTAGATTACTTTCATTATGCTTCATAATTTCTCTATTTAATACTTTAATTAGTTCTTAAATCTGTTACTAAAGAGATTTATTTTCTTTTAGAAAAATAGAATAACTCATCATTTAGTTTAAATTGCTTTGTATCAAATTCAATAATTAAGTAAATCATTGCTTACTAAGTCTATATTGTTGATTTCAAATAAATATTCACAATAACAAAAACAATAAATTGAATTGACCTAATCTATTAGGAATATATTATTACAATAAAAAGAAGGAGAAGATAATGTAAATGAAAACTAAATTATAGAATACACTTGTAATAATTAAAATGTCGAAGAGAGTATTGTGCTGATTAATTCTTATATTTATTTTAGTATAAATTAAAATTCTAATAATTTTGATTTCTAATAACAAATCCTATAAATCCATATAATCAACTGTGAAGTATTTATTATAATAATTATTTCTTTTCATCCTAAATTCTTTAGACATAGGCATGTATTATTCTGAGTTTTCCATCCTCAAATAGATTATTCTATGAATCTTTAATTTGTTTGATCATTTAGAAATATAATAAATCTTTTAGTAGATTTATTAAATCAAAATTAAATCAATTTATTATTTTCTCTACTTAATGGGTTTGGGCAAAAAATAATAATATTTAATATATTTTCTATTTCTTTAAATAGAAATTATTATTATTTATTTTTAGATAAATAAGACAGCCAAAGATGTGATTATTAAAATGAATAAAGAAGCTGAGTATATTGCACTCACTGCTGAAATTTAAGGAAATGGCACTAAATTTGTTGGAGAATATGAAAATGTTAGAATTCCATTTGAATTGAAGGATGCAATTAAAGATGCTTTTAGAAGGCATCTAAAGCATGTTAACCAACATTAAAGAAGTAAATGTCCAATTTTACAATAGTCTATCGTTGAGGCAAAATTGGTTAGATTTATAAGATAGAATATATAATAGAGCATAATACTACAAAAGTATTAAATTATCATCATGATTTCTAGCTTATGGAAATTCTTGTATTAGTGATGCAAGAAATGTTGCTGAGGTTAATGTCTGTTGCGACAATTACATCTAAAGACTAAACAATGACTTTTATAACGATGTATTAAAAATATTAAAGGATTATTGAGAGATTTCATTTATTAAGAATATGCATAACAAAAACCAAAAATAATAATATATAACATTTTCTGTTAATTAATCTGAATGTTTTTCGACAAAGACAGAATCGTAAAATTGATGCAATCCAACCAAATAGCTTCCCCTTTATCCTTCAAAATGGATTCTCCTAGAATATATTCAAAAACACCGAATTCCTAATCAACATTGAATTGTGATCTAACATCAAGAGGCAAACTTAAATTGAATTTTTTAGCAGAATTGTCTGACAATCGATCCTTGACAAATCGTTACATGCTAAATACCAAAAATAAGCCAAAATAACAAAAATAATTATTTAGTAAGGAGAATAAGTTTGTTGAGTCATCACTAAAAAAAAGTTAATTGTATCCATCAACTGATTCGTTGCTTCAAAATATAAACATACAATCTCCTGCCTCTACTTTTAGTGAAGAGTTCATGAAAATCAATTCAAAATTCAATTCAGTTAAAAATATAGATAATGTTGATCAACGTCTATAGAGAAAGTAGAGCAATTCTGTAATTTAATTAGTGAATAAGAATGGATCTTAAATTGAAGGATACTAAAATAAGTATACACAATAATTGAAATTTATTATAGCTCTGTGATGAGATCAACTGAAAAAATAAGATAATAATTTGATGAAATCGCACTTTTGGATTTGAAAAGTTAGAATATTTATTTGTAAGTAAGAAATTTTAATTAATATTTCGAAGTAAGAAAATGCCTCTCTTAAATCTTAATTGTAATCAGTGCAAGACAATATGAAACATCAAAATAAAGTAATTGAAAAGTTGAAATACAATATCTAATAACTTGAATAGTAATTTATATTCTAAGATTAAAGATAGATTTAACATCTAATTAAAGGAGAAGAACGAGAAATCAGCATCCACCATTGAGAAACTAAATTCATAATTAGATTTTGAAGGATCTATTTAAGATGATCTCAGAAAAAAGATGAATGAAAAACAACAAGAACTTAGTAAATATAACTTAGTAATATTATTAATTTGATATATTTTGTAGATCGAATAGGAAATAAAGAAAATAGAGGATTCACATTTAGAAACTTTAAGTAAAATCAGCAAAGAACTCAAAGAATAACAAGTCTCACTTAAAATTCTTAATCATCATATTAGTTGTTTATCCTAGATATCTATACTATTATCAGAGAAGGAGGAAATTCCAATTGAGATTTTATTTAAATATAAGTAAATCCCTTAGATTCCTCAATTTATGTTGAATTCAGAAATAATTGAAAATATCTTAAAGTCGAATTCAAAAATGATAAAAGAATTATATGATTTAATAGGAAAATCCTTTGAAAAAATATCCTACAACTTTGTTTAAGAATTTTCATAAATCTTATATAAGTAATGAGCATTAAAAAATGAACTATTATATATATATATAATTTAGACTGAATAAATTATTTGTACATAATAATGAATAATCATTAAATGTTCAGCAACATCCTCCTCCTTGTTTCTTCTCCTCATTCTCATTATCTCTAGGTTAGTTCTATATCTAAATATTAGGCTCTTAAGGTCTCTAAAAATGAAATGTATTCATACTTGCTATGCCGGTTATTACTAATTTTGAGATTGCTCAGCAGGATTGCCTAACAAATCATATGAAAGCTTCTTAAAGAATTCAGCCACATTAATTGCACTCTTGGCAGATACTTCTTAAAATTAAGCACCTAATTCCTAAAATTTTGAGATAACAAACTGAAAATACTTTCGCCTTGTCTTCAGCTTGTTTTGTAGGGATCTGTCTTTCATTTTCCAAGTCAATTTTGTTCCCCAGTATGTATATTAAGACTTCATCTCCTCTTTCTTCTTTAACATCTTCAATCCACCTTGGCAGGTTTTGGAAAGACTTCTCATCTTTGTTATCTAACATAATGATTACTCGTAATATCAAAACAAATGATGGCTGCTTGTGAATCTCTAATATAACTAGGTATAAGTGATCTAAATCTTTCTTATCCAGCTGTATCCCATAATTGAAGTCTAACAGATTTGTTATCAACTTAGAGAGTCTTGGAAATGAAATCAATTCCAACAGTGGGCTTAATTAGTTTGAATATATTGATATACTTATTCATTACCAGTGAAGTTGTCAAAAATAAATCTATTAATAATTGATGTTTTTCCAACAGCTTAGTCTCCAAGAAAAACTATTTTGTACTTTTACATAGGTCCACTTGTTGTATTTTGTGCCATTTTAAATAAATAATTTAAAAATTTATTTTTATTATATAAAAAGGGTTTAAGTGATGATATTTTAAATTTGAGGCTTGAGGTGTTTATCGGGAGAGTTTGAATGCAATGAAAGGATAAACAATATTATAATATAATCAAAATTAGGATAATTTATAGAAGTTTTAACAATAAATTAAATAAATCTGTTAAATATGTTTCATAGTTATTAAACACCTAAGCAAACTTATAAGCAACAACCACAAAAAATGTACCAGCAGTTTCACTAAAAGACTCTTCCTTGCAAATCTTTGTCACCCACTTAATTTGGATAATAAAAAATAGGAATTATTGAATAAGATGAATAAATCCCATCTACTCCCCAAAAGATCAATTTATCCAAAGGTGTTAAGTTACTCAATGTGCCTTCCTAAGGAAATGAAAACAGTTTTAGAGGAAGCAGTTAAAAGACTCTATTGGTCTCTGATAGTCCATTAGTGGCAAATAATAAGGAGAATGGAGCATCAAGTAGAAGATTGAATACAGATTGTACATCTATGGATTTGAATTCTTAAGTAGTTATACAGGAGAATCGAAAGTTGAACGAGATGATTCAGAGATTATTCAAGGAGAAATAAGATTTAGTTACAATAATAGACAAATAGAAGAATTCATAAAGTATAATGAGTAATTAAGGAGGAGACAATTTGAATTTGAATAATTTAAAGGAGAGAATAGAGAGATTGGAAGGAGTGATTGATTTGCAGAGTGAAGAAATCCTGCAATGGAAATAAAAATATAAATAAGCTTGTGAATCAGATGAGAGAGCATATGCAATAGAATAAATGGTAGAATATATAGAATTATTAGTTAGGAATCTTAGATAATGAAAGTGGTGGAGGAGAATGAGAGATTAAACAATTTGGGAAATGATAAGGATAGGGAAATCGAAGATTTAAGCCATGAATTAGTAGCATTGCAAAAAAGATAGTTTGAATAAGAATAAAAAATAAAAGATCAATCAAATTTAATTATCGCTTATGAAGAAGATACTAAAGAGTTGAAGAGACAATACAAATAGAAATTAAATTTGATTGAGAAACTGGAGTAATAGTAGTAGTAATATTTACAATAAATACATTAATTACAGTAAATATAGAATTATAGTGAAATATCTTCGCATTCTTCATTTCATGAGAATAGGGATCACTCTTAAATAATTTTGGAATAGATTCAGTTCTTAGAACAAACGTTATCTGAGTTATCCACACAATACACCTCATAAAATTTAGAAAACTCAAGATTGCTGAAATAAAATAATAATTTAAAGGAGGAATTGATATTGCAGTAAAAAGCTTTGGATGAGATTCGGAATTGTAGTAGGGGAGCAGTGAATCCTAAATTTTAAGATGCTAATCGAAGTTTAAAGTTAATAAGGGAAAAGATTGCTAAGTCATAATAGAAATGAATACCATATATATTTATAATATGTGATTTAGTCATTTTTATGTAATTTAAGAGAATCTAGTATAACATGTATATCCTTGATTGAAATAGATGATCTTTTGTTTGCCTTTTTTATTTTTAAATAAAATGATTTAAAAGAAAGTTCTAAGCAGCAGCGACGAGAGCAGTGAAGATGAACATGTTGAAGATTTAATGGACAAATAAAAGTTAGTGTAGGCTAAAGCTAATAAACCAACAAGAACTTCTGTGAGCGCTGAAGTTTATGGACAATTTAATAAGAAAGTATTAATCATCTCGATTAAAGGGTCAATTCTAAGCCAAGAAGGTTAATAAAAGTGAAGATGCCGTTAAAAGAATTAAACAAAGAATGAGCTAAGCATTTATGTTTAGTGCTTTAGATGAGCATGAATTAGCTATTGTTATTGATGCAATGGAAGAGAAGAAATTTAAGTATCCAATTCTTTATAAATTTGTTAGGGCTGGTGATTTTGTGATTAAACAAGGTGATGATGGTGATGTACTTTACGTTGTTGATCAAGGATAACTTGACTGTTTCAAAGTATTCAAAAAGGGAGAACCTGAAAAGCATTTGGTATATATTTCTTTATTACCTCTCCATAGAAAGTTTATCAACCTGGAGAATCATTTGGAGAATTGGCTTTATTATACAATGTACCAAGAGCAGCAACAATTAAAGCCAAAACTGATGCAATCTGCTTCTCATTGGATAGAGAAACATTCAATCACATTGTCAAGGATGCAGCTGCTAAAAAGAGAGAAAAATATGAAGAATTTCTTAGCAAAGTTGAATTATTGAAAGGTATCCATTTCCTTTAACTCTCATTTAGATATGGATCCATATGAAAGATTGTAAATTGCTGATGCATTGAAGGTCTAAAAATTCAACTAGAATGACTATATCATTAGATAAGGAGAATAAGGAAATACATTTTATTTCATTCAAAAAGGTGATTGCATAGCTACTAAAACTGAAAATGGTAAATCTTTAATTCTATTCCATTCTAGGAACTGAGAAGGAAGTCTACAGTTATAAGGTGGGAGATTATTTCGGAGAATTGGCTTTGATTAAACATGAGCCAAGAGCAGCAAATATCGTTGCAAAAGTAAATATCATATACAATTCAAGAGCGAAGTTATAGTAGTATATTTGGACAGTGACAGTTTCAGAAGATTGATTGGACCTGTTGATGAAATTTTAAAGAGAAATATGGGTAGGTATGAAAAGTATGTAAAAAAATGAGAAGATATTACATATATATTTATTTGCAAAATATTTTATCTTATTAATGTTATTTATAATATACTACAAATTATAATAATTGTGTTAATTTTTATTATTAAATTTATCTAGAATTTTAATATATACCTAATATTACCATCAAACTTATTTTAATTTAAAATCTAATATCCCATGCTCTCTAATAAATTCTATTTTACACAATTATCTTTTCTAATGAGAATCTATATAAAATTGAATGATGTAACTATTAAACAAAATTACATGTTGAATTATCTCAAAATATCAATGAATCCATTTTATTTTAAAGACATTCATCAATTGTTTAATGAAACACTAATATTTCATTTGTGATTCCAAATCTATGTGAAATATATTTAGCATTTGTTCAAAAAGAATAGCTTAGATGAGATTTCCAATATAGTATTGAGGAAGCAAAGACGGTGATTTACTAAACAACAGATTGTATTTTTGTTATAATTTATAATGAAAATTATATTCGTTTTGCTCTTTGTTATAACTATTAAGTCTGAAAGATTATTGGTTTCTTAGGATAATGATTTTGTTGATGATGATAATGACTTTGCTGGTGGAGTATTTCCAACAACAGATTCTAGTTCTGATGTACTTGTAAAATCTAATAAAGACTTATAATAAAGCTCTATAATATGCATAACAACATTACGCTGAAAGTTGCAAATTGAGTGATTTATAATGGGAGAGTTTAGATGCTTCCAAGAATTAGATGGTCTAAGGAATGTTATATTATGTAAGTGTATTTAGGATAATAGTTTAATGTAACAATGAAGGGAAATGAGAGATTAGAGAAATATGAGATTTAAGTTTGGATTCAAGCAGACAGAGAACAAACTGCAGAAATTACTTAGTGTAAAAAATTATGAATAGTAGTAATATTAGAATTGAAAATAATATGTATATTCAACAGATGTTTTATGATCTTTTTTTTCTTTGAAAGAGATCCATGCTGATTTGGATAATGCTGTTTTGGCTATTTTATTTATGAATAGAATTGTTATTGAAAGTTAACGCAGAAGATTAACGAATTGGTTTGACTTTTTATGAATGTGAGTATGTATTTTCCAAGAACTTGCCTTGCTAAGAGAATAAAGATTGTGATTGTTTAAGAGGTGATTGTTATGATGGGATGTTTAAATATACATTTTAAGAACTGATTGGTCTGACTATTTCTTGTAATGGATATCTAACAGATGATTTTTTGACAAGTTTTTCAATTTAACCACAATTATTTCCGCAATGGGGAGACTCATAAAGTCTATCAACGACACTTTGATTGATTCTTTTTTGGGAATTGATGTTTTGGATGAAGGGACGATCTTGCATCATTTCTTTATAGATGGATTCTTTGAGTTTCATTCTTCTCTCCTCGTACCTTTTGCCATACTTTAGAAGTCTATTCTCAACTTTCGGCTTAGAAGGCTCAAGAATTTCTTCTGGCTCCTAGTGAATATAATTATATAATTTACCCTTTGGTATAACATATGTTATTAATAAAATTGAATATAAATGTTTAAGTTTATGATAATGTAAAATTTATTAGGGATGAGTTTTTGAGTCTTAATAATTTTGGTATTCTCATTCACAAGCATCAAATTAATTTATCTATCTATGCTCATTCAAATTAAAGGAATCTCTTTCCAATTCCTAATAACTATATAGACAAACCTTTCTAGACTATCCATGTAACTTAAACTTGAATTACTACTCTCCGTCAATCATTATAGAATCAAGATCCATAGAGAATTCAAAAATTTGAATTATTGTTAAAATAATGTTTAATATCTTTCCCAAATATCCAACTCAAATAATATTTCCTTGCGAGCATTTTATAAAAGAGCACAAGTATGTAAGTTGTAATTCAGTTTTTATTATTGGATTATAGAAATAAATAATTAAAACAAATAATATTATTCTTTTAAGATATTAATAACTAAATAAATCATCTTGATTAAATCTATCATCTCTTCTAATAAAACATTCTTTGTAAAATAGTGATTAGATATTCTTCTAAAATTGAAGTCTTTTTCTGCAAACTACTTATAAATCTGTAGTTAAGCCTAAAGTTTTAAAACTACTTATTATTTTAGAATTTGTTTCCATAATTCATAATACTTAATAAAATTATAAAAATAAAAATTTAGATTAGAAATTAAATTTAATAATAAATTCTCAATATAACTTCCACAAATTAAGATATACTAATAAATAATAATAATAAATCCTATGAGTTACGATGATTTTTATGATAATCCAACTTTTAACAACTGTTAATTTCGTTGTGAACAACTCTTTTCCGATGCTGAAATACAATAGTCTTAAATTCAAAGCATAAGCTAGGAAAAGGCAAAAGATTTACAGGTTTTTGACAATTAACAATCCTAAGCTGTCGTTGAAGAAGTCAATCTGAAATACAAATGTGATTATTGCAGTTGTGAATTCGAAATACCTTAGGCTAAAGGAGGACATACTGCAAAATGTCATTCTAAAAAATCAGAGAGTTATTAAAAAAAATAGGACACAAAAGTTGCCCGATAGCCAATAGTCATGTCAAATAGGAGATTACAAGCTATAGCATACTAAGCCCTGTTCGAGTGAGGATTAGATTAACCATGAAACATTTATGTTAAACATATTCTATAATTTAAGAACTGTAATAATTTATTTGCTGATTTTTTTCAGCCAATATTTTTGTCTGTTAAAATTGATATAAAAATTTTATAATCCCCCCATTTTATTACTTCTTCTGCTCTCAATTACTCCCTCTACTCAGAAATATTTAAATTAGTTAGCATCCTCCATCATTCTATTTAAAACATTTTTATAATATAGAAATCTATAATTAAAAATGTGTATTTTTCATTAACATCAAATTTTTATTTTATTTGAATTAATTTCTATTCTAATTATAATAATAAAATAATAAATCTAAACTTGATTATTTTAGAAAACATTTGCTTAAACATATAACCATAATAAAGTCAAATAAGTTTTAACAATATTGTATATTCATAAAACCTTTCCAACTTTTCCTATATGAAAATGATCAATTCAAAAGTAACTCTAACTTTTGAAATATTTGAATCTTATGTCATCTTTCCGATTAGAATTCAACAGAGTTCTTTTGAGTATTACAATTTTCAAATTGTTGCTGTTTAGACTCCTGTGTACTATTGAGCAAACTAATATAAATAAGAAATGAAAAAAAAATAGAGTTGGATGGAATATATTATCATGAAATCGAAACATATTGTTAAACTAAGATTAAATTATAAGGTGGCTTAAAATCTATGCTTTAGTAAATATTCTAATTTCAATTGAATTGTTTTTTCATATTTCATTTTTAGTAATTTGTAAGTTATGCGTAATCCCACCTTGACTAATAATCAATATAAATATTTTGATTTCAATTGATTTAATTTATTGATCAATCCTCTCTTAGACTAAATAATATTAATCGATACATCAAAATTTTTAAATTATTTCCAAAAACAAGGTTTTAATATTATCTATCCTTTTTAGAAATTACAATAATTAAGCTTCATAGAGTGGAATTTAAAGGAATTTGCCTTAGTTTAGATTAGAAATTGATCTAAATAAGAAGAATTATTATTAAGGTTTGATTTTAATATGATAACGCTTCACCAAAATAGCCTTTTTCATACATACCTAATAAATGGTTTTAGCAGAAAACGTTCTCAAAATTTGTGTATGAAGTAATAAATTATATTTCAAAGATGCTTTATAATATATTTATTAAAACTACAAGTAGATGATAAATAGCAATATTTGTAATACTACCAATTGTCTATTTTTAAATGCATGAGGTTTAATTAATTACTCTGTTTCCATAATTTATAGTGTGATGTTTACCATAATAAAAATAGGACCCTTGAAACCAAACCACCATATAATTATTTTGGATACTGAAATACTTCTTTAATTACTATTTTTGATTTTATAGATCATTTAATTGGTAAAGTTTTGTTCATGCTATTGTTGTATTTCAAATTACATTTATTACAATATAATAATATTTAAATAACAATTTGTGAGTAATGAGTCGCTAGTGGAGTGGAGAACAAAACTTTGAATTACTTTATTGTCTTATTTATTTATACGTTAACAACCTCTTCAAAAACTTCTTTAAATTTTATATAATATAACATTCATGTTTTTAACTTTTAGAATATATAATGTATAATATAGATTCTTTAATAATCACATATCTGCTCTGACTAATTTATTAATATCTTATTCCATTCTCAAATCGTATTTCTTTTCTCTTTCTAGATCAAAGTGGGATAGCTTCCCTTAATTATTGATTTTAATTTCTGCTTTTTCCTCCTTTTACCGTTAATGAGTAGGATCTATATATAGAATAATTTGATTACTTAATTATTTTGTATCTACTTATTTAATTTGCTCATCATTTTTCATTCTACTAATTTTTAACTTCTACCTTTAAACTGTGTGTTGTAAAAAGAACCTCTCAGATTATAAGCATTTTGAGCATGCTTAATGATCCTTCTGTTTACATTCAACATGGATAAAATGGCCACATAAATACTTATACCCCCTAGTTTCAATTTGTTCATTGCAAATGTCACAATAATTTACTGTAAAGTGTCCTTCAAGGTGAGCCCTCAAAAAGTTCTGTGATTCCATATTGAAAAAACGTTAAATTATAAATTTTGCATTTTAAATGAAGTAGTTTTGATAGTAGAATGTATTGACTAACTTAATGAAATTTCCTTTATACTCCTTAATATTAATATTACTATATCTAGTACCTAATCGTTATGCAAATAAATCTAAAGGTGTGTGGGTAGAAATATCCTAAATTTTTATTAATAGTTACTTCAAATAATTGTCCAATTTTTTTAACAAGTATTTTATTTAGCTAAATTTCTGATATCTCATTATTTAATTCAATCAGACTATCTAAAAAGTAATACCAACTCTTATCAGGATTGTCCGAATGATATTGACATATATCTGAAATCTCATTCATTTTGTTTTCCAACTCATCATACTCTCTTTTTTCAATAGTGTCAACATTTTTTTATTTAGCGACTACTTTAGATAGCATATTTCTTAAGAGAACAATCTACAATTGAACTGCATCTCCAATAAAACCCAACCTACAATAAATGTAAGCAGTGGATTCGATGTTTTGATATTTTTTGCAAATCTCCAATACTTCTTCCAAAGGATAATGAATTTTCTACAATTATGGTAATACTCTTTCAGGTTCTAATTCACACAAGAGCTATTTTAGATGACTGATGAAATTACTTCTATATGTTTTGTCAACAGAATATTACTTAAACCAAATTCAGAATTGAGATCCTTTTTTATTACTGTTTCAATGTATTTTAATTATAATTTCTTATTCTAACTTAATTTCTCAATGATTTAGAGTTCATTGTCTTTTTGAAATTAACAAATTAATTCTCTAGTTTTTTGGATATCTAAATTTATTAAATCTTATAATTTTGATACGATAATTCCATTAAGTTTAGCATATGTTTCCTTGCCATACTATAATAGTTTATATGATATACCATCGAGATTAGAGTATCATGTAAATATTTGAATACTTACTTTTAAACTAAAATATTATTAGATTTCAAGTAAATAGAAACAGGAGTTTGATATTCTCCAACATATTAATAAAGGTATGCCTATATTAAAGGTATTTATTTTAGATCTTAGAATCCATTTAGCATTTCTATTTGTTCCTTATGCTTTGTAGTCTTGATTTTATTAACCAAAATATGCACAAATTTAAGCATTAATCGTTATTAAAAATATTCGATAATTTCAGAATGGCTTTAATGTTATTCTAATTAAGCTAACTCACTTTTTTCAATCACTTCTGCATAAGATCGATAATCTATATAGAAAAGGAAAGACTTATTGAATGTACAAAATAGTAAAATGTCCATCATTATATCAAATTCTACTTCCAATTTCAAAATAAAGATAACCTTAATTATAAAGAATGAATAGGCAGTTTGAACATCATAGTTTTCAAATCCCCTTATATCGTTAAATTACTATTAAATTTCAAATTCTTATTATTGAAATTTCCAGCGATAAGTTGGATTCATAAACATTTTCAATACACTTTAAATCACATTCCTTAATATATATCAAAAATTTACAATTGCTTAGAATGATCCAATTCAATTTAATGTAATTTTGTTATTGACATTATTTGATACAATATATAAAATGCCCCGTAAGGGTCAACCCATATCATTCTTCTTAGATTATTCTCTTCAAAAATCCATACAACCATCATTTCAATAGTACTCTAAATTTATCTTTAATTATTTTACTTTCAAAGTACCAATAGGAATTGTTGAACCATCATAGAGTTTGCCCATTAAAATATACTCAATGAAAGAAATCACTTTTCTAACACTTATGATTTCTTCATCAAAGTTCTCCAATTATGATTACTTCATGCTATAGTTCCATATTTAAAATAATGGAGTTAAAAACTCATTTTTGGCTGAACTAGTACACAAATAAATCATAGGAGAAAACAATTAACTTTCTAAACATGCTTATAAATAAATTGAGTAATTAACTCTATTAAGATCTAATTAATTAAGCAATAAGAAAATCTTCGCTTTCTGTCCTTTCAATAGAGAAATTAGCTTTAACAGAATTTCATCAGGGATGAATTTGAACTATTTATTTATAATAAAGGGTTCCACAATACTCAAAAAAAAAGTTGATTCATCATTCAGGGTTTTTGATAGTATATCACATACAGAGCTTAAATATTGTTCTGTACCAATATCGATTATGAATTTTACCAAGGAAATTCCTCTTTACTTAGCTTCTTCTGATTTACCACTAATTTGTAATCTAGCTATCTATTTGCTATACAAATCAATTATTTATTGTGCAAATAATAGTAACTTTTATCTATCAAATTCCATGAACACTTTTTTATGTATACATAAAATCAATTAAAAACACAATAAGAATTATTGATTTTCCATAAAATGTCTAATCTTATCCTCAAATTTATAGTATTTCAACACTGTAACATTTTGACTTGTTAAAATGTATATTTCTTAGAGTATTTCATTATTTGAAATGCATACATTAAATTAACTCTCATATTTATTATCTTTCCAATACATAAGAGGCAAAGGTTCAAATTATTCCATTTGCATAATCTTTTAAGTCTTATAATTGGAAAAATTGCTAGTGTACACTGCTCCCTTTTCAGTTAATAATAAAACTAAATCATTATAAATTGAATTCATATATATAAACTAATAATTTAATATAATTTTACATTTGCAGGCAACTTGATATCTTTAAGTAACTTAAAATTTGCTCTTATTTTACCCTCCACATATTCAGTTCCTTAAAATAAAAAGGATTTGGTCTAATTTGTCCAGGAGATTCCTAAAACTAATCTATCTTTATCATCAACTTTAAGTATATCCCATTCGAGAACACACTAATTATTTTCTGGTGCATCATTTTAAAAGTCTGCTAAGATTGTAAATTAAGTGACGTTCGAATCTTGAATCCTAAGAACCCAACATTTGTATCCATTACCCAAAGCAACAATAGTATATTCAGGAAAATTGAATAATGGCTTACATTTGATAGGAATAGACTTAATGATAGACATTGGTTATGATTTAATAATGAATTGGGAATCCAAATCATAGAATATTCTACCTTTGGCACATCTGGTCATAAAACAATTGCCTTATTCATCTCCTGACACAAATGTATTTTCATTAACATATCCCAAGGAAACTATTCTGATCTGATGTACTTTAACCCATTTCAAATGCTTCATATTTACGATATCATATATTCCTATAACTCCATTATCAAAGCCTACAGCAAGTTGCTATTGAGATAAATTAAAACTTAATTAGTTTACACTACCATGTTCTGTTTAGCATATTTCTGCTGCATAAAGCAATTGACTTTTCAATTCAATGTATGATTTGTTTGGAGGATCAGAACCAATATAAAAATTAAGTACTGCTCCTAAGTTACTCCCAACTGCTAAATACTAACCTCTAGAGATCAAGGATCTTATTCTACCAAATTTTCTAAGGATTGTGGCGTTTTAAAATAGAGCTTCATTAAGAGCCTCAGGATTAAAGCATTTAAAGATTTCTGCTTATTCTATCTACAGATTTGTATCAATTGTGTATTCATTTTCTATTTACACTTGATCAAATTATTCTTCGATTTTGTCTTGTAAGTCTGCCTTAATCAAGGGTAAATGGTAGGTGTTTCTAATAAAACAAGCAATCAAGTTTGGATATTCATGTTTGTACTAATTCTCTAAGCCTTTCATCTTAATATGTATCTCTTATATTATTAAATAATTTAATCATTGTATATTACAATTTTCATTGGAAATATATTAAATATGGAGTTGAAACCTTAAAATAAGTTATAGTCATAATGCGAATGAATCATTTCAAAAATCCCTACTCTACTTTAGTGTGCTTCATAATAATTATTCAAAATTCTATACAATTACGTCAACGATTCCGTAGAATTCATTAATTAAATAATTTTTATATAGATATTCTATATTGAAAAATTAAATTCAATTTTATAACATTTTGAAAGCCAAGTAAATCCAAATGTTATAATGAGTTCTAATCTAAATGTTATTATTAAATAGTTAATTTAGAATTTTTTATTGTTTGATACTTAAACTCATTATTAGGATTGCTTAAATATTTTCAAATAAATTTATGGCTGTTTTGAAAGAAAGACAAAAAGGTTTTGTTTATCTCATAAATTTGAAATGGTGTATTAATTCTAAAAAGTATTTAACTTCAATTCTCAAGTAAATATTGATTATTCAGAATAATCTCATATTTAATATTATTGAAAGAAATTAGATGATTGAGATGGTTTGAATATATATTATTAAATGATTATTCAAAGATTAATAAAATATATAGAAAATGGGTAATTAATGTAAATGTGATACTTCTTTTGAAGAAGATTATGAATCATTTGCAAAAAAGCACATACAACCAAGCAATTCTTATAAGATATTTTCTCAAACTTATAAGTTAGAAAGGGAAGAGGATTTATCTTTTAGAATGATCGACAAGATAGAACCTGTTTATAATATAACAAATGATGTTTATAGAAAAAAGAGAACAATGAGTTGCATCCATCAATAAATTGAGCTAAAGAGTAGGAAAGTCAATTTAAAAAAAAAATTAAAACCTGCGTTAAAAGAATGTTCCAATAACTCCTCATCTAATAATGAACATAGTAATAAAACTGTAAGATGGGATGCCTCTTGCTAAAAGCAATATGGAGAATGATTTTTATTTTCTAACTTTTTAATCTTCCAAAATATTTAATTTGTTATGTTAGTATTAATTATTTATAATAATGATGTTACATGATTAAATCTCAAATGTAGGCATTTGGTTAGAATAATTAAAAAATGGAGGAGAGTTCTATAGTAGAAATAAAATAAACAACAAAGAATTACGTCTTCAATATATTGTAATTGATAAATTGGAAAACCTTTCATTTCCTCCTGAAATCGATGCCTATGAAACCTAGCTTAAGTTAAGAATGTCAGCTACAATATATGATACAAAAACAGAATAATTTATATCCAATACCTATAAAAGTCCTTATCTAACAATATTTTTGACTGATCTTGTTAATATGGCAGATAATCCAGATGAAGGAGAGTTAAATGAAAATGAAATCCCCTAAAAAAAATAAACAAGAAATTAACCAAAATTGAGAAGTGGATAGGCAATCACAAGATATCAACATGCTGCTGTTTGGGTGGCCTTCATCATGAACAAAGCTCAATATCTAAAGGAGTACAAATTAGCTGTTGAGTTTACGCTTTCATAATATAGCAATAAGACCAAATTGACAACTACATTCAAGACACTTGGTTATGCTATAATAGATTTATCTGCAAAGATAACATTTGCAGATTTATATGCTGGGAGTGTAAGAGATCTGACCAATAGTTTTTACATCAGAGAATAAAAGCAAATCAAGCCTATTCAAGTTAGTTATAAATGGAAGAACTTTAAACATGTCCCAACACCATTAATGAAATTGATAGGTCCCTTTTTATTGTTTGGTTATGATGATACAGTTGTTGGTTTGAGAGGAACTAAATTACCACCAATAGTTAATGATTTAAAATATTTGGAATTAGATGAAGCCTTAAATTTATCATTTCCAAAGTGTAAAATTTATATCCATTAGATTGTTGATTTGGAAATATTAAATTATATCAAACAAAAGTAATAAGAAATCTAATAGGTTAATGAGAAAGACTCTGATACTATTAAAATCACTAAAGCCAAAACTAAATTAATACCATTTTGTCATAATGGTTGGAGAGATGTTAACGAATTCGGATTTGAAAATATTTACATCTTAAGTGAAATTGAAAGGAATGAAAAATTTATTGTATACACCACCGAAAAGCCGATTAGAGCTGATAGAATTTATAAAGATTCAGCTGTCATCTTTCAATTAGTTTATCAATATGATGTTGAAGTTGTAGAAATTTAACAAGATCCAATTGAGGTTAATGTTGGGTGGTTTGCTTTGACTCCTAATGATTGCACTAAGGCTAATGAAAAATTAAAATTATAAATACATGGAGATAGAAAATCATTTAATTCAAAAAAGTGGTATGCAAAATTGACTCCAAAATCCCCAGGAGAAGCAATTATTACATATGATTTTGTCTATTTTGAATAAAAGTAAGAGAAGAAAGGTAATTAATAAAATAAATAAAAAAAACAACTTTAAAAGTTAATTGATCCAAGCACCTTAAAAGGGCGTTTAATTGAATTATCAATAAAGAAGAAAAATGAAAGTATACACAATATTTACTAACATAGTTAAAACTGGACTTGCTAGAGAAGAAAACATAATGAGACAAAATAAATTAATTGCCGATCTTTTTACAATTAAATAAAATACAACAAATCTTATTACAGGTATGATCAATCAAAATTCCTATGTCTAATCAAACACTTAAGTTTTATTACATGAATTTTAAGGATTATTGGAAGTTGGTATCAAGAATTTTGAATTGGCCAAAGAAAAATATTAATTGGAAGAATAAAGACTATTAAATTTTAGAAAAAGAAAAGAAAAATTAGACTTGTTGTAAAATTTTTTAACGGAAGACTTAAAACATAAATTTGATAAGTGGTAGTATGAATAACCTCATCATCCAAATCTAGAAATATGCTATAGAAGTATTATTTCACTTTTAATATTAGCCACTCTATTGGATTTTTATCTATAAGTTGGATTTGGTCACCGAGATTTGCCTGCTAGTAGATAGGTTTAAATAACTTTGGAAGAATCAAAAACATAGTTAAATTTGAAGATTACTCTCCTTCTAACCTCTTATAAATTTGTTTTAAAAATCAATTCTCCTATTAAAGAAGATTTTGTGCTACAACCTATTTATTTATTTGATAATTACTGTCCAACATCGTTATTATTTAGAATTCATATATTAGGATAAGAAGATGAAATTAAAAGTCACAAAGCAAAAAACCAAAAAGAATTTGAAAGATGGATGTCAGATAGAATGTATATGCATCTAGAATTTAAGAAAGTTATAAAAGATTAAAATCTTGCTAATAAAATTGCCATAATTGAGATTTGGAATGAAAGTTCAATTACAATATTAGGAAGATGTTTTGTACCATTATTCTAAGATTCAATTATGTTTCAAGAATCCTCAATTGTTTGTTCTCATTATAAAGAGTGCGATGTTATATCTTATGACGGAAATCAAATCATAGGACAACTTGATATTGGTGTTTTAGTCTAATATACAGATGATGAAATTAAAACAGACATCAGCTTTTAAGAAAAACCCAAAGAAATCTTAGTTGTTGACAAGCCTTAACAAGATACTCAAAGAACTGAAAATGAACCCAAATCTAAACCAATTCCTCAGCCATAGGAATATCATGATATCATTAGAATTTATTATTCTGGTGATGAGGAAACTAAAGTCGTAGTAAATAATCCAATAATGCTTAATCCACATTTTTTAAAGTATAATCATTATTATATATTTAGATATATTAAAACCTTAAAAATAGTTGGGGATTCAGCAGTTAAATTAGATTACTACAATGATTATGAAATCCATTTTAAATGCAGTATTTATGATGTAGCAGAAACCTTTTTAGTATTATTCGACTACGACAGGGAAAATATACTTTAAGTCTATCGATTTGTAATTTATAAATGCTAATCAATTACATATAATGATTTTGTTGGAAGACTCTGCAATTTAAATATACCGTATGAAACAAATTTAGCAGAAAAAATTGAAGTAGTACCTGCGAATCCTTTTCTTATCAGACCAAAATTAGATGATATGCCAGTTATTAAAGATTCTTTATTTTACATTCCTGTATAATGTTTAGCAATAGAATCATATTTTTTAACAACCAGATTTACAATATAATAAGGTGATAGTATGGAAACTCGATTAATACATTTTAAACCTAAAGACAACAAAGTTTCTCAACTCTTCAATCTTGATTGCCCAAGAAACTAAGAAAAATAAGAGTAAGTACTTTATTAAAATCGATCAGATAAGGCAATCTTCTTATAAATTACTTCATCCAATTCAGCTCTTTAATTGATAACTCAGACTTTGAAATTAGAACCGTATTAGTCAGCTCCTATTTAATTTATTTTAAAAAGGTATGGCTACACAAAAAAATAATAAATAAAGCTTTATCTAACAAATTTAGAATGCGATTATAAAGATTGTTTGATGTTCAAAATCAATTATTATTGATCCACTTATTACCTTCATGTAATTTTCTTGAAAATATTAGTATATATTAAAAATTATTTTTGATTAATAAGAGTTAAAAAGATGGAGTATTAAATAAAAATATTCATACTATCGTGACATAATATTTAATTTCGATTTGCATCCAAATCTTAAAATAAATTATCTTAAATTAATATTTATATATTCTAATCATTACTCACGAACACATGTCACAAACAGATAGCACAAAAACATCAGGATAAAAAGTCAAAAAAGCACTCATAAGTCCATTAAAAGAAGCATTTTCTTAATTAACGAAATCATATAAATTCTTTATCCCAAATGAAGAAGAAGTGCTTCTCGTTCTTGTAGACCTCCCATGTCACCTCGAGTTGCAAGAAGCTACCTCTCGAGCACTGAAACTTGTGCCAAAACAAAATCCAGTAGATTAGAATCCAAATAATTATGACATTTATGTGGCAAAGAAAAATGGTTAACCTAAAATGGATTTTCCATCTTATCAAACGAATCTACGACTAGAAGAAACAGGAAATTTCGTGTTTTCCTTGGTTCATGTAACTTATTCAGAAAAAAAAGTAAGAAAATCAATCAGAAAATCCACTTATGATCTATCCCACTATTAAAGCCCAACAATTCCTTCAAGATCAAAAGAAATCAATTAATATCAACCTAAACAAGAGAAAAACTGGTTACTTAGATTTTTAGGATGCGCTTGATTCTATATATGTTTATTGCTATTTTGTAACAAATATATCAACACATTCAATATTTTCAATAAATGTTCTTACTTTATTGTTATTTTTATTAAGCGAGATTATTAATATAAACCCTTTTCTAAATTTATGTAAAAACATAAACAACATATGATTATAGTAAACTCGATAATAACAAGATCAAGACCCTTGAAAACACCATATATGAAATATTGAGATATTTAAAAAGTAGAAATTATTCTTTCAAAACTTGAAATAATTGAATACATTAATTTAAAATAACAATCTCATAGATGTACATAATACAAAATATCGACTAATAGTTTTATTCTGTTTTAAAATAATTTTAGGTCTTGAATCATACATTGAAAATGAAAGTACTTTATTCTATAAATTATCTCAAAAAGACTGTTTAGATATTTCGAGTAGAATTGTTGTTCACTCTACTAATACTAGAGCATTGCTGCTTCTAGACCTAACATGCAAATAACTATATATTTTAATTGGAAAAAGGTTGATGAATAGTATGAATAAAAATAGGTAGACAATTGAAAGCTACTACAAACAAAATTAAAAAATATTATAAGTTTTAATATTATTAATTTTTCATTATTATAACAATAAATGATGATCAATTATTTAAATATGGGCCTGCTTTGATTATAAAATATATCTTATAATTTACAATTGTTACATAATTGCCAATTTTAAATATAAGTAAATATTTCTTTCTTATATATTTGAGGAGTCTGTGCAACGCAAATGTTAGAGTATAAAAATATTAGGATTTTCAACTTTTCTATAAATGACTAAACCGATTTTAAAAGATTGATTTTTAGGACCTTTATAGATAGGGAGATATTAATAGTGTTTCAGTTTTTCAAAACCAAATAATGTATTTAAATATTATTTCAAATATTGATTTATTGGAACTTACATAATCTAGATTTTTATGGGTACTGATAGTCTTGATCAAAATTCAAATTATCCAAATAGAATCGCTTAAGAATAAAGGAAAATGATGTTGAGACCATTATAATGCTTTTTTCAATAATTATAGACATAAATATTTAATGAATAATTAAATAAGAATTCATTTTAGATATCATAGGACAGAGAATGGTGTTCTATAAACTCTATAATAAACCATAGACCCATTTATATTGAGAGAATTGATACTTAAATTAGAAATATTGCTTACTTAAGAACAAGTTTAATCAAATATTACATAAAATCGAATTAGAATTGTCTAAATTACTGATTATGTGTCAATAAACATTAGAAAATGGAACCATGATGAAATTAAGCCTCTCTTTCTAGCACAGAACCTTTCCCACCTCAATGCGAAGCAGAAGATGGTCACCAATGCACCTACCTATATGTAATTTTCACACATGTTGAAAATTTCCTCAAATAACCCCCAAATAGGATAATACAAATCACAAAATTTATATTGTTAGACTACCTTTAAATACAAAGGTTGCATACTTTTAGATTTAATTTGAGGATGATAATAAAATTAATATATAAAACAAAAGTGATCTAGAAAATAGATAAATGTATCAATAAAGTCTTAATCTAATACACTCATAATTCATTATTTAAATTATCAAACACAACATCAAGTTTTTCCAAATTTATTCATCATTTTTATTGGATTTGATATTTTATCCAATTTCTCCATTTTTTTCCACAATTCACTTTCATTTTATTCTATAGAAGTAAAACTGATATTATTTTCAATCAGTTATTAATCTTCCATTGATTTTTATAAATTTTACAATTATTAAAAGTAATTAAACTCATCCTTTTGTTTTTAAACCGACTGAGCTAACTCAAATTCTTTATCAACTTCGAAAATTGGACTCAATATATCAATCATTTTTGGATTAGGAGTTTTTGTTATAGATGTTCCTCGACTTCTGCTTTTTATAGACACAATAGATGTCGAGCTATTTTTCATAATATCAGACTTATATAAAATTTATTCATTAGGTTTCCATCCATTTTCATAAATTTTAGAAATTAAAATATTTCTTAAATAAATATAATTTGGAACTTAGCTTTACTTTTAAGTGTTTAAATATTTAAACCATTCAGCAAAAATCGATGGCTATGAATTCAAAAAAGATTGATCGTTTATTACTTTTATTTTGTGGATTTACAATTCTTCAAATTATTGTTTATTAAATATATTATCAAATTACTGCCAAGGTAGAGTTCCTATTTATGATAAATAAATATTATTACCATTCAATAGATATAGTAATAAGTATGCCAAACTATATAGATCATCATTGTAGCTTGGGCCTTTATCTATTTTAAAAAATGGACTAAGAAAATTCATTTCTCTAAATGGAAATTTTTAAATTTCACACACTTCATCTTTGGGTTATAAGAATGATAGGTCTTTCAAATATATTAATTTATCTTCAGTATCTGATCCAAAACATAAGTTGCTTGGTGTAAGATTACACAAAATAAAATTCTTATTGTGAATTTTCTAAATTAGTTTAATCAATTAGAGGCCGATCAATAAAATGTTTTTTAATGACATCTATATGTTTGCCTTAATAATCGAACTTAAAGATGGGCCAAGACTTTAGGTAGCCAAAAAAAATCTAAGTTAAATACAAAATATACCTTTAATCATTATTATTACCATAATCTATCACCTCTGGTATGCCTTCAATATCTTACACTTGTATCAATTTAGCAGTTTCCTATTGCAACACATTCAAATTGGTAGAATTCTGTATTTTTAATCTTACTTCTCTCTTGTTCGATTTATATACAGCGAAATATTCAAAAAATGCCGCAGTACTTTATTTTAATCTTACATTTTGGTATCTAATTTAAGAAGGTTGAGAATTCAAATTCATGTTGCTATTTAAAAATAAAAAAATTATTGCAAATGAAGAAATTACTGACTTTTTAATTAATTAAAATACTATTCTTAAAATAATTTATTTGACTAATTATTAAATTAATACAAATTATTAGATTATTTCTATATATTCTATAGAAATCTTATTATTAGTTGTAATTAATTATAATATTTATTTAAAATTATAATGAAATTATAATTGTTTGAAATAATTTGCAATTAAAATGATCTTCTCAGAGTGATAATAAAATATATTATCAATTAGATGATAAAGCTATTTTCAATTATTATGTTAAATCTTTTATACAAATTTACTTGAGAAAAAAAACAATAATAATTCAAGATTTTTCAATATTAAATTCAGTCTTAATTAATGAAAGAAATAAAAGGATAGGTAATTTATAAATGAAAAATCTGAAATTACTTAATTATCTTTAACAAAAATTATTTTTCTATTAAGTTTTATAAAAATATATTTTTGGATTTTTAATTTTAATATAATTAAAATACTAAAGCAACATTTGTTTTGGTCGTAAAAATGTCAAAAAAGGTCAATAATTTGTTAACATAATTAATTTAAATTATTATTAAAAAGAATAACTAAAATTAACATAGAAAAATTATGATTAATCTATTTAAGTAATTTTTACATTTAAGGCTAATTAGATTTATGTTGTAATCTTGATGGCTGGGGCATTATTTTTGATAAGCATTTCATTTTATCAGCAACTGAATCATAAACAAATTCTTGATCTAAAATAGTCAGGTCTGAGGATTTGGAAATTGAGATTTAACATTTCTTTTTCATGCCACTTGGAGTGAGGGCAATAGACATATTAGAATTCTCGATCATATCGGATTTTTCTAAGATAGTGGATAAATTCAGTCCAGGCCCCATTTTAATTTGGTTCATCATAACACTAGGTTTTCCCAATAAGTCTCTGATTTTCAAGTTTATAAACCAGTGATGATTTAGAGCTTAAAACGAGGTACATCTTTTTTGCGGGTCTTTTCGAACAATAGCATTATTTTCATCAACTGAAGTCCACTGATAGATATTTTACAGTAATCTGGATATTCTATCTCTCCTTATTCATTTTTTGAGAGCGCCTCTCAGCTTAAATTATAAAAAGTACTTCATTAAAATTGGTACCAAACAGCATTCTACCAAACACAGTATAATAAAATATCACTCCTAAAGAAAAAACATCAATTTATTAATCATTTTATTTGGTTTTGAAAATTTGTGGAGCCATAAAGCCTGGAGTTCCAATTCTCCTATGCATTTTATTATCATGAAAATCTGCGCTTGAAAAATTCAAAAACAGCAATCAGTGATAGACCCAGGAAATCTGTTAAAAATGTTATCAAATTTGATATCTCTATGAAATAATCCTTTGCTATGTATGTGATTTAATCCCAATAATAATATATATAGCAATTCAGCTATTACTTTTTCAGTGGTTTATAACAACTAAGGAAATAGAAACTTTTATTCTCTTCATGCATATTGATCATAAACAACATATAAATATACTTAATCTTCATAAACATCCTAAAATCTTTATACATAAATGTGATCTAGTCTTCTTAAGATAGCGGTTTCATTTTAATGCCATAAATGGATCTTCAAGTTAACTCTTTTCGATAATTCTAATTTGAAAGAATAAACCATCAGAATTTCGTTCCGCTTTATATGTACAAGCTGGATAAGGCTGGTTTAATTATGTTTGCAAATAAGTTTGTATTTTTTGTTAAATTTGGTTAGAATACAATATCTTTCAAAGCAGATTGCCATTTTTCATAATAATCTTGACTTTCTGTAAAGAATTCTGCTCTATGTTTACCTTAATGTAATCTAAACCCGTGCTTATAAGGTTGAAATGAGGATTCAGAATATTTAATCTCTTTTAAATATTTGCAATTTTTTACCAATCTATATATTGTAATTCATTACTTGCCAACATATAATTCTAAATGTACAACTCCCCACTTTCTAGATTTAACTTGTTTTTGAAATGCCTTGCCTAAGAAAATTAGATTTAACTGGTTTTCTTGCATTTTGGTTGGTAACCAAAAGTGTTCTCCATTATTAAAAATGCTTTCATGTTCATCTTTTTATTATTACAACCAATTCATAATATAATTAATATTAATTACACTATTATTTATAGCTAATTCAAAGCAAACCTATTAAAATATCTAAAAATGAATTATTTTGAGTAGAATCAATCTAATATATAGTTATAATTAATGTTGATGGATAATATTGTGTCCTTTTCGAATGATGATAGTAGTATTGAAAATTTTTTTAAATACTAGACTTATTATCGAATGAGTTTAAAATAATGAGATTTTTTGTGAAATTTAGATATTATTTGAAAGTTTTTAGAAATTAAATTACAGATTTAAAGAAGTTCCTTAATTATTATATAATCAAACATAAATTGAAAAAAATTGATGAAATTTATTTCTTTTTTTCATATTCCTTCTTCCCATCTGACTATACATCAGTGTAACTAGGATCAAGCTATTAGGAACAAAATTAATGATCAGATAATTAAACATATTGTGTATGGAAATTAAGACGCAAGTAACTAAATTGCCATTTTGAGTTGTTTTTAATATTAATTTTTAATATTTAAAGGAGATTTGAGTGTGTCTACTTTCATCAAAATGTAATCTATTGATTTTAAAGTTTTCAATAATATTTGATGCACAAAATTTATACAAGAATGTATTTAATGAGATCAAAAATAATCAAATTTTAGAGCAGAATTTGCATTTGTTCAAATATTCTTATGGAATTAGCGTTTCTTTAATGAAATACACTTTTGAATACTTCATATGATTGAGAAATATCAAAGGTACCTAAAAAATCTTAGGATTGCAAACAAGAGCTCATTTTGATTTACTAATAGGAGTAAAGTTTATAAACCAAAATATTTATAAATATATTAAGAATCTAATGGATAAGTATAAAAGAATAAAAATGATTGGAAAGGGCAACTTTGGCGATGTTTGGCTGGTTGAAGACAATAAAGGATAGGTATAGGATTGAGAAAACAAAAGAAATTTGCCCTCAAGTTAATCGATTTGTAATTTTAGAGTGTTGACCCAACAAATGAAGTTACTTTGTTGAAGGTCCTCAAACATCCAAATATTATAAAATACTATGGCTCATTTATACAAAATGATTAATTATGCATTTTAATGGAGTTTGCAGAAAATTGTATTTCAAAATTATATCTATATCTAGATGATCTGTAAATATACACAAAAAATAACCCAGCAAACATATTAAATTGGTTTACATAATTGTGTTAAGCAGTATAATACTTGCATTCTATGAATATTGTTCATAAGGATATTAAAATGAAAAATGTGTTTTTGACCAAAGATGGCATAGTATAAATAATAATAGATATCTAGATCAAATTGGGAGATTTTAGCATTTCTAAAAATTTAGATGCCTCATTGAATCTAGCATAATTAGGTATATAATTTTCAATTGATACTGTGAGGTACTCCTTACTATTTGTCACCTGAGATTTGTGAGTCTAAACCATCCAATACTAAAAGTGATATTTGGGGTTTGGGATGTTTACTCTACGAATTGTGCTCGAAACAAAAGCCATTTCAAGGTGAATCGTTGCCCGAAGTTTTCAAAAATATCATAACAAGTGAGACTCCCAAGCTCCCTGAAGGATTCCCTACAGTTTATCAGGATATAATAAATTAATGCTTACAAAAGAACCCATAAGAGAGACCAGAAATTTCATTAATCTTAGAGATTCCAGAAATAAAGAAGGAGAGAATAAAATTCTCATAGTTATATAAATAGAGATTGATAGGAATGCTCAAATAAATCGATAATACATAATCTGAACAAGTTTAGACCAATATAAAGTAAATGTAAAAGCCTATCTTCACTCCATAAAATAAATCATAATCTTTATTATTTTAAAAGCTATTTTCAGAACAAATACAATCAAACATTAAGAAACCAATGACGAAGAAAATAATTTCTATTGATACTGATTTAATAGAAAAAGAAGGATAACAATAATAATAAAATGAAACACCAACATAATTTGCTAAATAATTATTCAACCCAAAAACCCCTACCTCTCCAAACAGAAATTTATTATTAGCAGATTTTTTGAAGAAAAAATTAGGTGAATAGAAGTTTCAAGATGTTCGTTAGATTCTTGAAGAGTCATAGAACCCTATATAACTATTAGATCAAAAGGAAATAATGGTAAATTTGATGGGTGAAGAAAATCTTGAATGTGTTAAGGTACTAATCATTAAATTATTTAATAGATATTTAAAATACTAATCAGTAATTGTACTACATTGCCTAGTAATCATTTTCGATAGATGAATAACTATTAATTTTTAAGAGATAAGGTTGGTTCATAGCCAGATTTAGATTAGGATATAAAAACATATAATTTTTGATTGAATTAATACCTATAAATAAATATTTTACCAATGTGAATTTGTATATAATATCATTCTTAATGAATATATTAATATTTAATCGATTAGTTCATTTATTAGAATTATGAAGTTTCTTATTTAAAATTTGAATTTAAATTAGTCGTGGATACTCTCTCAACTGAATTAAGATAGTTAATGAACATCTTGTCTTTATCTTATTTCACTTCATTATTTACACAATTCCTACGAGTTCTGCATGAAATCTTTGTTGAATCGATATGTTTTCTTTTCGAAAGGCCCCTCTTTACAGTTGCAAGCATTGAAGAAATTTTAAATACATATTTAGAACTTAAAAAATTTACAAGTTATATATTATTTTGCCTAATTGACTTAATTAATTATCAATTTAATTAATAAATAGTTCATAATATACAAAATTCTATTCATAAATGAAAAGAACTTATAAGCAGTTTTCAAAATGTGTTGAAGTTGAAATGCTTTCAGATTCATCTAAATAAGAATCTGACTCAGAATATAAAATTTCTGAGACTTCAGAATCAGAAAAGTAAAAAAGCAAATCATTTTGGAGTCTCAAAGGATTAAGCTTCTAAATTAAGACACTCGTAAAGGAACTAAAAAGCACTACCTACAAAGAATTAGCAAAAATACTTATTGAAAAATTGTAAAATGAGCTTCAAAAAATTCATAGTACAGAAAGAAGAAAGGAGATACAAAATCTGAAAAGAAGGGTTTATGATGCAATAAATGTTATGGTAGCTTTGGGAGTTCTTGAGAAGGACAAGAAATAAATCTCATTTCATGAATAAAAGGATAAGGAAGTAGTGAATTTTTAAAAAGAGTAAGTTCGAACTAAATTAGAAATATTAAAAGAAAAAAGAAGAAAACTTACAAAAGCTACTCTAACTTATATGATGTATAAATAACTTATTCAAAGAAATCAATAAATAAAAATGGAATCCGAATCGATCCTATATACTCCTGTTTTTGCTTTTTCAGTGTAAGTATTTGAGAAGGGTTTATGTATGCAACAAAAAAATGGAAAAAAATTGATTATCAAATCTAAGCAACCTATATATATCTACTCAGAATTAGAAGTATTATAAAAGATACTAAATTGATGTTATATCATTCAAATTGATAAAATTGAAATTTATTAATTTAATAATAGTTCATTGCAAAATATTATTATATATTTTTTCAATATATTATAAAGATTTTAGAAAACTATCTTCTCCATAAATTGATTAAGGAGGCAATAGGTATGGTAATTATCTACAAACAAAAAACTTTTAACTTAGCAATCTAAATATGAATATTATTTAAAAAAAGTAAATAAAGACAGTTACTATCTCGAAAAGCATGAAATAGCTGAATTTATCATTTAATTATGATTGGATTTCGTTTTCTAATGTGTTTCTCATTTCTATGAATAAATTCTCCAAACTCTATGAAATAAAATTTATTCCTATTAAATCATCTCTTGTGAATCTTTTACTTAATTTAAATTATGAATTAAGATCATCTCTTACCATATCTGAGTAATATTAAATGGAATACATTAGTCCTTCAGTCAATTTCCCATTCAAAATAGTTATACATAATGGATTAACGATCACTGAACAAGTATTTTATATCAGATCATTTAAAACATCTAATGTTTAATCGGAATATCCATATTTAAATTATTCATCATAATGTAAGAATTCTCCATAAGCCTCTTGAACTTGATCTTTGTAAGTATGTATGAGTTCATCAGTTATATTAATTTCCTTCAATTTGTCTTGAATTTAGACTACATAATCGCAATAACAGATTTGAGTTACTTCTTGGCAGTAATTAATGTAGACTGAGAACTAATTTAGTCTTTATGATAGCCTTTCAATGTAGGTCTAATTGGTGATAAGTGTATACTCTAAGTAAAAACAACATAAAAATATTCCAATCAATGGATAAAATACAAAAGGATGTTAAAGACAAGAATATTATTACTCTTGTATTTTAAATTATTTTTTAGAGTCTGTTTTTGTATAATTTGTAAATTTCAAACTTTGAAACTGTGATAAATTCTAATTTTCTTGGTTTAATTTACTTCTAAAATTGAATTGATATTTGTATAGATTTAATTCACTTGCATTTTTGTAAATATATAGTATATTTGATAACCTAATTTTCTCTGCCTCTAAAGATTGAATTTGTATTTATTCAGAACTTCTGAGAATTCTCCTTTTAAGACGGAAAAAGTGCATATAAGCAATTGAGTAACAGACAATCACAACAACTTCTACTGCCAGAGCAACAGAAGAAATTACACTCTAATAATATGAAACAATATCATTTAGATTATTCTATATCTTTAAACTAAATTTTTCTGTTATTATTTTGTATTAGTCTATGTAATCAAAGAATGAATTAAGTAAAATATGAATAGTCTTGTGAAATTTTTGCATATATAGTTAATCTTATGGATTAAAATCTTTAAAATTACTCATCTGGTACCAAATCTAAAACATTTCAGTCCATGCACTCACATCTTGTGATTCTTTTTAAAAATAGTCATATAACTTCATTTGTGCTTCAGATATTGTAGAAGTAACCACCTTTTTTTAAGAGACTTATTAAAATAATGCAAATCTGAGGTTTATGTTGTCTGTGATTAATTAAGTAGTTTCATTTTAAAGGGTAGAGTTTTTTGAGTTTTAAAAATGTCCAAGACCCAACAAAGTATTTCGAATTAAATCTGCCGTTGTAAAAGGTCCAAACACTTCTAAGATCTCTTTATTTTCAGCCATATTTGATTTATAAAGTAAATAAAACAATTGAGACAATAGCAAAATTATGAATAAATTACAAACATCCACAGCCAATACAACCTTGACCAATTTAGGAATATTGCCTTTTTTTGAGAATTTATTATATAATTATGATTTTTATATAATAGCTGAATTGTCTTTATTGCCATGCTATTAAAAATGGGTGTCAGTTTAATGAACTTTTTAGACTCCATTACCAGAAACTTCATCCAAAATTTCAATTTCAGACATCTTTTAGCGTCCAACGTTAACCTCAAAAAATTCTTGTTAATCTTTTTATTATTATTATGGTTTTTTGTTATTTGTATTTGTATTAGTTTTCTAATTAGTCTAACCTTTTTATAAACTTTTAATATCATTTTCAATTATTTGACTATTGTGAGATTCAATCACATTAATTTATAATTACTCATTGTGGCCTCTTTAGGAAGTAAGTATTAATCTACTGGAATCTAAAGGAGTTTAAAAATTCGAATATATTTAAGGCAACTAATAATCTTATATATTATTCATTTCATTTTATGTGTACTCTATCTATACTAAATCTGAAATGTCTCCACTATCACTTTTTAAATCTATTAATCCTTATATGGAATCTAATCTTAGAGGATTTAGAGAGGCTTAAGATGATCCCTTTTTAAAAACATCAAACATTTAAGAATTCGATTAATTTTCTGCCATAGTAATCTTCTTCATCGATATTAAATAAGCCTGATAAACTTTGGTATGTATAAAACCTATTGACATTATAATTGAACAGTTTGCATAATATATCTCTGATTGAGAATCAAATTTAGGGATGATAAATGTCAGTTATTCAACTTCAATTGTAAAATGAATGAGCAATCGCTCTTATTATTGATAATCAAATTTATTGCTGATTGAACCATTCTCCTCTCTAATAATTTCCTCATCTTGGTACTTTTAATATTAATGTTACAATTATTCAACATAATGTGAAAAATTGGGAATAATTTCCTCGATGCCTTTATTATAATAGTCATTAATTTTAATTTTTAATTGTTCTAAAGCTAAATTTGATATTCCTTAGATTTTAAATGTATCAGAAATCACAATATGCCCTTTGATATTTTCATACTTTCCATAGGGCACAATCTATTTAAGAAAGCAATAAATAGGAAAGGCATCTTCACATATGTTAAATGAAAGATCAAGGTACATCTCACAAAACACTAATTCTCTAAATTTCTTTTACATAATGAGTGGCCTTCTTTTGCGAATAATTGGAGGCTTATTTGTAAGAAAGAAAATTTCTAGTAATTAATCATGATATGTAGCCAAATTTGGAGTAACTATTTGATGTACTGTTTGAATAGTTTGTTTAAATTCTTTTGGTTCGTATCCCAAAAGAGAAGGTGCATTATTTGAAAAATCCATAATTTAGCCTCTAAAAAATTTTCCATTTATTGAATGTCTGGCCAAATTGGTCTTTAGATAGAGTACTTGGAATCCCTAGACTGAAGATGTATTTGCACTTATTGATGGATATTCAAAAAATTTGTAATTCTTGGTTTTTAAGGAATTTCTCAATCTAACAAATTTATCAAAATCACATGTAACTTCAAGTGTATAAAACATATGTAATAAAATAGATGTCCTACAATTAGAATATTTTTAAAAAACTTCTATTTCCTTTTGTGTTTTTGTCATATTTCGAACATGTAGAACCAGTGATTAAAACAATTATTGAAAGTTCATTTTCTATTCAAGTAGACTTTTAATAAATTTGATTTTTTAATCTATGTTATTGAAGATACGATTTAAAATTTGATCTCTTCTGATTTCAGTGATTCTATAGTTTTTATATCTTATTCCAATTTCTACTTCGTCTTAAGTTAAATTATGTTTCATCTTTTATAAAACTTTATGTTTGACCAAACAAATAATAAGTGTAAGAGTGACTTCATTCAACATTGAAGTGTTTTTGATGTTTCTTTATTTATAGTCCATTATAAATGTCATAACTTAATAACATTCTTCAGAGTCACATATATATAATAGTAATTGTGATAATCTAAAGATATTTGGATTCTTTTCATTATTTTCTATTTCGAAAACATATTTAGTGAAATGTCTAATGTATCTTTCTACCAATTCTATTTGAAGATAAATATTGTTAACTTAGATAGAGTTATAAATTTTCATTTCAACCTTATTCTTTCGACTATCCATCACTTATCTCCTTTCTCCTCTAAATCCCTTACAATAGCAATACACACTGGTACAATTTTGAACATGAGATTTAATAAGAACAATAATCTTAATCAAGAAATTTGATTTTTTTATGTTATCAATTTTAGAATATTTATCCAATGATTATTGATCTGACAATCTAAAAAAGGATATGTATCTTAAATAATGAACAAAGTATCGAAAATGCTGATTTTTTAAAGCTTCTATTTATTATTTTTTGATTTCCTACATCTCCTTTTCTATCACAAATGGTTGCAAGTCATCTTCCACAAATTAGGATCTTCTTGAACTTGAACGTTTTTGCTGTTTAGTTTTTTTCTTTTCCATATACAACTGTTAATCAAATATTTATTGAATGACATAATTGAATATGACTTTAATCATCTTTGTTAAAATTGGAATACAAATAAGACACATAGAAAAGAGTTACATTTATGTCAACTAAAATTAATGAGAAAGGGATATTGTCAAGGAAGCACTCAAGCATAAAAAGGATATATTTTGCTTATATTCTAACATATAGGGAATGGAAATAAAAAAATCCAATAAATCTCCTATCAAATTAATTTAGATAATTGATGTTATTAAGATCTATATATTCTAATCATATTAGGACTCTGAATAGAGAAAGTAAATGAATTAAACTATAATAGGCATGAACTTCACTACTTAGGATATATTGAACCAGGTCGACTATTATATTCTTAGATGATTATTATCAAACATCGTATAACTCCTTTGAGCAATCATTGAAAATGTCCACAAGACTATCATTTCAATGGTTGTAAGAGTATCTAAAACAACCATGAATAATTTCTAATTAGTTGATATTTCAACATCAAAAATCACCAACAACACCACTAAGAGATTCCAATACATTAAAGGTATAGTGAATATGTGAGGGTATGTATTCAACAATTTAGCTAAAAAGTTCCGAACCACATTTAACCATGATCGTTAATCATTTCCCATCAACTATTAATACAAAAAGTTTTCAATAAAATTCGACATATTATAAGATCTGTTTAAAAGATTAATTGAAACTAATAAAATTAACCCAATAATTACGATTCGAATTATCCGGTCCTCCTACTTGGGATTTGAATTAGATGGTGGCAAACTTTGATTTCTCATACTCAATGAATATTGCAATTGCTATTAAAGGCGAACATAAAAGAATAAGCAAAATTATTTAAATTGCAATTATTGAATTATTCGAAAACATATCTGCCATCAAAATAGTAGGCACAAAGGTCTTAGACATAAATTTGCATACCCATTGATCTGAAACATAATTTATTTCTATATTTCTTCTATCTTAAAGAATATGTAACACCTCTTCGAACAAAAAAACCATCGCTATTCTTTGTATTTATGCAATTATCTCAATTATTATCCAAAATGTTTAATAATCCTATGATAGGGCTATCTATGTATATCCAATTGAATATTTCAAATATTCTTCCGTGTATTGTCTAATTTTCTTCATTAAAAATATAAAATTATTTATATTAATAGTAACCCAAACAAGAATTATACTTAAATATAGAAATATTAATCTCTGTTGAAATGGCTCTCTTATGTCCTCATCTAGAAATTTATATAAATTAGCTAATTATTTTATATTAAATAAATAAATGAGTGAATCATCCAACTTTTTCGTAGGAAAGTACAATTTCTCAAGAAGAGTCATAAATCATAGAGTACCTATAGATTTTAATCATGGAATCACTCAAAACCCTTTTGATTTTGTCTGGAGATCATCATTCAGAAATCTACTTGTTTCCAAGTATTAATCCAATACAATTTCCGCTTAGTTTGATTCGAAATATGTCAATGTGGTATTGCGGTGCTGCATTTGTTATTGGAATTGCGATCAATGAATTCTAAAATTACAGAAGATAAGGACATGCATTTACAACTCCTAAGTATGAACATTACTAATTAGAACCTAACCCTATTTAAATTATGTCACTAACAGCAGAAATAAACATGCTAATTTAGGTAGATGGAATGGTAATTTTGCTTGTTGGGAAAACGAACCATTATGCGGTAGAGATTTCGAATGATATATCTAAAATACATACATTCATCAGATAAAAAATAATTCTAGTAATTGCAACTCGATATTTATTTCTATCTTTCAAGTCTTAATTATTTACTTCCATAGTTTTATTAATTATTCCCATTCATAATTCTGATCATTATTTTTAATATTAATTTGTCTTTCATATTATATTACTAATCTGTTTTATATTTTCTGTTATAATATTATTCATATATATATTATTAATTTCCGTCGATCTACATTTTATTATAATTCTAGTCTTTCCAATTTATTGTACAAAATTGTATAAATAAATTTAGTATAAGAATACTTAATTTTTTTTATTTTCGATAAGCAATTCAAATTTACATCAGGGTGTGTATAGTTTCAAATTATTGAATTTAGCCTCTAATAGGTATTTATAAGGATATTATTTAGTCAGATAACAAGTTTTACTCGTTATGTTATAATACTCTAATTTTGTGTCCAATATTTAAAGTTACTTACAAAATCTATACATTTGTGTAGCAGTTCAGAATCTTGATGAATATAATTTACATAATAAGAATAATTAACATTAATTTATCAGATTTAAATGAGTATTATAAAATTCATATTCAAAAAGAAATTTTTAATCAATTTACTAAAAATAGTGAAAATAAGATATTATTATATTTTATAGAAATCATTAATCTATAGAGGCTATTACGTATCCTACTGTCACTGTTTATTGAAGGACGCCCACCTAATCGTAACCGTAGCCATCATTTAGAACAACACTTTTAACTGATACGATTTTCATGTTGATTTCTTTCAAAACAACATCAGCCTTTAAATTTATAGAATATTTATATTTACAGTATGTCTAGCATCTTCAATGGCATGCTCAACCAAATTATCTTTAATTTTTCGTTTTTGTTCTTTGCTTATATCGAAACTTACACCAACGACTGTCTCAACTCCATTTTTTACAGCAATATCGATGATTCTAGGATACAAATAATTCTTACTTTCCAACTTCACTGATATTTAGCGTTTCAATAGTGAGTTAACTGTTGGCTTTGAACCCTTTAAAGATCAAATTTGCTGGAGTTACTGTATAATCGTACTCTGTATATGGTTAAATCTAATAATCATTGGTCTAAATCTTTAGATCACTATTTGATTGTTCCTTGATAGCCCTGAAATAGATAACATAATAATTACTTGATGGCTTTGTCTGAAATGTTAGCCAATTACTAGAGTGCCTCTTAAGCTTGGACTTTTTTAACTTCAATATTCAAAGTAATGGTGGCTTGAGTTGGTTCCATAATGGTTGATGCACTTCCTTATACTTGGTAGATATTAGGAAGTAGATATTCTTGAATTCCACAAGACTTGATTGCTACTTAAGTGTCTTCAGTTGGTCTCAGGAATTATGAATAGGTTATTGAGATTAGGAATGAAATAGATAGGATTGTTATCATAATTTTAATATTGAAATTTAAATAGAAATTTATTGAGTTAAATTGTAAACATAATATAGAATAAGTTGAATAATTAAATTTATTCAAAATTACAAATTTTGAATATTAATGGTTATAATGATATTATAATTATATTCTCATTCAAAAGACTCAGAAGCAAAAGAACTATCGTGATTTAAGGATCTCTATGAGCTTTAATTAATAGAAGGGTCAACCTTCACTTTCTTTGTTTTCCTGTTAAAATGAAAATAGATAGATTACAATTTATTTTTGACATATTCTTATAGTTTTCTAATAATCTTCGGAGGTAATACATCAATATCAAATTCAAGTTCTTCATCCTCTCTGGTTTGAACGGTTTATTGAACAATCTCCCAAACTCCTTTTAAATGCTCTGAAGGCAAATCCCTTATATGTTAACCCAATTATCTTTTCTCTTCAAATGTAATAATGATCTAGTCTTGTTTCTTTGAACTTTAAGCATCTTTAGATTTGTGAGGGATAGTTTTATTTAGAGTGTTTCTAGAGGTGTGATAGATAAATCTTACTTATTTTAAACAGGTGTTGGCTTTGATTGATTTGAAATTGGTTTAAAGACATTATAAAAGTGGATTTCTAATTAAGCAACTAAATCCTAAATTTGATTGGAGGCATTTTAATGTAATTTTTGCAATGTTTGTTTAATTTCATTCTTCAAGTCAATCAAGTTACCTTTTAATTACTAGTAAGCAATACCTTCCTATAAGAAATAAGCTTCAATTTTATCGATATTAATTTACCCTTAAGCATCAATTTATGTAAATGCAGGATGAGATTTAAACATCTAGAGTAAGTGCAATCCTTTTTTAATGTTACTATCATCCATCTATGGTTTGCGTGATTCTTTTTGGGAAGTTGATGTTTGCCTTTGGATTCTTTTACTTTTGTCTTCCACTACTTCTTATTTATTAGATTGGAAAGAGGCATCATATTTATTTACTTTCTTGGACTAGAGACTTATAAGGGACCGATTTCTTACCACTCTCTATTCTCGAGCTTTTAATAGACTAGCTTACAATAAAGAGAATCCCTTTGGCATTTTATCTAAGATGAAGTCTACTTGCATTTGGTTTAGATTGAAATCTATAGGACTTGCCATAAATAAGTCTTAATATTATTTATTTATTGAGGAAGAATTTAAAATTAATTCGATTGTTTGTTCAAACTATAATTAATTGCTGAAGATATTAAAATATGGATAATTTATGCAAATATGAGAATATTTAAGAATCGAGTGACAGATGCTTATATGTTTAAACTAATTGCAATAATCAATCCAAAATAGCTTTCACTCAACTTTTCTATTGTCAATTTGATGAAAACTACATTCTAGTGTTGATCTTCATTGTAAATCTCTCAATCAATATATAGCCATTCTTTTTCTTTGTGATGTTCAACTTGTTATCAAAAACAGCCGAAAATTATTTGTCTCCTGCTGTTGCCCACATTGCCAAATATTTTAAATTATCGCAAACACTCTCAGGGTATTATCAATAAATAAAAGCAGAATTACACTCATAGCCTTAGCCAATGGAGCACCAGATGTAATAACAGCGATTATTGCAACAGGAGAAGATGACCAAGGTGTTTTGATTGCAGTTGGTAGCATTTTTGGTAGTGGGTTGTTCATGACTACATTCGTTTTAGGATCAGTCTTATATTATTCAAAACATATATTAGTGAACAAAGTATCTTTAACAAGAGATCTAATATTTAATATTCTGGGAATAGGATCTATTATCACGTTTGGCTATATTGGATATATCTCCAATCAATTTTCAATTCTTTTTGTTTCATTATATATAATGTACATATTTGTTGTTATGTTAAATGAAAAATCAGAAATCAAACATTGTCAAGAGAATTTATAAATAATCAAGAAGTAAGAACACCATGAGGAACAATAAGGTTTACTCTCAGAAGAAGAGTATCAATAGCCATAATAAATTGATGAGGTTAAACCTTTCAAATATTTTGGAAATGAATAACAATCATTAGAATTTGAAGAACAGCAAGTCAATCTATATCTAACTGAAAGTTGTGATGACGAGGATGAAGAACAAGTTGTCATTGCCTTTTCCAAACAATCACCATTTCAAAAGTTATAGACTATTTTAACAATGGGTTTCGATTTAATTAGTAAGTACACAGAAGGTAAGAAATAATAAAACAAAATTAAAACTTCCATTTAATTGTTATTCACTCCATTATTATTGCTACTTGTCTTAGATATTTATGATTCATTATTATTTGATCAACCTCTTTGGCTATATGTAGTATGCATAGCACTCATTTTGGCAGTATATCATTATTGTCATTAAATACCTTTTATAGTATAATACTCTTTAATCAATTAGGCTTTAACCATTTGGAGTGCCATTTGTTCTATTGTGTGGTGTAAATTAATAGTGGAAGTCCTTGTTGATTTCATTGTGGTAATTCCTTTGCATAGATCTAGGTTAATAGTTAATCCAAACTCTAACTGGAATCAGTCCTTCATATTTAGGTATGACCTTCCTTGCTTTTGGGAATTCTGCTTGTGATTTCTTAGTAAATACACAATTAGCTAAGATGGGATTAGGTATTATGGCCATAACAGGTTGTTTCGCAGGAGCATTCTTCAATTTAAATGTGGGGTTCGGGATTGCCTTGTTGAAATAAACTTGGAATGGCACCAATATCTAGTTTCCTTTGTTCATTTCAGATGAAGCCAATTCACATCTAATTAATCCATAGACCACATTAATTATTTAATTGCTTTTGATTTTCTCGCTTTTAAATATGGCATCGACTTTGTTATTGTCTGTAATATTAAAGTAAATTAATAGTATTATTATTGATAGATTCTAGCTGAAGAAGCAATTGTCTTATTATTATTTCACTTATTATTTCATTGTTTTAACCACTCTAACAATGATAACATTTTTTGTTAATTGATTTTATAATATTTTAAATTGATGTAATAGTTATTAGAATGAATTGATTGGGCTTGGACATTTCAGAATGTCATAGTCTGGACTTAAGGGTTGTCTAAAAAGGTATTTTAAATATATAATTGAATTTAGAAGCACCATCGTATTTTATTCAGAAATAATCATATTAAAGTTAAGAATCTGTGTTCATATAAATATATATATTCAAATAAAATGCAAGATGATGCCCAATAATCAGAAATGAAAAGTAAAAGCTAGAATTTAGTATAAGAAGTGACCATAAGTTAAGAATTTGAAATGCCAATCAATAAAACAAAGAGATTTGTATTGATCCCACCACTTTCCTAAATTAGATTTGAAGATGAGAAAAATAGACTGCAATATAGTTGTCATGCTAAGGATGGGAGTGAATTTGATATCTAGATAGAATTTGAAAATAAGGCTGATAATGCAAGTATTTTTGTTAGCTGTAAACCTGTTAGCCAATAATTGGATCACTCGTATAATTTAATAATAGTTTCCCTAGAAAAATTTATAAATTATCAAGTTCAATTTAGAGCAAAAAAACAAAAAAATAAAAAGACATCAAAATAGAACCAAAGGACAATCTTCTAAAACTCTAACTCACTCAAAAAGTCAAGGAATAACAATTGTGTTTGCAGAATGAAATTCTTATAGAACTAGCACCAAAATACAATAGTCGGGATGAAGTAGGATATACAGGTATAATCAATAACTCAGCTACCTGTTATATGAATAGTGTATTTTAGATTCTATTTCATCTGGGTATATTTGAGAAACTGGTCTATTCAATAAAGTCTGACTAGTACAATTAGTTTCCATGCACAGTAAATTATTCTTAAGATTATTTATAGTTACAAGCCCTGTTCTACAATCTAAGACACAGTTAGATAGCCATTTCGACATAAGAAATCATTAAGTCATTCAAATGGGACAAAGATCAATAAGCTCTTTAATAGGATGTTTAAGAATTCATCATGGAACTTCTCAAAGCTATGTGTATAAAGGTGCCTGAAATAGAGAAAGACATTAATGAACTATTTCAAGGAGAGTTGGAGAATCACATAAAGAATGAGAAGTTTGACAATTCAAATTCTGAATAGTTTATGGACATCTCTTTGAATATCACCAATTCTCTGAATGAATCTCTTGAGTTGTTCATCTAATCTGAATAATTGGATGCTTATACTCATGATGTGTATGGTAAACAGGAAGCAATCAAATATCATAGATTTAAGAAATTGCCTCCAATTTTACTCATAAATTTAAAGAGATATCAATTTGATGGACAAGGATTTACAAAGATTCATGATTACTTCTAATATGATGATGAAATCAATTTCAAATAGTACTTAATCAATTAAGTAGATGAGATCTATTAACTGTACGCTGTTTTAGTACATAGAGGTGAAGCAATTAACCATGGTCATTATTACTGTTATATAAGACCTACCCAAAACTCTTAAGAATGGTTCAAATTCGATGATAAAATAGTTACCAGAGCTACTAAATAAGAAGTATTCCAGAATAACTTCGGTGGACAGTATACCCAAGCTGATTATGATGGAGATTTGGATGAAATCATCACTAAAAAAAAGAATAATCCTGAAACTGCTTATATGTTGGTTTATATCAAAGCAAATTTACCAGATATTCTAGTAAGTCCAAAGGTTTTCCCAGAGTGGATTCTGAAGTAAGAGCAGTTGTATAATGACACCCAATTTGAATAAAGACACTTCATTTAAACAAATATATTCACTATCAATCATTTGAATCAGAATCAATGTTAGCAAATGAAAACAGGTATCATTTTTCATAAATCTGCCTTAAATTAATCTATTGATTAAAATGTCATTGAAGAATTCTTTGATTAATATACAACACCTTTACTTATTCCTAAAATAATAACTGTTCAATAGATCATTGATCAATTAAGTGAAAAGATAAATGTAGATAAAAAATATCTACATTTATTAATGTATAAAATATCACATTTGAAACCAAATTTGGAATCAGTTATTTAAATGCAACCACAAAAGAATCTGTCATTCTATTTGGCTAATAAAATCTACTTATTTGGATTAATGTTACTTTCTACTAATTTCGAAGATCAAATACTCATTAACAATTATTTTGGAGTTGATAAAATCAAATTAGATTTAATGCCTCAAATTGGAGGAGGCAAGAATTCTAAAGAAAATAAAAGTATAGTAGACAACAAAGTATTAGTCATTATTAAGACCTACTCTAATAAAATAATTGAATTCGATTAAATATTGCTACTTGATAAGGGATAACCAATTTTAGATACCATTAATAGAGAATACACTAATAATAACTAAATTAAAATCTATTATTAAAATGACAATTTGGAATTTAGATAGCAAAATTCAATGTTTAAAAATACGGAATATATTTAAGTTTATTTGGATTTCCAGAATGAATTGGAAACAGATATCGAATAAATCAACAATCTAAGAGAAGTCATAATCAAAGTACTCAATGAATCCTAATGCACTTCTTAGTTATTTAATAAAAATGATTCTACTTCTGCTTTATTAGATTTCCTTGCTTAATTGGAGGATTGTAAACAAGAAAACATTTAGATCAAATATAAGGACAAAAAGGGGAACATCTAAACCTTGTAACAATAAATGAAAATAGAAGAACTGATCTAATTTGATAATAACATTAGTTATAAATAAACAATAGTACCAATAGGAGCATTGAAAGAACAAATGAGCTTTTAGGTTGACAATCAAACTTATATCATCTTAAAGAGTATGAGTTTCGCAGAATTCATGGAGTAAGAACAACTCTCTCCCACTACTCATGTTCCATTATTGATTTCGAAAAAGGATAAAAAACAAGCTCAAGTCTAATTAGATCTTACATAAAAGATATCAAGATACACATATAAACATGAAATTAAATTTATAAAACCAATCGTCCTTGGAACTGATATTTATTTGATTTGCTTTTTGTAAAGTGTTGATATTGTGTTGTTGTGTAATCCAATTGTATGTTAAGTCTCTTAGAATAACACAATAGCAGAAATGGTCAATAGGATTATATAAGATGTTAGTTAGGCTCCTATTTAATACAAATCTTAATCGATTTAGATCACTGAGGACTTTATTTATAGTTCAGAGGATAACAAGACCAGAAGACTAGAATAACAAATTAGAGTTCGAATTAATAATTAAGAAATTTAATAGGATACTCAAATGGGAATTGGATCTCTTATGCCTGAACTTAAACAATTGACACTCGTAATGACTTTTCTGACTATTAGAGATACAAAGGTTGATAAATTGAGGTAAAAGGGAGTCTAAATTTTTTGATGATATAATTATTCTTATATTTAGTTTCTATAAACATTTTAATTAGAATTGACATTTAATTCATTAATTTTATTAATAAATAACTTCATAAAGTTCATCCAAATAACCTGTAAATGTTGGGTTTTAAATTAGTTCTTTGATGAATCGTTTAGAATCTTTGGGACATTTTGATAACATGACTTCCGAAAGCAATTGCAAATTCAATGCAGCCATACTACCAGTCTTGATGAATTTCCTATCAACTGGTATGTGTTATGTAACTGTGGAATGCCAAAAGGTCTAGAATGACTTTGCGATATCCTTAAGCAATTGCATATACTATTTTTCATTCTCTTTAAAAATTTAATTAGAGCTGCCAGATTTCTCTAATTTTTGTGGTTTGTGTTTCCCAACTTATTTGAAAGCATTGTCTCTGGAATTATTGATCACACTGTATAATTATTTAAGATGCGAATTTCTTTTGATTGGAGCAATGCATTTCTTCAAATCTCGACTTTAACTTTTTGAATAGAACACTCTCTTTGTGTTTAGATCTTAGATAGAGTTAAAAATTACCAAACATTGTAATGTCCTCTTATTGGGCTTCTTCAATTCTTGAGGAATAGTTGTCATATTCTCCAACGACTCCAAAAAAATAGGGACAAGGAGCTGCTAATCTATCAATCAATTCATCTGGTATGAATATACAGAAGGGCAATTTGTAGTTGAAAGGGTGCATGAGGGAAATGACTGTTAACATCACATGAGATAGCACTGATTTCTTTTTAGAAAATAGGATAACTCTTTGAGAAAGTAAAACATGAGAGATTAAGTACACCAACTCTTTGAATGACAAGGTTTGGAATGTCTAATCGCAACCCCATAAAAATTATAAGTATTATGCACTATCCTTTTTGGGTGTTTGAATTTATATTTCATTCAATTGATATTTCTAGTCATAAGTTACTTAAATGCTTCTTAAGGCAAATAATCTATCTATTATAGTATTCAATTTGCTCTTCATGAACACGAAGTCTCTCTTTAACACTTCATGACTCGATGCCTCACAAAGACAGGGTTCAATTCTTTCAAGTTTTAATTGGTTCCATATGTTGGCATTTTCTTTCAAAAAGAATTTGATGAATGGGTAATAGCTCACAAAACAATGGACTATCGGACATAACCAACAACCATATGTTTTAGGATCCAAACAAATGAATTCATTGATTTCAAAACAAATGATGTTCCTGAATACATTTGGATTGGACTCCTATACAAATTAACTTACAGTCATTCTACTATTTTCTTAGATGTCTTCTCTAGGAATGGTTATTGAATATTCGTTATCTCCCTTGGTCAATTGGAGAGTCTGCATAATAATTTGCTTTAATTCTGGTAATACTTTGTCATTGAAATTTTGAGATGATGCCTCTAACCTTTTTGCTAAGATACCATTAGGGAATGTGTAGATTGGAACAACATCACTAAAATACTGGAAATTGATTATACTAAAGATGTTAATTGACATTAGGAAATTGATATAGAATTTTAGGTTTCACCAAGACTTCATTTGTGTGTTCACTGACTTATTTTAATTCTTCAATGTCAGGTCCGATAATTAGAAAGTGTTCAAAAAATCTTTATCCAAGATAGGTGTGTTATTCATCGATGTTAAGTTATCTTGAAAATTCAGTCAAATTGCTTGTTTAAGTTCTTTAATAAGGAGCATTAAATTGATTTGGTCTAAGAGTATGCATTTCTAGTTTACTTTTGCTTTGGGTCCTAATTAATCAAATCTCCTATGGCTTTCTGTATGTTTTCCTTCAAAAGCTTTTGCGAATTTTCATCAAGTCCTTTGACTTAGGAAAACTCAGGTCCAAAGGTTTCGATCTATTCCTCTAACTCTGCAATCTTCTATTTCAACTCTTTGATTTTTTGATCTTTCTTCTGGCATTCTACACAATCCTGATTCATAATATTAATTTAGTAATTTAATACAAAAACATAAAATCACTCCTTTGGTCTCTCTCTCAAATATATTGGAAATCTGGGCACATTATTTTTAGACACTCCATAATACTTATACGTGATCCTGGAACCAATCTTCGGTGGTTTTTATCTGATATCATCAGTCAGACCTGATCCAATATTGAACACTATTCCACTTGTATTTTTAACCTTCAGAGACCCAAGCATTCCTTAACATCTCCCTGTTCCTTCTTCATGAGCCAATACAGTAGCCTCATCATCCATAAATGTTTTCACCTTCAACAATTTGTCTGATCTTCTCTATTCATAAGTGCTGTCTGGATCTCTTAACATCAACCCTTCTCCTTCCAAATCCTATACAGCTTCTAGTTCATCTATCAGATGATCATACCCTTTGCAAACTATATGAGGTACATAAACTATGTATTAATTTGCTTATTCACATGCCTACTTAAATCTCAAATATCTATCTTTGAAAGGTAGTTTTAATCCAGGAGCATCAAAAACCATGTATTTCACCTTTCTCCAATCATCTTCCACTGGAACTTATCTTTTGGTAATAGAAACCAATTTTGAAAATTGATCCCTCTCTAACCACAATTCTCCATCCAAATAAGATTTGGGCCATCCTTATACAAAAAAGTCAGGAAATTGAATGGGATTGCCATTTCTTGAATACATTTTCGAACCAGTCCAAATCATTCTCATGCCATCCAATTTCTCACTTAAATAATATCCCTTTGGATCAATTTCTTCATTCCATGTTTATGCTAACATCACTTTCCCCAATGGAATTGTACCTTTTCCCAAATCAACAGCTGGACCTTTGATTGCTTATTACCTTCCATTCAAAGCGTCATCAGTAATTGCTGCTATAGTATCTGGCTTTAATGATCCAGTTCTTTTAATAGCATTGCTTTGTTTTTATTGCTACTTAGTTTATACAGGACGATTTTAAATGGGTGAATCATTTTTTTGTATTTATTATTAGATTTATTGGCCTGGCACCACTTCTTAATATCCCTTATCTTCTTTTGTCTTGGATGCTTCTTCACAATATTTCTAACATTCTTCTTTTGATGGGAATTACTTCTCCACTTTTTTTACATTCAACTCTTCATAATCACACAAATTGCCATATCTGATGAATAACTTTGTTTCATCGTTTTCTTCGATTGTTATTGACCAAAATTTACTATCACATTATAAATACTTTTTCATTTTAATATTTTGTTAAATACATTATGAGTTGATTTTATACTAAAGATAATTGAATTTCTGATTAGGATCTGACAATAATTATATATTTTATATTAAATTAAAATAAATAATAATAAATATTAATCATTATTCTTCTTAAGTGTGTTATGATGATCCTTATTATGATTAATTATTCGGCAGTTACAATTCATAAACTTCGACCTCATTTTAATCAGAATTAGTTGTCTCCTAAGAAGATATCAAGGGAATGCATTACCAACTATTGTTATTCACTCTTTTTTGAAGTGTACCAAAAAATCTTGATAGTTAAAAAGTAGGGTAAAAAGAAATCAAATAACTTTATTGTTGTTCCTATTAGTGCATTTATACCATTAGTCCAAATTGTGCTATTTAACTTTTCAATAAATAATATTTTACATTAACATACCAACAAGAGAAGTAACCGTCCTTGTTTTTATATTTAGCAAGCATCGAGACAAAATAGACATTCTACATGAAATTAGCAAATGAACCAAAAAAACAGAAGATCACTAGAATCCACAAAGACGATTAATTCTTTTGAATCTACTCCTTCAATTTCATCATTGGATTATCCAATTTCTAAGCGCTCAAATTCTTGGAGACTTACCTCGACAATTACTTTACTTACAAAATGAAAAGACCTTACATGAAGAAGCCCACTGTTGTCACTATATTAAAAAAGCTGGCTATTATAAATATTATTCATCTACCAGAACATAAGTCATATGGATGATCAGTACTCACCTCAAAGAAGTATTGGATGTAATTCATTATGAAGATTATAGTAAAAAAGGAACATAATCCTATGCAAAACAATTTGGACAATTTAAGCTAAATAATTGGGTCAATATCTTGATATGAAACATCCATTCTCATATTCAGCATTCCCAAAATTATTGACTTTCTCCCAAAATAATAGATGGTGTAACAGAAAAATATGTATTAGAAGTAATACTCTGGAAAATATAATAAGGCACTTTCATATGACCATTGATATGTTAAATATGCTGCATATCATTAAAATTCCATACCACAAATATTGATAACCATTATTGAAACTATAATCTATTTACGATTGTATCGAGTGATATCCTTATGTTTTTAATATCTTCTGAATAATACGATTGATCCTGAAATCAATATAATCCATGCCCACAATATTTCCAAAATGTTCCTATTCCTAACAATCATATCATACGTGTAACAGTATAGATTGGAAGCCCCACCTTATGATTCGTCCTGAAAACAAGTAACCAGATAGTATATTCCAGGTTATTCATTATTATGTGACATTTTATATAGAAATTAATAATAAATCAAAGTGTTTCTGCTTCATCAATCAACTTATCTATTTTACTGATGCTCTTCTCATTATAAATGTCATCTAAAGCATTTTAAATATCTATAAACCATCCTTATTTCCTCAATAATTAAACCAATGAACTCTCATGTTCTAATTCGAATTCCTAAAAATTTGATTCGATTATTCTTTTTTATATATCAAAATTTAATTTTTTCTGTTTTTCGAATTCTAATAGCATTTTTCGGATTTCCAATATGAAGATCTCGCTTCGATTTATCAATTTATTTATCAATCCCATATTCTGTCCATGTTAATTATCCATATTCTGAACTAGCAGAATGTCTGCATGTGTTTCTACCAATAATTTGAGAAATGGTAACATCTACTTTGATATTTTTTACAAACTAAATAAAGTGTACCATTTACTTTTAACTGGCTTATTTGAGTAGAGTATTGATCATAAATAATTTAAAATAATTTTATAATCAATAAACTAAAAATCTATAAATGATTCCCATATCCTTATAATAATGAATAATACGAGTAAGAAATAAACAGTAAAATATATTTGTATTGTTCGATTTATATTCCTAGATTAAAATTAATGTTCATTTGAAATACAATAATAATATAGACATATTTTGGTTATATTAAAGAAATCAAGATAATGAAGAAATACTCCCATTTGCATCAGAAATTTGAAGATATGCTCATGTTCCTTCCTGATTTGAAGAAAACATTGAGGATGTTAATTTTGCTTATACTATTAAGATTTAATACATCAATTTTAGATTCTTTGAATTTTTTGGGTATTGATATCATGTTGGAATATCCAAACAAAGATGTGAGTTATATCAAATCTCATAATTTAGTTTTAATAACAAGACGTCTAGTTTTGAACAATCTTGCAATATGTAAAACTGCTCAAATATAAATTGCAAAAATGTGGAAGACAGGGCTTTTTCTTTGCATTGAATCTATTACTCTGATCTATATCCTTCTGTAAGAAAAGCGTTGAGAAATCTTACACTTTTAAATTGATTAAATAATATATATTGTTTAATGAAAAGTCTCACATCCAAAGATTATATAGCAAAGTATACCCAAATCTTCTAGGAATCGTTGCCTCTCTGTTTGCAATATAGAAAAGATAAAGAATGGCAATCCATTATAGACTTAATCTAGGATCATATACAACAATTTGAAAAGTTGCCGAATATTATAAAATAGAAGATTGATCAATTCACAAGAAGTTCATTGTTTTTTTTTTTGGCAGAAGCCCAATATCATTTGAAATAATCTCTAAATGCTGAAGATTTATTATTAATAGACTCGAAAGATCAAAAAATCAATCAAATAAAAGCTAAAACCTATTATATGCTTTATAAATAATCAAACAAGATTGAACATATTGAATAGGCATTCAATTTAGCAAATGAATATTTTGGGCCTGATCACAAAATCACTTAATTATATCAATCAGAGCATCACGAAAGGCAAAGAAAAATTAAATTCTAACAGTTATAATCAATTCCGAATTTCGATATTTTTAAATAAGGCCTAGAATTTCAATATTACAACCATTAAAATAAAAAAGTAACCAATAAAACTAAAGGAAAAACAGTTCATTTGAGTGAAATAGAAAAATTAACAACATAAGAGTCAACCTTTGAACCTTCTAAGAAAATTAGATAAAAATTCAATGAAACCTCGTTTAGAGTGTCAGACAAAAAAATCAATTTATTCGTTCCATTGTAAAATTCCAATTTCAACACTAAATCAAATATTTAATTTCGTTTAAACACAACCAATAGTGAATTAAAAGGATCTCTAAAAATTGATTCATTAGTTGATAATTAGATCTCAGGAACTATGACAGAATTATTGTTACCACGCCCATTGACTGGTAGACAGAAACATTCGAAAAAGATTCTGAAAACATAACCTACTCCATAAAAACATCATCATCAATAATAATCTAATTCATCTCAATAATAATTAAACAGAGGTAACATTCTTAAGAAAAGTTAAATAAAAATGCATTAAGTCAATTTAGTGAAAAGCAATTCAAAATAGAAAATAGAAATAAAAGAATCTTTGAATCTTAAAGTTTTTGATTCAAAATCTATATAATGTGAAATTAGTGAAGATGCATCAGAATCAATAAATGATTAAAATAAAGGGTAAAAAGAATTTGAATTCAATTTCTCACCTAGAATTGGCCAATCTTATTATAGTCTTAATACTAGCAATGAAAGGAGTAGACATTAAATCGATTTTGAATATTTACGTAATAGAATAGATTGTTTGTATGATATTTAATAAGAAGATGCATTAAGAATGATTATAAAGAATTTTAGAAACTTTGTCCAAAAACAAAAGGCTCAGAAGAAAGAGGAATTGATGAAAAAGAGTGTTGCTAAATAAAACTTCTCCAATCTCATCTTTGAATTAGGAGCAACAAAAAATATTTAGATTGAAGAAAAGATAGCTAAAATAAAATCAATACTTCATATCTGTCAAGTGATTGACTAAGGATCACTTAAAACTTGGATGATATTTTCTCCGATCAGATAAATAAATGCCATTAATTGGAAGATCAGAAACATTTCATGGGTAGTATTTAAAAGATTGAAGGCAAAGAAATCCTAAATTCATCCTGACATCCTTAAACTATATAAAGAATATCCAAAATATCATCAAATCATAGAAATTTGGAGTAATAGTATAGATGGCACCAATGCTATATTTGTGTTGACTATTTAGATAGAAGTGTTCAGTCGACTTTATGATATTCGATTACATCTTAAAAATATTCATAACATAGCCAAAGATTTTGAGAACATATTCTCAAGTATTGAAATGGTTTCATAATTAATTCACGTGTACTTTTCATCTCATGGGATTAATTATAACCAATCATTGAGAGCAACCACTTAGTGTATATTAACAAAATAAACTATTTTGAGATAGGATATGTTAAAAAAGGGATGTCAGAGCATCTCTAATCATGTCAATTAGTTATTTATCAGTAACTTTCTACATATGAAAACAGAAAATGGATCCAAATTCAGACGAGTAACATTGTCTGATTAAATCCTTGAAAATTAGGTAGCTCTATATCAATAAATAGAAGAAAGAAGAAAAATGATAAAGAGAGCATTTACTCCATCTCAAATTGGAAATGGTTACATAAGTATTAAGAATTCTAATGTCAGAAATTAAAAATTAATGAAATCATTATCCATAGCTATTGAATTACATTCTCCTGTTTTAAAATAAAAAGGATCTTCACCCAAAAATTACTGGGCAGATCTCAGGTCTCAATCATTTAAGATTGCATTTTAAGATAAAGTTATTGAAGAAGAAGACTTAAGCCCCTATTCAGGTGAATCAGTTATAATATCTCCTAAAACTCCAATGACTCCTCCAACAAGAAAGAAAAATAATACTTTATCTTCAACCATGAGTTATAAAGTACTAAAAAATTCAAAATCAAAGAAAAAATTGATTGATGACTATTTCAAGAATTATCCAAAGTAAAGAGATATATTACAGAAAAAGGATATACCCTTGAATCCTTATCAAAGTTAGTATGATAATTATTTATTATTATTAGGTAAAATTTATTAAGTTATCTTTCGAAAAATGAAGATGGATGGACAATCAATAATTTATCCTTTACATTTAATTTTGAAAACCCTAAATTATTTGGCCACTTTATTATCACCTAACATAAAGTTGGCCAATCTGAAAATGGATCAACCAGTTTATCTCTTAGTTAATTTTGCTAATTAATTAACATTAACGAAATAATTATAAAAAATCATCTCGGATATTTTAGATCGTTACCTTATATAGCCAAACTTACATTTCTTCATTAATTGCATCATCAAGAAATTTATAATAAGAATTATTCCAAATACTCTAATAAAGATCTCAATTTTCCAGAATATCGATTCACAAAGAAATTATAAAGAAAATCTTTGGTTACAGATTCTAACTAAATTAATAAAGATCATTTTTACATCTTTTTTTATAAACCTCCAAACTAATCCAGAGTATTATTTAGAATTAAACAATCCACTTATTAAAGAAATGATATTTTTGAACTTTTTGTTTACAAAATTTCATAACCCAGATTCATTCGAATATTAACTTAATCTAGTCTAACAAAATTGCAGGATCTATTCCGTAAAATAATCCATTAACAAAGTAGACCAACCATTGGAAATTTTCAATAAATATAGAGAGTTTTAAATTATTATCTTTTAAAGGATTACAAGGCAAATGGTAGATGTTGGTAAATTGGATTTTAGAATTCTTAATAATAAATATTCAATTATGAATTAAAGTCATGTGTAATTACAGATGTTTATAATGTTATATTAAAACATCTTGTAGCAAACGAATAAAGCTATATCAAGAATTTATTAAGAACTTATTGTAAAGTGACTAAGTTTCAGTTGGTTTCAAAATTGGATAACTTCACAGGAATTAATCTAATTTATTTCACTGAATATGCAATGGCTTAAAATTTAATCATTTTGGAGATATAAATATATCCTTTTGAAAAACGACTATCATCATATAAAACTTACCTTAATCATAATGATTTGAAGAATTTTGGTATTCAAAACCAAAATCTGGAGGAAAAGGCATTAATATTAAAAAATAAATTGAGTCTTTCACATAATAGGAATCAACAACAAGTTCATTTATCAGTAAATTCAGAATTTAACTATGTAAGTTAATTGAATGAAAATCTGAAATCAGATTATAAAGCTAATCTATTTGTTAAATAGAAACAAGTAATTAGACTGATATTTCAAAAAGTTAAAAAGTTTAACTCCCACTTTCTAATTTTTTCTTTATTTTACAATACTTTTAACAATGAAATAATCATCTAAATATACATCCCAAAATTATGTAAACTATTTAGAAGTGTTTTATCAAAACATGATTTCAATAATTTACATCAATCAAAATTAGAGAAAATAATTCCGGGTAATATCTTAGATAATTTTGATTAATGTTTTAATTCAATTCCATTGCGATACAATACATTTGTTACTTATTTGAAAGACAAAGAATGCATTAATGTAGATGATCAATTTTCAATTAAATCTAGACTCAGTGAAAGATCTGGCATTTCTTCTATCAGTTTGTAAAAATATAAAGATTAATATGAAAAACTGTAATAAAATCAACCTCAAATAAAATAAGAACAGACTTCATTTAAAATTTAAAACAAAAATTTAATACAATCAGAAAGCAAAAAAATTACTTCTAAATGTCACTTTAGTAAATAAAAGAATCCTCAAAGAGTTTCTCATGAAATTTAATGTAAGACTATTAATGTTACTAAATAAATTAGACTTTAAAGAAAGAGTCAGTATAAAGCCATCAGTAACAAAATTTGATAATTTCTACGATAGTGTGAAACTATAAAAGATTTTGGAAGATGCAGTTCTATCTACTAATCTAACTTATAAATACTTTTTATGCTATGTAGTTTCATAATATTAAATTAGTTTTGGGAATAAATGATTGATGAATGTAATATTATCATGACAAATTATAACAAATATATCTTGTAAATTGATTCCTACAGAGGCATATTGAGACAATTAGGGTTAAACTATCATATTATATAGTAGAGTGTCAAAACGAGTGTTCATTGATGATGATTATCAAGCAGAAATATTTTTCGAGCAGTAACAGGTTGAGTATGGTTCCATGTTTGAAAAGTATAGTTCTGTAACATTGAAGGAGTCACAAAGTACATGCATTTACTTTTCATACAAATAATTAAATGCATTTGAGAGCAAAACAATCAATTTAAAATGTTAATTTCGCCAATGCATTTATAACTATTCAACTGTAATTACTTTAAATAAAATAATATAGTTTAATCAAGTTTCGTACAATACTGCATTAAAAATTTTGAAGTAGAGTAGCGATTATATAACAAATTAAATAAAATAGAAGAAAAGTTTGATAGAATTTTAAAAGTTGGAATTGAAAAGCATTACAGCTCTAAGAACAAATAAAAAGAGTATCAATTTAGAAACCTATATTAATAAGTATGATTTTATGTGTAATATAGTCATTCAAAATATAAATTCATATATCAATGTAGATTGATGATGAATGTGATAGTGACTATTTTATATAAAAATAATAGATTTTATTTTTATTTGGAGGATTGCAAGAAGCAAGTAGATTTCCTAATAAAAATGTCTATTAAATCAGTGTAAGAGAATATTCCCCATATAATCTAATTGTTAAGGTGTCAGAAGGAATTTACGATAGGATAACGATTATTTTCAGCTTATAAAAATTACTTAATTATTAAGGCTTATGAAAACTTATTTAGAGTCAACAATTGATAATCTATATATATATGGTTTGCTATTTGAGTTTATAATATAGAAAATCTTATTGTAATTAGGAATGATTAAATTATTAATCTATCAATTATTAGATAAAACATTCGAGCCTTTCTTTGATTCTGGAATTTTCTTTCTTTGTTTGATAAAATCAAGAGACACCATATTTGTAGGCAATACCTTCTTAATTTTCTTGAGTTCTTCTTGCTTGTCATATGCTTGAAATTCTAATGAAGTTTTATTCTTTTCTTTTCTTTTAGTTTCTTTAACCGTGGTGTTGGTATTATTCAAATTGATTCCTACTTTTTTGTTTTCAGATTCCTTTTACTTGGGTGTGGCCAACAAACTTATACTATAAGGATGTTTTTTTTCATTGATTTCATGTTGACATTATCTCGTAAGATTTTCGATTTGATTTTCACTTCCTTTTTTAAGGGAAGATTTTTCGAATGATATTTCATCAATGGCATTAATAGTATTTTCATTAAATTTGGGAGAATTTAGATTATCTTATTGTATAGAGGATATTATAGATGATTGTTAACGAAGTCCTAGTTGAAATTGGATGGCTTATTACGATTCTGAATAGCAAGGTTATGTTTGACATGATCTATGATTAATTTTTAATTGTTGATCATAGAATTGAGTTTAAGATTCGATTTTACTTTTGATTGGTGAAACAACTTCTCTTATGATCTTGTTGATTTTTTCGGCATTTCTTTCAGATGATTGATATTCCTTTTGATATTTGTTATAAATTTCTTAATCCTAAAAATGTTTAACGATAAACTTCAATGTAATTTTAAGTATTTTCTCATAATCACATTTTTGCAATAAGTCTAATATAAAATGTTCAGAAATAAAATATTTTTAAAATTGTGGAGGTTTAATCTGTATTAATTGATGACAATATTTCCTAATCTTGAAATTTGTATTTTGATTAAAAATGAAGTCATGATTCTTTGCAGAACTAGTTGTTTTTATTCTATTCTTGATTATCAATAAGCAAATACATTGATGTGTTTCATTTCATCTCTAATATTGATCAACTCGTTCACCAAATGTTTTTATCTCATATTTATTTAATTAAATTTCTTAAATGATCTAATAGTTGAGAACATCCAACACAGTTCAATCGTCAAGAGACTTAAGTTCAGTAAGAATCCTTTATAAATTCAAGCCCAAAAAATCCTATTCTCATTTCAGAAAAGTCTTAAAGGCCAGATAAAAGTTTCCCACCAGCAGATCTCAACATCTCAGATCTGAACCTGCCTAGACTCCCAAATCTCCCCATTAAAAAATAACTCAATTGTTTTAGATGACTTCAAGACCTGAAAGAGATAGACCTATCGATGAAGTTAGATAAGGCCATTCTCCCAACTTTTACAATTTGTGTAGTCTCCCCTATAAAAATTATAAATATGAAAAACCACCTGGCAATGCAACTGTTTCATAGTTTCTAGAATAGGCGTGTAAACTTGGATAGAAAACTGGCAGATGGGACAAGTAATCTTTAATAGGTAAATTTAATCCCGATAAGTAACATTCTTCAGATATATTGTTTAGCGTTTAAATTAAAAGATCTACTTATACAAGTGACCATCTAATTAAATCTAGAAAAGTCTAAGGACCTGCCAGTTGTTTAGAAACTATCTATGTGGCAAAATTGCAATTGGATTTGGAAGATAATCAAGATCAAGAAATATAACATAAAGTAAATGAAATCGAAGAAACCTTAAAAGAAGGAGTGAAGTATGATAAGACCAAATGTGCATCATAATAATACATCCTAAATCGATGGACCAGGTAATAGGTTTCTTAAGACAAATTATGCTTAAAGAATGATAAACTACCTCAATTTGCATATTAAAAGTATGTTATTGATTAATCGATTAATAAAGTTGTAAAATCATCTTCCTAATATACAACTTAAGAACAGAATTCTATAACACAATTGCCTGAAAAGATCTCCTTTTTTAAGTTTGATTTCAAACAAAAAAACTTCTAAAAACAATTGTATTACAATAAAGGACAGACAGTTGCTCTACTCAAACAAAACTACCCTTTCCTTCAGAAACCAATTATAGGAAATAGAATACTATTGAGTTTTGATATTGTTGCTTCTTAAGAAAATATTCCCTATAGGACATTTTGTACATTTTTACAAGTCTATGAAAATAAAAAGATAAGGGTAATAGAAGGAGCAATAGATACGGTTACGAAGAATATTATTGTGAGTTAAATTTTAAAGGTAATTAGAATCTTACAATTAGTTTTTTGTTATAGATTTATCGGATATTATTACTTCCTTGGAATTCTGTAATCTAATACGCATTCTATGTCAACAACTGAATGAAAAACACCCAACTATTCAACCAATTTATTAATAATTAATTTAAAATTATCAATATTACCAAATTATCAGTGAAGACTTATCATAACCTTTCAATTCGTCGCAATTTAAGTTTATCTATTTAACCAATGAAATGAATATAGATGACATTATAGATTTAATAACATTAATCTGATCAAAATTTATACTTTAATCATACTTCAAAATTTCCTCTCATATGGTTATCGAATATAAGATCTATTATCATATTCTCTAGGCGATATTATTCTCCTTCTTGTTTTATCTAAATGTGGCACCTCAACAAACCTTTCAGGAATCCTTTACACCTCCTTTTACACAGGAATCTCTCTATACACATCAACAGGCTCTGAATACAATGGCACTTCCTTGTAAATTGGAACCTTTTAATAAATAGGGACATCTCTAAAGACAGGAACATCATGATATACAGGAACGTCCTTATACACTGGAATATCCTTGTAAACATTGATGGACTTTTCCACTGGAACCTCCTTGTAGACTGGAACCTCCTTATTTACAGCCACTTCCTTATATTGGGGAATGTATATAGGAATTTCTTTAAAAGTGATTTCAGCAGGCTTTTAGATTTCCTTTATCACTTCCTTAACTACTTCAATTGGTTTGATAACTTCTTTAATCACATCTCTTGGTACTTCAACGATTTAAGGAATTTCTTTGTATTCAATTTCTTTAACTACCTTCTCCTTCCTTTTTCTTTTAAGTAGTTCATCATATTTAACTTAAAGTTCATGAAATTATATTTTAGTTTATTTAGCCTCTTCATGTAAACGAGCATTTTCCATTTTTGCATAATCATCCTTAGGTAATTAAATTGGTTGAGGTTTAAGAGCTTAGATCATAGTTATCATTTCTGAATTATCATTAGTTTTTTCTGTTTCAGGAATACTAATATTATATTCTAAGACTTGCGAGGGTTGTACTTAAACTTTCACCTGCCTAATTAATGATTCCAAATGATTCAAATCTTTCTCAAAATTAACATGAGGTTACTCAACTCTCTTATGAGTCTTCCTAACGATTTCTTGTACTTGAAATTATTCCTAAATTGCACTGATGGATTTTTTCTTCTTCTTCTTTGATTTCCTTTCAGCCATAGGTTACTCTTAGATAATTACATATGGTTAATATGTTATTGGAAATTGTTAAGACTACTAAATGCATATTGGGTGACAATGAGTATGATTAACTGGCTATGAAGTTTCAATGACTCTTTCCACTTCAATTTCTCCTTAGTTGTACTTATGTTGACTTGATTATCTAGTTTAAGGTTAAACTGCTTTGAATGCTTGTCTCAATTCGTCGATCCCTTTAATACATAAATCGTTATGAATTTAAGACATTTTATATTATTAAATAAGTAAAATAAATTTTAATAAAATTTAATAACTGCTAAATCTATACTATCCATTCAAAATCATATTAAAAATGATTAGATTCTTCGGCAAATTTAGATTATTTAGTTTATTCATTCATAAACTGATGTTAAATTTATTTAAGTGATTAAATTACAGAAAAAAAAAATAATCATTTCTTTACACGAATGACTCTGCGTTTGACCTTCATAATGTCTATCAATTTCAATATATCCTTGTTATTATTCTAATAAAAATTAGTTGCTTATGTTTTATTCAATTCACCAAAAGGTTTAATTTAGGATTAACAATTAAATTGAGTTAAAGACAGTTGAGATTGGCATTTTATGTGTCTCTTCTTTTTGTTTTTACTAAGTGCATCGTTTAATATACTTAAAGGTTTTAATCCAACCTCCTTTTTTGGCAATACATCCTTTAACATCCTTTCCATATATATTGATATCTTACTCTTTCTTGGTCCTCCTTAGATAGGTTAAAATGGATGAATAGACACTGTTTCTTCGATTTCTTCATCACGACTAATTAATACAATGTATAATAACCTTTGCGGTTGCTTTATTGGTTATTAAACTGGTAATAAATGTACTGATTATACGACAGCAGGTCTTCTTACAGTTAAATTTCGAACTGCTCTTAGAAGATGCATTTTCTTTTTTATTCGTTTAATTGCTTCCATTTTGTAAGTCAGAATAAAAATAATGGCATTTCCCACAGCTTTAAATCTTCTTAATGTTTTTTTTTTCTTTTGATTTCTAAATTAATATGTCATGGAATACCTTGTTTCTTTTAGAGGTAATTCTCTATATAATTTTAACGAAAATCCCACTAGTTATCCACATTCTGAGCAATCGCAACTTAAATTGCATTTATTTAAATCGCTCTCTAATTTGTCAGTACTTTGGTATAGGATGGTTCTTCCTTTCTTTACATTTGATGCGTGCTTATAGGTTATGGATTTAACATGTTTTAATTCATAATAATCAGACGGTGACAATGATCTCTCAGACATATAAATAATCAAAATATAAATTCATGGAAATTTATATTATTAATCTATGCATCATTTCATAAATTGATTCGTTAAGTTAAGTCTCGTTTTTGTTTGTGCATTCAATATCCCTATTAATAACATGTACAAACAAGGAAGGGAAGGTTGAATTTGAGATTCAGTTGAAAATAGAATGTTGAATGAATGCTCTATAGACTTGTTATTGAAGGATGTGGTTATATGGTTAATAGGAGTGGGAAGTGAGATGAATTAATTTGTTTTGATACTAATTTGTATATATTTGTATGAAAAAAGGAAATTAATTAAATCATTTAATTAAAAATTAGATAAGCCCATTATGGATTCAACTAAGGATAGAGTAGAAGGTACAAGAGCCACAGTTATCGAAATCATTGGAAGAACAGGTAGAAATTATCAATACTGAATGCAGGTTCTAGAGGTGGAATTACATAAGTTAAGGTTCAATTGGTTGGCTAATAAAGAACATTGATTAGAAATGTAATGGGACCAGTCAGAAAAGGTGACACATTGGAACTTATGGAATGTGAAAGAGAAGCCAGAAGATTAAGATGATCTAAAGTACATTAAATATACAATTTGCCACATATTTAATTATTTTCTTTATGAATTTACATTGATTATACTCTGCCTTGAAGTTGCATCATTCGCACAACATCTCTAATTTTGTGAGTGATTCTGGAGCATTATGTTTTGATGATTCAAAAGGAGAGCAACAATTTAATAAATAATTCTAATTATTTTGCTGATGGATTAGGATGAAGATCATTAAATTTCATATTTAAGTTTAAAGACGATTCATACTAATTTAGAAATATCTAATGCTTATTCTTCAAGGACTGAAACTACAGTATAATGAAAATAAGCACTATAAGGTATATAATTTAATATTATGAACTGATATCCAATTTTGAAGTTCAAATTCAATTTACAAGTAGATCACTTAATTATATCAAAACCTTGATTTACAATCAAAATGTTATTATTGATAGAGAAAGTTAGAGATTATGTGTTTGAGTAAATAGGTATAAGGACGATAAAATGGCAGAGATTGTATTAATGAGATTTAATTGTGAAATAGATTATTAATGAGTTTTATATAACAATGCATAGAATCATATCAGATTTTTCAGTTAAAAGGATTGCTAATATTATTTAAGAATACTTGAGATAGGTTTAAACTTAAAGTATTCGATCTTTGGAACGAATTGTTTCCAAAATATTATATATATAAAAACCATCCCAGAAGCAAAACAATCACCATTTATTCAAATGTCTAATTTAGTCAAAATCAATATTGAATATGTTAGAGTAACCCTAAAAAACTTTGTAATTTATTTTTATGCTCTTTATTAACTATGGCAATAACATTTTCAATAAGTATTCTCTAATATCTTAATGTCTCCTTTTTCTACTTCGAATCCAAAAAAGAATTCCTATCAATTAGAATTCTTTTTATTGTTCTTAAAAAGGGGAAATGTTGAAGACTGTTATCTGCGAATATTTAAGCTTCATGAAGATATTGTTCATCATTTATGATGGTTCTTTCACTATAAACTGCATAGAATTATTAACAAGTGTTGTTTTTCGAATTAATTTTAGTTTATTATACATTAATTTAATCTACTTTTGTTTATGATATAAAAGAGTTTGAGATAGTGTTTGGTATAATTCAAGATTTGATATACAATTAATAATATAGATTCAGTAAATTAGTTTGCTAATGAAGGTTGTTCAAATATATAAGTAAAATATATATTTATATTTATTAATATAAAGGCAAGATATTCTTAAATGGATTTTCAAATACTTTTTGTTTAATTAATTTATGTCTCTTTCAGCTTTAAGGGCAACAGTTTCATTCCTGACATTAAATTCCCTACTACAGATATATGAGAATCAACCTGTAGAATTTTGGGATTCAAACTAAATGATGTCTCATCCAAGATTAACTCCCATATTCTAATCGAATCAAGTAATTATTTCAATTATCCTCAGTATCTGAATTTATTAGCTGGGTTTTTCACTCTTACATTAATTGATACTTCTAACAAACTTCAATTTGCAAATTCAATTGCAGTTGCCACATCCGTTATCATCTAAAATTTGAAGTATTTTCTAATATCTATAATAGTTTGTTTTTACCTAAGACTTTCAATATGATATCAATTTACTTCTAATTGATCATTCTCATTTCCCAACTCTTCATGCTGTTATCCTCATATTATGAAAAAATGTAATTCGACAAGATTCCCCAACCTCATGCTTCATTTCAAATTCAATAAAGTGTCAAATAATAAAAAACAATCAAAAAGTAAACCTAGAAGAAAGAGATCTCTCATAAAAAGAAAGAGAAAGTATAACAAAAATAATTACAGTCAAATTAAGAACCATTAATTGAGAAAGTTGAATAACCAGATAACACAGAAGTAGAATCAATTTAAAACGATTTCACAGAATTTATGAAGCAACCTTCCAATGATTAAACTATCACAGAAATTGAAACAGAAAATTTGTATGAAATTAATCATGCGGACTTGTCTTAAATTTCATAAGTTAAAGAAGATTCAAGTATTATAATAGTATAACTATCTTAGAATTGACCTTTCAACTCAAAATCAATGGCGAATTCACTAATTTAAATTGTACATTTGAAACATTTGATTAAACAATGAACATTTTAAATTCATCATACACCTCAGAACAAATTAAACAAATCAAAATCCATTTGTTGTTAAACCTATATGATGAAAACGAAGACTGTTCTTGTAGACTCTGGTGTCTAAAGAAACTCTTATCATATAACTGATGTTATAACTTCCTTCAAATTTGCTTTGTGTGTGATTTATTATGTCATTTCATTAAATTAAATTATTTATTTTTTAACATATGTAAGCCATGGGATTATTTGATTTTCTGGATGGAATTCCAGATGATTATGTTCCAAAACAAAGAATGACAGCTGAAGAAACTGAAGAAGCCTTCACATATCTCAAAAACCACCCTCTCTTTTTAGATCATATCCCAGAAGACATTGAAAACTACCCTGAATTGTTGGCATTGTAAAATCTCCAATATGATGATACTCCTGTTAACATCGCAGCTGCCTTACTCAAGAATGCAAATGAAATCATGAAAAAAGACGGAGATAAGAAGTACTTCCAAAAGAAGGCTTACGAAATCTACTCTGATGCAATAGAATAAGATTGTGGAGACAAGGAACTTATGGCCAAACTCTTTAGTAACAGAGCCTTGATTTCCTACAAATAAAGTACTCTATCAAGTAATATCACTAGAAAACTATAAATGTGCAATTCAAGATTGCAAATGGGCTATTGAAAATGATCCCAAGTTTATCAAACCTTATTTCAGATGTGCCCAATGTCTGTATCAAATACTTCATTTCACTGAGGCCTTGAAGTTTTGCAATCTTGCACTCGAAATATCCAAAGAAAAGGATATCGAAGAACTGAAGAAATTAATTCTTTAATAAATCGAAAGACAAGAAAAGAAAACCGAAGAAGAAAAGAAATTACAATAACTATATGCTATTTGCAATCAGAAGGGCATCAGAATGGGTCCATCCAAAATATCTTTGCCTCCAGAATATCAAGTATCTGAATTCAAATAATCTTAGCCATAAAAAATATCATTAGAATAAGCCAACCCTCCCATCTTGACTGTTCCTATGCTAGTCACATACCCTGAATTTAAACAAAGAGACTTCATTTAATATTGCTCAGAATAAACAAAGCTATACTAAATCCTGGCTCCCTTATTTCAAACTCCTTTGCCTTGGGATCAAGATCAACAATACAATTTGAATAATATAGAATGCTACATTGAATTAGATGATGGAAATTATGCCAAATTGAACATTAAAGCCAAAATGCTCTCCATCATGTAGGGTTACAAAGTAACTGTGAGGGAATTCATAGAAATACTTTTGGTATGTCCAGGTACAAATTATTACAAGAAATAATTCAGATCAGAATATCATATTTTAAATGATTAATGATAAAAATGTATATATAAATAAAAGTATTACATATCAAATCCTTCCTTCTCTCCTCTAAATATCATAACCTCCAATCCGAGTATCAATTTAGCCCTTAGGACTTTGCACTAAAATATGATTAATATAAATACATTTTTGGAATCCCTAATCTTGGGATTTCATTCTCTATAAGTCAGTCGTATCATTCTCTAATGCTGGCTTAAGCAAAAGTTTGGATCTAACATAAGCTTAATACTCCTCTCTATCTTAAACTGCTGTTCTTTAATACCCCATTTTATTATTAGTAAAACTACCCACTCTTTCTCCCATTCCTAATCTATTCAATCCTCTCTCTCTATCGTATTATCTGTTCATTGGTTGACCTCCTCTCAACATATTTTCAGCAGCTTAATTACCTATGATCTTTAAGTTAGTTCCTTTCTCCAACCCCAATCTATCCATTACTGAAGTGTCATTATGATAACTCAATTTCTATCCTTAATCTTGATATTCTCTTCTTAAATACCTCTCATCTGGCTTCTATCCTACATCATTAGTCCTTCCAAAATTTGTTTCTGGTCTTGTTGCACCATCAAACTCTCTTCTTTTTCCAAATTCTGACATATTTGTCTCCATTACTGGTCTTTCATAATTATTCCTTCTATCTAATTCTTCTCTCAATTTTCCATAATCAGATCTACCAAAGTCTTTTCTCCCCATGATGTCTTATTTTTGTGTATATTTTTATTCAAAATATCTATCACCAAACTTATCATCAAATTCCTTTTAATATTAATTTTTAGTCTCAATATGAACCCTTTATTCAAAATTTCCTCTTTCCTCATATGGTCTACTTTATATTGGAGGCCTGATACCAAACTATTCTCTGCGTCCATCGAATCCATTTGAAGCACCTTAAGTGAGTTCTTCTCCATATGTCCTATTTAATCCCCCTCTAACATCAATTTACTATTATCTTCCTTCCATCAATCCTGGTCTTCCTTACGGTAACTCAGGTCTTCCTTATGTTACTTCAGGTCTCCCTTGCATTATTCCAAAGCTTCCTTCTAAGAACTCTCTCCTTTCTTTTTACCCATCCTAAATAAATCGGGCGTCTGGATATTTTCTATAGTTCATCCCATAACTCGCTTCTTAAAATCTATCTGGATAATTGCAAGCTGGTATTTCTTGAAATTATTGCTTTTATGGTTATCTAACTTCATTTTGATATTGTTCTTCCATACCTTACCTAAATCCATATTATTAAAATCTTTCATAATTATACCCTTACTAATTTCTATACTCTGGGGGTATTCTTTAATCCATTTCAGGTCTTACTTCCGGGCCAAATCTTGCTTAATAAGGAGATCTGTTTTCGAATTCAAGTCTTCTATCAAATTCAGGACGTTCTAACCTTCTTTCATTCTCAGGTCGATCTGGTCTTCTTTCAAAAGGTGGTCTCTAATCTTAAGTTTAGGGTCTATGTTCATATGGATTTGCATATCTTCTCTCATCATAAGGGTTGGGCATTCTTCTTTGATCATCTAAGGGAGGTGGTATATCATAAAACTATTATTATTAAATCCTGCCTTCAGGATATTGTGATTAATTAAACTTTCCATCCTATTGTATTTGATCATCAAAGCCTCTTTTTTAACTAACTCTTCCTTCAACAGGAGTTTTCGAAACTTCCTAAGGTCTTCTAATTTAATTTTATTGTCTCTAAGAATACTCTTAGGATTTAGCAGAATTTCTTTAATCATACAAACCCTATTCAACTCCTCCTCTTTAATATTATTCTCTTCTCTCTAATACTCTTTTATCTTATTCATATAAATCATTATTGTCTGGTTTCCTCACGTAATCAGATGCTCTTATCAATCTGTCCATTCTTTCAGGCTATTCTTATTATCCTCCTAATGTCTTAATTCTTTCTTATTCATATCTAGTTCTATCTCCTTGATCAACTGGCATCTACTTCATGTCAAATGAACTCATCTATCTCTAATGAATTCGATGATGATCCTCTGGATACATTCTTTTGTATTCAGGCAATTGAAACTCTCGTTTCTATTCTGATAATTAAGTATCTCTTCTGCAATTATCTTATCTTGATAGTGGAGTTTAAGAACTCATATTTACGTTTGGATCAAAAGGAGTCCTAGTTCCTATTGTATCTCTTTTTTTGTTGTCAATATTCCCATAAGGACTAGTAATCCCTTTTTCATTCAATTATCGCTATTCGTATTTGTAATTAACTTAATCTAATGGTTTTCTTTGATCTCCTTCTTGATATGGCCGAATAAATGGTTTAATTTGCTCTTACTCATTGTTATTGCTTACAGATTGCTAAAGGTATGGGTTATTAGTAGATCCTATTTTTAATGGTTCTCCAGTTTGGCGATTCTAATCATATTAATTTGATTTATATGGAGCTTATCTTTCATAACCCTTTAATGAATAAAAGCTGCTATTTTAATCCAAAGGGTTTGAATTTTCTTTTTTGAAATTCACATCAGTTTATGGTGATATGATTTTCCTAGTTTAATAATCTAATTATCCATTGACTTTCTCATTCGATCTTTGACGACGTTCTTCCATCATCCTTTTTTGAATAAAGTTTGATTAATCTGTTAAATTAAAAATTGCTGTTAATATAGTATATAATTTCAATGTTATTATGGTATTGTTATGATAATAGTTTAAACATGTAAATTATAGAAAGATCTTTTTGATTGATTGACTTAATTTAATTATTCAATAAAATGAATTATTAGCATCCTCTTTAAAGAACACCAAAAGCCCTTTAGATTAAAATTGTAACCTATTCATCCTCTACTTCCATAGCCTTCCCCAGCTTTAAGAACTTAATTGAGTCCAACCCAATTTTCATCACCAAAACGCATTATTCCTATCACCGAAATAATTCGCTTCATTCCCAATGATCAATCTGGGACTCCCTAAAAAGAGCCTGTTAATAAGGCTGAGTTGAGTGTCCCTTAACTTTAGGTTTTCTTGGATGAGTTGTTGAAAAGATATGATAAGTTAGCTTAAGATCTCCAAAAGTCAACTCAATAGGAAATTCAATTATAAAATGATATGAATACTCTATAATAGGATACTAATAACAAATTACAAGAAGTTTATACAGAAAATTAAATATTATAAGAAACAGTGAAGAATAAGGATTAGGAAATCGTACTTCTAAATGAATTGATTGACAGGTTGAAAGAATAACATAATAAAGAACTCTAAGATTTGAAAAAAGAAAATGAAACTGTTCTTGGGGTATTGACAGACAAATTACAATAAATGAATATATTTGGCAAAGAGAAAATTTCAGAACTTGAATAAACTAAGAGTTTGCTTTAATTAAGAGATCAAGAGGTTTTAGAATGGAGAAGCAGAAAAAACATTGCAGATTCCAACACTTAAGAAATTAGGTAAGAAATTATCTATCAAGTAATCTGAAATCTAAGTTATACAAATTAGAGTTATAAAATAATCAATTAATAAAAGAAGGCTCAAAATTGAAATCATAACTTGAATAAAAGGAGAATGAAATTGCTGCATTGAAAAATAAAGTAAGAATATTTTTTATCCTTAGTTGCAATAAGGATTATCTACGAATGACCACCAACAATTATAGGAAGAATTGGAGTAGGCCAAATAGGAAATTAAGTACTACTAAGAATAATTAATGTAAAATGAGAAAAACGAAAACTTGGGGGATCTGGATGAGCAGGAAGAAAAAATATAGGTGTTGGAAAGTGAAATAAAAAGATTAAATAAATAGGTTTGCATTTAGTTTCATTAAATAATTAGTTAATTGATATGAGACATGAATTGGAGAGCTATAGGGTTCACAAATCAGACAATGAATTCTTGAAGAGCAAATTGTCAACCTAGTAAAGTTAGATCAGAGATTCAAAATTACGGGTAGCTTAATATTGAATGATACATTATTTATTTGCAGTTCTTTTATTGAATTGGATTAAATCTTTCAGGGTAAATTTAGAAATACATTATTTTTCATTCATTTTATAATGATTGATACAAAAATTTATAAATAAATTTAATTTCAAAATAATGTTTGGATTTCCATTTTCTGGCCCTTTTGGAGCTTTTCCTCAATTCATGGACGAAGAAATGGATTAAGATTTTTATGAGCAATTTCCTTAGTAAGAAGATGTAGATAATAAAGAACTCTATGAAATATTAGAAATTCCCCCTTAATCAGATATAGCTACTGTTAAATAGGCTTATAAGACTTTAGCCAAGAAATACCATCCAGATAGACCTGGAGGTAACTAGCAAAAATTCTAATTAATCTAAAAGGCAAATGAGGTCCTTTCTGACCCTGAAAAAAAAAAGATTTATGATAAATAGGGAAAACAGGGATTGTTAAGAAAATTGAATGTCAAGAATTAATAATTTAAAAAATGCGATCCTTTTAAACTAGAGCATAAGATTACATTGAAGGATGTTTATCAAGGGGCATATCATAAAAAAACATTAACTAACGTCTAGAGAACATGTGAAAGTTGTCAAGGTTAAGGAGGATAATAACCTAGCAATTGCAAATCATGCAAAGGATAAAAAATTGTATAAATGCTTGTCTAAGTTTAACCTGGATTGAATGTAGTATAATAAGCTCCTTGTCCAGATTGCAAAGGGTAAATTATTTATTCTATTACCTAAGAAAAGGGTAGATCTTTTTAAAAGAAAATGAATGTAAATAATGTAAAGGGGCAGGAAGAATAGATGGAGAAGTAGAAATTGAAATTCCTATAGAGAAAGGTGTTCCAGACGAATATTGTGTTAAATTATATGGCAAAGGAAACTAGAAAGTAAGGAAATCCTTAAATATTTAATTAGCCTGGATATGAGAATGGAGATGTTTATGTTTATTTGCAAATTGAGCAACATCCATAGTATATAAGAAAGGGAACAGATCTATTCTATTAGAAAACAATCTCACTTAAGGAATCTCTGACAGGGTTAAATTTAGAATTAGAAACCTTGGATGATAAAATAATAAATGTGACAACAAATTAGATCATAAAGCCGAACTCAATAATGACAGTAAAGGAGAAAGGATTACCAACTTTTAAGGATGAACTTCATTTTGGAGATTTACATATTTAGTTTAATATAGAATTCCCTACATAGTTAAATTAAAACATAAAAAATCAAATAGTCGAGGTAATAATGCTATTTACTTTAAGATATTGCCAGGACCTAATAGTACAATGAAAAATGGAAATACTTATAAATTGGAGGAATTTCAATTGGGAGAATTTGAAAAACATTTAGCTAAATAGGAAGAAAATGAAGAGGACGATCCAAATCAAATAGGAGTTGAATGCTCAATATTTTGAATTTATTATAATATTAAATATGAATCAAAATTTAAGCAAAAATTAGTGAGATGATTCAAATGTAAATTAATCTTGCAATTATGTAATAAAAATTAACATACAAATATCATTAGTAACAAGTAGTTAAAGAAAAAACATATTCTAATTTGAATAAAATTTACTAATTATTGTTAGTGATATTAATAAAGATGTGGAACTGAATGATAATTTGGTTTAACCAATAATTTGAAAAAGAATAAATATAATTACAAATTAGCTATAAAATAACACTGAGACATCAAAAATTATGGTGGATTATAAGAATTCTACAATAATTTTATTATTTATCAAATCTGGTGATATTTCATCAAATATCAACTTTGGTAACATTACAACTTGAAGGAGGATACATCAAGTACTAATAACCACGTCTATCTGAAGTTTCTATTCCCCATGCAAGATTGCCTGCAATGTTCAATAGAACCAATGCAAAGTCTATATAGAATAAAGCATGTCCGATATTGTACTTCTTCAAATAATAATACCCTATATTTGTGAATATTAGAACACTTATAATCTAGAAATAATTATAAATATAGGTACTCCTAATCCATAGAAAAAAAATTAATCTCCAACACCAAAATTATTCTCCTCAATTTAATTGGATAAAACAGTGGCGAAGAGTTGACAACAAATTATGAAATAACAAAAATTGGCTGTTCCACCAGCTACAGCTGATATCAATCCAAATTCAGACATTGTTGTAACCATGATTAAACCTGCAGCCATTCCAAAGAATCCAGCCACTATTCCTGTGACCCAACCAGCTGCATAGATCTTCCAGAATCTTGTTCCAGGAGTGTAAAATCTTTCACAATTAAAAAATTTGACTGCATCTTTTGTGTATTCTTCCTTTCTTTTGATATAATATACGACCAGAGTTATTATAGTATTCACTGCAAATAATAGTAGTAACATATAGAAATTCCAAGCCGCACATATGGTTCGTTCCTTTTTTGTTTCATTAGTGTAATAAGGGGATGTTAACCCTGGTGTTGTCCTACTTAAGATTATTGCCTAATATGATAAATACGTATATTACCTCATTAATAGCAAAGGTGCCCACTGTAACTACGATTGGAAACATAGGGAATTTGTTACATTAGTCGTTATAAAATTGCTTATATAGAACGGCTTCTTGTTATTATAATTATTGTTGATCTTTCAATCCCTCTAAAGGAACAAGGGCTGATTTAAGTAGTATATCGTTGTCTTATTCCTTCTGGGTCTATAAAGTTAACTCTTTGGTTGCAAACAAAAACAAAATGGGACATACAGCTACAAAAAATATGTTTTGAATCCAAAGTAATGAACCTAATGGTAAATAATTTGCAAATTCTGTTCCCAAAGATTAACTGAGAGGAATTGCTAAACAATAAATTAATGCTATCTCATAATTTATTATAGGTCTTTCAGGATCCTCGGGATGGCTACTCTATTGCTTATTGTTACCGTTGAAAAAATATGATGATAATGTTGGCCAATTGACTTGCAAACTGCAAACACATGGTCATATTTCCCGCAGATTCTGAATCAAAATTTAGTGTAGCTTCTAGAAAAGGTCTTTTCACTACACCAGCTAACAATATTCATATTATAACCTCCTAGAGCTCCCAATGCTCCTATACCAACAATTGGAAGGATGACTATATATACAATTATTTGAGCAGCATTTGCAGAAAGATATCCTTATCTGCAACATCCATATTCAGCAGTCAATGCACCGCTTTAGAAAAGTTATTTACATTATGAAAATGGTCCACAATTAGTAGGTATATGATATGTATTACTTGTTAGCGAACAAACATAGCTGAAAAGCTCCTTGCCTGAACAGTAATAATTTTTAGACATAATAATTTAAAATATAAAGTAAACTATAAGAGATTTCAATCAATTCTTTTCATGTTTGTGAGGATATCAAAAAATATGTTGGGACTTATCTTAAGCTTTGAATAGAAAGAATAAATATCTATTCTTAATGTTTAATATTTCATAATGTACATTCATTCTATAATAAAATTAATACGCCATTGTTCGTATCTTCAATTATAAATACTATGATTGAAAAATTCTACATTCTTTTAAAATTCATTTTTATAATTATTTGTTATTTCTACAACGATATATTTCTAATAGAATCAAAACTTATAGAGAAGAAAGCAAGAAAATAAGATATATTTGATTAATACAAATGCTCCATCTTTTAGAATGATATTTTATAATTGGTTTTATAATTTATTAATACTTTTTATTGAATCCCAATATTTATTATGCTATGAATATCTAACTATAAAATAATTATAAATCCTTAAACATAATCAAACCTATCAGATTTTGTCGCATCCTCTCTAAAAAGGTAAATAAATTAAGCAAGAATTATTATTCTTTGGTTTTTTTGATTCAAAGAAATTCAAGAATATCTAAATCAATTGATATTCTAAAATTCTTAAATATTTTAACATTGATTAACACTAAAAATTGAATGAAAAATAGAAAATAGAATGTAAATAACATTATTTGTATTGAATTCAAATGTATATTAATTAAATTAATTGAACATAATGAAGTGGCAACCTCTATTAATTTAAGAGAGATTAATATCTATAATACATTTAAACTAAAGAAATAATATTGAAGAAAAATGAATTAAAATGAAAATAATTATTCTTTTGTCATATTATTTGTAATGATAGCTCAATTTAATTCATCTCTGTCAAAAACAGAGAGAGATTTAACCTTACCCTTCAAATAAACTATTTCTATTGAATATATTAATACAAAATAATTCATATTTGTAATATGATATTATTTTTAGCATATATAATTTGGTTGACTGGTCCAAACAAATAAATTCAATTATTGTTATACAATCTTAGGTAAGTTTCTAATAGACTTTCACAGGATAAAATAGGAAAATTGCAAAAATATAGATATAGTAGGAAAACTTTAGAAACTTACTCATTTAAGTAGTAATCATAAGAAAATGTTGAATATTTAGATGTTTGGGATGAAATTCAAAATATTAACGAGATACTTTTTAACTGTTATATTCTTATCATTATGGGGCTATTTATACTCCATTTTTAAATTCGCAATCTTACACTTGCCCATCTCTTTTTATTAATTTACCTTTGCCATGTCTCAGGTTCTAATGGAATTATCCTTCAAATTGAGATTTATCCTGGAATTTCATTATACCTTTTCCTTCTTTTTGGCCATTTTCAAATTCACCTTTAAAGATATAATTTCAATTTACCCTCGTATATAGTTCCATCAGTGTCAATGAGAATTCCTTTACCATGCATTACTCCATTTAGCAACTATCCTGAATAATAAGTACCATCTGAATATCTGAATGTACCTTTTCCTTTCATTAATCCATTCTAATGTTCTCCTTCATATGTTGATCCATCTTGATGATGTAACAATCCCTATCCGTGCCTTTCGCCATTCAAATAATTGCCATCATAAATAATTTTATCTGATTGTTTTTCCTTTCCTTTTCCATGAGGTATTCCAAATTAAACTTCACCTGTATATATAATACCATTTTTATATACTCTTTCTCCTTTAGTTTTTGTACCAATAAGAATTAAGTTAAAATTACATACAAAATAATCCCCATTTGGAAATAGAATACCCCCATTTTAAAATTAACCAAAATTCCAAATGCCCTCAAGGTAAGTTCCATCTGGTTTTATCATTTATCCATACCCATTTTATTGTCCTTTACTCCATTAACCCCAATAAATGCTATCATCCGATCCTACCATTGGATTCAGTAGTCTATCTTGCTTTGTTATAGATTTCTTGACTTGTTCCTTAAATTATTAGGGCAATTCTGGAATTATAAATTTTTCAATATATTAAACCCAATCTTTTGGTTAGTCTGATAATAATTCATTTCTTCTCTCTTCAGCCTCTTGTTTAGCTTATTTAACTCTAAAACTATTTTAAATTTTAAGAGCAGCTTAATGTTCATCCTAAATTTTCTGTTTTTGAGCTTGATGTACCTTACCATTTGATGATAATTGTAAATTGATATCTTGACTAGATATTTCTTAGTTCTCATCTGCTTTGGGATCAAAAGAACAAGTACCCATTATTGAGATAATAAATTGCAGATTATATATATATATCTAATATATATTTATTAATAATGTCTGAAAGAACATTAGATTTTGTGGATCAAAGAAATCAAGTTAGAAAATTGGTCACATGGCCATGGAATTTTGTATTTGGATTACAAAGCTTCTAAACAGTGTAACATATTTACAACTTTACTGCCAGAACAATATTTGCAGCATCAAGTCTTATTCCATTTTTAAGTAAATTCAATTGAATATAATCATTATTAGCAACATACAATACACATCAATTTGCTTATGCAGAAAACTCAGTCAGATTAACCAGATATAGAAATTATCATGATGATATTATCTGATATATTTGCATATACATCCAAAAAAATCATTATTTACAATAAATTTATCATAATCATTTAAAATATAATCTATATTTTAATTCATCAATTAACAAGAGTGTTTGCAAAGAACTAGACTATAGTACCTTCTTAGTTTCTTAGGCTCTTCTCAATAAGTAAGGAATCATTATCTCAGATTTTCCAAAAGGTACATATTTATATATTTTATATCCCTAAATTATTTATATAAATTCATACTTCATTAGCTAATTAATAAGTGACATGATCAGACAATCCATATAATTAAGCAAATAGCACATCTATGATAATGGTTAATAATAATAGATACCTCCTTAATTAGGAATAGAATATCTATTCATTATTTCCTTTACAAAATCTATTGTTTATTCATTATGACTAGCAACAAAGACTTTAGTAGGTGATTTATGAATGTTTTTGATTAACATTTCTAAGTTTCTCTCTATCATAGTAGTAGTGCCTTAATATCCATCATTAATTGGATTTTCTTTATTCTATTGCTTAGCCAATTTAGATTCTTCGACCATATAGGCACCTCTAACCATTTTAATCCCAATGTTCAATTTAAATTTCTCAGCTTTTTCAATTTCATAATCCATCCTCTATTTTGTTTACTTTAAGTAATTTTAGAATGTGTTGTAGACTAATGTATAATTTTAATTATAAAATGCTTCCATCTATTCACTAAAACAATCTATCGCCCATTATAAATAAGTTTATTCAGCATCAACCATTACACAAACTTTATTTTTCAAAGCTGGATCCATGAAGTATTTGACCCTCTCGATGAATTATTCAAATAAAACGATGTCCTCTTAATTTAGATTATTAAAGTATTTAATAGCTGGATTATTATTTAAATCTGTTTCAAACATGAATAAAGGTTGCACTCTATATCTCCATGTAATTTCATCAATTTCCATTTCATTCTAACTATATTTTAATACTCCAATAATAAATTATTTTTATTCATTTTCATTCAAATTTATTCCTTCCTTTTTCAGATACTAAAAGACCTAAAATACTCAATATATTGAGAACCTATTAGATAGTGATCGTTTATTTTCCTTAACTAATTTTACAGAACATTTCAAAAATGTTTAATCTTGCTTGGTTGATTTTCTTCAGTAAATTCAGGTCAATTAAACTCGAAACTTTTATTGCAATCATGTTTTTCTTCTCTGGGTTCTTTGCACACTCCAAAATAGTTTATCTGAATATAGAACTATTCTCATCATAAAATTTCTCCTAATCCTCTAACCCCTCAAGTGCTTCAGAACAGTAATCCATAATATAGGAAATATCTGAAAAATGTAATTTCACGAATATTACTTGAATCAGATTAAGATAGGTATCTTTCAACACTCTCAAGGTTCTCTCCTGCTGTGAACACCTTTCCTATAGTGTTATTTATTAGAAAATTGGTTATTCTTGTACCACATATAGAATAAAGTATATCAACAAGTTTAGGACCTTAATCTACAACCCAATCAAATTACAACATCTGATTAATCAATAAATTATTTAAAATTGAAGGTATAGATTTTTCTTTGTGAATTCTTAAACTCTAAAAATATTGGAGTTAAGGAGAACTCTAATTATAAATTTGAGTCATTACATATCTTGTTTGGTTGGCAACAGCAAAACTATAGATTACTTTGCTGGATCTGAAGAAACTTTGACATGACGAGATCATTATTTTAAAAATCAATAATTTAAATATAAGCAAAAATAGATGTCATCAATGATATTTATATATCAGATTTAATGATATTGTGTAATAGTGATCTTCCATATCTTTATTCCTTTGTTTACTTCCATTTTTTAAAATAAACTCCTAACAACTGACTCTCTATTAGTTATATTTAAATTTACTCTGAAATAATAAATGCTCTATAAAATAACAACTCAAAACATGAGAATGAATGTAGCAACCATCAATTAGGAATCCAGTATTTTCAAATTTAATCTTTGAACATCAATATTAAGAATTCATGCTTTTAAAGGAGATACCTTAGTAATTAAGAAAAGTATTTAATCGTATAAGAATAAATTCGATTCAAAATAAAAATTATTCTAACGAATTAAATAGACTATACAGAATTTTAAGATAAGTCGATTTTTGATAAAAGCTAATTAAATATACTATAATTCACCACTATTAATATTGAATTTTTTAGAAATATTTAGATGAAATTCTAGAATGGTAAAATTTTATCTTGAAGTCTATAATGAAAATTATCCTTAATTATCTGATATATACACATAATTGTTATTAATAATAATCAATTAATGAGAAAAGAATTATCCCATGTAATAACATAATTATCTGATATTTTGGTTAAATATATATTCCTATCAAAATGATAATAGTTAAGTTGAATGATTTTTATTAAGAGTATCGAAATTGAAATTAACAAATAATAAAGACAACATAAGATATCTAAGTTTAATGATAAAAAAATCAAATGGAATTAATTTAAATACTTAATTATAATAAAGAATATAAATATAAATTTATTTCAATGATATTTAGAATTAATTATTAATTAATTACGAATACATAGTTAACATAAATCAAAAGTTATTGCTTGATCTTATTTTATTAAACATTGCATCATAATTTTCTTTTTATGAAAAATGCTTTCTTTCAGGCTAATTAAAGAACTATGTAATGGGACTTTGCTTTTTCTAATTAAGTTCTGGTTAATTCTCATCATTAATTTTATTCTTTAAAAATGCCTATAACAATTCAATTTAAGTAGAGATTGAATTGATTTTTGATTAGGATGTTTATTAACACTTAACTAATTCATTGAAAGCAACAATAAGTAATGTAATATTATCACTACTCTTTCGAAGTACAACTTCTTTAAGAACAGAATCCACAGCTGCTGAAATTTGTCCATGCAAATTGTTGGTGTTCCTTTGTGATTCAAGTTCTGTCCAAATCTTCTTGATTACTTCTTCAGATTTCATCTTATCAAAAATTCCATCACCTAAAATACATTATTATTATACATCCAATTACAATAAAGTCACTATCTTAAGTAATACGAAATATTTGAATGTCTGGTTGAGCAATGACTACTTTTTGGTTACCTCCAAATTATTCTAATTTAGCCTCTATATCACCAAATGCTCTGGAAACTGACAATCTTCCAGGGAACACTCTGTAAGGTCCTATGATTTGAGTTCCATTTTCATTTATGAGATGTGTTTAATATATTTTACCTCCATTTCTCTTAATACGCTCATATTCTATTTCCGGTTTATGATCGACAGATAACTCCATGATCTTTTTTCCTTTTTCTAAACTTAATATTGCTCTACAATCTCCAACATTAGCCACATAACAGTAATCTCCAACAACCAGAGTAATTAAGGCACAAGAGCCACTCCTCTCTTGCATTCCTTTACTATAAGATTCTATGGCTTAGGAAAGGAAATCCTTTTCAGCCATTTCGAAGCCTTTTTTAATGGCTGCAACTGGATTCCAAGGGAATTCACTTTGTCTAGTTACATATTAATGCAAGTTGTCTCTTAGAAAATCAGCGCAGGCAGAACCACCATGACCATCATAGACACCAAAAAAGGCACATTTGGGCCAAGTTTCATATGCTCTATGTTATGGTTTGATGATGTTGAGTATTATGGATACTCTATCTTCATTATAGGTTCTTATGATTCCCTAATTAGTATTTGCAGCATATGCTTTGATTAGGCCATTATTATTTTAAGAACATTTAGTTGGTTCATAATTGGGCAAGACTACATCAATACCTTTGTTAATTTAATTAAGATCAACTAAACTATGGTAATTGATTTCTTATTTTTTAAGACGAGCCATTTTTTTAGGGATGGGGGAAGAATCGATTTACTGCTCTTTTTGTTAAGGAGTATTTTCATTCAACTTTTTGGTGGAATTAAATTCAGAGAAAAGGTCATTCAGAGATGAAAAGTGATTCTTTGATCTGTAGTTCATAAAAATTTTAATTTGAATTTATAATTAGCGTGCAACGTACATTATAAAATAGCAGAATTTATGATAATTAAAGAAAATAATAAATTTATAATAATGATTATCAATCAATATATTCAGAGGCAACAAATGCCACTATTGGTTTCTCATATCTCAAGCTTATGTCTTCTTAGATGATCCCTGCTAAGATAGGCATTTGCATTCGTATAGTTCGATTACCTAAATCTTTAATGATGTTTTGAGTGATTGTGTGATTGTAGATCAAAGAGAAATTAACAAATGACCAATTGGGATTTGGTTCACTTATTGTTAGACACGTTTAGAATTAAGGTATGTAGAGATCAGACGAGGTTTATGGCTATTTATTATAGAATTCCTATGTATATAAACAAGATGGATTACTTAGTTGATTCTATCGGTAAATCTGACATAGTCATTTCGAATGGCATCAATTTAGTTGTAAGCTACTTCCATTGCAAAAAAGTAATATCCTGGATTGAACAATTTTACATAGTAAATTCTACGATTCATTTTAGGAAAAGTGGAAACATAGATGAAATTCTACTCATTGGGTACTTCAATGTATTTTGATCCTTCTATGATGATTTCTCTTGATCTTAACCACTTTAATTGAACATTCGTATACTGGGCCATCACTTGAGTATGTCTAGGATCAATGGAGGGTTAGGACGTTAATTTTTCAAAGTATTTATGCACTTCTTCCTCACTTTTGAATTCAGCGAACTAAGTCATGGGCAATGATGCTAAATTATTCTTTACCTTTTCAATAATGAATTGATTTTGCTCATAGGGTTTATGAAGATTGTAGTGAAAACAATCTTCAGCAAACTAAAATACAGTTTTAGTCTTGAGATAACTTAGAGTGTTGGATTCTTCATTTCTAGCTTCAGATTATTAGAGTGAGTAATATGAATTAAATTTAATAGAAATATTGTGCTCTGTTTTAGGTTAACTATTTTTGTGATTTAAATAATAGTTTACTAACAATTCGATCTTTTTATTGTAAATATAGTCCTCCTTATTTGAGTTTTATAATCATTCTCTACTATCCTCCATTTGAACCCAACTTTCTTTATCGCTTCCGAGATGTATTTGTTTGCCATAATCTGTCCATTGTTCTATGGATAATGGTACTATCATAATTATATATTAATATCTCACTTATGCTATTAATATTTCTGAAGCAGACAAATCCTGTCCAAAAACCAAATCTACTATTTGAGTTAAGAATATATCAAAGAAACACTCAGATTTACATGAAACTATTTCTACGATCCATACTCTTTCATGAATCTTATTTTAATCTACATACATTATACAATAGCCTTGAACTAAGTTTTCTACAAAAAATTGTAACACACAAGCCTCTTGCTAATAATACATAATATCAATTAGTTTTTGTGGATCCTTCTCAAAAGAATCCTGAGTGATTGGACATGAAAATCTCACTATTTCCTTAACTCTTAGTTCAACATCCTTGGGATTAATTTGCATCACCAATATTTCATAATCTCTCTCCATTTTTTTGGCAATTTGCATAGGTTCACATTTTTTAATAATATCCTCTTATTGAACTAACATAGAAAATATTGGTTTGTTGATCTAATCCAAATCTGATTATACGATTCCTACAATAAAAGGAAAATTGATCAATTTCTCTCCTTCAAAACTATAATTAACACTATTCATTCCAATTCTTGGAAAATTTATTTCAAAAAATGCTTCACTTGTAAAATAAGATAATAATTTGCAATTTGTTAAATTCTATCTATTACCAATACTCCTAAAAAAGGGTAACCATATGTTGTATTATGATAGACTCTTTTAATCATATTTCTCAAAAATATCATTCACAACTGTTGGGATATCCAAACTAACCTCATCATTTTTCAATTCAAAAACATATCTAATATTATATATAGTATTTTACATTTTTACAAAAGGATCTGTTGTCGATATTAGATATACTTTACGTAAGCTATTTCCTTCATTGCTTGACAATTACAATAATGATGCCTCATCTAAACTAGCTTTGGATCTCTTTTTAATAAGATAAATATACTGATGGAAAACGTATGTATGGTTGTTGCGTTTGTTTGTGAATCTCTGATGAAAATACCATAAATTGCAAGTTCATATTGAAATACTATAAATACACAGGAGTTTTAATTGGAGATTTAAATCTAGGACAAACTTTAGTCACATCCTTAATATTTTATATTTGTTAAAATGATGATCCATATATCTTCTGTTTCTAAAATTATAGTTTATTTCAAGCATTACAATTAAATTTTTTGCTATTTCTTAGGTTTTCTCATCAAACGCAATCAAATTAGACTTTCCTAGATTAGCACAGAACTAAGCCTCCATTGTCTCCTCATCGCTGTTTAATATTAGTTTTTTTATCCTAGATATTATTCGAGCATAAATAAAACAAATAGGATCATAAATGATTGACATGCTTTATTATTCTTATTCTGTCCTTTTAATATCAAGAACATACTAAGTGTAATTAACCTTAAGATTTTCAATTGTTATGATTTTACAAAAATAAAAATTGAGTATTTTAAGATTGTACTCAAAACATTCCAATAAAGTCAAATTGATACCCAATTGTTCAAAAGAATCCCCATTGCTTATCAACATTTTAATGAAATGATGGATGATTTTGTCAAATATTTATTCTTTACAAACTATCAAATGAATCACCCATTTCCTAATATTACAATCCTATTCAACACTCGCCAACATAATTCCTAAATCAGATATTTATAGCATTATTGCCTCTTAACCATAACTTAAGGTTTCTTGTATATACGTAGAAGGTTATAAGAAACTTTTATGAAAATCTTCAAAATTAGTAGAAAGCCAAAAACTCAAAATTTATGGAATGTCTTTAATGGGCCAATCCTTAATTATAAATTAAATATCATCTGATTTATAAATTAGTTGACTTCTATATTCAGGTAAAGGAGGCAATTCTATTTACAGCTTAGTTATACTGGCTTTTCTAGATGTTTGTTAAGCACTTTACAATTCTTTAGTACTTAGGAAATTTGTTTTCGTTTATAAGAAGGTTTTAATTTTATTTTCAGATTGTTTACATGTAAATTAAACTGTTACGTAAGTTTGTAGTTCTTTGATTCTTTTTAAGTATTTTTGATCAAGTTTGTGTTTTGTTAAATAATCAAAATATTCTAAATCCCTCTCATAAGCTTAGTTAATGACTCCTAAATAAAATATGTCATCCACACTTTCGCTGATATGGAAAAATTTCATCAATACAGGATGCTTCTAAAATAGCAACTTATGATCATCTTTGATTTTCATCACATAGTTCTCTCCTTGATAAATCCATTAGTAGTTGTAGGCATATTAGATATACAATTTATTCACCCATTTTCTCTAATACTCTATGAGATTTAACGTAATTTTTCTTAGATCATAAATGTAATTTGAAATAAGGCATACGAATTCAATAATGTTCTCGCTCTATTCAATTGCTAATGCCTCTTTTAAACAGATCTCTCTGCTGATAGTTAATTGATGTAAAGTCTTGATGATACTGCCATTTAGTTTATAACTTTCTATTTCTGATCTCATCAAATATTCTTAAGATGCAATATTCGAAGTAAGAATAAAGTAGTAATATTTCTAATGAATCTCAGGTATTTAATTTTCATCCCATAGTCTCTGAACCTCAAAAAACAACTCTCTCTATGGAAAATTATTCTTTACTAAAAATTTTACATGTGTTTACTTTCTATAAGTTCTATGTTTTCTTTAGGCCTGAAACTTTGAGTGAATTTTGGACTTAGTACTTTAGTATTGAAATTCGATCTACTTGTAGTAGATGCCAGTTGTAAACGAAATTACCCTGTACTTTGGGATTTATTAAACAACATTAATATAATAATTTTTATATCATCGATAGAAAAAGCATGAAAAATTCTAAAGCAGGAATTCATCTCGATTAATGCTTTCCTCTTTCCAAATGAAATTTTCAAAAATAAAAACAAAAATTATTCCATCTTGGATTGAAGCTTTAAGTGCTGATTCTATCATAGAATTCTTCTAAATACTCTAAAGTACATAGTTCTCAAATACAAACACTTATTGGAATGCTACTAAGTACAAATTGGTAAAATTCATTTGGTAGATAAAAATGTGATAAACACGCGTTAAGATCTTAACCAAAATCATATTATAATGCTTAGAATAATTTATATAAGTAATAAAATAATTTTCAAATAATATACTCAGATATATATTGATTTCTTAAAAATTGAATACTAGAATCAGTTTATTTAATTTTAATTATTAAACATTTTTCTTTTATCAAAAGGACTAAAGTATATTATAATTCATTGTCTTATGTTAAATTTCTTTTTTTCTTCTGATAAATGAATTATCTGGATTAAGAAATCCATTTTTTTATTATTGTGTCTATAATATATAAACTACTTTATTGAAACTTATTGAAAATAAAATAACAAATGAAATCAAGGATAGTTACTTCAAATCAACTTAAAACTGTAAATTGTAAAATAACTAATGATATTATTGATACTCAGTAAATTTGGTATAAATTTTAATAATAGAAAGTATTTAATTTATTTATCATTTTAATGTATACCTATTAGGTTTTTGTAGAAAAATATTCTTCAAAATACAAATATTTAGATTTAACTTTACTTAAAAGTTAATAAATGAATATACATATGGGTAGATGAGGTTTATTCATTTCTATTTTGATGATTTGATTAATATATTGTTATAATTGTAATGAAAATTTTTAGTTTAAATTTTCAGGATTAAGAAATGGAACATGAATATTAGAAGGAAATTACAAGCATATATAAAAACTATTAAAAAACTCAGAAATGGATCGTTTTGCCTTTGGTAGTATTTCAGATTTCAATAAAAATCATGAGAGAGGATTGGCTCTTATTAACAGTGCTACTATTATGTAGTTTACTTTATGCGTTAAACCTCAAATGTACTTCCTCATCCAACAGATACTTTAAAGACTTATTACTGTTTATGTCGTTAGTCTTGTATAACTTTTTCTTCCCCTATAATTCAGTATTTTAAAAGAAGGAGTTGTAACTCTAGACATATTCTTTGGATGGATATTTTCAAGCTTTAACAATTTTGGCGTATGAATTAGTTTAAAATAAATAGTTTAATGAACACACTAAGCTATTCCAAGAAGCAATTGATCCTTGTAGTAATTTTCACATTTCAAATTACGATATTTAGAAATCCAAATATTTAATTGTGGGAATAAGTAGTTTTGCATATTTTTGAATTATGTATATACATACACTATTGTTATTGTTTTGAAAATTTCAGGAGGAAAGTATTTATTTAAGCAAATACTTAAAAAATTTTAGAAGATAACATACAAACTTATAATGACATTGAAAGTTTTATCATCAGTTATAATCCTCCCAAGAACAAGTTGATCTTAATGTAAAAGAATAGGTAGTAGCAAATTACAGAGTAGATTCAGGATGAGTTTATTGACAAAATAAGAAACACAAAAGTCTCATCATATGACTCAAAGAGAAGATTTACTTAATTTACATCACAAGAGGTGTTGGAAAATTAGGCTAACATGACACTAGAGAATTTTTTGTTTTATGAATTTACTAATAAAAAGAAATACATCATGCATTTAATTCATTAATCAGAATCAAATAATTCATATTTATTGAAGGGATTTCTATATCAAGAAAGCTACACAATTAAGGTAGTGAAAATATATTAAGAAAAGCCATGTGCTTTAGTGTTATTGATTGAAAATAAGAAGGATAATGTTATTGATCAACTTAATTTAAGAAATAAGATAGCAATGAAGGCATTAGATTAGATTGGAGATGTGTTTAGAGAATATGTAAAACCAAGTTTAATTTCTTTCTAATGGATTTATAATAACAAATAGAAAATTAAAAATATTGTATTCATTAATAAATTATTAAGAAAAGTAAATAGCAATTTATTGAAATGCTATAATGATTTTTCAAATATTCAGGATTACTTTAGCATAAACAAAGAATTTTAACGCTGTTTAATTCAGAAATTTGACATTAAAGAATTTATTGAGTAGATTTAGTAACATGTAGTCAGATATTTTGGAGATGATAAAGGGATATTTTTCACAATAGATTGTAAAATTCCGGATACTTATGTAAGACAGGACTAGAGATAGCTGAAGCAATTATTTTTAAACCTATTTTTTTTTATTTTAGAGAAGCAATCAGGATCAAAAAATAGTCATCCTAATTATGTGCATATCACTTTGGTTTAAGAAAAAGATGAATCTAATCAATAGATGTCAATTAAAATAAGGATTGATTATGAAGGTCATCATTTGAGTAAAGCTGCAATAAATAGTTTACCCATTATCAATCCTTAAACCATCGGAGAGTTGAAACATAATAGTTAAAAGGCTTTTGACTTGCTATTGCCTATATCATTGTTGATTATCAGGAAGATTGGACCACATGATAAATTGACTCTTAAACAAAACAGAATGAATAGAAACTTTATGGAGTTTTAAATATTTAATGCTCTTGAAGAGAATTATCATCTCTTGCCTATAATTTCATTTTATCCTAAGGACAATATACTAACAACATCAAGTTTGGCCAAGCACTACTCTGAATACTTTGATCAGGTTCCAATCGTGTAATTAAATTCGATTCAGGAATTCTGATTGTATATATTCTAATCAATATATAAAAAACGGATTATAAATATATTTATGTTAAAGCAATTGCTAGTGGCATGGCTGCTAGTCAGCGTGTCTTTACAGTTCAAGACGTCTGCAAGGACGTAGATAACCCCTTTGGAGTCAATTTTATCTATTGATCCCTCTGGATGGACTTGTGAAAGTCCAAGCTATAAAGAGTAGTTGGGAGCATAGCATGACATTGATTAATGGATAGACATCGTGAAACACAAGGATGGATTTGATGGAGATTTGTAGGTTTTGGCTATGGTCAAAGCATTGGTGGATAGAGTTTTGCTAACTGTCTAACATATTCAGGGAGGATCGTTTATTCAAGTCAAATAGTTGCATCATTAGATCTCAAAGCATTTCAAATCACTATCTCAAATTGAATCTACTTCATCCTGGTATGATATTAACGATATTTTGGGATATTTGGAAGTCCTCAATAAAGCAAAGAGTATTAATCAAAAATCTATTTGTTAGGTGATGAAGACAAATTGTAATTGGCTCAAACCATTGCAACTAAGATCTCTGAGTTGATTCAACAAATAACAGAAATCTAATTATAACTAAATACTATTCCTATTGAAATTGATTAACTCTATGATCTTGCCACTAGAGTCAATGAAAAAACCTCTCAATGCAAAGATTATTGGGCACCATTATTACAGGCTGATGCAAAAGCTGAAGAGGAGGAAAGAAGAAAAGAGTAAGAACAAGAGGATGCAAAATTATAAGCAGAAGAAGAAGCTAGAGCAGCAGCTGAAGCAGCAGCAGAAGAAGAAAGAAGAAAGGAAGAAGAAGCCAGAGAATTAGAAGAATTGAAGAACAGAGTAGATATCACTCCAGAAGAAGCCGAATTATTAGAATAATAAGCCGAGAAGGAATTAGAATTAGCAGAGGAATTAGAACGTGAAGCAGAACAAGAGTTAGATGCTGCTAAGTCAGCTGAATAAGAAGCTGAAACATAGGCTGAAAAAGATGCAAGAGAGGCATAAGAAGCAGCTGAAAAAGCAGCAGAATCATAATAGGTCTTGGAAAATGCCTAAAATAAGGAAGAAGAAGCGTGCTTAGATGCCGAGGAAGCATAAAGAAGATTGAAAGAGGCTTAGGAGGCAGCTGAAGAGGCAAGAAAAAGAGCAGAAGAAGCTGAGAGATTAGCTGAAGAAGCCAAAAAGGCTAAAGAATGTGAACCAGTACCTGAACCAGAAAAAGAATCAGAAGAAGAAGTAGAGGAAGAAGAGGAATTTGAATGGGAATCAGAAGAGGAAGATGGTTGTGGAGATGACGTTTTGGAAGATTTGATTGATACACTGATTGATGCAGCAACTGGTCCAAGTGCTTATTAGCCAAGTTGTGGATATCCAGGATGTTAAGAACAACCAATTATTATTATTGTTGAAGATGATGAGGATGAACCCAAACCACAACCATAACCAGAACCTAAACCAGAACCTAAACCTGAACCAGAAGAAGAAGTTATTGTTGAAGAAGAACCAGAAGAGGAAGTTGTTGTAGAACCAACACCAGATGATGAAAAAGTAGAAGAATAAGAAGAAACAGTAGAAGAAATTGTTGAAGAAATTGTTGAAGAGATTGTTGAGGAAATCGTTGAAGAAATAGTTGAAGAAATCGTTGAGGAATTAGTTGAAGAGGAAGAAGATGACGATTTCGGTAGATTAGAATTCCCAGATGAACCAGAACCAGAATTAGAATAACTTGTTTACACTTTAGACAAGAGAACTGACAGTGTTGTTACATAAGAAACATCACCTTGGGAAAAAGATGTTGAAGATGGACCTGATAGCAGAATTAAAACATCAGTTGAATACAGTTATGGATTATGGACATATTTCAGATACAATGGAAAGGTTAAGATTGCAGAAAAGAAGGAAGTCTTGGCTGTTGGAGGTTTGAGTGGAGATGACACAAATAGATTAGTAACAACTATTGGAGAAGGATTCTATAATTTCTAAGTATTTGAAGGAGAAGTTGTGACTGAATTATAATTAGATTATGGCAAATATTTGGATGCTGAATGGATTTATGTCTATTTCGGATATAAAGAAGGAAAAGCCAATGGTTATATTTACTGGGGTAGAACTTAAGTAATCAAGAGTGTCACATTCAAAGTTACTCAACCAGCTATTGTTAAAACTATTAAATTCCAATCTGGACTTTGGAAGGGATTCAAAGGATTCAACGGAGTCATCACCAATGTTAGAGTTGTCTTGAATAAGAATTCATTAGTTGAGACAGAGGAAGAGATGAAAAATTTGATTGAAACCAAATACACTGTTCCAACAGACCCTGAATTAGAATATTAGGAGAAATAATACTATGACAAAGTTGAATATGATGGTTTGATCGATGATCCTAAATTCAAATGGGATTTAGATGGATACAGAGAATATTCAGTATCCACTTGGTTTAGATATGTAAGAAGATCTGAAAGAGCTCATTAAGTTATATTTAGATTTACATCCAACGAACCAGAAGTAGGAATAATTCCTCATGGATTGAAAGCACTTTCATTATGGTAAACTGAATAAAATGAATATTAATTCTCTACATATACAGTTGAAGAGAAGGACAAGTTCAGTGACATCGATGAAAAAGTTGTTATTGCTTAAGAATCACAATAATTATGGACATATGCATACTTTGGATATAATCATGGAGATTTCACATACTACATGGAATGGCCAGATGACAAAGTTGAAAAACAATTCAAAGGTTGGGCATGTTGTAGCCAAATATTGGGCACTTTATTTGGGACAAGGACATTAATTTTTCTTCCATGGAAAGACAGCCTACACAACAATCAGATTTGGAAAGGGTGCATGGGGATCTGCTATAGATTTCGATGACTATAAGACTGGCAAGATTAAGTTATGGCCTGGAGTATAATTGAAAACATATGATCCTAAATGGTTGAATCACAAAACAGAATCTGAATATGATACTTTACTTCATGATGAACCAGATTGGGTAACAGATGGTGTTTATGAATATGGATTCGGTATGTGGACTAAATTCTTCATTACAAACCCATAAAGAATTTATGAGAAACCTGAGCGTATTTTGGTTGGTAGATTAGGATTTACAGATTAAGATGAAGCTGAATTTGCAGTATATATTGGAAGAGGAAATTATGAATTCTGGGCTGGTTCAGGAAGACCTGTTAATTATGGAAAGAATTTAGATGGATATTGGAATTACATCTATTTCAGTTATTCAAAATTGAAGTAAATTGCTGTTGGATATGTTAATTTCAACAAATTGAAGTAAGTTTAAAGAACAGTTTTCGATCCATTTGATGCTGATCCTGCTAACAATTATGTTAGATTCTATGTTGGATAATGGAAATCTACTGTTTATGGATTCAATGGTAGAATAGCTCATGCAGTTGTCAGATTTGGAAGAGGATCATTTATTAATGAAATTGCTGAATATGAAACATGGATTGAATAATACAAGGTCCCAGTTGACGAAGAATTAGGAACAAAGGATTATGAAATCTAAGGTGCTGATAACAAAGATACTGAAACATATGATACCTTTTTATATGAAGATGGAGCAATTGAAACAGAATAATATTCAGTCTATGGATGGTTCAAATATTATGGAAGTCTAGATGAATACTGAGGCATAAACAGTTATCAGATTAACCAATAATGAGCCAGGATTCTTGAAGGATGCTAATTTGTTAGGAGATAGAACATTATCAGTTATTCAGAAAGGTGGAGATATGGAAATTGGAACCTATGACATTGGATTTATTGATACTGATTTCAATCTTAATAGAAATACCAACGTTGCTTTAGGAGAATATAGAGGAATTTGGATGTACATTTGGGTTGGATATTCCAGACAAGATGAATACGCTGGTTGGTTCTTTGGATTCCCAGATGTTAGCAAAGGTGGTTTATTAAAGAAAGTATTGCACTTCTCTCCAAAATACCTTGCTGTATATTTCGGAAAGGATGGAATTAATAAGAATTTCATTGGTAAATCTAGACATGTTCATGCTTGTTATGGTAGCACATAATGCTGGCACTATGTTGATAAGGTTGAAGTTGAGGTTGATCTTCCAGCTTGGATCCCATACAAACTTAATAATTACTTTGAATTCTATGTTTAAAATGATGCTGATGCTTTGATTTATGCTAAAGATGACAAACCAGCATTGGATGTTGAATTCACATAGACTAATTTCCCAGGATCTGACATTGAAGCCATATATGAATATGGTATTGGTTTATGGACTAGATGGTTGATGAACTATCCATTCATTTTATTAGAAAAAGCTGAATCCCACTCCATATTTAGATTCACAACAAATGCTTAATACGAAGATGCTTAAAAGAATGGAGACAGAACAGTATCAGCATTTGTAGGAAGAGGAGAATACAAATTCAGCACTTATGATGCAGTTCTTGATAAGAATGAGATCACAACAGGAACTAAGTTTGATAAGGAATTAGAAGGATATTGGAATTTCGTCTATTTCTGCTACAAGAGAATTCCAACTGGACCAAAGGGTATTGGATATGTTTATCTTACTCATTAAAATGTTGTTAAGAGAGTTGAAATTGACAGTGCTAAACATTGGTTATTGAGAGATTATGCCAGACTCGTTATTGGAAAGAAAGAATTTGGACATTCAGCCTTCTAAGGTAAATTGTTTGATCCAAGAGCATTTTTGGGCAAGAACAGTTATATTGATTCAAGTGAAGATTTACTCAACGTTATTGTTCCTAAATTCAGACCTTATCCACCATACAAAGATAAATAAGATAATGAACCAGTCTAAGTAGAAAAAGCCAAGATGACTTAAAGAGTGTTCAAATCATATGAAGAGAAATACAGTGGTGTCTTTGAATACAGTGTTTATGGATTTGCTAAGGGTAATAAATTAAAGAATGTTACTGATTGGACTTCACTTGTCAGAGTCACATAAAATACTCCAGATATCCAAGCTGATAATGACAATGCAGGAGATAGAACTCTGTCCATCTTCATTGATAAAGGGTGTCTGGTATTTCAGTACTTATGATTATGGGAGACATTGAAACTATAGATGATGATGTTGGCTCAAGTAATTATTTATATTTATATCTTTAGTCGACAAGAAATTTGAAATTGGCAAATATTGGGGTAAATGGACATACTTCTACTTTGGATATTCCTTCCATCTTAAATAAGCCTATGCTTATATTCGTTAAATAGATCAAACAGCCAACTCCTATCTGTTTGAGGAGATCTATCACTTTGTTCCAAATTATTTGAGTGTGTTCTTCTCTGAGGATGGCTATGGCAAACAATTTGATGTATTGATCATTCTCATTTCTTTAGGGTGAAGCCTTTGATTGGTATTTGGGTATCGGCGATGGTGCATTTACTACAAGTCCAGAACCAAGAGAGTGGCCAGTTGATCCTGCACCTCCTCCTGATAGAATCTTGTCAGCTCTACTCGCAAATCAAGGATTTAACTCAGGCAGAATCATCAAGGGTGGTGGAACATTCTTATAAGTCGAAGGATCTGTCAATTTAATCTAAGAAAATGAAGAATGATATAAACAATCATAAATTATTATTATTATTTTTAATAAATCCATTTAGTAGTCATCATTTTTCTAATCATTATTGTATTACTTGAATCCTAAATGCATATATAATTCAAGAGAAATAAATTAAAAATGCAAACAGATATCTCTTCTGTAAACAATTAATATCCTTTAAATAAATAATAATCATTTATTTTTTTAGTGCATTCCTTAATACTGAGTGCTTTCCCATCACTTAAAACACTCTTAACTAAGTTAATCATGTTAAAAAACTCTTATTTACACACAACATTTCCATTAAAAATACCAACACTTTGCAAAATTTGAATTGACATCTTCAGTTCCTCTTTTGAATATATCATGTCCTCAAATTCCTCCCCTTTAAAATTAACTATATAATCATCTTTCATTTCATAATTCTTTAAATATTTGCCTCCAATTAATTTTAAGTAGTAAACTGCTATTTCAGTTGTGAGCTCTTAAGAGTGGTTTACAACTAAAATTTGATTCTGAAATTATAACTGTTTCTCCTATTTTTCCTCTTTCTTTTACTCGAAAATGGTTTCCAAAAAACATAACATATAGTTATTGGATGAGTCAAATATTTCTAATTATTATAATTGAATACTGATTCTTTTGGCATATATCTTATTAAATTTAATATCATTAAAAATCTTCTACTAATATGTACCCAAAACTTCAACATAAATTCCAATTGAAATGTCATGATGCCACCAAAACTCTAGATTACCAAAGTTATCTGTGATAGTAATGCAATATTGCTGAGAAGTCATTTTCAAGCAATTTATGACTTATCCAAAAACAATAACCAATTGATTTTATTCGCTTAATTGATTAGAAAACACCCGCTTAATATTAAAATTCATTAATAATATAAATAAAGTAAGTCATCAATCAAATATCGTTTCCATCTATGGTTTTCATTCTTTACTTTCTATAAGCAATTTATGATTAAAAACCCTCAATATTTATTATGATTTCTATTTGGTAACATAAATTGTCACTTCTCCAAATCTGAATATTTTATTTTTTCTATTCTTTAGACTTTAAGTCGATAAATTTGTAAGCATCCCAATAATATTTGGCTATTTGGTTTAAATCTTTATGTACCTTATTCATAATAATAGTACTATCATATAAATATATCTAATGAAAATCTAACATTATTATTCTTCCTTTGCAATAAGATTATAAGATAGTTAAGCTCAATTTTATTCTTTTCTTGAATCATGATAATAAGGAATTAAAGAAAATAGAAATAGTTTTTGTATTATAAAATAATTCAACACTAGTTCACAAAAAGTCTTATAAATTAATTAAATAATTATAATAACTTATTGTTGATAAATAAATAATAATCAATCTCTACAGGAATTAGATATATTTACAATGGAATAAAAACCCTATCTATCAGTTTATTCTATTCCCCATGCAATGTTGCCAGCAATATTTAAAACGACAATGGCAAAATCAATATAAAATAAAATATGACCAATTTTGTATTTGTTTATGTAATAATAACCTAAGTTTGTGAAGACCAGTACACCAACAATCTAATGAATTAGTAATATGATATTATACCCCAATTCCGTAGAAGAAGAATTAATCACCAATTGGCATTCCAGAATCGCTGACCATGAATGATACAAAAACTTGTAAGCATACAATAAAATAACCATAATCTTGCTGTTGCTCCTGCAGAAGCTGCAACCAGACCAAATTAAACCATCGTTACAAACATGGTTAAACCTGCTGCCATTCCCAAAAACCCAGCAATAAAACCGGTTGCACATCCAGCTCCATAGATTTTAAAAAATCTTCTGGTTGGTGTAAAATATCTTTCCTTCATTTTATATCTGACAGTGTCCTTTATTTCTTCTTTTTTTCTGTATACCAATAATGTAGTTCCAGTTATCAAAATATTCACTGCAAACAAGAGGATCATCATATAGAAATTCCAAACATTGCATGGACTTAATTTAGGATTTGGGTCTTATTCGTTGGTTTGAAAATAAGGCGAATTTTAACTAAGAGTCGATCTTGATAGAATCACTGCTTCGTTAGCTGCAAAACTACCAAAGGCAATAAGTACAGGAATGAGAGGAAGGATTTAATGAGATTCATCCAAAAATTATTTATACACTAATGCTGCTTATGCTTCATCTTAGATTGAGCCTTTAAAAGCTGATGCCATAGAAATGTGAGAGTCAGTGTAATCTTCATCCAATTCTTATTCAACAACTTCTTGTCTTTTTGCATATAATAAACAAATTGGAAGAATGACAATAAAAAACATCATCTATATCGTTAAAACTGGTAGTAACGGCATATAACTTGCTAATTCTTCTCCGAATTGCATAGAAAGAGGAATAGCCAAAGCATAAATCATTCCGACTTCATAATTGACAGCTGGACACTGAGGATGGTATGGATGTCTTAAATTCCATAATGTAATACTTCTAGAATGTGATTATTATCTAATTAACTAGTTGGGCTCCAAACATCAAGCATGCAGTTATATTACCTGAAGGACCAGAATTGAAATTTAAAACAGCCTCCAGAAATGGCCTTTTGACCACACCACCTAATATTCAATTCTCCAATCTTACCTCCTAAAGCTCCCAGACTGCCAATCCCTATGATTGGGATAATCAGTATATACACTACGATATTGGCTATACTAGGATATAGATAATCTTCTCTGCAACATCCATTTATTGCTTGCCCATTTGCACTACTAACCTAGACACACGAAGAAAATTTCCCGCAAAAATTTGTTGAATTAGTGCAACCAAGTGTACTTTTACCTTGGAAAAGAGTGAAATGTCCTTATGAACATGAAAACGAACTCATAGATTCTGATAATAATTTATATAATAAGTCATAATAAACTTAATTATATTGTAAATGAAGATATAAACCTTTTATCATTGTTATTATTTTATAAATTTTAATACAAATAAATATAGCTTAGAATAGCTAGTGATTGAAATGGTTAAAGATTACTATTGCTGATACAGAAATATAGAATTTATTAATCATCCTTCATTTTCTCTTATAAATGTGGATTTCTATTTACAAACTTCTTATAAATCGACATTTATTTTATTATATCATCTACTTTACATTTTATTTCATTCTTATTAAATAGGAATATTTTAAATAGGATTTTTAATTCAAAACAACTTTTTTAATTTTCAGATTGTTATGAATTAATAAACGATTTACTCTCTGCTGTTGTTATAAAAATATCAGATCCTATGCATGTTAAATTCTTGAATTCTCATTCAAATTCCACAGTAAATTTTTATTTAATTTTTAATTAAAAACTTTCCCTTTGTTTTTAATTCTAATTTTCAAGCTTATCTTCTATTTTCCTATCGGCTTGAGATAGATTTGAATGCTTTAAATAATAATATGTATGATAACTCATGTACTTAAGAATTAACAAGTTGATATCTTATTTTTTAACAATAGTCTTTACATTTTATCTTTCTTTACTTAAGTTACTAACGCTAAAGCGAAATAAAGTTTTAAATATGGTCATTAATATAAAATAACTCATTTATGAATGAAAAAAGAGCAAAAAAAGTGTGAGAATATGATTTAGTGGATTTTATCATTCATAAGACACCATTGAGATATACCCATCCTTCTTATAAAGCTGATATTGATATGATAACTTTAATGCACAATCTGTCATAACATCTCAATTAATTAAATGTTTGAAGTTAAACTATAAAATTATTTAAAGTGTAACCTAGTAATAATTGTAATTGTTTATAATTTTAATGTTAAATATTATTTCTAGTTAATTTCTTAGCAAACTCTTTAATACTTACCTTTATTTAGGTAACTCATATCTTTATAGACTCTTCATCATAAAAAATCAAGGATTATTTATCAATGAATATATTGTAATCAAAATTTTGATTAAAAGATCCTATTATATTGAACTTTTCTCTTTCGTAAAGATGTTTAAACCATTGAGAACTTTACTAATAATGTTGTAGACATATTTATAATTAGGTTTTAAACACAATTTCTTCTTAAATAGGAACTCTTAGAGAAATGATTTATGTGATATTTACTAAGAAATCACTATCAAAAATTATTTAGGCTATTTATTTTTGGTGATAATTCAATAAATTTTTCAAATTTCTTAGAAATATTTGATATTACGTTTAGAGGAGTGGATGTTTTCATAGATTAATGTACATGAGGTGGAAGTGATGTAGGATTGATGTGATTTTGGGATGTATAAATGTTCCTTGGAATGATAATTAAATATTTAAATATTTAAAATATAGAAAAAAATCATAAATGATCAAAGAATACGATTATTTGTTCAAGCTAGTCATTATTGGTAATTCTGGAGTTGGAAAGAGTTCGTTATTATTGAGATTTGCTGATGATTAATTTAGTGAGTCTTATTTAACAACAATCGGAGTGGATTTTAGATTTAGAACTTTGCCTATTGATGGCAAGAATGTGAAACTACAGATTTGGGACACAGCTGGACAAGAAAGATTTAGAACGATTACAAGTGCATATTATAAGGTTTTGGATCCAACATTATTGTTATTAGGGAGCAGATGGGATTGTAATGGTATATGATGTCACCTAAGGACAATCTTTCGATGACATTGATAAGTTTTGGTTACATGAAGTTGAATCGTATGGAGAGAAGAATGTTCAATTGTTGGTGATTGGAAATAAGAATGACTTGGATGAACAGAAATAGTAAGTTTGTGTAATATCATTATAAAAGAGTTGAAAGTTCTAAAGCATAAGAGTACTGTAAATCACATAACATGTTATTTATGGAGTGTAGTGCAAAGACAGCAGATCATGTAAATAATGCATTTCTTGAACTCTCGAGAAAGTTGATGGCTAAGAAGGATGCTTCACAACCACCAAAATCTTCCAATCCTACACCAACTGGTTCTCAATCCTCTTAATCTAAAGCAGGAGGGTATAATTTATCCCTTAAATTTTGTTTAGATCCTAAAGTTAAAATACATCACAAACAAAACTTAGTGCCAATTCATCCAACCAGAAAAAGTAGAAAGATGGAGGTTGCTGTTGATTATTCTAATCAAAATATAACATTTATTCATTTTATATGTTTCTTTTATTTTCTGATTTCATAATTTTAAATTTATTATATGTATTAATTAAAGATAATTATAGATATTCATTTTCTAATAAATTTGTATGTCCACTAGTTTAAAATTCCAAAATTAGGGACATAAAGTTATTCATTATATAGATTCAACTTTTGATTTTGAAGTAAAAATTTATAGTTTAATTAGTATAATGAATCAAAATATTATTTATTTCATAAATAACGATTACTTTCTTATTAATAATGCTTAATATTAATGATAATTAACCTGAATATACTATGGTTATTTCAATAGGTTTAACTTAAATTTTAATTAAATTTATAAACAATATAATTTCAATATATAATTCAAATTAACTTCAATTTTGATCATGCTTTGATTTCTTCTTCATTGACTTCCTCAATTGGCTGATTTGACATCTACCTTTACAAAATAATCTGTTTGCTGGGTCGGGCTCTGGGAGTTTGTGCTTTGGCTGAACTTTATGTTGAGTTTTTAAGCACAATTGTTGGTCTCATTCTAGCAGAATCAGGCGATGAAGCATCAGATGATAGATCATACTCTTAAGTTGAATATTTTTTAATCTATTTTGTTCTGGGAGTTGAGGGTTGACTGTCAATGAGATTGATATTTTTCTATTTAATTTATTATTAAAATCTTGGACTTTTCATGGCAGGAACATTTATAGTGATTTTTTCATCCTCTATCACCTCATCCTCTTTTGCTTATTGTCTAAGCTTAAGTGGAATCTCAGGAAGTTGAATTTTATCAGATTTGATATTTTTAAAAAGTTGAGTCTACCATAATTTATTCTAAGGGTCTAGTCGCTTTTTAGTTTAAAAGCTAATGCGAATATCAGCTTAGGGACTTTGAACAAAAAATAAATGTTCTAAGGCTCTTGAAGCTGAGATTCTTAGACTGGGATTGGGATTAAGCATTGAAGAAATGAGTTCAACAGCTGAAGAGGGGGCTTTGAACATTTGAAGATTATCAAGATTGACGTAGCATTTTTTGTTTAGTTTAAGTATTTCATGGTAGTCTATTCCTGGGAATAAATCTTTCTATGTAATTCTTAATTATCAGACTAATGTTTACAATTTATAGAAGATGCAACCAACGCTAAACATATCACAGATCTTATCGTATTTTACAGTGAGATCTTTGAGATTAGCAATTTCTGGAGCAACATATCCAGGAGTGCCACATTTAGGAAATGGGTACTTTTCCACATTTGTATTTGTGGCCAAGCCAAAATCAACTATTCTAAGACCTTAAACTGAACCATGCTCTTTAAACATGATATTCTCTGGTTTTAGATCACGATGCATAATATTTAAACTATGCATATGAGCCACTCCTTTGAGTAATTACTAAAAATTTAAACATAATATTATACCCACATGATCTATTTAATTTACTCCCAAGTCAAAGGTTGTGTGGTACTTCTACTATTACATAGATCATGTAGACTTGGTCCTTTCAGATATTCAAGTATGAGATAAAATGTGTTGTCTCCTTCGTACACTTCTTCTAGTTTAACGATCTATTCGAAGTCGAGGTTGGCCATGATACTAATCTCATTGAATAAGGCAGTCTTATAGTTATAAGAAGTATTCTTACATAGCCACCGTCTTCTCGGAGATATCTTTTCTCTATACATTTAGATGCAAATTCGGCTGAATTGTCCTTGTCATGGACCAAATAAACCTAACTTTTATGTCTAATAAAGTACCTTAGAAGATCCTCCCTTGCCCAAGAGTTTTAATGGTTGGTAGAAGTCACTAACTTCTCGATACATTATTTTGTTTTTGACTATTCTCTTGAAGATTTTTAGCTCCTGTTCTGGGGCTGTGAAATACTTGACTGTTCCTTTGTACTCAATGCCAAATTGAGTCAACACTCTCTAGTTGTTTTTTACCCAATGTATATTATTTTCTAGATTTATCGGAACCATATATTTGGGAGTTGGTGACTCTATTTCCTAAATTTAGATCATAAACCAATAGAATTACAGTTGAGAGAGTTATAGCATTGGTAAAGATGTACAATTGATAGTAGATATCTCGAACTAGATGCTCTCTCTGGCAAATTATATGGTAAACTACCTCACCATAGTTAATTTCAATGTTTTGCATGTTCTTTATTTCAAAATTATTTAATTATATGCTTTTAAGATTTAAAGTAAACGTATTTGAAGATGTCCAGAATGGTACAATCATGTCAAATACTGACGGACTATTTTATTATTTATTAAGAATCCCTTTATAATAAAAAGATGATGAAATTATCCAAATTTTTGATTGAAATTCCACCTAAACCAAATAAATCTGTAATTCTAATTAATTTGTCAAATTTAATTAAATAAATCATTATAAAATTTCCACCCTTCCAAAATTTTGAAATTCTTACTAATCCCTTTAATTTACAAAGTAATCTTATATTCATCTTCAAATTGTTGACTAAATATACTTATTTGTAATATATGTAATAGATATATATATATATGTTTCATAATATTAAAAATGAATTATGCTTCATAATCCCTGAGTGGCAGGAGCATCGTTTGGTTCTAAATCATATCCCTTCTGGTTATCAAAACCTTACACTTGACTGGTTAGCCCCTCTTCCTTAACTTTGAATTTCCTATACAAATAAGCCAACAAGAATGCTAACAGAATTAAGAGAATTATGAGTCCAATAATCACTCCAATCAACTCCTGAGTGTTGTAAATCTTGGCTTGAGCCAACACAACCTTGACCTAAAATGCATTCTTATATGAGCATTGAATGGTTTGATATGGGACTTTGGGATTCTCGTCCAAATACTTATCTTTGTCAGGACATGAAGTTGCATTCATTAGTATTTCATATTTGTAAATTTTGCCAACATCCTACTCAGACTTAGGTTCGCAAAATATCTAAGGATTTCTGACAATATAAGGTAATTCCACAATGGTATGTTGAGTTAAACCCAAAAGGAATGGGTATTCTTTTTAAAATGACCATTGATTGTCATCTCCTTCTGTTTAGAAATCTGATCCGTAAAACTTCACACTCTACAATTTAGGAATAAACACATAATCTTCATAGAAAGAATTGGCCTTTTCAGTGAAATAATCATCTTGAGTATAAAATTTAAATTCTGGCTCAAATTCCTCATACACCCCAGTTCTCACAATTCTGTGTTCGTCTTTACCTCTTAAAAGTACAAAATCTTTGGAAAGAATAATATCAAAATATTATCCAGTCAAATAATGAGTCTTAACTTCGAACCAACCTTCATCTTTGAACCCTATTTCAACCAATTATTGATTGATTCCACTAAAATGATAATTAAATAAGCTTACACTTCTTTGAGAATCAATAGGAAATCATCAGGCTATACTGCAATAGCTAAACCAGATTTGATATCGACGAGGCCAAATTTATCATCTCTATTCAATACTATTTGTTCTTCAGTAGTTCTAACAAGATACTTAGTAACACCATGAATGCTGTCTAGAATGAAAGCATAAGTATCATTAGATTTGGTGGATTTGCTGAACACTATATCCACTAAACTAATGGTTAAATCCTTGTTGTATATATCAAATGAACTCAAAGACATCTTAAGTTTTATATCACCATCTTTATTAATCTAATAAATATCTAGGCCATCCCTACCCAATGGAACAAACATATAATTATTCAAGATCTTGATTTACCCAATAAAATTATTGTCATTTTCTAATCCACTACCAATTGAACAGTTTGACAAAGTCATGTTGGATGAAACCTTTCCTTTTAAAATTTAATCTCTATATATCAAATATACATAATTATATGTAGAGGAGTATACAATTTATGGCACTTCAGCTTCAGTTGCTTCACTTCTCAAGGAATCATAGTCGTATTCCTATAGGAGGTGTGTTTTAAATCCAACTTAGCTTTATGGATCTTATGTAACGTTGTAATTCAATAGAGTATGATCACTAGTTGCAATCAATAACCCTTATTTTGTTATCACCATATTGACCAATATTGGTGTACTTAAATAATAAGATGGATCATTTGCATGTTCTTCGTCAGGATTGTGAGTAGCATTGTAAATTACAGTATGATGATTTTCATATTCTCCGAATTCAACTGAACCCTATTTTGAAAAACATATATCCCAAGGATAACTATTATTTCCATGCAATTCTATATTGATTGCAAATTCAGCATTGTCGAAGTCTGTAATAAATTAGCGTGATCCTTGAATAACCTCCTTGACTCCACTCAACTCATCTTCGATTGAGAATGTTTTGGTTGTCAAATTTAATAATTCTTCTCCTATCACTTAGAACACAATCACTAAAATAATTAAAATCATAATTAATATATTTATTTCATTTCTCAAATATTATCACTATTCCAATATTATTGAATCATTATGAAATCTAAATCCAAAAATATAACACCAATCATCCGATAATTCAGGTATTACATACTCCTCCTTTTCCTTTGTGACTAAATTTTCCAAAATCAAAATATTTTAACCAGTTTATAAACCCATACTAACTTAGTGTCCTTTCTTAGAACTGAACCCAGGTACACTAAAATCTTGTTAGACTTCTGTTAACCCAAACCCAAAATGAACTAAAATCTTACAATTATCAATTACCTCCATCCTATCTAACAAAATATGCACTGGGAATGGGATATTGCATTTCAAAATTGTGCTTTACGACTTGAGAGTAAGAAGCAACACCAAAGACTGTGTCAGATCCATTGATTGTAAACACTAGATTCTTGGATCTAAAACAATAGTTCTTTTCTTTCTGGATCCTCAAAGTCTAAATTAACCATCTGCCATCTTGATAATTTCTTATAAATATATATACTAGAAAGCTTGGATCTTCTAATTTCATTTTCATTAATTATTTCAATCTCTTCATGATGAGACTAATCATTTAAATTAATCATTCTAGAAGGTAGCAATTGCTGATTCAGCAATTACTGTTGAAATATCATTTAAATTTAAGTGTATATCTTCTATAATTCTATCTTCAATTAGTTCGTATCATTTTTTATACCCTTATACAATAGGTGATTGTTAGAGATAGTGTATTTATTTTATATTGAATTTACAAAATCTTTAATTGAAAATTCTTTCTCAATGAAATTATAAACCTCAGGAAATATGGAAGTAAAGTTGACATGAGAATTGATAACTTCTTATATGATATCTTCAAAATTGGTTAAGTAGTTTAGAATGACCTATTTAAATCTCCAAAATTCCTCCAATATCTCCTTATATTAAAAATTTCCGTACTGCGAGATTGTATATATTTCCATATTAAATTTAATAATTATTAATGCAGAAACCCTTTGTTTTAGGCAACAAAATTGTATGTTCAAATGAGATACATAAAAAATAAAATATGTAAATCATTGCTTTGTGTTTAACTGATGATTGCAATTCTAAGAAAACCCTCTGTCCTCAATGTTTTAATGAACATGACAAAAGCCATATAATAATTGAATTGTCTAATTTGACTTCCCAATTATAGGAATAATAAGAATTCTAGACCAATCAAAGAAACGAGAAATACTAGCTTTTAAGTTCGAAACAAGATCTTTGTTACGAGTTAATTTGTGAAAAATTGGGTTAGATCTAAAAGGAAGCAAATCAGGCTAAGCAATTAAGCAAACAAAAGATAGAAGCCGAATCTAAATCGCATTTTGCAAATAACTTAAGGAATGAGGAAGAATTAGAATAATTAGCAAAAGAGTTGTAGAATAAGGTGAATGCAGATCATTTTAATCCTAGACTCATTAAGTATACTATGATAATTATTATAAGAATCTTAAATCAAAAGAACATTCTGTTAGGATATGAGAAGTTTGTAACCAAATTTTTATTTGATGCATGCTTGTTCCTAAATAGCACTGATTGTGCTGAACAATGCGAATATTTTATGGATAATCAACTAATGAGTTTAAAAAGTCTTATGAGCAACATAAATGATGTCCGATAAGAAATAATAGTTGGATTCTAAGACGAAGAGCAAAATCTATTGTACATGCAATCTATTTATGAAAAATTGGATCAGAGTTTCTAACTCTACCTCTCAAAAAAACCTCAATAAGTTAGTGATGAATAGGTATAATATATGAACAATCTAATAAAATTACCAGTTGGGTAAATATTACAATCCTATCCAACAGAAACACTTATAACAAATTAATTTCAGATCATTTTTGATAACCCCTTCTCAAAAGTAATAACAAAATAGAATTTAAATCATTTGAAAACCTTATGCAATGAGAAATCTCTTATATGCATAGGGGCCATCAAATCATCAGATCCTAATCTCCTGATTCTCTGCTCTATTGATTATGCAAGTGAATTATTGCAATCTACTTCGGATTTCAAAGTGGCAAGAAAAAGCAGAAGTGGATCAGTTTACTGGTACAATAAGTATGGAGTCTTTTGTGGAGTCATTGGATTCTCTCCAATATAATAAATTGACATTGGAAATGCCCTTAACATCCATTGTGATTCTCAAATATTGGAAGGAGATCTACGTTTCAGTATGTAGATTGATCATAAAACCAGTCTTAGGATTGGCAAAGACATTACTGATCATCCTAATTATAGATGGTAATTATATTTAAAATAATGAATATGTAATGTTTCAAGGCTAATGATATATTAATTAATACCAAATTAATGATTTCTCATTTTAGGCTAATAAATTGGTAAAATCATTTGTTATAACAACATTTTATTCATCAATTTCTTATTCAAAAGCTAATTGTATACTTCCATCTTCTAAATATGACCAAACTTTTAATTTGTTATCTTAGCATTAACCCAAAAACAAACCATCATCATTTATATATACAGGATTAACTTCACAATTCTTCGAATTGCTTTCTGGATCCCATGCAGTTGAAATCAATTAAAACAATCCTTTCTAATTTCTCTACCATGTTTATATCTGATTCTTCAAATTGGTAGTTATAATCATCTTATTTATTTTACTCCACATTGTCGTAATGAAACTTTGATGAATTTACTAATATATTATCCATGTATTATTTTCCTTAATCAAAAATGTCAAGTTTGAATTCGACTAACAAATGAGTAGTTTTCCATCCTCAATAAAAATGAAGACATGCACTCTTTCAGGTAACATATTCTAACTCCCAATTTTTATTATTCAAACCCCAAAAATTGATTTTCTAATCTGAAGTACTAAACACAAATTCATTGAAATATTGAATGCTATTGAATCTATGTTTGAGTTTACAATTAATATATTTAAATCCTTGTATTACTTCCCCAAGCATAAAATTGACAACTGGGACTAATACAAAATAGTTCTGCTGGTATTGTATTTTTTAATGAATCAAATTGTTCAAATAAACTATATTAAGTTGGCTTAATTATTTTAATTTAATTATTTAATTCCTGTCCAATAGACACTACAATAATTTAGTGATTCTTTATGTCTTAATAGATTCTCTTAATACTTTACTTAGAATATTCGATATTAATTTCATGTTGTCTTTAGAATTGAATTGATTTCATTTTTCAGACTTAAATTTAGTTGTTTAGAACACTGTATTCATTGTTGCAAATAAATTAATCATATTAAATTATGGAATTAATGCAATTTAAAGTATTTCACATTTGGTTAGAATTCTATAAAATTCTTTAGTTAGTGTAGCAATGACTCCTAATTTAACATTAACACAATCCAATTCTTAGAATTTCAAAATCTCATATGCTTATTAATGGATATTTTCATTTTAGAGATTTTTCAAAATATATTTAATTTTTTCATTTAATTGATCTTACTTTTCACAATTTTTATCAATAATTTTAATAGCCCTATCACAATACAGCTAAATTGCTTTGTTTACATCTTCTCTAAGAGTAGGTATCCTTTACTTTTATTACTACTTAAATTAGTTTGAAATCGATTACACCAAAATTTAATGTAAGAGCATGACAATTTCAGTATTACTTAATGGTTCATTATTTTAATTGCATTCTTTTTGATAGCAGCATATATAGCACCTCCCATTTCTATACTCAAATTATTCATATTTCATACAGTGAATCTTACAATAAGAATTTCTCCCATTGTCATATAATTGGATATAAGATAGAGGCTTTGAAGATAAACTCTATTTTTTTATCATAAAATTTTAATTTTCAATATTTTTTCTGTTTTTTCCCTACATATCAAAGAAGTGTTTATATTAATTGGAATAAGTCTTGTAAATATTTAGGTATGTTTCTAAGTCCTTTTTTTATTAATTTATTAACCATATATGAATTTAATTACTTTAAATTTCGAAGTTTCCTATATTGAAAAGGAGTTTAGAGAATCAAAACAAAAATTATTTTCAACAATCCTGGTCTATTAAAAATGGATCTTTGGTCTAATCAATTTTCTTTCTTTTGTCAGTTGCTTGATTTCCAAAAATTGGATAATTGCGTCAATCAGCATAGGAACCCTAATCCTCATCCTAATATCAATTAGGCTTAATAAGAAGTATCCATATGTATATGAAATTGCAATCATTATATACATGCTCTCGATCAATGCCTATATAGCTTTTGAATAGTAATTTGCCAGCAACGATTGGTAATACACTGAAACATTTTTTATTTCTTTCACTTTTGCGAGGTACTGAATTTCCTGACTTTATTAAGTTTGTTAAACCTGATGAATTTTATGAAACGCGCCCTTTTGCTTATAATTACAGTAACTTTGCATCTTATCTTCGGAGTTCGACATTCGGATATCAATATTGATACGTACTTTCGATATTTGTTGTATGTCGTCTTATACGTTTAATTTATGTATTAATTTGAAAGGCTATTGAGAACTACCTTCTTGGATTATCAGAAATGCCAATAATATTTGAACAAAATCTCAAAATTCAAAGATGTATAAAGCTACTCAGTTAAATATGATGAAAGGAAATCATTGATTTTGATTGAGAAGAATAACAGCAAAAGAATACTTAAGGAAGATTAGGAGGAGTTCCTCAAGATGGTCCTCAATATGCAACTGTCTATGCACATTTAAAAATCAAGGGTTGCTGAAATAATTTCGGTTGATAATTTACTTTCCCCAAAAAAACAAACCCTCAAGTAATTTCTCGTTTATTATACCCAAGAATCAAATTCAGATATTAATGATACTCCCTCTAAAATCAAATAAGATATTCAGATTTATGGATTTTATTAAGAATAAGTGTTCGCTTTAAGCATTTTTAGGAGTTTTGACGTAAAGCCTGTAACTGTCCTATTGATGAAGGAGAGCAAATCTGAAACACAGGAGGAAGAGATGAGATTGAGAATGAGGAACAATTCAAAACAACTTCATTACATACAATAAATTTTTGATAAATAAATTAAAAAATCTCTCATCTATTTTAAATGGATAAAAAATTTTGCCAATAAGCAAACAGATGCATAGCTAATAAACAAGACATTATAAATGATTAATTATAGTTTAAATAAAGGATATACAGATTTTCTTAATTTGGAGACATTTACCTTATAAAAGATGCTCTCTCTCGGAATCAAATAATTTGATCTCATCCTATTAATCAAAGATGTATTTGCCTTCTATGATGGCTACAATAAACAGAAGCCTTAGTCTTTGGGTTATATCCAACAATTCGAAGTCATCAATAATTTAAGCAGCAATAGCATTATGTCTGACTACAAGTACACGAAATTACTACTCCATAATTTAATTAATTACACAAGCAAAAAGTCATCGACCATATAAGTAATATTAGATGAAGTAACCACAGATTTTTCATTAACACCCATAATTAGAATTAAAATACTCTACCAAGGTCCGAATATAACAAAGAATCAACTTCATGGTTTACCTATTCTGAATCCGCAATCCTTATAAGAATTAAGGCACAATAGTACTGTGCCTTTAGATTTGGATCTTGCAGTTTCATTGATTTTGATTAGAAGATTGGGCCCTTTTGATAGGTTGAAGTTAATTTAATAAAAACGAAAATCTAATTATTTAGAATTTTACATTTTCCAACAACTTACGGAAGACTATTTGTTAATCCCCATAACATCGATGAAACCTTCAGACAAAATAAAAGTATAAGAATATTCAAGGATTGCAAACTCATTTTCAACTTCAATCTAAATTGAATCTCCTGGAGATAGCATTTAATTTTTATGATTATAGTATATGTGAGTGCTTATTACAATATAAATTAAATATTTATCATTTTTTAATAATAATATTAATACTAAGTCAAAAAAAATGAAAGTATTCTCTAACTTATTATTTATGATGTTAAAATTTCATTAAAGGATAATCAACTATCAGTAGGATATCAATCTCAGAAAGTTGAATTTATTTCATAATTGGCCAGGAATTAATTTCTTATTTTAGATACATTAAACATGATTAATGACATTAATTCTTGGATCCATTAATTCTTAGTAAAGTAAATTACTATATTTTATAATATTTTAAGGATTATCAGAGATTATTTAACTACTATCGAAAATGATATTATAGGAATTCAGGATCTCTAATATTACTAGTCACTTTAGAATTAATAATCCAATAAAACAATTGATCAATTACTTAGATATTATTATCGATATTATACCTAAATCCTTATGATTTTTTTAAATCAGTTGATGTCTATTTCAATCAATCTTATTAGGAAATAGATAATGCATCCGAAGAACAATTTAAAATAAAAAAACCTGAGCTTTTTTATTTAATAATAATTGATTCCTTATTATTCTTTATTAGCTAGTATAAATGTATAATTATTTAATTATTCCTTATGGGATCAACCTCAAGCTGCTTTAAACATTAACAAGTCAATTAAAACGAATTTTAGATTCCTATGATTGTAAAGTAATAGCTCATACAATAATGTCCAACAAAATAAAATTTCCTCATCTAACCAATATACGGTTTAGGTGAAAAATCAGAATCCATAGAAGAGCTTGAAGCAATTCTTTAATAACCTTAAGCCAACTTTAATTTCAATTAAACCGCAACATTCCACAGCAATAGTAATTTTCAGGATTCTTAGAAAGGAAAGCAACCCCTTCTTAATTAATAAGAATCTCAATGCAAATAAAGTGTAAACAAAAAAGACAATTAAAATCAAATCCAATGTCTACATTCAACAGAAGAAAACCATCAACCATAAGATAAGAATAAGGGGAAATTAAACTGTTCAACTTAAAAAAGAAAATCATTTAGCAGAAGCTTAAGTAACTTCAAATAATAAAAATGTGAATGGAAGGATGATTGTTCTTAAAAATAGAAAGATTCAGATTAGAATACAATTAAAAGCATTTTGAAGAAAAAATCAGCAAACAAAAATCAAAAATAATTACTATACAAAAGAGGATAGAGTTTAAAGTAAAAATCAAATTTTGTTGAAGTGGATGACACCGAATCTCAAAATACAAATAAGATGTAAAAGAAAAAAGTAAAATTTGATCCAAAAATCTTTAGATAAAAAAATACTCATTTTTTTTAATGATGACTTATTTATTATTGTTGATACTATATTTAGTGATTCATATTAAAATAAGAATCTTATTATTTAGTAATTCTGACTTCATTTAAGTCTTAATAATGCATCCAAATCATTATCCACTCTCCGATTTTATTGATTCACCCAAGATTGATTTCATAAAAAGTCAAGTATAGATATGTAATTGATGGTATGACTATTATTTAATAATTTATTAATATTATTATGAATATAAACTTTATATATTTCAATAGAGTCTTAAATTTCTCAAAACGATTTATATTATTTATAAAATCAATATATCTTGACTTTCATTTAATTTAAGTGAATTTTTATTCATTTTTTTGGATTAGATACACAAACACTTAATTAAATACTCCTATTATAAACATACAAATAAATAATTTTTAGAAAAAATAGAAAAAAATTACTTTTTAATTTTACATTATTATAAGAAATATAAAATAAATGAAGTAATTTCATATGTTAAGTATATATCAACTTAATAAAATTGATTCACTTTTTAGAGGAGGGTGAAATCACATATTTTGAAATCATATTATATTTTAGATTACATCAATCATAAATGGAAAGCAATATAACTATAAATATATTATAATTATTAAGTGAGTGGAATCTTTGGGGTTTGTAAATATTTTATAAACTGCAATAAAGTAAGAATAATAATGATATTGATTTGAAAAATTATACATTAATATAAAATTAAGAAAATAATATGAATTTCTTATCACTCTCCTTTGCAGATAAAGTTATTGAAACTAAATATTAAAATAGGAAAAAGGAACTATCTTAATAATTGTTAAAATTTCAGTAGGCGTTGGTAATTTTAATGCTGTTGTACGTGTTAATTTCAAGTGCATTTAAATAAATTTGGATTTCACTTTGTATCAGTGGAATAGGTTTGATATTGCTAATAATCAGTGTGAAATTAAACATTGATCGCTAAGAACAACGTTATCTCAACAACACGATTATTATCTTTATGACGGTCTTTAATTATTATAAATCATTACACAAAATACTTAATGAAACCCTTCATCAAATTAGTTACATCGAAGGGTATATGTTGGCCTTGGCAACCACATCATGTATTTTGCATAATATAATAGAGTATTGAATTAGGCAAGTTTTATGTAAAAATGCTTTATCCATGTTTCAATTTACATTCTGCTACAAATCTTTCAACCTATGTTGATGGAGGAAATATGGGAACAGATGATTATATTCTTGGTGTATTTAACACTACACCTGATCTATCTATACAAAACAGAGTAAATTTAAAGATAAGAATATATAGAGCTGGCCAAGCATCAAAAGGCTGAGCAATAATTAGTTAACTTGTGTGGCATCACACTCTATATTGTTAGTTACAAAAGAGATACTAATTAAATGCTATTGACTACATATAACAATGAAGACAATATCACAATTCAATAATAGTAGCAATTTGTTTCTCAGATTAGAAATATGAGGGTTCTCATAAAGGATTAGGAATCTCGAACTCACTACAAATCAGAGGAAGAAATAAAATAGGACGCTAAAATGAATCTCGAGAAATTTCTATTCTATTTTGTAAGTTGTCCAGAGAAGTTGAAGGACTACATGAATAAATTCCAAGTTGATTCCTTGATTAAGTTGCAAGGAGTACAAAACTAAGAGAACTACAATATTTCCATTATTAAGTACTTTGACTAATTGCCAAGTGCAATAATTTTGATCTCTTAAAATAAGAAGGACGTATTTATAGAGGAACTAAAATTGAGATATAAGATATTTCAGTAAGTCATGGAAACCATCGATGAAATATTCTAATCCCAAGTGAAAATGAGTCTGATCTACTTTAGGGGTATACACAAGTACCAAAAGGTAAAGTCCAATAATAATATGGATTTGTGTATATACCAAAAAATATAAAGCAAAATAGCGAAGGCATACAATGATTTTCAGAACATCAAAGATTTTTTCAATCTTAATACTTCATTCTAAAGATCAATTATTTAAAAATTTAATTTTATTACTTTCTTAGAAGATATTTTGATCGAAATATAACATTACTTTTATTAGAGTAAGAAATTTACATATTCGATAACAAATCAACTAAAAAAAGACAATGTTTTCTAGGATCAAAAACAGCTTAAGCAATTATTTCTGAATCTCCTATATTATCTGACTGAGCATTGCCAGGAAATTGGGATTGTATTGGATTAAGGAGAAGAGTATTCTTTGAAGAAGCCATACTTTCGTGTGAAGATAGAATTTAAAGGGACAAGCTTCAGTAAGGATGCAATAAAAGGACTTCCCTTCATTAATCCAATTACTCTGTCGGAATTGAGACATAATGCAGAGTAGGTCTATTAGTTGAACTTGCCAATGGCCATAGTTATTGTGAGAAAATTGGGGCCGACGAATAAAATACACATTAAACAAAATAAGAATGGTGTCAACAGCATTGAGTTTTTGATCTTCAGAGAACTTTCCGAAGATTTTCATCTTATGCCTATGAAATCCTAGCATCCTAGTAATTACCTGATATTGAATGCGAGATCATCAATTCATGGGAAACATGCAGCATATTTCGATCTATTATCTTTGAGTCCAAGAATTTAATTAGATAATTTTGGAGAATTATGATATTCTTTAATTTTGAATAATTAATAAAATTTTAAATCTGATATCTGATATTAATATTTAGATCATTGTTTGTCTAAATATAAAACATTAAGCATTGTCAAAATTAACTTATATATATATTATAAAATGCAATTATTATCATAGAAGTTTAACTCTGAGAAATTCGAAGAATAGTATGAAAGGTACATACAGAAGTTCAGATTAAGATTCTAGTTAATATAGAAAGTCATTTTAATACCTCTAATTATCTACTACTCAATAGAAAAGGTTTTTGAGTCATCTTGGTTTGCATTTTGTCTGAATATTATATTGGGAATTATCGTATTGACAAGTTTGAGATATCAGAAGAGATGTATTAGAGCGTATGAAATATTGTTACTTATTGGAATTTTGTTATTCAACATGTTTTATGCAGCATCTCAATATTTGTAAATACATCCAGAGAGATACTAATTTATTGATGGATATTTTCTGGCAATTCTTAGTTTAACGTAACATAATTTCATATGCATTTATAGGATTATAAACATGATGGATTCTATCTAGAAGGCATTCACTTTATTATTTATATACATATTCTTTATGATTATGATCCCCAATCCCAAAGAGCCCTTATGGTCTCAAGTTGTAAAGTTCATTATTTACATCATTCTCTACTACCAATAATCAAGATATTAATAATAATTGATGAGGATGACATATATGCAATATTGCAAGCACTTAACGATAGAAAATAGTATTAGAGAAAATTTAGAAATGAAATATTATATTGTAAATTTCATTGAAAATTCAAGATAAATTTTATTATAATAGGAGAATGTGGATAAATTTAATGAATAGGAAGATTAATACAATTTCTAAGCATTTATAAGGAAAACTATGGTTGCCAGTCAAGGTCGAAAGATAAAAAAACAAATGGATATTAGGACAAATTCAATCGATATGAATTTGGAATAATTCTTGTTCTATTTGTTTACTGATAAAAAAAGATTGCTTAAATTAGAAAACTATGAGAACAAGTATTTAGATTATTAGCACGTGTTATTTGGATTTAATTCAGAAGAATCCTTTGTAATTAAAGTTGTGTTATGTTTTGATACTCAACCATGCGCAATATTATTAATTACTGAACAGTAAAAAAAATAATTTGTAGATAAGTTAAAATTACAGAATAAAGCAACCCTGAAGTTATTGAACTATTTTTCCGATATTTTTAACACCCACATTAGATTGTCTTTAATACTTCTTAATGGAATTCTCAAAAAGTGCAATTAATCTTAATAAATCAATAAGTGTCTTAACTACATCATCGCTCAATTGTACATCTCCTAAAACAAATATTACAACATTTCAGATTACTTCTCAGCCAATGCTGATCTCAAATAGTTATCCCTCTTAAAATTTAATTTGATCTCCCTACTCCAATGTTTGGTTGATAAAATGAAATATTATCGAAGTAACACCAAACTGAAAACAAGAGTAATCAAAATACAATCTTAGGTCAATGATCTATTCATGAGGTCTGATATCAAGTAGGTCTAACAACTATTCCTAAATCTTATGATATTTTCGTCCTAGTACTCAGATGAAATATCAATACTAATAGAAGAAGATCTGGATCAATCTTTCTTACCTTAACACATTGTGAATGTTTCCTTTTACTTTAAGGTCCCTAAAGGCACCAGGATTGAAATTGACAAATTTCCCATCATCAATCCCATGACTTTGGAAGAAATCAAAAAGAATGATAAAAGGCAATTGGACCTTTACATATCAATATCTTTGTTGATAATCAGAAATCTAGGACCTTTTGATAAAATGACGATGCGAAACATAGGAAAGTAACAATACAAGATTCAATTTTTTCTCTACAGACAGATACCTCTTGGATTAAGTTTAGTGCCCATTCATTCATTCGATCCGCAAATGTACATTAAGAGAGATGAAGATTGGCAATTGGTCTAATCTCAAAAGAAAGATTCTTTAATCAACAGTTTCAATTAAGAAATAAGATTAAACACTTAAAGATGTCTCTCGTCTCCCCTTCCTTTATTACAGAAATGATATATTGGTAATATAAAAACTATTGAATACTGATATAAATTTATTATAAATAGTAAATAAAAATGTGATAATTTAAATATGAATCCCTTCTTGCCCAAAGCTATACCCAAAGGAAGTAGAATCAAAACAATACTAGAGTGCGTACTTTTATCAATAAGATTGCCAATCTTTTTAGGATTGACTTTACAAATAATAATCTTTAATGACTTACTCTTTAGAAAATTACAAAACCAAGAATTTCGTCAAAGTGTTCATAAGTTTATTAGAATCATAATATTGCTACACAACTTCTTCATCGGAAGAGCTTTATTGTTGTTGATGGGATTCTATAATGTCAAATCAATGTTCTCAAATTCTGCTTAGAATTAGAAGCCTTAAAATTTACAATCATATAGCTTGTTATGTTCAAGGACCTCTCCCATCGATGTTTTTACTCTTATTACTTAGTATAATTTAGTTTTATTATTAAGCTTCTCTCCCTCATTTACTCATGTTTCCTTATACAAGAGAAGAGTGCGATACCAATTAATAAGTTACTATTAGGCAATCATTGATTCATTCTAAATTGAAAAGTGTGGTTTTAAGATGTTTAGAAGTGGAAAAGATATAAGAGAATTAATGGAACTGATAGACAAGCAAAGAAGTGGACCCTTGATAGTCTTTTGGGAAGGAGGAGTATCGAATGGTTAGCATTTCCTAAAAATCGACGAGTTAATGATAAAAGAAGCGAGCAAGATAAATTCTTATTCAAAATAAAGATAACACGTAGCAAAGTATAACTCTTCAAATCCAACTGGACTGTTGAGTATTTTAACTAATAGCAGAGTATTACTGGTTGGGAATTCATGGATGAGGATGTTGTATAATCTATTGGTTAATTGGAGTTGCGGTTTACAGATGCATTTCTTAAGAGTGCCATATTTTGTATTTTCTGATTGTCGATTTGGTGAGTTTTATAATCAATTTGTTCATAATATGTTAATGCGAAAATTAGTAATAATTTTATAATATAAAAGAGTAAGAAGAATTGGATGGATTATAGAACCAAATTTATTAGGGATATAAATTGATTAGTATATCAGTTGTTTATGAACATCATAAAATCATAAGAAGTCGTCATCTATAATAATTTTGTTCTCGTTTTGATAATCGTCATTGTTGAATAATTCTCGTTTAATGCTTTAACATAAGCTCATAAACATATTTTTGGTGGCCATAAAAATTTATTCATCATCAGTGTCAACATCATGATCTAATTTTATATCTCTTAATTTGCATTGTTTCATGGTATCTTTTATGCATCGAAATGCGTAGATCTAATCACCTTTTTTGTATTTGATCAGTTATCCACTGACTATTCTTTTTCCATCCTTAAAATTAGCATTTTTCATTTTCATAGATATTGACTTTTTGTGCCAAATATCTTTGGATATAGTCTTTTGAGTAATTTATACTTATGGTTTTGGTAAGGGTTTAGGTATTTTAGAGGCTTCATTCAATTTATTAATCAAATTCACTTTTGGAAGATCCTTCTGCATAGGTACATTTTCCTTTTGCTATGAATAGAACTTAGGTTTAAGTCTAATAGGTTACTAAGAACTTTGTGATAGAGTCATTAATCTTTTTTGGAACAGGAACATTATTTATTCGTTAAATATTATTGTTTAACTTCATTAATTAATAAAATAATCAAGTATTAAATTTAACATTTGATTTTGCACATCATTGAGCTCTCGAAGCATGAATTTACTACTGTTATTCTAGTTTCTATTTTTGTTCTTGTTCTTATTACTTCTTCAATATGTGTTGTCCAACAATAATAATAAATTAGCCTGGCAATAGAAATACATATCCAAAACAAGCGATAGCATTTGGGTAATATTGAACATGAAAGATTTCACATAGGATAGCTGTAATGACTGGCTCAAATAAGGCAGCAGTGGCAGGTACAATAGGTTCAAATAGCTTACTGATTAAAATAGAAGAGATGAATACTCCAATGCTTAATATAGTAGACATGTAACTAATGGAATAAGAAATAATAGTGGTACAAAAAGCCCATGAATTTTCCATTTTGAAACAATCCAAACCATCCCCATCTTGAATCAAAATTAATTGATGTTCCATCCATAAAAAATGAGACCATGCACATATTTAGACAAACAAAAAAAGCAACGCAGAAATTAGCTAAGAAAGGTGGGAATAAATTTCTGAGATCTTGATTAGCTTTTGATAATTCAGCTAAAATTATAGATGCAAAAAACTAAATGAATAAATTGATCTATTACTGGTATGGTGTTTCCAATAATGATCCTCATCCAGATAGGTCTGTTGTACAACAAAGGATTGATGTATTACTTGGCTGTTTCAGGAATAGTGTCAGTGTTCAACATATATGAGTCTAAACAAATTAGAAGATATCTATTAATAATATATTATTCTACCCTACCACACACATGATCTTGCCTCCTCCTTCGAAATTGTGGTTATTTTCTTTTTTTCTAAAGACTGACAACCAGAAATTAGTCTGAGATGCCAGGACACTAACACTTGAGATATTCGTATAATCAAAACAAAACAGAACTACAGCAAAAGTTACAGTTGTAGTCAAACTTGCCATATATACTTTTCTCATGTGAGTCCATCTCAACAGAAATTCAGAGGTGTATGCTGACTTAACTTTCTCATTCCCACTCCTGTACTCGTACATGATAAAGGGGATGAGAAATATCCCTTATAATAAAAATCTCCATGCTATACGCAAATACTTTGTTGAATATTAATACATACCTTTTCAGCCGGTATTGTCATAATCCATGGAGGAATCACGGCATTATTGACTGATGCATAAAAAATAATGCCCCAAGCAAAATACTAAGGAATTTTCTCATAAAGTTATTGATCATCTTCTTCATCATCTGCCAATTTATTTAGACCCACTATCTATGTAAGTCGAGTATTCAATGTCAGTCTCTTGATTTGCTTATTATTCTTCTATTTCTTATCGTCAAATCCAAATGTTTCTTCAAGTAGAAATCCATCCATTCCAGTGCCAACAACAAAACTCTTCACATTTTCATGTTTCTGTTATTAATCCTATACATCCTCATCACTCAATTCCTTTTATTCTTCTGGGAGAAATTATTCGTTCTCATCAGGTTCATACTCCCTCTACTTAATCACGATTAATATACATTTTCAGCCTAATCCAAAAGATTCTGGTTTAAATCTATATTTTCATATGAATGCCTTTCTTCTTTTATTGTTTTTAAATGTAAAAGAGACATTAAATAATTAAATACATTTTGAATAACAATTTGTGAATCACAACGTCTTCTTGCTTGAAGAATGCTTACATTAAGTGTTCAGCTTGGCACTCATATCCAATTACCTTTTATGCAAATCCTACCCTATTATAATCAACAATTATCCAAATTGTAACCAAAAGTACCCAAAATAAGTCAACCCATCTGGATAATATTGAACCCCTGTAAATTTACACAGAACTGATGTTATCAAAGGCTCAATAAGGTTACAAATAGCCAAAGTCAAAGGATCAAATAACTAAACTGTTAGTACAGAACAAATGGATATTCCTATTATTATGATCACTGAATTATATCTATCTTATATTCATAAAATAATACAAAAATTCTATAAACTTCTAATTTGTGAACAACCCAAAAACTCCAAACTTTGGATCATCATCCAACGAAATCCCATCAACAAAATAAGCAACCATAAAGATATTCAAACTAACAAATATCGCTATGAAATAATTGCACAAGTAAATCGGGAATGTGTTTCTTACTCTCAAATTAAATACGGAACATCTAGCCAACAGCAACGAAGAAGCAAACTAAATATCATCAATTTCTATTACTGGCACCATAGTCCCAATCAGTAATTTTAATTGGGGAACTTAAGTGAATACAGACGTATTAATATAATTAGATGCCATTATTGGTATTCCAGAACCACTACTCATTGTTATAGACTGAACTCCAATCAACAAAAATCTTGTTATTTCAATTTATACCCAAAAATACTGAATATCTAACCACGCTTCTCTAATATATGATTCTATATTTTATCTCGAATAAATGAAAGCCAGAAATTTGTTTGGGATCCCAAAATGAAAATAGTGGCAATGTAGTTATAATCAAAACAAAACAAAAATATTGTGCATGCAATTGTTGGACTTATACTTGCAAAATAAAGTTATCTCATATTTTCCCATTTAAAAATATATCGAATTTCATATTACTATTTCACCTACTAACTTCCAGTTCTTTGTTCATACATCATTATAGGAATTAAAAATATACTCTATATCAAAAATCTCCAAGTTATTCTCAAGTACTATTTTATTTGTATATAATCAATACTTTATCTAATGGTATTGTCATTATCCATGCAGGTATGATAGCATTATTAACTGTTTGGTATGTAAGTATAGACCATGCTGCAAAAGTTGAAAAGTTTTCAAATAAATTTCTGTTCTAATTTTCTAAATTGTCATTCTCGACTTCACTTGGTCGATAAAACTAAGTAAAATTAGAATAAATTGTAAGCCTTCGATATTAGTAATTCTAAGGCTTTGCTTCTTAAAAATCAATTGCCTAGTCGGTGTAAAATCCTCCTAAGCCAGTAAATACCATTCCCGCTATCTATTAACTATTTTCTCCACTCTATTCTCTATTTTTATCGTCATCTACTATTTCATCTGGAATAAATTGGTCATCATTAAGTTGGTTATCATGTTGTACAAGAGGATATTAAATTTTCTTATATGTCTCCTATTCAACTTACTCTTCGAACTCTTCCTTTATTATATCTAAATTTAGAATCATAATAATTCAATTAAAATCTCAATTTTACATTTAATTTTAACAATCCAATTCTAATAATTCGGTTGCATAATTATCAATTGCTTTTTACATTTGATTATAAGACTCCATATTTTAAGATATAACATAAAATCAAATCCAATTAAGTATGACCCATAAAAATCAATTCATATAAACTTCGTTCAACTACATTTCTATTATGTAAAAATAAATTAGATGATCTAATAAAAAATTGCTTCTTGCTTGATATCATTAATTAAAAAAATGAGATGACAATTATTAATTATTATATATATATTAAATAAAAAATGCTAAGCATATCATATAAAATTAACTCATCTAAGTGAAGAAACTGATTTAGATATCTACATTGATCTTGATTTACCTATTGAGGTGTCAGAAAGATGCAATATTGATAAATATTTTTATAAATTTTGTGTTTAAAGAATCGATTCAGTGCTTAGAAAAATTGTTCAAAATAGAATAATCAATCTGAAATTCTCTCTCAAAGTACTTGAATTTCAAGAGTTACTTATCATGGTATTCTAAATGTTTTATGTATTGATTAAAGAAGCGGGTTTCCTCATGGAAATTTAGAAATTTGATATAATTATTATAAATATATAAGGCCTAGCTTCTGGTAGGAATTTAGGAATTTCCATATATCTTGATCTGAACTGTATCTGATTCGTGAATATAAATGATATGCCTAATCTATAATAATTACACACATTAAGATAGGAATTTTTAAATGAATATGTCGTATCCACATTAATAGCCTAGTTATAATCAAATAAAATAAAATAATTTATTTTTGAAATTCCAAAATTTCATACAGATGAATCCAGATATAATTTGCAATTTATACTCTTAAGCCTAATATTATTAGTAATACTACTACTTCCCACAACAATAATTCCTTTAATATAGTAATTTTAATCCATTATAAGTCTTAAAGTGATGCTCTAGAATTAGACCCCTACACTGCCTATACTCTAATATAAATACGATACTCCGACTCTCTTAAATAGTGGAATTACTCAGCAGTCGATTGAATCAGTTAATACCACTAAAACTGTCCAAAATAATCATACAACTGAAGTTAACTCTGGACAATAAGAAAAGTGTCCATCGATTGAAGATGACTCTCAATCAAGAGTAAATGGTACGTATAATTCTTATGCTTAGGACATTGGACAAAATAAGAACATTTATAATATCTAGAATTCGTTAAGAGTCACGAGTCTATCCTTAAGTCCAAATATGATAAGAAGTCAAAAAAAATATTTAAATTAATGAGTCAATTCATCCCAACAAGAACAGCCACTCAATGCAGATCTCATCATTAGAAATTCAATCCTTTTTCAAAAAGTAAAAAGAAAAGTAGATTTACGAATAAAATCCCAACCGTTATCCAATCCTGAAATTGTCTTCTTTGATTCTATTTATGTTATTTTACAAATTTGTATTTGGAATAAATTTCTCAAGCTGTTGTATCCTGTATTAATATTTAAATATAAGTGCAAATACATAAATCAAAAATAATTTGTGATATATTTTTAATTTGATTTTAGGTTTATAATGACTTATTATTTGTGCATATTAAGGCAGTTAAAGCCTAATATATTTGTTTGTATGTTCCTAGTCCCATGTGAACTAGCTAATTTCATCATAAAGCTACTGAATCCCTCATAATGATAATTTTTTTTGCCCCTTCCCAATGTAGAATCTACAATTTGATAGCTCTAGTGATAAACACAGATTTTTAATAGGAAATGTCAATGAATTAACATAAAAAAGACTTACATGTGACACATGATGGGCATCTGTCTCTCCAGTACTTAAACGATTTTCTTTATGATATTTAAATACATTATACATTTCCCCTGAAATTTATTTGAACATTAATATGAATCATCTAAAAGGCTAATCGTTTAATTGCATGGTTTGAATCAGCTTGAATCTGATCCATTCTTTATTTTTTGACAAAAATAATATATTACCTGTGATTACAAATTAATTTCTAGAAATTAATCTAAAAATGATCATAAGTTATAAAGTCTATTTGAGATATCATAAAGATCAATTCTCTGAAGCTAGAAAATAGAACTGTTATCTAAATTAGTAAATGTAAAAATTTTCTTTATTAATTATTCTATGTAGAATGAGGTAATCTAAAATGATTATATTTTTAAACTTTGAATAATTTTATTATATATTTTTGTATTATCAAAATTTTTCAATAGAATTTTTAATAGATGTATTATTCAAGACTAAAATTTTCAAATCTCCATTTTTACGAATTCAATTACTTACTTAGATTAATATTCATAAAAATTTCTAAATCAAATCTAATTTATTAGTTTTCTTTATAATCAACAGGTTCAAGGAAGCTTAGAATTAATATAATTTACTATTTATAGTAATTAATACTAGATCATATAATACTAATGAACCTTTACAAAATCTAATATGAAATTGAAAAGTGTTCTGGAGTTTGTGTTACATAACCACAAGGAAAAAAGAAAAATGAAATTTGAATAATTCCATTTAATTAACAATAATACAAATGAGACTATGAAACTTATTTTACTACTAAATTTAATTTGAAAATAATTATACATATAATTAACTTATTTAAAATGTAAGAAAAAATAAGTGAATTATTATTGCATCAAATCCCAGGATTGTGTCGATTAACAAAGCAATGTGTTGATCACATGTCAGGAATGCTAGTTGAAGATACGCCCTAGAATGCTGCTGATGTTTAAGAGTTATTGGGGGAGTACTTTAGAAACGGAGGAAAATTGACCACATAAGAAATTAATAAAATTTGCTAAAAAATATTTGATGCTCTTGAAAATGCAAAGCTAATAAAAAAGGAATAGAAGCATACATTAGCAGCTGAACGATTACCAGAGGAAGTTATACTTTCAGAACTGGATTTTTATTTGGAAAAAGACACTGTATGATTGAGATGTTATAATTTAGGAAATAATTAAATTTGAGGATTTATTTAAAGAATAAGTGGCAACAAATACAAATGAGCAAATCTAAAAGAAGGACCGTAAAGAAAAGCTAAGACAGAAGGAGGATATAAAAGCTTAGGAAGCCTATGAAAAACATATTAAAACAATTAAGGATTAAAAAACACATATTCCTCCAGCAAGAGTGAGACACAGCAAAGCAGATCAAGATGGAAAGAAATTGGATATAGTAATCGATAAATTATCAATAATTGTGGGAGGCAGAGCATTATTGGAAGATACATCTTTATAATTGATATATGGTTAAAAGTATGGTCTAGTTGGTAGAAACGGTATTGGTAAAACATGGTAATTTATGATCTTATCCATTTTATAGTTTGATGAATGCCCTTGCAAGATATGAATACGAGAATGCTGAAAAATTTAGACACGTTTAGGTGTTGCTAGTGGAATAAGAAATCTCAGAGACTGATAAGAATCCTGTTTAATTAGTTTTGGAGACAGATATGGAGAGATCAGAGTTATTGGAACAAAAGGAGAAATTGGAAAGTTCAGAGGATCTAAATGCAGGAATAAAATTATAAGAAATATACGAAAGACTTGAAGTGATTGAGGCACATTTAGCTGAATCAAAAGCAATTAAAATATTACAAGGATTGGGATTTACTGAGGATTTAATGTATAGAAAAACCAAGCATTTATCAGGAGGTTGGAGAATGAGAGTATCATTGGCAAGAGCTTTGTTTGTATAACCAGATGTATTACTATTGGATGAACCCACAAATCATCTTGATTTAGATGCAGTTATGTGGTTGGAAGATTACGTAATTAATTGTAGACACACTGTCATTGTGGTATCACATGCAAGAGAATTTTTGAATGTGGTCTGTAATTAAGTTATCCATTTCTATGACTAAAAGTTAACACCATATACAGGAAATTATGATTAATTTGAAAAAGGAAGAGCTGAAAAGAACACTAATCAAAAGAAATAATTTGAATCTTAATAGAAGAAATTATCTCATATGCAATCCTTCATTGATAAATTTAGATATAATGCAAAGAGAGCATCTCTGGTCTAATCACGTATCAAAGCAATTTAGAAAATGGATTTGATTGATGAAGTCCTAGAAGATCCAAGTTGTGTGTTCATATTCCCAAATCCTGAAAAATTGAGACCACCCATGTTGAGAATTGAAGAAGGATATTTCGAGTATCAGTTAGGTAAACCAATCCTAAAGGGACTTAATTTTGCAGTTGAAATGGAATCTCGTGTTGCTATTGTTGGTGCCAATGGTGTTGGTAAATCAACATTATTGAATTTATTAACTGAATAAAGAAGGTTAACTGAAGGTAATTACTTCAGAAATCCAAGATTGAGAATCAGCATGTTTACTCAGCATCACATTGAATAATTAGATCTCATGAAGAGTCCTTTGGAATAATTGATGACTACTTTCCCTGGAGCATCTGGAGAGACTTATAGATCTCATTTATCATCTTTTGGTTTGAATGGTAACTTACAATTAAGACCTTAATATCTATTGTCAGGAGGACAAAAGAGCAGAATATCATTTGCTATGGCTGTTTGGAACAATCCTTAAATTTTAATTATGGATGAACCTACCAACCATCTTGATATCGATGCTGTCAATGCTTTAATTATTGCGTTGAATAACTTCACTGTATTGAATTCTGTTATATAATTAGGGTGGTTTAGTGATAGTTTCACATGATCAATACTTTGTTTCTACTGTCTGTGATTAGATTTGGTATATAAAGGAAGAGAGACTTAAGAAATTCAATGGAGATTTTGATGATTACAAAAGAGCTCTATCAGAGGGAAAATTAGCTTGAATATCTTATTATCAATATAATACAATTGTGTACAATAAATTAATTAATTTATTAAAATGCAAACAGTGTTCAAGAATGCTTTAGCCAAATATAGAGTAGTTTTTCTAAGACATGGTGAATCCTAGTGGAATAAGGAAAACAGATTCACAGGATGGCATGATGTTACACTCTCATAAAAAGGAGTTGAAGAAGCCAAGGCTGCTGGATAATTATTAAAGAAAGAAGGATTTTAATTCCATTAGGTTTACACATCAGTGTTGACAAGAGCTATTTAAACATATAACTATGCAGCTGAAGAAATGGGATGCCACTATTTGCCTGTCACTAAAACTTGGAGACTTAATGAAAGACATTATGGTGCTTTGTAAGGCTTAAATAAGAGTGAGACAGCACAAAAGCATGGAGAGGATTAAGTCAAAATCTGGAGAAGATCATATGATATCCCACCTCCTCCTTTGGATCCAACAGATGCCAGAAATCCAGCCAATGATAGAAGATACGCTGATGTCCCTAAAGATGCTTTACCACTTACTGAATGCCTTAAAGATACCGTTGTTAGAGTTATTCCATATTGGCATGATCATATTGCTAAAGATATCCTTGCTGGTAAGAATGTTTTAGTGGTCGCTCATGGTAATTCCTTAAGAAGCATTGTTAAGTACTTAGATAATGTCTCTGAGAAAGGTATAGTGAAGTAAATATAAATATAGATATTCTTGAGTTGAATATTCCTACAAGTGTTCCTTTGGTTTATGAATTCGATAGCAATTTAAAGTCCTTGGGATCTTATTATTTGGGAGACCAAGAAGAAATTAGAAAAAAAATGGAAGCTGTTGCCAAATAGGGTGCAAAGAAATGATAACATAAATTAGTACCAATAAACAAAATAAAAAATTATGCTCATTACTCATCATTTGTGAAATGAAAACTTTTTGAATTAATTTTTGGTAGTCTCTTCTTACCTGATCCAGGTCTCTAACTTTGACTGTTTTCAAATAATTGTTGTCTTAAATCAGAATCGCAAAACAGATTTGAAATTTGTTTCACTTTTGCAGATAACTATTGCATCTCGATTTAGGGTCGAATATCCATGGCATGTTCTATAATAATACAAGTTTTTTACATTTCCCTTGAATATAGAGAGGTTTCAATGCTTGATTAAAGTATAATCTTGTGTCTCCAAAGTAATCTTCATTACTCTAATATACAGGTTGAATGTTAATCTTTAATTAATTTTGAGGACTTATAATCTATTATTGAGGCACATCAGTTTTTTGAATCTCTGATTTAAATTATTCTTATTTTTATAATTATTAATAGTGTTAAAACACATATTATGGATGATCCATGTTATCAGATTAGATTTATTCATTTGAATTATTTCTTGTTAGATCTGATTTCTATTTTGATTTTTGAGATTCCATTTTTTATTCATATCTGTAGGTTTTGCAGATGTGAGTGAAGAGTAATTGTACATGTCGGAAAAGACCTTCGATTTATCCAATTTGATCTTTTAAGCAGAATTATTTTTATATCTTTTGACTTATTAGTAATGGTTTAAACTTCTCTTATGGCTTTTCAGGTTGTTTTTCTGGTATTGCTTAAGGATTTAAAGTGATAGTATTCACTTTTTCATATATCCCATTTATTGCAGAATTAATATTTTTCATTTCACTGTCCATTGTAACTATTTAATTTAATGCTCTCTGGTTTTGTTGACTATAATCTTGTTGTATCTATTCCAATTTAAACTTAATTTCATTCTCATTCTTGAAAATCAAATCCTATTTCCTTTCGAGTTCCCGTATTTTTTATTAATCTTAGGTTAACAGATGCATAATTTATTCATTATTCTCTAACTTACCAACTGAAGCATCTTCGAATTGCTTAATCATTTGTTCTCTTAGATCTTTGATATTCAATTTGCTTAGCTCTGACTGTTCTATTATACTAATTTAAATTAATAATCATTACTTATGAACTTGTTGTTGCACCACTTCTTTGAATAATGAGTTTTGATGTTATAATACTTAAAGTTTTTTTTACTATTATTTTTGAAAGTCCATCTGAAACTCTTTAGAGATATTGAGTTAATTTTACAACTCATCTTACTTGGTTTCGCATTTTCTGATCTAAATTTAATAATTTGACAACTAATGAAATTAATTTGTCATTCTTTCATCAATCAACTTTTGATAATCATTTAGTTTATTTTGAACAGTCTCTTCGGTCAATTTCAATACCTTGTCAACGATAAACTGCCCTATATTTTGGTTGGTTAACAAGTTCTTTTAGATGATGCTTGCAATATAACGATCATTAGATTTCGATTCCCATTTTTTATCTAATTCCTTAATTATATCATCATATTGGTTGAATCTTTGCTCTAATTCTTTTATTCTATTTTATTCTAAAATTTCTTTTTATTTTTATTAGCCTTCGAATTCCTTTATTTTATCATTAACTTATTCCTCATATTTCTTATACAGATTTCCAACTGCTTAATCCAAATGGCATCTCAATTCAGTAACACTCTATTTAAATTTAAATAATACTTAAGTGTTAAGATCACAGATTTATCGACTAGTTTAATTTTCTTATCGTTGTTAGAGCAATAACTCCTATATATTACTCATAAACAAATTAGTATTTGTGGCTAACACATGAAATTCCTAATTCAGAGTACTCATTCTTAACAACAAATCTGTATTGATAGCTTATGTCATTTCTTTGTTATAAATTTTAAGTTTATTTTTATAATAATTAACTAAATGAAATTGTAATAATATAAGAATAATAGCATGTAAAATGTCTTATAGCTTTATCAGATCATTGAGAAATAATAACTTAAGAAATTGATTATTTATAAAATATTTTATTAAATATATGATAAAAGAAAAAGTGATTTTAAGAAGTGAAGTTTATCATGTCTATTCATCTGAACAATAGGAAAGAATGAAAGTGTATTTCGACCTGTCAGAAAGTAATGATCATATCGATTTTTCATTGTAGAGTATCAAAAATGTCTGGAACCTTGTTAAAAGTTAGTTGAGGGTGAGGTTTGCAAATAAAATTGCGAGAAGGTGTTTGAAGATTACACGAAATTACTTTAGCATCGCTATGAGGGAGACAAAAAACAATTAATTGATGCGAAAGTATATTTGATTCTTATGCAAACTTGAGGTTTCTGGATTACCCACTTTTGATAGTTTCAAAAGAAAGGACAGGGGCTTCTTTTACAAGGTGTTTGGGTTTAACTTCAGCGAATTTTGGGAACCTGATCAAAGACAAATCAAGTAAATCTGAATATGCAAAGAAAGAATTTGTATTAAATAAATACACTGTTAATATCAAGAATCAATTTCAAACCAAGAATGCTGCATCAATTCTTGGCAGGATGGTCTTTTATTTGGATCCATATCAAGCATCAAAGTTATTATGTTTTATAATTCTTTTGACCTCTTTTTCCAATCAAACTTTCTAAAGGGTATGGGACCTTATGAATACTTGTATCTAGAAAAATAATAATAGATTGAACGACCCTTGAATTTGAGTAGGTTTATAACCACAACTCATTGTATACAATATTATTCCAAGAGACCAAATATCTATTTTCGGAGACACCATAGCATTATTTGTAATTTCTGGGGCAATGTAATTGGCTGTTCCACACTTCACTGGCATCAGACCTAGTCCTGTGTTTAGATCATAACCATGCACCAATCCTAAGTCTCCTAATTTCACCTAATTAAAAAAGTCGAATACATTTCTAAACACTTGATCCTCCAATTTTTCACAAAACAGATTCTCTAATTTAATGTCGCAGTGAATATATCCTAGCCAAGAATTGGTAGAATACCTTGCGTATGCAGGTAGTCTAGTCCCAACAATACATCCGACATGTAGGACTTCATTTTTGCCTCTGTTGATATTATCTTAAGTTCCTTTAAAAATTATTATGTGAATAGTATTACAGTTTCAATTTTGTCCCTAAAATAGTTAGCATTATTCATGTATTCCAGAATTAGTGTGTATTCCTCCTCACTTTGAAAACAATCAAATAATTCCACTAATTGATCATTTTTAATTTAAGAATGTACTTTACATTCCATCAAAGCTTATTTTCTTTATATGTCATTGAACAATTGTTCTTTAAAAATGTGTTTAACAACGACTGTCTACTTATTATCTATTCTGATACTTGTTGCAATTCATTATCATAGCCTAATTCGATTTAAGTTGGAGACATTTCTTCATTATATATTTCTTCCAAATCCTTATATCTTACTCTGAATTAATCCTTCGAAAATATTTTTGGTTAGTATTCTAATATCATACCTACTTTTTTGTATTATTATATATTAATTACTTATTATTCAAAATAATACTCATTATTCATTACATAATAATATCAATGTTTCGAATTAAATAATTACAAACTCACTTTATCAATTATTTAATCTCTCCTTTTTTCTTCATGAAATTTGACTTACTATCTATTGATATTACCATATCATTACTATTTTCGATTTATAAAACACGAGCCTATTAAAGATATAATAAAGAAATTTTAAAAAATAAGCAGATTAATTTTTATTAAATAGAAAGATTTTAAAATTAATTTATGTTTGATTTCTTGATTTTCAATCATTCTTGTAACCATTCTCACTTGAAGGAAATTACATTCTAATTAATATTAATTATTAAGTGGGATGTCTCTTCCGAGCAATGCATTAATTTGATTAACTCTTGAATTTGCACTATAATACTATATAATGATTCCTTCATAAAAATACAATTAATTAAATTTATTAAGTTATGGTCAAAAGTATTTATTTTGTCATCTTTTGTTCATATTAGTCAAATAATAAAGGCTATTTCAAATAGCTTTTTCAACTTACAAGGTCAATAGTTATAAAAAATCTAATCAGATATTTCTAATTTAGTATTTTATGGAAACAAACGATTATTATTCAACAAAATCATTATTTAATATTATTATTATGAACTAATAGATATTAGTATTAATAACAATGAAAGTCATTTCGATTATCATAAGAAATTAAAATCAACAAAAAGGTACTTTATAGAATTCATATATATTTTTACAATCTATATTGAATAAAGTTAATGTTAATAAATTAAGAGTTCATTTTTCCTTCATAATCTGGAGATGATTTTTATACAAATTTGAAAAGTTTTCTAATTGTTAATAATTATTATAAAGGTAATTTGTGCTATCATCTGAAAGAGTTCCTTCAGAATTGATCTCAACTATAACTGCACTTTATGAAATCTACATAGGATTTTATATGATGTTTGAAATAGATGATACTTTTTTTTCTAGACATTCCATTGTAGAAGGTATTTACAGAGATTAACTAATACATCTTATTTGTTATATTTACCATTTGAGTGAAAACTGCTATATTTTCTCACTCTATTGTGTCATTTTAGCCTGAGCAATTATCTCTTCTTCCTTACACCAGTCAAATAAATTATCATACTCAAATCCATGTCTTTAGCCAAGTTTCCTAAACAAATTTATTAAATAATCATAATCAGGTTCAACAGAGAAACCGAGACTCTTTATATGACTTAAATAGACACATTTTATTTACTCTAAAGCTTTTTGAAACTCTATTGGCAAGTCCTAACAAATTTCAGTAGAACTCAACTTAATCTTCTTCTCCCCAATCAATTTCTATTTCTCTTTGTTATTTTAAAGTATCTAGTTTTGCCATGGTAGAACTCTTTTATCTAAATTAACAAATTCTTTATACCCTTTCAGAAATAGAACTAGAATGTAGATTAATGTTTCGAGATCATCTTTTCTACTCAATTCATGACCTTTATGAGCAGCTATAGGAGCATATCGAGTAGTTCCTACAAATGGTCGACCATCTCTAAAAGGACTTTAAGTTACGTACAGTAAATTTTTACATATGCTTTTGATTACTATCTCTGTACATCTTGCTAATGCCGAAATCCACAATGTAAACTTATCTCTAATGATACATAAGATTTTCAGGTTTCAAATCCCTGTGCAAAATGGATTTCGAATGAATATTCTTTAGGGTTAAGAGTAATTGATCTGCAATCATTAAGACTGTTTTAAGACTGAATTTTCGATACTCTTTTAAATAGTATCCCAAATCCTTAGATAGCAACTGCATAACAAGAATATTTTGTCCATTGTGAGTTCCATTCCAATAAATTTAAGGGATTCCTGTTATTTTTTACAATCGAGATAAGGCCTAGACTTCCCTTTCCAAAGTAAGTGGTTTGTCCTTCTTCTCTATTTTTATTGCAACAAAACTCTTATTTTGAATATTCTCGCCTTCATACACTACTCCATAACTACCGGCTGATAATTTCTTTATCAGCTGATATTGATTGTTAATGTAATTCATAATATTTTCAAAATATTTTAATATTTTAAAGTTTCCCCTTAATATATATATATATTATTCCATCATTATTATAATCATGTTAAGCTTGTTTATAAATAACTTTTAAAATTTGAGAGTTGAACACGCAATTATAGGTTAAATCAATAAGAGTTAAGCTCAAAGCTAGGAATAATTAATATGCTTCTTTGACTCGCTTGTTTTATATCATCAAATTCTATGATTTTGTTATTTAGAAAAAAAGCACGCTTAAAATTATATCAACTAATTATTTAACATACATTAATAATATACCAAATATATCTTATAAAATTAATTTATTTAGTATTATTAAGCGCAATAAAAATTTCATTAAAGTTGAAATATATTCTAATCATAAGGGTCTATTGATCAAAAGTCAAGTAAAGTATTATGGGAGCTTAAATCTGAAGATTTGAAGTGATCAAGTTATTTAATCGCTGAAATTGGAAGTTATATGATTCATTGGAAATCTTATTTGTTTCTTTCTATAGTGGATTTAAATTAGGAACTAAAATTTATAGTTTCAAAGAAATTAGGAAATTCGATTTTTAGCCACTCTAAACTCAACTTTATATAATAAAAATTACAGTATACAATATAATATTCTCATAAGGAGTGACTTTGCGAATACTTCACATAAGAAAAAGTAATATAAATAAATTATAAATGATTTGACTCACAAATAGAAGCATTTATTACAGTTGGGATATATCTTAAGAAAATTTTTATATTTAAATCAACCGTTATAAATTGATAAAATATTTATAATTGAGAAAAGGGAAAATCCTTTTAAGCACCCTCTTGTTATGGAATGAGATTATTAAGTATGCAGACTTATTCTTTAGTGTTGATCATATAAATAAATCAGTAAAATTTATTAATACAGGTGATATCCCATTTAAATTAAGTCAAAATAAAAATGAGCGAGTTAATGAGAATGTATCTATTCTTGTAGAAATTTTGTATTGATATTTATATGAATTACAATATAAAACCAATAAGATTACAACTTATTTCTAATATAACCACATATTAATGAATCATAAACATTTTAATTAAATTATCCCTATTTATTCAAAAGAATAAAATACATTCAGAAAAATTATTTATAAATTTCCAATTTTCCTTATTATCCCAAAGTCTTTTTATCATAATTAATTGAAATAATATCTTATGAGGAGTTTTACTTTTCTACAGGAACTAATTTTTTAAAAGGGGCTTTATATTTCTTCCGATGAGAGATTTATTCAACTGATGAATTATTTTTCAATATATTTTAATAAATTTCCTTTTGATCTTTGATAATTTTATTGAGGCTTGATGCTTCTCGAGCTAACTAATTTAATCCTTCTACCTTTAATTAAATATTAAGTCTACTTATAAATTTTAAATTTAATTTCCTCTTGCAGTTAATTCATTCACTTTATCCTATCTTTCTTAAAATCTTTTAACAAAACTCTTGGGCCTCTTATAAATACCAGAACTATTCATTGATTTTATGATTTCTAATCCTTGGGCTTGTATTTTTTGGTTGGTTTCAAGTACTTCTGAAGTTGATCTTAATTATCTTTCCTTAAAGTAAAATAATTATTACCCACAATTTATGACCATGCCTTTCAGCGTCCGTTTAGATTAAATCTAACAATTTGCGATCCTCATTTTTTTCTCTTTCTCCTTATATTTTATTGTAAATAGATTCAGAAACTTGCCTTTTGCATCTTTATGCTGATTATATCACTCTTTTGTCCCAACTTTTTTATTGTTATTCAAAAGATTTCATAATTCTATTGTCTTTCTCAGCTGCAGCTCTATCAGCTTGACCAAAGTGTGAAGAGGGGAGATTAATTTGACCTTTTTTTTACTAGATTTACAATTATTGAATTTCATCCTCTACTTAGCTAAACTCCATGTCAAGTTTAATGAATTCATCCCCTTCTAGAACCCTATTTTTTGGTTTTTATGCAACCTTCGGTTTGTGTTCTTTATGAAATAGAGTTTTGGTTTTTGTATTTGTTTGTGAATCTTCTGTTTGTGAAGCAATAGTTAATTATTTATCCATAATTTCAGGGTTACCAATTATATAGTAAGGAACTATCTTTCCATTTCTATATAGCCTTTATTAATCAAACTCATGTTAAGTCGTAAAGATATTGCCATTTTTGTTTACTGTAATAGACCTTCTCAACAAATAATGTTAAACTGAAGACATTAAAATTAAATTATATATATAAAGGAGTTTATAAATATATATGTTTCATACAAATTTAAGCATTGTATAAGCATCTAACTTATTAATTTAAAACCATTGAAGTAATGAATTAATATTTTAATCTTTTTTCATAATTTCGAATACCTAACTAATAACTAATTGCCATAAGTTATTCTTTGGACACTAATTTTGATTGGTATTCTTATGTTTAGAGATTAATCTCATTTAAACAACGATCCTTATCTACTATCACTTATGCTGTATGCAGAAATGATTTAAAATTATAATGATTAACAATCTTAAGACAATTTCAAATTATATTAACTTACAATTTTTTTATTATTATTAGATAATCTATAGAACATCTCTGAATTATCAAAATTAGCTAAGTTTTTATATTTTCTATATACAACTTCCATCATTTTAAGTTCATAATAAGCCTTACTTAATGTTTAATGTTGAGTGTACACTTTTAATAGTATAGAAATTAATTATTATATGAAATGCTTTGATTAACAGAGAATTAAATTGAAAGGAGTAGGGATTTATTGATAATTTCTGAGCATCTCATCTACATTATTAAATTGATTTGATATAATATATTTTGAATGTATGATATATATACTAGAGGCATTTTAAATAGAAAGTAAATAAATTTATTTGAAATATTATTTTAAATAACGGAAGATATGAGTTCTCTTTTAAGGCATAATGAAGATGCAGGTACTTAGAATGATAATAAAATAGGTGGCATTCCTGCTTTGGCAAGTATACCAAGTCCATAGAGTCCAGATTATGATTGGGTTTTGGTTTCTGGATTTATAGTAATATTGACTTAAGTTGGGTTTGCATTTATTGGTGCAGGATCAGTCAGATATAAGAATTCACAATCAGTAGTAATCAAAGTCTTCTTGGGATTATTTTTGACCGTGTTAATATGGTGGTTGGTAATTGATAAAGTAATTACATTTAGTTTGGCTATGGCTTTTCTTTCGGAGATGATTTCTAAACTAAATTCTTGGGAGGAACAAAATTGGCAGGAGCAAAATGGGAAGCAACAGCATATGGAAATGATTATACAAATTTCGGTAAAATTAACAAATATTTTGAAATTAGTTTTCAGAGCATCAGGTGCAGCCGTAGGAACAGCAATATTGGCAGGAGCAGCAGCTGAAAGAATGACATTTTTGGGTTGGTCCATCTTCTCTGTTTTATATTCTGGATTTATTTATGCAGGATTAACACATTGGACTTTGGCAGCAGGATGGTAATTAGCATTAAAATAATTTATAGGTTGAGCACCCTCGGATACAAAGATTTCTCAGGTGCAGGTGTTGTTTTCTTTGCTGCAGGAGTCGCAGGATTGATTTTGACAGTGTTATTGAAACCAAGAAAGGCCAGATTTGATAATGGAGCCACACTTGATTTTAACAGACATTCTCCATTGTACATTGGATTTGGATCATTGTTGGTCTTGGCTGGATGGCTTTTTTATAATGGTGGAGTTGTTAGTTAAGGAGCTAAAACACAATACGTTTAAGGATTAGTGGCTGTTAACACCTTGATTGCTGGAGCCTCAGGAGGATTCTTCAGTTATGTTATTAGACACTTCCAATATGGAACCTCAAATTTAGCAGCCTTATCCAGAGGAGTACTTTGTGGACTAGTTGCAGTCAGTGCAGCTGCTGATGATATGAAACCATGGACAGCATTCCTTTATGGTGCTATTGCTGCCTTAATCTACAGCTTTTTGGCTAAAGTTATGCCTGCTGCTCATATCGATGACCCAGCTGAGGTTGTATCAGTTTATTTTGTAATAATCAATATCTATTTTGATAGGGTTCAGGATTCATTGGAATCGTGTTATCAGCATTGTTTGACACAAAAGCAGGAGCTTTCTATGGATTCGGAGCCAAATTATTAGGCAAACAATTCTTGGGATTATTGATCATCTTTGCTTGGGTGGCCTTCTTCACATTAATTATACTTCTAGCTTTCAAAGGCTTCGGTATATTGAGAATTGATGCTGAGACTGAGAATGTTGGTATCGATAAATCCTTATGTAAATGAAACAATTTAGATTTTAGGTTTGGGTGAAGCTATCGTATTCGCTAACCAAGTAGATGAAGTACCTCTTGTTTAATAAACTGAATTAGGAAATCTTAGATCAAGCTAATTAGGATCAGGATTAAGATCTGGATTCAAATGAATCAATTAGATAAATTATAAATTATAAATTAGACAATATTTTAGCAATTTCATCTCTCTTTCTTTAACACATTTAAGAATTACTGTGCAGCATACTCATAATCCTCTAAACAATTGTAAATGCTAGCACTAAATCTAGCCCAAGATCTTCCATCGAACTCAAAGACAATCACTAATACATTGTGTTTTTCAAAGCACTACAATAATAATAAAATATTCTTACCGTTTTCTAACATTCCAATACATAAGAGTGATCCTTGTGTGGTACCAATACATTCACCATTGCGGAATGCATCCTTTTTTCTTTAACCATCAACTCAGTTTCCCAAATTTTAGCAACCAATTCACTGCCTTCCCATGCTAAATTTTCACAATATTAAATAATATTTTTAAGACCAAATTAGTTAATATAATTTATTCCGTCCACCACTGAAAGTATAACACTTGAATCCCTAGTGCCATAATACTCAAATTCCTTCTCAATTCCAGCACCGTAAAATACTGATATAGTATTATTATGTATTTAATTCAAATATTTCTCTTTCATATATAATAAATTAACACTGCATGGACAGAATGCCCATTTGTTTAAATTTGTGAAAAAGAAATCAGGGTCTAAATCCTTGAGGTCGATTTCACTGATTCCTGCCCCATGAGCACCATCTATTATGCTTATTACGTCATATTTCTTGCATAATTCTACAAATTCCTTCGTTGGCAATTTTATTGAGGGCAGTGACGAAATATAATCCAATATAGCTACCGTTATCTTCTTTGTCTTCATATTTTCTATTCAAATATGCATATTCTATACCTTCTATCAATGACAAGATTATTTCCTTATCCAAATCCTCCACTTTAAGTTCTACCCTACACGTATTCACTTTTTCATGAGTATTAATGTATTTTATCACATTCTACACCATTGGATAGGCTATATTCAAATACAGTACTGTATCCTTATCAGACAACTTCAAACCTCAATAATATTCGAGATAAATTACTTTTGATTATGCTATTCATGGACTCGGCTGAATTACTAGTGAAATAACATTGATTAAAGTTTGCATTCAAAAAGTCTGCTGCTGTTCTTCTTGCTATTGGGGACTCTTTTGGAACCAAAAACCGAACAAAACTATCTGGATTCTCTAGAAATCTCTTCTAATTCTCAATTCTTTTTTTTAAGACAGTTTTTGGAATGTAACCAAAGCTACTGTGATTAACACAAATGTATCCAGGTTCAATTACAAAATCTTCCTTTAATTAGTTTCCAAAACCTTAGCTCATGCAGATATATCTTTAATTATTTAAATTAAAGTTTATAATCAAACAATTAAAAACTTGATAAATTGATTAATCTAATAATGAACAATATTAATTATTAATTGAATATATTTAATTATTTAATTAAGAGTAAATAATCTTTTGGTATAATAATTACTTAAATAATATGATTATGGTTTAAAAGAAGAACTAAATATTTTTGAAATACGCTCCCTCATCCTTCATCCAATTCTCATTGTGATACTAGAGTCTAACTCCAAAAGGGTTAAGATTTAAATAAAATTCAACGAGGTTAACAGATATTTTAAGTTACATATTAAAAATAATCAATTGTTAATTCTTGTTTCAACTCAACCAAAGATGGAAAAGATACTCTTCCTTCCCTTAACAGGACTTTTCTCATCTATATTTTATGGTTGTCTGTTTGTGAGGCTTTGATATTGTGATTGTGATTGTTATCGATCTAAATTCTAATATTTTTATTGAATAATGCAAAATTGAGCATTTAATTAAGCTAATTACAATTTAGATTTTGAAGCCTCTGATTCTGCTCTCTTTAACTCATCTTTTAAAAAGTTAATTTCCTCAGCCAAACACAATTTTGTAGTTAGATAATGCGTTTCCATTGTATTCAAACACAATTTTAATTTCTCTATTTCTAATTTATGCTCTTTGTCTTATTTAAAATCTAATTTGATTTTTCTAAGATTATGGATTTCTAATAATTGAGTTTTCAATTCTTTCTACAAAATCTCAATGGTTTGCTCATAATTGGAAATCTCTAAATTTTAGATTCTAGAATAATAATTATTATTTACTTAATTGTATGTTTGGCATCAAGTAATGCATCTTTAATGCTATCATATTTACAATCATTTCCAACTCTTCTTCTAGAACTGTTTTTGGTTTAAAAAGAACAATAGGAATCCGAAAGGTGAGAAGTATGAGTTAAAGAATGAGTTGGTGAATCGATGTGAGAATTTTGATGATTTTAACTAATTTGACTATCCTTGAGGAGATCACTTAATAATGCATTTGAATTGGATGGCATTTCAAGATCGCTGAAATCAAACTTCTGTGTATGGGATTGAATAGCAATTTTAAGTTGTTGTTCATAATGGACAGCTAACTTTTAGAGCTGTTCGTTTTGTTCTTAGATAACTTAATCTTATTCATTGATCTGTTATTAAAGAGTTTCAGCCAATTCCTTATATTCTTAAATTGCCAATGTATGCTTCCTGTTTTGATTTTCCAGAAACACTTGTTTTCGTATTAGCTCCTCCTTCTGTTTTGTCATATTCTGTTTTTCTCTTTGTAATTGTGAGAATTGCTTATACGCATCTTCGCATTTCTTATCACTTTTGATAACTTATTATAGAGCATATCTCAATCGTTCACTAATCTCTTGGAACTTTTTGTCATAGAGTATTTGTTCTTGGCTTTTTTCGTCTCTCAAAATGTTGAGTTTTTTTTCTTAATCATTCAATAGTCTCTCGTAATACTTGTTCTTTTCTTCAAGAATATGTATTTGATGCAACAGATCCTGCTCGACTAGTTTCTTCTAATTCATTTCAATTTCTAATGATTCAAATATACGAGTGGTGATAATTCTTTCTAGATTTGAGAGTTGCTCTTCATGAAGTGATTATTGATGTTCTAATTTATATTGATAATCTTAGAGTTTGTTTTCCAAGTCTTGAATATCGAAAATTTGAATTTGAGTGCTGTTCTCAGTTTAAGAATGATTTAATTTTTCGTTTTATCTCAACAACTCTATTTCTTTGGCTTATTCTGAGATGATAAACTCTTTCTCAACAATCAGGGCGATGGCAGTTTCTTCCATTTTAACCAATTGTTGTTTCAAATCGTTAATCTTATCGGATTCCAACTTGCCTTGGAGTTACTAGATTTCTTTGATCAATTTGAGCTACAAAGTAGTTGATCAAAGTTGTACCTCATTCTCTTGATAGATGAGTATTTATTCTTCAGCCTTAGCCAATTATTCTTGCATCTATAGAGCAAAATGCTGTAATTCTGTTTCGTGAGTGGATTCAATCTGTTTGTTCAATTCTAGATCCAATTCCTCATTCCGCTTCTTCAATTGATCGAGGGAATTGATTAACTTTGATAGGCTTAAGAGTTTACTTCTAGATGTTGTTATTTGGATTGGAATTCTTGAAGTCGAATCTACTTTTTCAAACCCTCAATTTCAAGTTATTATGTTTAAACGGTGTCGATGAACTAAATATATATGGAATTTTAATTACGAGTTTCTCATCTTAGTCTTAATTCATTTATTAAATTATATTTGTTATTTTAAATATTTATACAACTAAAGTTATGATGATGGATTATAGTTTTGATAACTTTGAAGTGAATGAAAGTCGAATAACTCTGAATGTAAATTTGAATTGTTATTATTTTGTATAGAAAGATGAAGAAATAAAGAAGTTAACATTGGAAGAAGACTTACCAGAGATCAAACGAGCATAAATAATTTTGATGAAGGGATAGCAACGCTAAAAAGTAGCTGTAATTTATTTCCCATCCATTTTTTGTATGTTAGATCTATAACAATCTACACAGATTGCTATCACTTGGTTTTGATCAATTGTATCAATATATACGAGGCGACATAATGGAGTAAAGTGAAGAAATACAGATAATGGCAGCAAGATCTTTGCTAGGTTGCAAAGTAAAACCAAAAGAAACCATCTAATTGTCACTCCATTTCATTTAACTATATTAATGGAAATTAGCACAGGCTTGGATGCCTGTATTTCAAAATTTGGTGTTACTGATTGATTATAAAGAATTTTAGACTTATTTGGAGAAAATGATTATCCAATTTAGCGAACCGAAATAGCCTGAAATTGGCAGATGGGTCGGAGCTAAGATGATTGTATGCATTTCTCCTGTGTTGAAGGATGAAATGAAAGGACCAATATTGGATCGAGCTCGTTTATTGTGTTCAGATCCAGATCACGAAATCAGAGAACTAGTTGCAGATGAATTACTTACTTGTTTGATATGCAACTTGTCTGGAGAATTGGTAGAACAATACTTTATTGACAAAATCAATGAGTTATTGTATGACACCCAAATAAATGTGAAGAAAAGCATGATCAAGACCTTCTTGAGGTTTCAGCACTTGTTGCCCAGAAACAGTTACAATGTAATTGTCACTTTAGATTAGAGTAGATCAAAGGAACCACCATCTTCATTGATTGCTTATCGACAAGCAACGTAGAATTGTTGAGTGTGGCTTTGCAATACAGTGGAGAGACCTTCGTGCAGATCCAGGATTTGATTAATGACGAATTCAAGAACAAATTTACCATTTTGTATCAGAAATTCGGACAGCATCAGAATGACGAGATTCGGAAATGGTATTTATATAATTTACCGGGAATCATATTACATCTGCATGAAGGCCCTCATGCTAGTTAGATTTTAATGCCCTATGCGGATATTTTAATATAGGATAAGAGTCAATAGAACAAATTGCTGGCTTGCAAGATATTGCATGAAGTTTCGAAATAGTTTGATGTAATTGAAGTACATAAATCTTAAAGTACAGTTATGTGTTACAAAAGATGTGGCATTTGTTTGAGTGTGTGATCTAGAGTGAAGATCTTGATTGCATATTAGCCATCAATCTGCCTGAAATGTATAGGTTGTTGTAGGGCAACGAAGAGAATCAGGAGAAGCTAGTAATTATATACATTTAGTATCCCTCTAGAAAACCTAGTTCAAAGACATCAATTAATAATTGCAAAAAGTCTACAAGAAATGCTTAAGCAATTATTAATATAATTAACTATTTTTAGAGCACCTTCTCAAATTCCTGCATCTCATTAACAAAAAGCATTTCGAACAATTCATCTTGCCAGTCATCTACAAAGATTAATAAAACATCGATTCAGACCTCTTATCCATGAAATGTTTGGCTAAATTCTACAGTGTCTCTCAAGACTACGAAATCCAAATGAAGATCAAAGACACCATGAATCTGATGTTCTTCAGAGGCAACAACAACAAAAGAGTGCGCTACATTTTTTGGGTGTCCAATCTGGTACCATTGATCAGTAGGAAACGGTTCCAAGAACTCAATGTAATTATATGTTTTGATTTTCTCTATAGCTCAACCAAGTCGTCTCTTATAGCTCTGACAAAGCTGCAAGTGTACAAATACAATTAATTAAATCTTTGCCTTAAATCTACTAATATTTGGAACCTATTGAATACAACCTCATCAAAAATGTGAAGGGTATAACCTAGCAATCTTTGGCCAAAGAGGTTTTCCTCTAAATTCAGTAAAGATAATAGCAAAATCAAAACTTTTAGGAAGAGTAGACTTTGCTCATTCAATAAGAAGAAACTGTCTTTACTTAATTCACTCAACAACAGAAATAAGAGAAGCAAAGTGATCTCATCTAAACTAATGAATACGCAAATAAATATCTCAAAAAACCCATACCAAAAATGGTCTAATAATAATCAAAAAAGACTCCGAATGCATCTACTTCTGTGAGGTATTTTGATTTTTAAATATTTTTTTAAATTTAGATTAGCCAATCAATCATTTGGTGAACTTACTCCTTAATAATAATAATAACAACAATTTAAAAGAGTTCGTAGATATACTGATGCTGCAAAATCAACTTCCAAACCTTCATCTAGACCTAGCGGATTTCCACAAAAATGAGATTTACGAATATTAATTTAAAACATCGACATATATTAATTAATAAATTAAATATGAGTCGATAAGTATATGTTGGGCGTCTGAGTTCCAGGATCCGAAGAGAGCACCTTCAATAAGAGTTTGAGAAGTTCGGCAAAATCAAGGACATTGATTTGCGAAACACTCATGCTTTTGTTGAGTTTGAAAATGGAGATGATGCCAAGGCAGCCATTTCAAAAATGGACAACAAACGATTGAATGAAGGCAGTGATCGTATCACAGTCAAACCAAGAGGTAGAAAAAAGAGATGGATGAAATTGAAAAGATGATCGACCGTAAGGTGCAAGAGGACCCACATCCAGAGACGTATGTTTCAATTGCGGCCGCAAAGGACATTGGGCAAACGAATGCAAAGAAGGTATGAACATATCCCATTTCACCAGGGGACTTGCGAGACACTTGTTATCGTTGCTATAAAAAGGGTCATGTACGCAAGGATTGTCCAAAATCAAGGTCGCCTTCAGAGAAGAGAAAGTACACTCAAATTTAATATGTTGTAGTCGTCGAGACAAAGACAGGAAGCGAAGGAGATCTTCATCTTCCTCCTCCAAGTCTTCTGAATCCTCCAAGTCCAGAAGAAGATATCGATAATAGTAGAAACAGCAGAAGAAACCAACCAGGAGGTCCCCTTCCTCCAGCGAGAGCAGATCCAAAGCATCGATGTCTTCGCAAAGCTCCAGGTATTTAAAAATTATTAGTATAATTTAAGCAAATAACCATGATTTAATGAGTGTATTGTTATATTCATAAATCAACATATAATATATTAAACCTTTTTATCATAAAATAAATATAATATGATTTAATAATTGCATCACCGAATCGGAAAGGAAACCAACGTTGATTTTGCAGAAAAACGAATACGAAATTTATTTAATATTGACATTCTCCAGAATGTTCAAGTCAGGAGATCCTAATTTATTCAATAAATTCATCCAAATCCTAAATCTCTCATCTAAGAAGGCTATGTAGTTCATTCTCTGCCTCTCAGGAACTGCGATATTATGAAAATCTACAATTACCCAAAGTAACAATTAAATTATAGTCCACTGTCTACTCCCAATGATCAAGCTCCCTAACTTACTCAAGTCAAAATCCAAAGAATTAAGACCACTGCGAAAAAGGACAGACAACTCAAAATATCTACTGATATCTATTCCAATACAGTGGCCAAAATGCCAGCCTTCTACACAAAGCATTAATGTATGATTTTATTAAGTTGAGTCAACAGTAAAACTTAAAAATCTATGCTATCAACCGAAAGCATTGCAATTAGGATAAGATCACTTAGTAGAGTCAAAGAAAACCTTCAAGATTCCTAAATTTCCCAACAAAGATCAACAACTCCTAATGGCAAAAAGAGGCTAAGCCAATATAAGTTAATCTTGCAAAAACAAATCAATAGTCTTTTGCAAGATTCATTCTTAAATTGAATAATTCTATGTAATTTATATTTATTATAAATAAATTTTATTCGATGTCAACAGTGATTATTAATGAAGACTATGACTCTGATCTCGAGATCTTTGAACAAAGAAATCAGCAAAGTATAAAGTTCGAAGATGTTAGTTTAACAATTAAAGGAATAACAATTGCAGTTTAAAGAACAATTGCTCCAACATATATAAAACAAAGATTACGATTGTAACTTCATATCCCCAACACCATATCCAATGGATCAGACCATAAACGAAAAGAATTAAAATGCACTCAACCTTCTATTATTGAATAAAAGTCAAGACCTGGTTAGTGACCGTTCATAGCCATCCTCAATTAATTGTCTTCCAACTAAAACAAGCAAGACAAATTTAAAGGGGAACTATATGTTCAAGTAAAGCTACTTACCTAAATCTCCATAAACCAAAGTGCTTAATGGGACTACCACAAAATCCAATCGTAATAAGAATAGCAGTAATCTAAATAATAATAAATCACCTTCCAATGTTTCTACTTGTGAACAATAATCAGCAAGAACTCCAGAACAACCAAAACACAATGTTGCCATATTGTCACCTTCTTCTTATAACTCATGGCTAAAGAAAGAATTTGAGAGCAAATCAAAATAATATAATTTGTCTTCTTTCATTCATAAATCAACTCAAAAAGAAAAAAAGGTTGGAATTAATCAGATAATGAAAACAGAAGAAAATGTGAAAAATAATAAATTAAAAGTAAAGAAGTCAGAAAATAAGGTACCTGCTTAGAAACCAAGAAATGGTTTTGATCAATGGTATGACTCATAAAAATAATGGTAAGATTGACCTTATTATTTTAGGTTGAGACAAACTGAGGAGAAAATATTCAAATAAAAGATGTAAATGGAGTAGGAATTAAGTGAGTAAGAACAGTTTAGTTATGTTCCTGAAATTCATGATGGTTCTAGGTATATTGTGTAGAAGAAATATAATAATGCCAGTTTATTAGAAAGGCAGAAATTATATCAAGATGAAGTATAATAAAAACAATTTCAAAAGAAATTAAGAGAGGAGGAGGATAAGAAGATTAATTAAGTTAGAATAAGTCCGTTGTCAAGAAAATTACTAAGGAGTGCATCTCCTAAATCTGATTGTTCTTTCACAATTTGCAACTCATCCAATTAAAATTATTCAACCATAATAAAAAAATGATATATATGTACTGCTTTGCTGTTTTGGCATATTGTATTTGATATTATTCTCTCAAATCAAATTGTATTAATATTTAATTATAATTTCATTTGAAATTATGAGTTCTCTCTTTGTCTAATGCATGGCTTGTAAGTAAAGGCCAGCAACCATCAAATGTTCAGAATGTAAACCTGGACAGATATACTGTATCTGTTATGCTTGCAATACACAAGTCCATAATAAAAAAGGTCCAATTGATTCCCAACATATAACAGAAATTATGTCATATCAAGGTATCCCTTAATATAACATCAAATAGAAATGAATATAAAGAGTTAATCTGCTGCAGGTATTCGAAATAAATAACTATAAGTAATTTATATTAATTTGAATTGCTAGAGCAAACCTGAATTAAAGTAGAAACCAATATAATAATAAATTCAATATCAATAACCATAACCATAAGCCTCTGCCTAAATTTAATAATTTGTAACTTCTCAAAAAATGGGAAAGTTTGATTTGGAAACCAAAAATATCCAATCAAGTAAACCTAATTCTACTTCAAACAAAGAGGTGCCAAAAGTTGCATAAGTTTCCTAGGGTAAATCTGAATCACTCCAACAATTAACCAAAATCAAGCATAATTATATTGGAAGATAAGAGGATTCGGAATTACCTTCTGTAATTAATAATATAAATTTCATAGGATTAATCTAAAGAATTGGCAGTTTAGGTTAAAAGAGAACAAGAAAATAATAAAAAGTTGTAGATTGAATTGCAATAGACCAAAGATTAGCTTTAGAATATAAATAAAGAAGTTGAAAAAATAATGTAATATTAGTTATTAATAATAAGACAATAAAATCAAAAAGATTTGGAGAAGAAAATTAATGATCTAAAGAAATAATACCATGAGGATAAAAAGAAAACTGAATAATTGTCTGAAGATGTAAATTTCCTAAATATATCAATAGGTTAAAAAATTAAAAGAACAATTGAAAACCACTGATTTATAGACAAATAAGAAATTAGATTAACAAAAGAAACTATATGAGTAGTAAGTAAAATAATTAGAAGATGTTGCATAAGAGAAATAGGATTAAATATTAGAAATTGCTCATGAATTTTAAAATTATAATTTTGAGGAGATATAAGCTAAAATGGAAGAAATGGAGAATGAAAACAATCAGAAAGATTAATTGATATTAGAATTATAAAACTAATTACAAGAGAAGAATTCTGGATCAAAATAAAATGATAATTAAGAATCTGATGAAAATTGGTAAATTTAATTGGAGGAAAAGGATCAAGAAATATTAAAACTAGAAGAAATAATAGAAAATTTTAAATAGTTATATCAACACATGTTAGATGAGAAACAAGTTTTGGCAGATGAAAACGAGAAGCTAGTATCTGAGAATAACCAATTCAGAGAATTATTCAATGTAAATATTAATATTATTTAGTAAAATTTACATTTATTTGGAATTAATCCAGATGATTTGGAAGGTGGCGATGAAGAGGAAACTGGAGCAGAAGCCGAAGCAGAAGATTATCGTCAGCATGATGATTATGAGGGTTGAGAGTTCTCAATATATATTGAATTTTGTATTATTATTATTATGGATATTTTAATCAAAAGTGAAAATTGTTTTGTACATACAAAATTAAATAATGAGATCTTTATAATTTTTAATAATCTCAATTAATTCTGTAAATTTCTGTAAGAAGACCTTAATATATTGTAATGATTACAAAGGTTTTATATTAATAAAATGTCTTATCTTGCTTGAGTAAAATACATTTTGAATCTTAAACAGATTCTTAATAAATAATTAAATAAAAGAAAATTCAAACGTTTCTAATAATGATAGCGACCTAAAAGACTATCCACCTTGAGAGTTAGTATTTAGATTGTCTGGAATGAAATTAAACTCAAACTATTTGTTCTGAGTGTATTTACTTAAATTATTGAGAAAATATGTTTAGGAATTTAGAAGATCTATTTGGATATTTAGTAGCATTAAAGCCTTTGAATTACAAATATTCATGAAAATAGGAACTATATAGATGTTTATTCAGTTCATCTTAATTAAAATAAGTTTGACTTGGTTGACTTGTGTATGAGAAAGGTTTTGTCTGAAATATAAAGAGAAATTTGCCAAAAGGTCGAAGATAATATAATAAGATTAATAAACGATTATTGTTATAAGTCTTTATTAGATCACATTGGTTTTTCTGCGACCAACAAATAACACTCGAATGGAAATGGTTTCTTCTCTCTCTTATAATCGTTTATCATTTTTTCAAGGGCTTTGTAATAAATATCTATTTGTTCTTTTGTAGAATTAGCCAAGATTCCTTCTATTTCTGGATTGAAGAACTCTTCCACATTTTTCATACTCACAACATCAAATGGAGTCATTTAGGACCAACATACTATAGATATAATGAATTAAATACTTGGATTTATGAATCCTGCATTAGTAGCTAATGTGATTAGTTCTTCAGGATCTGATACAAATCTTCCTCCTTGCATTCCAGCTGGTGCTAATCCAGTTTCAAATGCCAATTCCTTCAAAAACCATAGGGCGGAACAATTCTCTTTCTTTCCCCAAACTGTAATTCCAACTTTTCCTCCTGGTTTCAACACTCTGAATGCTTCGCTCATTGCTTTAGGTTGATCTCCAATTATTTGATAGACAAGATTGCACACATAAATGTCGAATATTTCATTGTTGTATTGACTTAAGTCCTCGACACTTCCAACAGATAAATGATAATTTATCTTTTTGAAGATTTCATCATCTAAATTAATATACCTAAATATATACCAAATTTGACGGAATCCACTTCCTCATGAGTTAATATATCTAAAGATCCAATTTATTCTTTATTTAAGGAACGTTTCATCCTTGCTCCAGCTCTCCTAACCATTTCGGAACTTAGATCAAATCCATATAGATGAGCCTCAGGTTTCTTTTAATTCAACATGTGTTAATGTAAATATCCTGCTCCACAGCCAGCATCCAAAATACTTATATTTTATTGGTTTTAGATACCTATTAGCCTCTTCATAATGTAGCATGTTCAATAGGGTCATGAAAAACACGGAAGTATTTTTTTAAATTCTTCTTGCATACTTATCACTGAAAGAATCCCAACCTTTGGCCGTTCTGAAGATTACGTCTGACTACATCAATCTAATTTTTTTAATAATAAAGATTTGATAATAAATAATTGTTAAATAATACAATTTTATTAAATGAATATAATCATATAATTTGCCAATTTTTATTATATTAACATAGTTCATTTTTTTCCATTTTTATTTGCTGAAAATAATATTTAATTAGAATTCATATTTATTAAAAGATCATTAAATAATATATTTAATTAAATGATTAATAACAAATAACAAAAAGACAGATACTCCAATACCACGTCCTCCATGTAAAATTATTTTGTTTACAGTTAGGTATATTAAATCAACCATTTCCAATCCTAATGTTAAATCAATCATTTAGGCTGTTTCCACAATCCTTCATTCTTAAATGTAGGAGGACTAGGAGCAAGGAAAATAGATTCCAAAGACTTCGGAATTGTATTTCTTTAGTGAAGAAAAGTATATCGAAGAAAAGCCCGAAGAATTTGACGAGCAAAGGAAGGTTGTCCATTATTTTAAACATTTTAGTTACTATTAAGAGAACCTCCAAGTGTTGACAACATCTATGAATTCATGAAGGCACTCTATGATTGCGCATAGTAATAATATATTAATATTCTTTAGATTCAGTCCAGAATGTTGTATCATCTGTTTAGTTTACATAAATCGACTGATCGCATTTACGGGATTGACCTTAAACCCAACAAATTGGAGACCTTTACTTCTAAGTTCATTGTTAGTAGCCCAAAAAGTGTGGGATGACAAATATTTATCAAATGCTGATTTTGCATTCATCTACCCCTTCTTCACAACATAAGTAAGATTTCAATTTGAACAATAGGAAATCAATAAATTAGAAGCTAAGTTCTTAGAATTGCTTTAGTATAATGTCACAGTAAAAGGTGATTTGTATGCAAAATACTATTTTGAATTGAGAGCTCTATTCAAAGGGGATTAAGAATTTCCATTATATCCATTGGATGTGACCCAAGTAATTTCACTAATCTAAATAATAGTCAGCAAATTTGGAAGCTAGATCAGCAGATGTCTAAAAATAAGAGTAAGAAAAAGCAGAGAAACTATCCTTGACTTATAATGATAGACAAACAAGAAAACCAGCTGCCATTATCAATTGATACATATTATTTCATATATGCATATTAAAATAAACTTAAACGCAAATTCAGTTTTTGATTATATATTATGAATATATAACTTTTTCAACTTCAGTTTCATATGATTATTTTATTTATTATTTCTTGCTTTTCCTTTATTGCTTCTGCAGAATAAAAGTTATTGTAAATAATAAATTTTGATAATTTTACTGTTTACACATTTAGAAGAGAATCCAATTTTTGAAACTAGTGCTGAATATTATTTATTGAGATTAAATCATATTTATACTGTTTAAAGCAGTGTCAATTATTATGGGAATTTATTTAAAAATTCTTATATCATATCATGTATAAGTTAGTTTAAATTTTGGTTAAAAGTTCATTGAAATAGATTAAATGACTTTATACTTTTGAACACAAAAAGGGAAAATAATATTTGAATTTTTATCTTATGAGAGGAGTTGACTAAAAGGGTATTTATTGGTTAAATTAATAAAATAGTTTGATAAACTATATTTAAGAATTTAAAGATATATATATTGTAAGTTTTAAAATGGAAAATCTTTTGATAAAAGACAATTTAAAGTCAATAGCTTTGAATCCATATTTTGTTAGTATATAAATTATAACAATTAAGTGGTTTCAAAATTTCAGAATAATAGAAGCTAAAAATAACATCTTAAAATGAGTTTGGTGATTAAAAGTTTTCATAAGATACTTGTTTTATAGAGCATAAGGAATTTTATCTAAATATAAATAAATAATGCTAAACAATAAAATTTAAAATGATTATTTTTGCATCCCTTTATATATTAAACTAAATTTGAGGTCAAAATATATTATTTTTTTTTATATTTTTATTATATCTTTATAAAGTGTGATCTTTTAGTTTCAATTATAAATAGATTGATTAGACATTTAATTAATGAAAATTACAAATAACATACCCATTTATTTATAGCATTCTATAGTCTTAATTATTACATTTACATTAAAGTAATGAAATAAGACATCGAACTGATTATAAATGTGATTCCTAAGATATCTCCATTGAATTGGGCTTAAGGTGATATCCTAATTTAAACTGATGATTATGCAGAAGAAGTTGATTTTGTTTCAATAGCAGATATTACTACTAGAGCTGCTAATGGTTCTACCATTTCTGTTTATAGGGAAGGTGATACTTTAGGATTACTGGAGGCTATATATGATGTGAGAAGGATTGGAACTGCTATTTATAGTAAGAACACATAACTCTTTAGTTTGGATAGAATAACTTATCTTTAAATGTTGTAGGATTATCCATAATTACTGTCTGAAATCAAGCTATAGGTTGATAATAGGATTAAGGAAGTCAAGCCATTTATTGAGGATGCAACTATTTTAAATAGATCTAACTATGAAGTTATGCAAGATTATTAGAGGAAGATTAATAAGATTAAGAAGATTATTGAGCAACTGCAAAAGACAGAGGATAGTAATGATATCATTGACACTGATAAAAATCAATTGCAAATATTTTATAGACCAATCCTCAATTAGCTGATAGTATGAATCACTAAAGAGAATCTAATTCCAGGGAAACTGTGATGTTTGAAAGTGCCAAAAGCATGAACAATTTAATTGATTAACTAGCAGATTTGTGGCAGAAGTAATTGATCTAAAAATTTGATTAAATGCATACTGAAACAACAAATATGATTCAAGCAGTTCAAGATGGAGTGGAGTATTATCAGAAAGCTACAAAGAAGTTATCGAATCTAAAAAATGATTTGACTAATCAAAAGGAGAACATTCAGAGCATGACAAAGTTATGATAAATTTTATACTAAATATTTTAATATAAAATGGATAGTATTCTGCACTAGGCTCTAATGCGTTTCGATATAGCAGCTAATGATGGCAAGGTTAATGCCGAGTAGGTGATAAGCATTCTGCAAAGTCTAAATTATAACCCTCAAGATATCACGAAAATAGTGTCTCAGATTACCGCCGATATTGGTATTTGCAATCAATATTTGAGATGTCAATTAATTCAAAGAGTTGCTCACTTAAAAGGAGGAGCCGAAGCAAGATAGACTGAGCACTTCATAAATAAGATAAATTGAAGATGAATTTCGATAAGCTGTCAAGTATGGGAATGTAGATAAAGTTCTATAGTATTTGAGTAAATATTCAAGTCTATATACTGATTAGATAAATATCAAAATTAGATTGATCTAGCAAATAAGATGGAACCTTAAAATAGACAAATTCCAACCTATGATGCAGTATAAGCCCCTGCTGAATACCAAGCATATTTAATTCTCAAAACACTCTATGAACATGGATCTGATATCCATTACAGAGATGCTATGCAATAATCTATTATGTTTTATATATGTAGAGATGGAAGATGTTAATTATTCGATTTCCTTATTTCTAAAGGGTTGAGTGTTAATGAATAGGATTAGAATGGTCAGACTCCTATTTTCTATGCAGCTAGAGAGAATAAGGTCGAAATTCTGCAAAGATTAATTTAAAATGGAGCAAATGTTAATCACAGAGATAAAATCCTAGATCAAACAGCTCTGTTTTATTCAGCAAAAGAAGGTCAATTTTAAGCATGTTAACTTTTGATTGATGTAATAATTTCAGTTTGATTTGATCTAGGCTGGTTGCAAGATAAGTCATCAAGATGCAACTAAGAAAACAGCTGTTGCTTATGCTAAAAAATTTAATCGAAAAGAAGTCTACGACCTGTTAATTTTAGGAGCTTAAAGATAGAAGGACGAGACAAATTAAAAACGAGATGATGGCCATTCCAAAATAGAGCAAAAGATTAATAGAAAGAAAAATAAAGACTTACCTAAATTTTAATATAAAATAATGCATATTGATGAAAAGGGACTCTCGAAAGAAGTGACTAATGAGGATTTTGAGAAGTTTTCTTAAGAATTCCCTGAAATTGCTAAACTGTTAATAAATCCTGATGATACTATAGACGAGGCCATGATTTCATCCATCAAGGAAGATTAGATGTGGGATAAAATAGCGAAGAAAATACTCAATCAACTTTGGAAATTAAAACAAAGTGTATATTTTCTAGAGCCAGTTGATGTTAATCGATACTAAATCCTAGATTATTATGATATCGTTAGGAACCCAATGGATTTTGGAACTATTAAAGTATTAATTGCAATTATCATAGTCAAAATTATCAAATAATCAATACAGATGCTTAAAAGAATTTCACATTGATATGCTCTTAGTATTTGACAATTGTGTACTCTATAATGGAATCCATTCTGAAGTTGGATAAGCAGGAATTAAAGTGAAATAAGATTATTTGTTAATGTTGGAATAAAATGGAATCAATAAGAATTTATGAAGGTTTATGTTTTGTTTATCATATTAATTCATATACCCTTCTTTATAGTTATTTATATATCTAGATTATCAATGATGTTAAGCAAAATGATAATCATTCTCTGGTTTCATCCTAAATAATGCAACAGAATAAGCATTTACTATCATTTTAATGTAGTCACTTGAATATAAATAATAAAAACTACATAAATCATAGCCATATAATGGAAATCTAATTTACATAAAGCATAGAGTTCTTAATATTATTTTGAAAGAAATAATATTCAAACCTAACCATACTCTTAATCTATAGTAAACCTCAAATTCAATATTGATAGTTAATCATAAATTAATACCAAAAATAGAAAGAGATTCTAAACTAATGGAATAATAATGATATTTTTAAAAGTCATAATTGAAGAAATCTATGAGTGAAATTACAATTTTAATGAGGAAATGAATGGAAATGGGCATACTCAAGATATTATAAGGTTGTTTTCATAAAATAAATCTTTGATTAGATATTGAATAATTTGTAGAAATATTTTCTAAGGAAAAATAAAAGTAATCAAATTGATTTCTATAATATATAATCATTTTAATTAGTGCATTAAATTTTATTTATATTTTGACAACACAGCAATTTAATGTCAGAAAAGGCTATGAAAATAGATCCAATTATTTGTAGCTATTAAATACTATTTAGTGATCCAAAAAATCATCCGAGAAAATACTTACTTAACCGAAATTGATAATAAGCTCGATATTGATGATTTTCATAATCCATTAAATGTAGAAGAAACGCAATCTTAGCTGGTGGATTCGATTTTTGGTAGTTGCAATATAAAATCTCAGAAAGGTTATTAATTTATATATATGAGTGTAGCAAGCAAAATGATTAGTTCATCTGGTAATGCTAAGGCAACTTCTATACAACCATATGGCTCATTATTTAAAAGTGGAGTTTCTAATTACACTGTTTCAGATGAGGATGAAATTTAAAAAGATTTCATCGAGATCAAAGATGGCAAACAATATAATTCTTAGATTGAGATTGATGATGTTCATAACTTGAAACCCCCAGAGTTGAAAAATTAAAAATATCAAATGACTTATGAGGAACTGAACTAAAGATGTCAACAACTTGAATAGAATTTGGAAGTAGAAAGAAAAAAAAATGTAGAACTTAATGGTATATATTGTATCAAGAATTTAGATATTATTCTCTGTCAAAATGAGAAGATCTAGGAACTTACAGAAATAGAGAAGGCTGCATATGAGCAAATGGATAGCAGACTCAAAGAGATCTCAGAGTTGTCAGCCAAGAATATATACTTAGAAGCATAATTGTAGGAGTTAAGGGAAAGACAAGAAAAAGAGCTGAGTAAAAATGATTATAACCAATTTAGAAACTAGAATAAAAGGACTTGTGGATTCTAATAACAATTCACAAATGAATGCAATGCTATGTATTTTAGTGTGTTCTTATACTTAGAAATAAAGGAGAAACAAATTTAATTGTTACAAGGTCAGCTGAGTAGTCTAAGAGCTGCTACTTAGTATAGATCATAAGGGAGCTATCATAGTGCATAGAGTCATGACAATATCCAAGACAATTAAGTTGTAAATCACATTATCAATAACACCAATAATAATTAGATTATCATAAAAAATGAAATATTTCAAAAGGGAATGACTTCCCTAGTTTAATAACCAAAGACATCAACTCCCAAGAAATAATAATTTATTAATTAGGATTCCCAATCTACCCAAAGATCCAAAAAAAGTGTGAACCACAACAAATAAAGTTCCAAAGATACAATAACTTAACCACCAACATCATGGTTGGATCATCTATAAAAGAAGAATGATGATAAACTTAAAGTTTTGAAAAATCAACCTTCAGAAAAAGAATTTTAATAAGCTTATTTGAACAATTCAATTAATGACAATGTCAATAAATATATGCATGCAGATTGTATTAGAAATTTAATATTATTTTATAGTAAAGATAACGAAAGTTAATAGTCCGGCATTTTAAAGAAAAACTACTTATTAATTAACATAAGACAATGATAATTAAGATAACAAAGATTTTGTAAAATAGAAAAGTTTCTAGCATAAATGAAATTGAATATTTACTTTTCAATTCAATTCAAATTATAATGTATTAATTTAAATTGAAACAAATTCTATAAATATTATATTTATTATTTCTTGATAAATGTGTTACTGTATATTTCCTTCAAAAGTATATTTTTCATTTAAATAACAGTTATTTCATTGATTATTAATTTTATTATGAAATCCAATAGTCAATAATGCAAAAAAGCACTAATCAGCAAAAGGGAACAAAATTATATGTAATTAATATTGATAATAGTAGAATAGATGATGAATTAGCAGATGACTCAACAATTTTCGAATAAACAACTTAATCATTTTCAGAAATTTCTGAGTTTGATTCTAAGTAGCAATTTTAAATAAAACATTGGTATATCTGGTTAATTATAGAGAACAAGTGAATACAATAAAAGTGATTAAGTATTCAATTAGAAATAGAAGGATAACTAAATGTAAAAGGGTGAAGTTTTCTATGAAAATATAACACAATACATGTAATAAACAATGATATGAACAAACAGTCAATAATATAAACCAAAACATATTGAACTTGATGTAAAACTAAAGCCTTTCATACCAGATTACATACCTGCTGTAAATCTAATTGAAGATGGCTTATCAATACAAAGACCAGATGGCAAATTTGATAATTATGGCTTATATGATGTGGTAATAAGATATAAATCAAATTAAAGAGGGAAGCACTCTCGAATCACCAAGTTAATAAAGATTAAAAGATACAATAAGACACATAGAAACTAGCAAAAAAGGAGGAGACATAGAACCCACAAAAGCAGAAAGTAAAAATCGGAATAATAGAAGGAAAAAATTCAAAAAAGAGTTTAGCCTTATGAGAACCTTCAAGAAAATTTCTAAGATATATTTAAGATAATTTCATTGTATTCTAAATTCATTTTTCAGATATACACCAGAGTAAATTAAAGTCGAACCACATTTGAAACCCTTCATTCCTGAGTACATACCTTCAGTCTTGGGCCCAGATGCCATGCTGAAGATACCCAGACCAGATGGGATGAAGGACAATCTAGGCCTTACTGTGTTAGTAAATAAATTCTTTATTTTTAGGATGAAAGGTTGGTGAAGGGAATCTATATGTAAGGTAATTGATATTTGAATTTATAATGAAAAATAGATTATCTTTAATAATGATTTTTAAAGATCAACAAGTATGTTATGTTTTCAATACTATGACAACAAATTAGATATCACTTTAGTGAAAAATAATTAAATAATTTTAAGTTATATATTAAATGGGGAATGGTTGCTCAAATTAAAGGGAAATGACCCAAGTATCATTAACAATAAGACAAGACTCATTTCCATAAACTAAACAGCATGAAAATACTTAGATGAGTTGCTTCATACCATCTAGCTAATTAACATAAGCAGAAACGCCTCATGCATTGCTGCCATCTCCATCGAGATAAAGTATTTCTTTTGAGAATGCCATCACTTCTAAAGTGAGAGTGCCATCAGAAGAGAGTCAGTTTTAAAAATAATTCTCATAGATTGCAGAAAATTAGACAACTATAAAATTAAAGAGCAAGAAACCAATTGATACTTAAAAGGAGTAATAAAAACATAAGGACAAAAAAAGCAAAGAGAAGAATAAAGAAATAATCCCAAAGCATCATTCATCCAGCCCCAAAAAAGAACGTAGGCAATAGATATCACCGTAAAGAAACATCAACTAATAATCAATGAATTAAAACTACACAACTAGAAATAAATCCTCCTCCTTATAGAAGAAAAATGTTAATTAAACAAATGAAATAGCAATTATTTCAAGGAGAAAATATTCTGATCTACCTCCGAAGACTGAGAATACACAATCTAAAAGGAAGATCAGCAATACAGTGGATGATCGCAATGCTCAGGTGAGTTGGGATAGCATTTCCAAAGTAAAATCATTTACTCCTAGTCCTATCTTGAGTAAAAAAGCTTCAGATAATGAAACAATCACTATCAAGAAGAAGAAAGTCCGATTCCATGATTAAAATATTATGAGATATGGTTTTGCTAACTGAAAATAAGTGCAAGAGATGAGCAATTTATAATATGATTTTGTTGCATCCAAATTTAAATTAAATAATGCAGTGATTTGTGTAAATTATATATAATTATCAATAATGAATTACAAAAAGTAAACAAACTGATAGGATGTAAGAAACAAAGAAAAATTTTATTTTAATAATAATTATGTAAAAACTAAGACGTGAAGCAATAGAGAGAGCCAAATTAAACTCAGCTTGTAATACAATGATTAGTACCTTATTTGTAGTCTTGGTCACACTTCTTACCCTCTTCATATGTGATCTTTCAGGTTTAGTGCAATTGGATAAACCATTATAATACGTTTCTGCAGCGAATGCAATTAAAGATTAAATCCCAGAGAGGAATTTCATATCAGCATCTTAGACAGGCACGCTAGAACCATTATAAGGACAGCATATTGATAAGGTGAATGTGGTTAAACCTATTATTGATCATAGAGAATATAGATATTTAGAATTGGAGAATAATTTGAAAGTTCTATTGATACACGATTCAGAATCAGAAATGGCATCGGCTGCTATGGACGTTAAAGCAGGATCTTGGCATGAACCTAATGAATATCCTGGTTTAGCTCATTTTTGTGAACATATGCTATTCATTGGGTCGCAGAAATATCCTTAAACAGGGTTCTTCGATGACTTGATGGCAAAGGGTGGAGGTTCATCAAATGCATACACAGAAGCATAAAATACTAATTATTATTTTGAAATTACTGTGAATCATTTGGGAAAAGCTTTGGATGCGTTTGCTCATTTCTTTATTGATCCCTTATTTAATGAAGATGCAGTAAATAAGGAAAGAAATGCCGTTAATTCAGAATATGAAATCGATGTAAGCACCGAAGATTGGAAAGTCGTTAATCTCTTTGCTCTTTTAGCAGATCCCAAACACCCAGCAAGCAGATTCAGTATAGGAAACAATGATGTTTTGGCTAAAGAAGGTGTAGTGGAAGCCTTGAAGAAGTTCTATTAGGACAATTATTCATCTAACATAATGAGTTTGGCTGTTTCCAGTAGGTTAACATTAAATGAGATGGAGAAAATGGTCAAGGTATTCTCGAAGATAGAGAACAAAAATTTGATACCTTAGTCGATTTCAGGATTTCCATATTAGTTTGGATTATTGGGTAAATACAAAACAGAAAAGAAGTTGGTGTTGTTAAATTGGTAATTAAGTGGAAGAGAATAATTCGTACACTAGAAGCCTTTGGAATTAATAGACTATTTATTGAATAACGGAAATTTGAAGGATTACTTAAAGGAGAAATAGCTGGTGATCGAATTTGAATCCTCCATTTTTATTGAATAAAATCATTTTGTCAATTACATCATAGAATTAACATTGCCAGAACAGCCATTAGAAGATGGAAACATTTCTCTTGAAATTACAAGAATTATCAACAATTATATCCAGCAATTAGAGGAATGGCTAAAGGATGAAAAATATTTGGAAGAAATATTTAAGGAGCAAAGTTAGATTACCAAAATCAATTTCGAATACATGGAAGGACCTTAAGAAATTTCTAGTATAGCTAAGAATCTGAATAAATATGAGCCTGGAGAAGTACTCTCTTCAAGCTTCATTATGGATGTATTCGACAAAGATCTTATATTAAAATATATTTCCGAGTTGAAGAAAACAGATAACTTATTGATCTTGATTGGAGATGATGAATACTAATTTACAGATAATACTTTAAAAGGAAATAATAAAGAATTCTTAAAAGACAAGAGATTGGACAAAAAGAGTGATATCTATAGATTGGAATATGCAACTCAGAAGTTGACAAAAGATTCTATTAAAATCATCACTCAAAAAGACTCCAAATTATAAAAACTATTTACTAAGCCTCAAGAGAACCTTTTCATTCCAGACGACCTGAAATTAGTATCTTTATGTGAATCGAATCAATCTAAACTACCTTTGATGATACATTCTGAGCAGTTGAAACCTTTGGATAAGGAGGGAAAGTTGAATGTAATGCTTCATGCTGGACAGGATTTGCAAGAGTTCTCTCAAGATGAGTGTAAGAAGGAGGAGAACGTTTATTAAAAAAATAATCACTATCCAATTCTTTTGAATAAAGAAAACAATCAATGGTGGAAGGTCTCTACATAATTTAAATTGCCTGCTGTATATGGAGCCTTGTCTATATAATACACTAAACCCATCACAATAAGGTAATTTACATCAGCCAGAATTTATAACTTTATTTCAGACGAATAAATAAATAAGTAACTCAGGTAACCATTAACAACTGGGTACTCTGTAGAATTAGATATTGGAAAGCAAATAGAAATCAAAGCCTATGGATTTAGTGAAAAAGTTAGGAGTTTTTTCAACAGTATTTGTGGATGCATCAATCCATTCAGAGAAAAGTCATAAAGCTTAATTGAATTAGAAGAAAAAAAAGAGGAAGAATCTCCTGATTTCATTAGAGCTAAGCAGTCACTTATTACATCTATTAAGGATATATTTTAATTGAAATTGTATGAACAATCATTTCAATTGTATCTTCCTTCAATTTTAAGAAAAGACTTTTTTAATCCTGAATTAGTCTTACAATAAATTCCAGATATTACAGAAGAATAAATGTTGTCAGATATAAAAGAAATACTCTAAAACTCCATTTAAAGCTCACTTTTGATTGGAAATATCGATCAAAAGAATGCCTAAGATCTTTCTGCTGAATTACAGACTTGCATTTAAGACAAAGATGCCAAATTTGAATAATAAACAAGATTACCTATTTCAGTTTTGAGTTTGAATGGAAAAAATTGGGTGTTTGCCAAGTTTGTGGAATCAGACAAAGGTGATTTGAATGGAGTGACATTAAATTATTATTAAATTGGTTAAAGAACTTAAGAGAATTTTGCTTTGATGAAGGTTCTATAGCCTTTGCTAAATTCTTAAGCATATAATCATTTAAGAACTGATCTCTAATTAGGGTATGTTGTAGCCATGAAATTCAAATAAGTCAGTTGCATTGATGGAGCATTGTTCCTAGTTTAAGGAAACAAAGAATTGCCAATGAAGGTCAATGAATTGATAGAAGAATTCCTAGTTCAATTTGATGAATACTTAAAGACAATGAATAAGAAGCAATTTGAGCATTTAAGACATAGTGCAATTGTTGAATTGAGACAGAAACCTTAAACTTTGAGTGAAGAAGCAGATAGGTTGTGGGGATACATCAGTTCAGATGATTATTCTTTTGAGGAGAGACAAGTCACTATTGAAAGTCTGAAATCAATTTCAAAGGAATAAATAATAGAATTCTATGAAAATGTATTCATTAACAACAGATCAAAAATAAGTGTGTAATTATATGGGTATGCATTAATCACAATATTATTTTAGAGAAGGAATGGTGTCATAAACTCTAAGTTTGAAGAACAATGAAGAATTTGAGTCTTACATCAAAGCAAACATTCCTGAAGGGGCTTCACTTTTTACTGATACCGAATCGTCGTACTATGATTGTCCAAATGATGTCAGTTCAGTTTGATTTCATATATATAATACAATTGTTATCGTGAATAAATATAATAACTACTTTAATGACATACATTTTCAGTGTTAACACTCTATTAATTTTTATAGTAATTATTTTAAATTTAAATCAAAGTTCAATAGAAAATGATTCCGTGTTTATTATCAGTGATTTTTGGAACAATATTTACGATGATGATAGGATTTTATTGGTATTCAATATTATTTTGTGACCGTTACTTGAAGGAAGCAAATATTAAATTAGACAAAAAAAAAGAAGATGATGAATAAAATAGTAAACCTTTGATTTTAGAATTGTTGGCCAGATTCATAAAGGCATCTTTAATTACATACTTATACAGCATTCTCAAAGTGAAAGTAAAATATACTACTAATTAAAATAGAATGAGAGAGATTTGGGATTGGCGCTATCATTGGCTGTGTTTTTTTGTGTCACTTTTGACTTGTAATATTTCACCTCAAAAGTGGTTTGGGAGTAAAAGACTTGGAATTTCTTTTTTATGAAGGTGATTGAACAATTTATTTCACTTTCAACTCTTTCCATTATTGCATACATTTTTGTATGATGAATTATAATTCAAATTTTGCATATCAGATTCGTTATTCTTTAAATTTTATATCTATAATTTATTCATAACAACTAAATAATAAAATAGATTAATAGTTAAACATAAGAAATAGAGTATCTCTAATTTTTAATGTACATAAAAACAAAACAAAATGTATTTCACTTTTTCTTTCTTTCCACTCCCAATGTTTAACCTCCTCTTCCTGTTGTTTTTGTTTGTTATCCTCTGCTCTCAAACCCCAATGATGTCTCAAACCTCGATTACATCGTAATACATAACCATTATGAATACTTTATTTTCTTAATCCTTTCCAAATCTTCTCTAAGTTTTGTTTCAAGTTCATTAGTTGTCACTTCATAGTTCTTACCATTTTTTAAATCTCTTATGTATTAAGGAACCATCTAGGGATATTATAAGCCTCTGGAACTTTGATAACTTCAGTAATCTTGTGAGCCTCCTCATCAGTAAGTTCTCCTGCTCTTTTGGTTAAATTGAGTCTCAACACCTTAACATCAAAACTGAGTCAGAATTACTTTGCAAATTTATATAGCAAAGCGTCTGCCTATTCCTTTAATACTTCTAATTTCATAAGCCATTTGTTATTTACCATCAACATTTGTATTTAAAATACGAATGATTTGTCTGAATTAATCTGCTTTTTCTAAAACTAGACTCATTATTGTTGTTATAAAAAGATTTTAATTATTTTAAAATCATTTCCACATTATTTTTATTAGACCTTGTCTGATATGATTATATTATAATAACATACACATATACTTATTCAACTCTTATAAGGTAGGAAGGATTAGTTATGGAAATAATCATTTTTAATCCTATTAAACTGGTTTTAATGGATAATTTCCAATAAAATCTTATGGTATAATTATGCATATACTTTAAGAATTATCAAAAGCTTTATTGATGTGATATTTAATGAAATTAATTAATAAATAAAATGGCTAGCAAATCTCAACCTCCCATATAAGAAAAGACTTTTCATGAATGGTCTAAAAACAACTTCTATAGAACAAGCTATATCAATCATTACACTCAAGTATGTGAATTGCTTCATGCTATCTAGTTTCCATAAGAACCAAAAAGTACAGCAGTGCCAGGATATGCAGGCTATGTCCCTTATGTGCAATCAGAGAATCTGTATGGCGAGAGATTTTCAGAAGTAGCCAGAAAATCATACGCAGACTAAAAGTTAGGAAAATTCAATAGATTGTCTTCAACTGGATTTAATTTTGATCCAAAAGAATTAATCGATGTACACAAGGAAGCTTATTCTCATAAATATGGATGTTAGACCTTATTGAAAAATCATCCTTGCACTCATATCAATAAAATGGTTACCTCCTACCAAGACGGTTTCAAAAAGCCTTAGGAACTTGTTGCTCCAACGTATAAAAAATGAATTATAATAAAATAGATTTCGTAAGACCGATAGGTATCTATAGACCTCACAAGCTTAAACTAAGACTTCTGGATTTTAGAAGAATCACATGTAATTTGACGGATCTGGCTGGATTCCTCATGAAAACATGAATGGTTTGCAATTTATTTTTTTAATTTAGGCGATTAAGTGAGAACGGAATACCGAATATAATATAATTAGGAAAAACCATTCCACAGGAATCCGATTCAATTCAAATTAAGAAAAATGAAATAAACCGAAATGAATTATAAACATACCTGAAATTATATATTAATTTTTATTGAGAATTGATTTTTAATATATTTTATTTCTTAATAGCAAAAGTGATTATTTCACTATATTATGTTCTAATTGATATATTAATTAATTACTGGAAGGAATTATCAAATTTAATTATGGAATTTTATCTAAAAGATGACTTTATATATTTTAATATCATCAATCAGCATTGTCTTATTTAGAACTATACTTGATACTAAGTGACTTTGATATTATAATATTAATAGAATTAGTATTTTAATTATAGAAGTAATAATTTGAATTAATGAATAATTAAATTGATTCAGGATGGTAATAATGAAAGTTAGTTTAAATATCAATTAAATAGAAAGATCACTGAATTATTAGGTGATTCTACGTAATAGATGTTTAAAAATAATTTTCATAACACTTAATGAACTATTTTAAATGAAATTATTAAATGTTATAATAATCAGAGAAAGACTTCACAATTGAGCAAGTGGTTGGGACAGGCACATTTGGCATGGTGCACCTGGTATGTGCGGATTGAATAATAGTTAGGCTACTGATAACAGGACTAAGGAGAAGGTTGCGATTAAGAAGGTGTACTAGGATAGGAGATACAAAAACAGAGAGCATTTGATCATTTAAGAATTAAATCATCCCTGTGTGGTTATGTTACGCCACTCATTCTTTACTCCTGGAGAGAATGTATAGTGAACGTTATATCGATTTTGTAGCCTCAAGATGTGTACCTTAATCTTGTGATGGAATACGTACCAGAGACACTTTCGAAGATGATACGTCAGATACGCAAGCAGAAGCAAACGATCCCACCCACATAACTCAAGCTCTACAGCTATCAAATGCTTCGTGCGCTGCTCTACCTGCAGGGTACTGAGACTTATCCCAACTAGCCATCGGAATATGCCATAGAGACATAAAACCCCAGAACATCCTGATCAACCTTGAAACCAATGTCCTTAAAATATGTGATTTTGGCTCAGCCAAAAGGCTAGTAGTAGGTGAACCTAACATTGCGTACATTTGCTCTCGCTACTACAGAGCGCCAGAATTAATTTTTGGAGCCACCGATTACACTACATAAATCGACATGTGGTCCATCGGTTGTGTTATTGTTGAGATGGTCATATTGGAACCAATCTTCCCAGGAGAAAGTGCCCAAGACTAACTTTTGTAGATTATTAAGATTCTTGGAACACCAACTCCTGATATCATCAAGCAGATGAATCCAGCCAAAGCTGAAGTCAAATTACCTACGATTAAGGGCAATCCTTGGTCCAAAATATTGGCCAAACATAAACCAGATCAATTATTTTTAGATCTCATTACACAAATGCTCACGTAAAATTCATCCTTCTTAATATTTAGTTACTCTCCCAAAGCTAGAATTCAACCAATCGATGCTCTTTTGCATCCATACTTTGACGACTTAAGAAAAGAAGAATTTGCTAAATCAAATGTCAAGTTTCCAAATCTATTTGACTTTAACAAACAGGAATTAAGCGTTAAACCAGAACTAAATTCTAAATTAATCCCATTATGGTATTCTAAGCTAAATACCTGATTAAGTTCCAAAATAAATATATATATGTAAATTATGCTCTTAATCTGTAAGTGTGAATAAACACTGACTTCTTCATTTTATTCAACAAACATTTATTTTTTAACTCTACTAAAGAATTCTGTTTAATTCTTAAATTTATCAAATTATTATTTTTATTCCTATGAATCCATTCAATCAAGGTAATGCATTTAATATGTCTTCATGTTATCCTTAATATCTTACTATTGAATTATTAAGTTTCTTATTATTGACATACACAAAATAATTTATTTTCTGGAGATTGACGATCACATGACTTAACAAAGAAATTAAGAACATTTAAATATTACAAAAGGAGTTTTTAGAAAGTGAATAATCAATAGAAATAAAATCAAATATAGTTAATCTTATAATTTTGCTTATAGATTTCGATATTAATATAATTCAATTCAATGTAAAATATGATAAGAACTTATTAAATAAGGCAAATTATCACAATTCTTCCAGCTTTTTGATATTAACAAATGGATTATTTTTAATAAGTAATTATTTAGCCTTTTCTGCATGATCAAATGTGCATTAATGCTCCTCTGGCAAACGATGCTTATTGCAAAAATATGCTTCACATTTGCATTATATGCCAGATATTCCCAATTTTCTTTTACAAACCTTGCATTTCGAGGGGTTTTCCTGATATAGTCTAAATTATTATTTTTACTTTCATCTTTATTACCTCATCTTGCTATTTTATTTCTTACACAACCTATTTTTGTTACTTGGTTTCTGAACTGGTTTCCTTTAGTATGGTTCTAAATGAAATAATCATTAAAATGATTACTAGTAACATTTAGAACAATAAAATTAAGTGGCTGCCGTTCCAAAGAAAGTCAAGCATATATTGCATAATCTTGTTTCCTACTTATTCTCTTAGTTAATAGATTACTCTTAAGTGGCTGCGCCTTGATTATTTTACATTTATATTTATGAATCTAATTTATACTAATCCCAAAATGAAAAAGGTTTATTTATAATCAAAAAGTAAAAAATTTTAGAAAATCCTGAAAATCTATTTCATTTGGATTATCCTTGTTGAACAATTTGCATATCCTTTCTAAGTCACTGTTCACACCTACTTTAAAACTATAAATATAACAAAATTATTACTATGATAATAAATTTAGAAGATCACGCTTATCTAAATAAATAGAATGTGCAATGTCTTCAAATAGATTTAGGAAAGATTGCTTTTTTTATTTTATGAATTATCTTTTCAACTTAAGTAGTTCCTCTTCATCAATAACTTTAATATTTTGCAATTTATTAATGAATATTGCCAATTCTCTACAATCATCAGAGTATGGAGGCACAAACTATGTTTAGGATGAAGCTTGTGATTGCCATCTCGTTTATGCCATAGTTGACATCTAGGAGATCTACTAATTCTCAGATGTAAATTCATCTATGAATTCTGCCATGCTGATAAATCCATCCTCATCTTTGTCCATTCTTCGAAAAATATAAATCAAATCATCATTTGAAGTTTGATAGTTAAATTATTAAGATAAGTACTTTTTTAATTTGATTACGTCTATAAAGCCATCGGATGTTGAATCAATTTCCTTATACATATTGAGGATGTCTGATTAACTTAAATCTTTTCTCAACTCAAATAACATAGTATCCATTATTTATTAGGTCTCAATTAGTTCTGAGATTAGAATGTTACACATTTTCGTATTCTTTGTTTCTCCTAATTTGTTTAGACTCTTTGGTCGAAATGGGAAAATGAATTGCAAAAACTCTTAATAATCCTTGAAGATTTCTTTATCAAATTCAATATTGTCATCAAAGTATTCAGCAATCATTTATCGGATGGTTTCTTTTCTTTATTCTTATTAACAAATGGTGTAGAAATATTTAACAACTATTTTCATTATTTATATATATTAATAATTGGATAATTAATATGTTTCATTATTCAAATTCCTCCTCCTCATAATCTTTCTAGCTCTTATTTTATGCTTCACTAATTTATTTCTCCGATTGCTACTAGTCAAACTATTGGTCATTATACTCTTCATTGTTATCCTATCCATTCTATTCTTTGTCAAACTCAGCTTATTATTCATATTCTTCTTCTAATTTCTTCTATTCTTCCTCCAATTTCTATTTCTCTAATTGCTCCTAATGTAATCTCTTTTCCTCCTCCCTTAATTTATGCAATCTTTCCTCTTCTGCCTTTTGTTATTGTCTTTGTTCTTCTTGATGCTTTCTCAAATTCTCCTCCTCTTCTTATTACTTTCTCGTGTCTTCTAATAATTTTTACCTTTTCGCTTCATTCTCCTACTTCACTCTTTCTTCCTCTTCCTACCTCTTTCTCTCCTCTTCCTCTTCCTTCCATTATTATTCTAATCTTCTCTATTCTTCCTCCTCCCTTTCCAATTCAAATTATCTCTACCTTTCCTGCTCCTATTATAATTATAACAATCTTCTTTGTTCCTCTTCCTCTTTTTATTTCTTTAATTATTATTATTAGAGTTCTTCTTACTTTTATTTTTATTTCTATATCTACAAATCGTTGTTTTCATTATGATTTTATTCCTAATGTGTTGTAATCTTAACTTATTCTTTTGGTAAATCACTTTCACTTTTTGTTTTGTGTTGAACTTATAAATCTAATAAAAATATAAATAGTCATTTTACCAACATAGAACAACTCAAACAATTTTTTGTAATTAATCTGAATTAATTCTTGTGTTAATTCATAATTCTTCAATAGTAAAAATTCGTATTAAGTAGAATTAAAGGTTTATTCAACGAACTTAAGAGCCTCCTCAAGATCCTCCACTGTACAAAACTCTTGTTTCTTCTTTGATCTCAAGATGAAATCCTCTAAAGAGATTCTATATTTCGATAGAACAGATCCAATTTCAAAGAATAGCTAATCTTCATCACTTTTCTATGGTTCATTTCAATTTTTTACTTCTAAAAGTGTGTATTTTCCAATCAAATTCTTTAGTATACTCTTGGCTCTTGCTATTAAACCTTCAGTTAACATGCTAAACTCAACAAATCTATCATCGTTATCTTCAATCAAGTATCTCGCCACCTTAAGACTATCGGCTTCATTTAACAAGAAAGGTTCATCCTACAACATATCATTTAATTCCTCAATTCTGATAACTGAGTGAGCATCCCCATGAATAAACTAATGTATTCAAAATACCATTACATTGTCGATCTTCTCAAAAGGCACTTTCATAGCTTTCAGTTTGAATTTGATCGATTTGCATATCAAATTTACGTCATCCTTAGTCACACAAGGCAACAATTTCTTTTTTTGATCTGTAATCTCTGGACCTTCAGGTAGAATTTCAAGTTTATTCTCAAAAAAACTATTATTTTAAACAGTTCTCCTATTAAAACATCAAAGCCTTTTATACCTTCTGCCTGATTGCATTGCAACTTCTTCTTTAAGAGAATTATATTATTCTCTCAATTATTATCTGTCTCTCTCTAATTAATCAATTATCTGCTGCTGCTCTCTCTCCAACTCTTTCATTCTCTTATCCAATTCTGCATATTGAGCATCTTTGGCTTTCAAACTACTTATCAATGTGTCTATTTAAACTTACTTTTAACTAGCAATATAGGGATGATTTAGTACTCAATATCTTATTTCAATTACTATTCATTTTCAGTAATTTTGTTCTGTTTCTTATATTCTGGATCTTTAAATTTTAAACTTTCAATCTGATTTTTTAAATATTGATTCAATTTATCCTTTTTAAGTTTTTCATTATAATACATGGTAGCTTTTGATTCAGATTCTTTGCATTTGACTTTCAATTGTTTTAATTCATCCTCCAATAGCTTATAATCAGCTCTCAATCTGAGAAGATCATTATCGGAATCATTATATTTCATTCCGATCAAAGCCTTTAATCTCTGTGCTTCTTGCTGATAGGACATTAATTCGATTTCCAGTTCTTTTATTTTCATTGCTTTTGTATTTTTTTACAGAAATTGTATTTGCTGATCCTTTTTGATCGATTCCTCTTGCAATCTCCTCAGTTGTTTCTTTAGATCCATAATCAGATGCTGCTTCGAAGGCTTGCAATCCTAATAAAATGATTCCATGTTGTTGACCACTTGCTCGCTTATCGGAGTTGCTCTAACCATTCTTTGTAATTCTTCCTAGAAGTCTTAATCAATTTTACATCCATCATTTTTATTTTGGTATGTAGAGCCTGGTTCTCTCTCGCCAAGTTGTTATTGATTTATTTTGCATTAATAACTTCCTCATACAAAGATTCCCTGTCGTATAAAATTGCCTAAGGAATCATCTTCTATCTCTTCTATTGCAAACTGTTTCTCTGCTGGTCTTGAGTAATTGGTCTCATTTTCATTCCTGTCTACAATAAGTACCAAGAAGCTTACACTTTTATCCTCAGTCTCCAAAGTGCCCAAATTCATTTGCTATCTCTTCCTCTGCTCAGTCTGAACCTGTCTCTTCGACGTAAACGATGTTCCAGGTCTCTCCTCTACGTTCATATTAATTTTGATTTTTTTATTAAATGCTTTTTATAAAACACCTAAGCAATTTTCCATTTATTAAACAGTTAATGCATCTTATTTCAATTCCAAATCACTAAAACACAAATGATCATTCTAGTCATTTTATAACAAACTTCAGAATTTCCCTCCATCAACATCTGATGCAAATCATGAGTATAAATTGTTCATTGAATCATCATATTTTACATACATAACAAGTGGTTTGATTAAAAAATTAAATAAACAATATATTTACAATATGATGTCAACAATATTTTTGAAAAAGAAAACAAAAAATTCAATCAGGACGATGGAAGAACAGAGGGATTTATAAAGACATTAAGATATTACAATCAATTTTTAAAATGAATTCTATTTACATTACTACTATTCACAATATTGTTTAAGCTAAAAGATTTGTAATTTCTAAGATAAACATACATTAAAGTTTTATTTTCAAATTTAACAAAGAGTGAAAAGTTTATATCAAAAGTATTATTTGGTTTGCATACTAGTTTATTGAGGTTTTAGATTAGATTTTTTTCATATTTGCATAGAAAATTAATACAGAAATTAATAAATTGTTATCAATTTAAATATTTTCAATACTTTAATTATTGATGGTATATAAAGTTGAATAAATGAAAAAAGTATATATTTATTATTATTTTATTTACCCCAAAGATTACATAGTATGAAGGCAAGTTTATGAAAAATCAACAAAAAATAACTTATTGAAATATCTAAACATTATTCCTTGTAGTTTAATTCATAGGATGATATAAAATGGAGATTAGAAAAATTAAGAAAATCAAAAGAATAAATCTAATTTGAAATATTAACAGAAATAATAGTAATACAGGGTTAATTTGATTACATCATTATTAATATGAAGTTTTAAAGATATAATAAAAGAATTTGTTAAATATTCTGATAAATGAACCTGATGTAACTTATGTGGATAATCTTTGTGAGTTTACCTTATAAGCTTAAAGGTCATCAGATCTTATAGAATTTTTAGGTTATTAGAAATTTACAGGATAATGAGTAATGTTAGACATACCAATTTTTGAATAATGACGTATGCGAAGGTGAATATTCACAAATATGATGTAGATTGCCACTATTCATGTTAGAAATGCTCTTCTAGCGGTTCTTCTAGTTGTTTAGAATGTTTGAGTGATGGTAATCGATTTTTAGAGAATTCAATTTGCAAGTGTTAAGCGAATTATTATGATGAGAATAATGAACTATTTTGTTAGCGTATATCTATTAAGTGAAAATAGGATGTCGTTTTCCTTGCCTAAATTGTTAAGGAAAATAGAATCAAGATTGTCTAAGCTGTAAAAACTCAATGTTTTTATTTGGAAATGAATGCAAATGCGGAGAACATTAATTTTTTAATTATGTTAATTATCAATGTGAAGGTTTAAAAAATAAAATATTTTAAATAGATTGCCATCCTACTTGCTCAAAATGTAATGGATCTTTGAATTCAAATTGCGTGAAATGCAACTAAGAATAGTATACTCTTTTATAATCTAACATTTGTATATGTAAGGATGGATACTACAGATCAATTGATAATAATTGCTATTGTAAAATTAATTGATAAATTAAGAATGCGATATAAATTGTAAAACATGCTCTGGACCAACCAATAATGATTGTTTGAGCTGTTATAATAATAAAAGTGGAAGCTCTTGCGACTGTCCATATGGATATTACCAACCTTAATTAGTACCAAACACTTCATTTTGCTTTAGTAAGGATTGTCTAAATAATTTAAGAATGTCATCCTACGTGTTAGACTTGCAGCAATTCTGGAGAATTTAATTGTTTAACTTGTTATGCATTTGCAACATTGTAACCTGATTCTAATATGTGTTTATGCGATTTAGGATTTGTTTGGAATGGCAATTCATGTAGTATATGCGATACTGCATGTGGAAATAGGTGTATATTCGATCCTAATAATTGCTGTGTAGCACCATGTGTTTGTATGAATTCAATAATAATTAGAATGTTTCAACCCGAATTGTTCAACTTGTGATGGTACATAGGCATGTACAAGTTGTTAATAAGGAAAGACAGGTGCAAATTGTAACTTATCATGCGATCCCAATTGTAAAGGATGTGATCGAACTGACAAAACTTTGTGCACTTCTTGTAATAGCCCTTTTGTAGTTGTTGGTGGAATTTGTTCCTGTCCTTCTGGATAAGAATTATCAGGATCTACATGTGTGAGTGGCCCTACTTGTCCGGATGGGTTTTATGGAGCAGGTTGTTCATCAGTTTGCCATCTAAGTTGTAGAAGATGTTATGGATCAAGTAATACTTAATGCAATCTATGCAAAAATAATGCTTATGTTAGTGGAACGTGTGTATGTAATTTAGGATATTATATGGATGGAACATACAATTGTTTTCCATGCCATTACTCCTGTCGATAATGTACAGGCAGTAGTACACATTGTACAGATTGTAATTACAGCCATAGAACTTTAGATGGATCTAATTAATGTGTTTGTGATATGGGATATTATGATTTTGGAATCCCTATTTGTTAACCAACCAACATTGCTTGTGGAGTATATTGTGGAAATTGTTAATTTATATCATCCGCATATCAATGTTAAGCGTGTGCTTTATCAGGTACTTTTAGACTGAACAATTTGGCTAGCAATTGTCCATGTTAAGATGGATATTTTGATAATGGCTCAATGATCTGTGAATGTAAATTAGATAAATAACTTCTTAGAATGTAATTATAAATGTTTTAAATGTGCTTCCTCTACTTCTTGTACAATCTGTTCTGGTAACAGAGATTCATCAAACAATTGTGATTGTTTGAGTGGCTATGATGAGTAAAATAAAATTTGTGTATTAATATCAGTAACAGCTAATTAAGTTGTAATAGATTATAATTCTGTTATTACGAAAACATATGATTTTGAAAATTGCAATATAACTAACTTTGCCAATATAGACACTTGCTAATGTTTAGATGGTTATTTCATGTAGAATTCTAAATGTTTACGTAAATAATTTATTTATATACCTATAGCCTGTCATAGAAAATGCAAGACTTGTTCAATCATTTCAACTAATTGCATTGAATGTTCTACAAATTACATTAATCCTCCATCCTGCTCTTGCGTTAATGGATTTTAACTTATTGATCAAGTGTGCGTATCTTGCAATTAACATTGTGTCCTTTGTTCTAATAATCAGTGTTCTACTTGCATATCTCCTTTGATTATTGATACTGATAACACTTGTCAATGTAATACTGGATATTATTTTGATCAATCCTCCAATTCGTGTAGTAATTGTCAAACACAATGCTATCAATGCAAATATTAATCAGACTATTGCACAAAATGTAATTTCAATAGAATTCTTCCTTTTAAATGTGTCTGTCCAGAAGGTACCTATGAGGTATCTTAATCACAACCATGTGAAAATTGTTCAAAACGCTGTTTTACTTGTGAAACTAATGCTTCCACTTGCATTTAATGTGCTACTCTTCGAATCAATTCACCTAGTTGCATTTGTCCAGATGGATATTACGAAAGTTCCAATTTAGATTGCCTAAAATGTAGTAAGAAATGCTAGACTTGTGAACTAAGTGCTACGAATTGTCTTTTATGCTCATCAAACAGATCTACCAGCGAATGCTAGTGTAATGAGGGCTATTATGAAAATAATAATGAAGTGTGTATTAAATGTAATGTTAAATGTAAAACCTGTAATGGATCTAATGAGAATGATTGTTTGACTTGTGATTTAACTCGAAATTTCATTCAATCAAATACTTCATGCCTTTGTAAAAAAGGATATTATTATGAAAATAATACATGCAATGTTTGTGTTTAAGAAGTTGTTGAGTGCCAAACTAATTATTGTGGTGATGGTATCAAATAACCCTATGAGCAATGTGATGATTGGAATAAGACTAATAGAGATGGCTGTAATTCTCAATGTAAAGTTGAAGAAGGCTATCAATGTACATTAATTTAAAATCTTTAATTAAGTCCACTTATCAACTATTCATCATGTATTCAATGTGCAGATGTTAATTGTAAATCATGTCCAAATATTGAATTATGTTTTCAATGCAAATCAGGATACTTCTTAAATAAAAATTAATGCTCTCCTTGCGAGTAATTTTATTCATATTAATTTTGATAGTCTTCATTGTAAAGAATGTTCAGGACCTTCTAAAAAATAATGTAAATCTTGTTTATTTGAAACATTTTAAACGGAAGATTGCCAATTGTGCGAGGATACTCAAGGCTTGTATCTCGAATTTGGTAACTGTATTTCAAAATGTGGGGATGGTATGATAAGATTAACAGAGCAATGCGATGATGGAAACACTGTTGATGGAGATGGTTGTTCCTCTAATTGCAAACTTGAATAACATTGGGTTTGTAGTTCTAATAATAGCACTTAAAGCAAGTGCGATATTGCTGATCCCCCTATAGCAACCATTACCTTTGAGGATCCTATTAGTATTTATCAATCTAATAGATTTGGAGTAATTAAAATTAATAAAATTATGCAAATTGATTAGATTAAAGCGTAATAACTTTGGCTACAAGAAATTAAAGGTATGAATTAAACGAATTATTTCATTGAATTTGGATATGATGTTAATTACAACTAATCCACTTCTCAAATTACTTTAAATATTAATTTGTATGAATCATAATAGAACATGATTTATTAAATCACTTTTACTAATTACTTACCTTCTGATTCAGAGGGACAACAATTGTCAACTCAATTTTTAGAGTATTAACTTGGAGATTTCTATAAAGTGTCTTAATTGCAAATGACTACAGCAGCAACATCAAAGAAAGTCGGTTTATTTTTCTTGGCTACTTTAGGAGGAGCAGCTATTATTGGATTACTGATGTAGAGTCTTGAATTCTATTGGAACACATTGGACATGCTCTAATTATTTTCGTATTTGGCCTACATCAATGTTAAGTTTCCCTATTTACATCTTGAATTTTTGGCGATATTTAAATTTGTTTAAATGGATTTTTTAAATGATTTGATGCCTATTTCTTTTATTTAAATTGGAGAGAACGAGAATTATCACAATTACCCATTATTAGTAGAACGAGATGTTTAAGAGAATCTACTGTTAAATCTGAGTTCGATTTTTGTGACCTATGGTTTACCATTTCTGATTTATTTTGTATGCAGACTGATTACAAAATTAAACCATAAATACCTATTTGATTAAATTTTGATATCTGATTCAAGAAGTTTGGGTCCTTGTTAAATAAAATTGTATGTTTATTAAATTTTATACTATATTAACAAGACAGCAAACATTTACGAAAGAAGTTTTTTCTTTCAAATCCTTTTAAGAGTTCACTTGTCTAGTTTACTAGATTTAAATTTTGCTATATTCACAACAGTATATTGTTGGACTTAACATTAAGAAATTACCCTTAATGATACTTTGTAATATCTATTTGCGAATTTGATAATCTTGGCTTAATTAGTGATAATCATTATATTAAGTGATTCGATGCTGGTTAAAAAGTATCAATTTGAATCCATATAATATAAACTGAAGTATGGATCTTTGTTTGAGGGATTTCAGATTATTGGCATTTAAAATCGGTAAGCTGCTCTTCTTCAACCCTTTAAGAAGATCCTTTTCATGGCTTCGCTGTTGGTGTTTTTCAATAATGCTCTATATTAAATTGGTCTATTGACATCACTTCAAATGATATCTGCCATCATTTCAATTGTACTCCAACCTAGTGAAAACACTTTGGAAACAACAAAAGCAATAATTCAAGATTTTGGAATTTTGATCTCTCTTAATTTTATCCTCATCTACTACGTTCAAGACAACTTCAACTACTTCTCGTAAGATACTATCGAATGGATCTCTTACTTTCAAATCGGAGTGTATATTCTTATGTTGAGCACACAAATCCTTATCGATTGTTACATGTAAATAAAGTTCCTTTTTAAGAAATACCCTAAATTAAAACAATGCTCAGCCAAAAAGGAAGGGACACCTGTAATTTCAGATAACACAAACTATTATCTAAGATAATAATTTATTGTAATTTAACCTATTAAAAGACCCATTAAGTTTAAAGAATGAAATACTAAATGGAATTTATTATATTATTATTTGAATTGATGCTATAAACATGTTAAAGATTACTCTATTTAAACATGCTTTCAATATACTACTTATAATATATAATTATATAATAAGAATATTTTTGCAATTAAATAATTCTACTTTTAACACACTTATTAATCATCTAAATTTTTTCATTTACACCATTTCCTATAAATACTCTAATTATGCATACCTCTGCTGCAGATGGATGAATTCCGACAGTCGAATCAAAATCTGACTTAGTAGCTCCCATTCTAATGGCCACTGCAAAGCCTTGGGTCACTTCAGCAGCCTCAGGTCCAATGTAATGGAATCCAACTATTTAGTCATTGTCTTTTCTGACTATTAATTTGCCCTAACAAATCGATGGGTTTCTAGCACTAATGTTCCAAGTCACTGGCTTAAAAACATTCTCAAAAATCTTGAGATTATCTTTCCCATACATCTCAACAGCCTTCTCTTCTGATAATCCGATGCAGCTGTACTCTAAGGGTGTGAAAACTGTTGTAGCCACATCTCTATAATCCATGATATCTGATGAACCCTGATATAATCTCCTGATTAGCTTCCTTCCTGCCATTATAGCAGTTGGAGTTAATTCTAATTTTCCAGAAACGCAATCTCCCACAGCATAAATATTTGGACAACTAGTTTGGTCATACTTATTGACGATGATCTTTTGATCTTAATCAGTTTAAATTCCAACTCTCTCCAATCCTAGATTTTGAGTGTTGGCTTATCTTGAAATAGCCATCAAAACAGTGTCAAACTTTTCTGATTACTCCTTTCCATTCTTGTCCTTCCAAGTAACAGTTTAACCTTCAATTTTAGAAGGTGTACATCCATAGTGAAACTTAACTCCTCTTTCAACCATATATTGTCCCACAAATTGTGCATATTATTGATCGAATTTCCTAAGTAATTTACTTCTAACCAGCACTTGTGTATCAAATCCCAATCCATTCAGAAACCCTGCACATTCTAAGGCCACATAGGATCCTCCAATAATCAAGGATTTGCCAGGTGGTCTTCTCATCCAAAACAGATCGTCTGATGTAATATAATTCTGAGGATCCAACCCTTCGTATGATTTTGGTCTGGCTCCGACTGAAACGATTATCTTTTCAGCAGTGACTGTACTCTTCTGTCCCTTTTAATCAGTAAGCTAAAATTGTGAATGCACACATACCTCAATGGTGTTAGGATCTACCAACCTTGCCAATGAATTTATATATTGGACTCCGGCGATTTTGAGATTATTTTCGTGCATTCTATTGAGTCTGAGGATCAGATTGGATACGACTTGCACCAACTTATTCCAATCATGAGAGCCATTTTCGTTAATGCCACTCCAACCTACTTTGCCCTAATCTTGTCTATAATCGCCCAATTGAGCAGCAAAATGAAACATTTTTTTGGGGATGCACCCAACATTTACACAAGTTCCTCCGACGCCCCAAGTTTGACCGTGTGGGGAGGGAACAACGTAGTCTGCCAGAGCAACTTTCTTTCCCAATTGGGCTGCTGCTTTGCTACTGGCCAGACCGCCTGAGCCTCCTCCGATTACGAAAAGGTCGTAGGAATAGCGGAATGCAATTTTCATTAATATAAATATTTAATGCAACTAAAGGGGAACAATAATTGATGTATGATTTATTAGATAAACTAAATGTATATATAAATATTTTGATATTAATTTATAAAGATGGAAAAAAGGAATGAAGATGAAGTCGTTTAGATGAGTGGACAAATGCGAGTATTAAAAATGATTAAATGAACTAGGCTGATTCCAAAATGGATGCTTCATCTCCGAATAAGAAGAGTGGGGTTAATGAGGGACCATATGCCTCGAGAACCATCACACATCGGAGGTCTATGAATTATGGAACCCGATCGAGCAAGTCATCTTCAGACAACCATTTTGGGGTCAAAGTAGATAATTGTCACAATTTTAGAAAAGGATCGAGCAGTTTCTAGAAAGTTTCAATTATATGATATTTATGACTGTGGTAACGATTTATGCATTATTTGGTGATGATGTGAGAGTGTTGTCAACAAACAAAGTATGCAATTCGTATGAATTAGGATGGAGATGCTGCTTTTTGGGTGATTACAGCCATCTGCATGGGATTATTTTTGGTTGAAATAGTGTTGGCTTCAATTTGTAAAGTAAAAAGGTTTTTCATTCTATCAAGGACGGATACATTCTTGGATTCTTTTTTTGGTTGGATTTGTTGTCAACCGTTTCAATGCTGTTGGACATCGGATGGGTCAACGAGGCAATGTTTGGAAGTGGTGGCGGTGCAGCCTTGAGTGCAGTTTCATTGGCGAGGTTAACATATTATTAGAGATTGAATATAGAGCAGGGAGAGCCTCAAGAGTGGGAACGAGAGCTGGGAGGATCGTGAGAGTGGTTCGACTTGTTCGGTTGTCTAAATTGTACAAGCACGCGAAACAGTCCTTGGAGAAGGAAGCAGAAAAACTATTGGCCGAGGAAATGAAGGATGAGAACTTGATGGATCAGAACCAATAAGAGTAAGAACAATCAAATCACCAACAACAAAACAATGACAATGTCTCCTCTTAAAAGTCAGTAGATTCATCTGAGAGACATGTTAGAGATCAGGAGGAGTAACCACACATACAGAAGACTCAACAGCAAAGGACATCAATCATGCTATAAAACAGATAGAGCAGTCAATTGAACACTGAAATCGAACACAGGTTTCAGCGAAGACAAACCAGGAAAATAGTATTGTCCGGATAAATTCAATCTTAAACCATCATTCAGAAGAGGAAATCTATCATCCAAAGTGGTGGAAAACCGTTATAAAGGATTTCGGATGAGGGAGAGGTCAAAGAAACCAACATTGGGAAGGAGCTAACAGAATTAACAAACAAAAGAGTCATTACAATTGTGATGTTAATCTTATTCAGTGTGCCCATTCTTAATCTCAGTACTTATCGAGATGCTAATGTTAGTTTCACTACAGGCTTATAAGCAATTTAGTATTGGTCCAAAGACACTGAAATCTATAATTACCTAATCAAGGATTTTATTGTTTATCATGAACCTCTGAGAACTGGATTGGTTTTCTTTAAAATCAATTCAACAATCCTTCATCCCTCAGAACAGGAAAATTAATATGAATATGAGGATTACAGAACAGCCTCTTTATAATATTACACCTCCACTGACTCTGATGATCAAACTGCTGTATCCATTTCCAATACAGTAGCTGACGATGAATTGAATGCCATCTTATCAATTGTAAGAACTATTTTTGTTTCCATTGTGCTCTCAGTTGCTGCTGTGTTGTTCAGTAAGGATGTCTAAGATTTGATTCTGACACCAATCGAGAAGATGTTGGAAACTGTCAAGAAGATCTCAGAGAACCCGTTGGTTGCAGCCCAAGAAGAGGAGAATAAGGCATTTATTTAGATGATTGAAAATGGAGAGATGAAGGCATTGGAAGACAAGGAGGATGAGAGATTGGAAACGGTCATTTTGTAGAAACTGATAGTGAAGATAGGAACTTTGTTAGCACTTGGGTTTGGAGAAGCAGGTTCTTAGATCATTGCCTAAAATATGGGAGCCAATGCATCGATCAATCCGATGTTGCCAGGCAAAAAGGTGATGGCCATATTTGGATTTTGTGACATTAGAAATTTCACTGATGCCACAGAAGTATTATAATAGGATGTAATGGTATTTGTGAATGAGATTGCTGAAATCGTGCATGGAGTAGTGGATTAATTCTCTGGAAGTGCTAACAAAAACATTGGTGATGCTTTCTTATTGGTTTGGAAGTATGCAGAGAATGACTATTATCAAGATGAGGATGGAAAACTGAGTCTCAAACCCTATGAACACGTGGCCCAAATCGCAGACATGGCCATCTTGTCCTTTGTTACCATCATCACCAATGTTACTCTATCCCAAAAATTATAGAAATACAAATAGCATGAAGGATTGAACAATAGAATACCCAATTATTCGGTGAAGATGGGATTTGGATTGCATGTTGGCTGGGCTATAGAAGGAGCCATAGGATCTGAATACAAGATAGATGCTTCATATTTGAGTCCTAATGTTAACATGGCTTCTAGATTGGAGGCAGCCACCAAACAGTTTGGATCCATGATTCTCATCTCTGGATAATTGAGGGATGTTGCCACTAAGGTCACCCAGAAGAATCTAAGACACATAGACAGGGTTACAGTCAAGGGCAGCATTGAACCTATGGACATTTACACTGTGGATTTAAATGTTGACTCCTTGCTTAGAAAGGAACACAAGGCTAAAACTATACTGGATCCACATAAAAAAGACAAGGTTAAGTAAGTTCATCTCTCAGAGTCAGATCAATCGAAATTAAAAAAAAAATAAAAAGTATTAAAAAGAATGAAAAGAGACAAACTCAAATAGGCTGTTCTTAAAAGTCATGTTCTAATATCTGAAACTTGGACCAAAGATCCCAACATTAAAATATCACGAGCTCTTTTTAGAAAAGTAAACATATTCTATTTGATTTAGGAATTCTATTCAAAATGGACCGAGGGATTCCATTGCTATCTGTCTGGAGATTGGGATAAGGCCAAATCTATATTTGAAGAAACCTTGGTATTTTTATATTTCAAATGTTTCTTAGAACTTCTTGCCTAATTACAGAGACGGTCCTTCAAACACCCTGCTAAGAGTTATCAAAGAGGAACCCTATCTTAGGAATAACTGGAAGGGTTACCGTGAACTCACAGAAAAATGATTTTATGATCTTATTCATTCTTATTTAGATTGTTATTTATGAATACATTCTGCATATAAAATCATTGTAAAACAACCCGAAGTATTCGATCTAGTAATTCTCTGCTTGCTCACTTTTATACTGTGAGTGTAAACAAATACATCTATCAATCTTGTTTAATATTCTTATTATTAAATTGTACCTTAAATATTCATCAATATTTCTACACACTAGAGTATCATTAATTGAATAGAGTCTCAAACTCCTATGCCATCAATAAGGTAGGTTCCTCAGAATGATGATCCTTATTGTTTATAGATTCCTCTCAATGATGCTCCATATTGTTCATCATTCTCTTAGTTTATCAAACATCCATAACTGGTTGATATATTCAAAAATTACCAGACACTATTCTGACTTTTCCAATATCAGAAATCAACATAATATTTAGCTTTCTCACTCCTCCCTTCTATCTTGGTGTCTCACAATTCTTCATGTGACAGAATTTCGAATCTGTTGATATTCCCACTACTTCTCATTCAATCTTTCTGAATTCCTATAAGGCATATTAAGATCTATATAAATGCCTCGACTATGCCAATGATCTCTGTTGGACAGACAAAGGTGAAATCAAATGGATAAAAAACAACAATTTATATTTGCCTTAAAATCTTTCAGAAAAACCTAGCACATATGAATTCAATTAACTTTTTGATTACTACCTTGTGATAGGCTTCTCCACTAAAATTTGGAGAGGTTTTCTAATTTTATTGGATTATTCTTTTACATATTAACTCAATCGTAATTAAATTAAATTGTCGTCACCCTGTATATAGGGAGATAATATTTTTGTGCAAACATATAAATAAGATATGAGTTAAAAGCTGAAAATTAGAAAACCCGCTCCAGATTTCACAGCCCAAGCTTACTTGAATGGATCATTCAAGAAGGTGTCACTTTCTCGATTTCAAAGGCAAATACTTGGTCTTATTCTTTTATCCATTGGACTCCACTTTTGTTTGCCCAACTGAGATCATCGCTTTTTCTGACAGAGCTGAAGTACCTATTTCATTCTTAACACATAGGAATTCAGAAAGATTGGATGCGAGGTTGCTGCTGTTTCAGTCGATTCACGTTTCTCTCACATGAAGTATTGCCAAACCCCAAGAAATCAAGGAGGATTGGGCGATATGCAAATTCCTTTGATTGCTGACATCGCAAAGGTAGCCAATTTAGTAAAGAATATTCTAGACTATTTCTGCTGATTATGGAGTTCTGATCGATGATCCTTAAGATGGAGATTTCGGAGTGGCCTTCAGAGGTACATTCATAGTTGACAAGAATGGTGTTCTCAGACATTATTCAGTCAATGATTTGCCAGTCGGAAGAAATGTCGATGAAACATTGAGGTAATGAATGACGTAGATTCAATTTCTAGATTGGTATAAGCCTTTTAATTCACTGACGAACACGGTGAGGTATGCCCAGCCTCATGGAAACCAGGAAAACCAACTATGGTTCCTGATCACGGAAGCCAAAAGCTCTAACAATATTGGACTGAAGAACACGCAAAGAAAGAATGATTGAGTCATTTATTAAATCAGAATTTATAAAATTGTTCTTCTATTAAAATTATTTGTGGTTAATTAAAGGCATTTCAATAGCAATCGAAACAGGTATCAACTTCAATTACGAATTCAATAATGAATTTAATTTATATATTTTATCATTATCATTATCATTATTCAAACATTTACTCCATAGCAATTCTATCCTTCTGATGTCTAGTTACTCTTTCCTAATATCTGGCCCTCTCAGTTTCAGCAGTGGCAGGATTCTCTCTACAATAATCCTATATTGAAATATAATGATATAGGGAGTACAGTCAAGAACCCGACTTCAGCCTCATTGATGGGTAGATGCTCATTGGGTTTAGCCTTCATGCGGAACAATAACTTATTGATTTCATGCATTGGCAGAAGGGCATTGGCAATTCCAAAGCACACACCGATGATAGCCTCTGTTGAGATTGATTACAAGAAGGTATATTCCCACCACAGATTTGTTAACTAGATATAGAATGAGGGATTCATACGCAATAAATTGGCAGGACATATTCTAATTATTCGATCATTTCCCTTGAGAGAACTGAAGAATAATTGTACTTAATTGTTCTTCTTCTGGCAATATTGTATTTTTCAACCCAATAAAAAAAGAGTAAAGCAAAACATGTGATTACTAAACCAATAGGAATGACAGAGGCATAGAATGCGACAACGTACATGTTCTTCAAGACTGTTGCATAGGATGTAGATATATCAAAGACTGGTCTCTCGAATAAACTAAGAATTGTAGTATAATGTTTACTCATGGAGTTGCTTTTATGTTTTGACTGAAGACTTGCCCTTTCGTAATTCAAAAAATTAGTAGAGCCACTTCAAAATGCTGGATGAATCAATCAGTTGAATTAAAGCTGGTAAGATCGCATTAGATAAGAACACATAAGTCTAATTGTAAACCAATCCTCCTGTGCCATATATATTTTTAGTGACCCAAGTGCTGATGGCAAATGTGATAACTGCAGTGTTAACAAATTAGGCAAGACTAGATTTACTAGCTAGACTGATGTTGAATCCTGTTTGAGTTGAGAATCTTTCAAAAAGGGAGACCTTCCTTATCACAACACTGAGGATGTAATTAATAACAATGATTGAAATGGATGCCAATTATGCTATCACTTTAACTTTATAATTAGGATTTAAATCTCCATTCTTCACTGCTTTTGCCTACTCATCAGCACTCTGAGCTTGAACAGCAGATAACCAATAGATCAATCCACCACAGACTCCCAGGATGATGAAGGTAAGGAAATATCCTAGGATTCTTCTCCATATCTTCTAATATGTTTGGATATGCAAATTTTCCCAAAAGACATCTGTTGGTTCTGGAGGTTATTCCACTTGCAATTATGAACCTCTGTAGATTAAGTTGCTCTTTCTGCCTAGAATTCTGGAACATAAGGACAATCTATGATCAATCAACATCCATTAGACATCACTCTCCCATCTGAAGGTAACAAATGCTTATCCCAAGAAATATTATTTAACATCTTTTCCTTCAACAAATCGTTTCTCCAAGGCTTCCAACTTTGACTCAATCTCAGTTATTTGAGCATCTATTTCTTTAATCTATTCATCCTTGTTTATGTCCTCACTGCCTGGCAACAGACCTTGATCATACAATTCAGGTAACAACTAAAATACTGAAGATTATCCATACCTTTTACTTTTGAGCGATCTTGCTTTGCTTTTCCTACTCTAATATTGTTTGTTCTTCGATGTTGTAACACAAGTTAACTGCCACCACTCTTGATAGTTTCTTTTCTGGTCTATTATTTCTTTATAAAAATTATCGGAGTTCTTCCTCATAATCCAGTACTTCACTTGGCTTTTCATAGGTTCTTTCAATGTAGACTTCGAGGTAGTCCTTAAGATCTTGATCGAAGTCATCGTTTTTCAACCCCTCAGTGTGAGTGGGAATGTTCTTCAACAGAATTGTATAATCGGATGCATAGTAAGTGCTGGAATCAATTTCAGTGTCGAAGGCTCTTTGTTCTTTCCTGAAATATTGAAACAAGATGATGAGTGTCAACATGGATATCAAATTGAGCATTTATTGCAAGTCGATAAATTCTTAGTCTTCCCTTTTGTTAGCCAAGGACAACCCTGTCACCCAATTGAATATGCAAACTGCTTTCTCGTCGATCTCAATTCCAATGCTCTTATCCAAAGTTTAACATGATTAACCGAAGGCAATGTTGGTGATAATGTTGTAATCTCCTGAGGTTACAAACATCACAATCAACATTAAAATACATGCCTTTATGTATTCGAAATACAGAGGCATACCTAAATGAATCATATCAATACCTGCTCCCAGAAACGAGTAATCCTAGTTATTGCAATCTATTTTCACTCTGTCTTTTGGCACTTAACGAGCACAGCATTTGCATATCTGTCCCACCAATTTTTCTTCTTCTGAAACATTTGGAGCATTCTAATGCAATCTCAGACTTCTCAATTAACTCTTTGATAACGTCGTTGTTCCCACATTCCACGCTTCCTAAATGATCACTCTATTAGAATACTCTGTGCAGTTCAGCCAAATTAAAATCAGGAGGAATCTAGTCAGAAGGAAAATCCAAACTGCCCTCCTTGCCTCCAAGAACGCCAGCCTACACTTCTTGAGGGAATTCTTGCTTGTTCGATACCACTCTCTGTTCATCTTGAAACTGCTAATATTTTTATGGTCCCTATCTGAACATCAAATCAAATTAATATTACAATAAAATTTATTAACATTTATATATATATCTAATTTCACCATCATTTTTCAATTGCCGTTTGAGAGATGTTCAATCTACACGATCATCCAAGCATTCCCTCATTTCAAATGAATGACGAGGTTCAATTGTTTTATTTAACTTCTTGTAAATTGAGGAATTGACAATAAATAAATAAATTATTTATTAAAATGAATGATACAATTGAATTTGAGAGCTCTCTCAATGAAGTTACTCCCCAAGAAAAAAGATATCGTCACTTATTTGTAGGAATTGAACTTAACATTCTTGACTGACCCTTAATCAAAATAGTTTAAATTTGAACAAGCCAAAAAACAACTGATATTGTGCCTATCGTTCCCTTGACTCCGACACCGATGGCTCAGATATGACACCACCCATGATCATCAAAACATAGTCACTCCTACTGACCAAGTCACCTCTGAGACAAAAGCGATTATCCATTGTATCCGAACATCCATTAATCTGAATTATTTTCTGTCAATTTTTCACATTAATATTATATTAAATCTATTCGTTAATAAAATGAAGAACATAAGTCAAACAGTCGACGTGAAGAACCTTTCAAAAAAAGAAGACAAAGAAAATTTGATTTTCTATTCCTCCATCAAAGACAAGCTCCCAAAACCCAATCCCCTCCTCATTTAATAACTGCAATTCAACAAAGTAAACTCAGTATTACCATTGAAAAAAAAGTAGATATTTTCCACTCAAAAATATTAGCCATCTGGAACCAAACGAACAAGAAGCAACCTACAAAACACCCATTCAATGTTAAGAACAAGAACTCCTCAACCAAAAACCGACCACTCTCCAAGCATTCCTCAAACCCCTCAAACTCATCTACCAAAAATATCAACCTCAACAGAACCCAAACCTCTATGCAACTCTTCTTCACTCACCCAACCACAACCTCGATGCCTCCCACTACTACCAGAGCGACGAAGACATCAAATTTGACTCTCTCTTCGAAAGCGGCAACTTATTCCAAGTCTTCAAAGTACCTCTATCACATCTTAATTAGAAAAGCGATCGCGATTACATCCTACTCCTTCAAAACGACATCAATACTAAAGGCTACACACAATGGTTCTACTTCTCCATCTCAAACAAGAATCCCCTCCTCCACAACATCAGACTCAGCATCGTCAACATCAACAAAGACATGTGCTTCTATCGCCAAGGCATGAAAATCCTCATCAACGAATGCAACTCCTGGAGAAAAGACTCTCTGGGCCTATCCTTTAAAAAAAACCACATCCAAAGAAACGACTCCTCCTTCTACTACTCTCTCTCCTTCAATTACACCTTCATGGAGTAGGGAACTGTGTACTTTGCCTCCAATTATCCCTACACCTACTCCAATCTCCAAACATTCCTATCTACCAAATATCTGGTCTACGACAGGATTATGAAAGTCAAAAGCATTGTCACCAGCCAAGCAGGCAATGAGGTTCAAATCATCACCATAACCAACGACAACAGGGATGAGAAGCAAGGCTTACTCTTCATTGGGAGACAGCATCCAGGAGAAACACCCAGCTCCTTTGTTATTGAAGGCATAGTCAATGCTCTATTGTCAGCTGAGGCTCATGAATTGAGAAACAGGTTTGTTATCAAAATCATCCCCATGCTGAATGTTGACGGGAGTAATCCACGGAAATCAGCGGTGTGGTTTAGGAGGATTTGATCTCAACAGAAAATGGGGATGCAATAGAGATGAAACATTAAATACTGTTGAAAAATTAATAACTAATTTTAATGAGAACTATCCCATCTAATTGATCTTAGACATTCATGGTCACAGCAAAAAGTATTACAAATCTAATAAATTAGACTGGCAGCCTTCTTTTATGGTCACAGTTGCAATGAATTCATTACTGAACTTTGCAATTCAGATAAAAGATTCAGTCTAGAAAACAGTAGGTTCATGAAAAACACTAAATACTTGAATCACACAGCCAGAGTCTTTTTATAAAAACTATTGAATATGAAACAGAATATCTACACGCTTGAGATTTCATATTTTGGCTACAAGGACCAAAATTTAATTGTGGATTTTACACTAAATGATCTAAGATAGATGGGAAGACAAATAATTGTCAATCTCTCTAAAAACATTGAGGCACAAATGTGGGCTGAGAGCATTCTGATAGATGAATAGAACTCCGATGTGAGCTTCTCAGATTCTTCGATATCAGAAGATGAAATCAGCTATGAAGAAATTAAGTAGATATCATCAGAACCCCTTAAAGAAAAAAGTACAAATCTGGAAAAGTAGTATACTCGATCCAGTTCAATTAAATAAAGACAACTCAAGTCATCTCAATCCAGAAATAGAGCCAAATCATAATCCATCCAAAATTAAATGAAATACTAATAGTTTTCTTACAATTTTATCGACAATTCTTTTAATAATTGCAATGTGAAAAATGATAATTCTGATCATTAAAACTTGTTCATTCCTCAACAAAAACCTAAACAATCCGAGTATACCATATAACCATTAGTTGTAATGCCTTCGCATAGTTTAAAGCACTAGTTCTTATGGCAGAATCGAATAAAGTAATAAAATTATAAGGAGATTAAATTATAAAATCTCAAAGAACAAAGAGACTTGAAGATATATCAGGAGTTCAAAGATTATGTCAATAATAAACAATACTCCAACAAGCCTTTGCTCCCTAAATATTCATTTAATGACACAGACTTATTTAAAAAGTCACAAGCCAAAAAATAATATCTAATTATTAATTTATGATATATATAGACTATATTTTTGTAATCACACTTAATATTTTATTTGTTCGTTACAGTTTATGTTATAAACTAAAATGTTGATATCAATAGGATGTGGAGAGCACGTCAAAGTGTTCGAAACATAAGAAGTGGGTAATAGGCTCTATAACTAAATTATTGAGAATTAGGCCAACCATATAAAAATCTAATTGACAATATAAAGATTAACGTCAATATTTGAAGTTTAGTTTATTTTCATGATAGTAAATTGGAATTGTAAAAATAAATCGAAATTTATATGAGTTATATTAATGGGTAATAAATAGTAGAATCATAATTTTTCCTTAAGTTCCTATATATAATTGGTCAGAGATCTCTAGAAAATCTACCTTTTTTCTATGAAATTATAGGAAATAATAATTACCTTTTAAATTGGTTTCGGCCTCTTGTAACTCTTTTGTCTTTCTTATTTGGTCAATCATAAAATTCTATAATATTTGTTCCATATCTTAAGGAGAACCTTGTGAATTATTAATAAAATGTTGAAATTCAATTTTAAATTGATCAGAATTAATTAGATCCGATAGTTGTTCTTCGCCTATTAATTCCTGTATGTTTGGTATTTTGTTGCAAATAGACATAATTTTATTCTTGTTCTTCAGAACCTTGTTTAGCTTGGCATTGAGATTCTTTGGCTAATTTTAATTTACAGGGTGACTTAAGATCTAAGAGATTACTCTCTTATGTCTAACTTCAACTTCTGGTTAGGTGTTTCTTTTAATTTTATCCAAAGAAGGATTAATAGTTCTTCTGAATAATAACTTATTTTTAAGAAGAGGAGTTGCCTTTTCACTGTTCTCCTGATCATTGCTTGCGTTGTCCTAGTTCAACGCGGGTAATTTAGAGTTAAGGTATTGAGCGAGGGGTCTTCTTGGGGTGTATGGCTTGATTTACTGAATTTTCATTAGGTTTTCTTTATCAAACATCTCCAAGACCTCAGTAACTTATTGGTTTGGGGGATTGGAATATTAGGTTGGGTGTCTTTCTTTGAGAGGCTGGGTGAAGTTGAATTGAGTCATGGTTTAAATATGCTGAGATTGTAATTGTTTGGCGATCTTCTCGATGTCCTTGTAGATGGATTAGGAACTGTTGGAATGGCCGATGATGGGATTCTGAATAGGTTAAACGACCGATTGCCTTTGTTTTCTATAGTAGAATCTATGATGGGGGGATGGTTTGGTTTTGGCAAAGATACCTTCTTTTTACATGATTTCATATTGAGTGGGCACTAGGACAGGGTTGTTATTTTCTTTGTTTTGAGATTTATTGGCAGACAATTCCATTAACAGATAAATGTATTAATAATTATCCGTTGACAAATATAAAATAGTTATAAATATATAATGGTAGGATGGCAATCTGGGAGTGGTGATAAGAATTTGCGAAATCTTCAAATAAATCTGATTAATTAGAGAATTTGATTATGATCCTTTTTTGTGGAATTTAAAAAAAAGTTCTTCTTAATAGGAATAATAAATTAATGAAATAATATATACTTTGGCTTTCAATATTGTTTTATAGTGGAAGTTCTGAGAGTGTTTCTGATTTCTAGGGGAAGGCATTCAAGTTTACAAACAAGCAGAGCTGTAAGGAGACGAGAATTATTATTTATAGAAATTTACAAAGTGAATGTGGGATTGCCAGAAGATCAAATGGATTTAGGTTTGATTTCCTCTTATGGAGATTTTAATGGAGACAAAGCGTAAGTTTACTTGATAAATTTAGAGTAGATGTGGTAATTGTTGATTAGAAGAACAATAAAATAATAATCTTGTATTGGGATAATACAATAAATGAATTTGAATAAATAAATATTTGTTAAAGCTGTTACCCAGTCAAAGACATCCTAATCCAAGGGACAATTCCATTGGATTATGATTACGACGGCTACTTGGATATCCTGGTGGTTTTAGGATATGAAGAAGGATTTATGATTAACATCTTGAGACAGAATGGGGTATAGAATGGCTATCCAAACTTCGATAAAACGCAAGAGAAGTATTCATCGTCATCCTATCCCTTTGTTGGAGACTTCCTTGGCGATCACAAGTAAAATGTAATTAAACTTAAATAGAACATCAATTATGATCACTACTGAGACTCAAAGATTGGTTGTCTAATATGGTTTACAATAGCCAATAGATTTCCTGGACCTTGTAGATTCGAGTTGTTCAATAAAAGATTTCGAAAAAACTGTGAGTGCATAACTATTAAATCCGCACTTCAGTTCCTTTGTGGATGTCAGTTCTGATTGTAGGGCAGACTTAATTATAACATCTGATTTGGGCATAGAGTATTGGTACACCAAATATGTCCCCAATGTTGTTGCTGAAACTACAGATCAATTATTAAACAAACAACCGAGATTCTGTCTTCAAATAATAGACTCTTTTCAGAGTGGAGCGGAATTAAAGACACTGGATTTTGTGGATATTAATTTCGATGGGTCCATTGACATGATCTATGTTTTCGAAAGGAATGACGTCTAGAACTTGGTGATTAACTACAATCTATATGAAAATCCGAGCAACCCTCCCAACCTGTGTTAAGCGAATACAAAGGACTCAGATAAATAAATGGCTTACCCCTATTCTGAATTCAGTCTACTGGGCACAACAACGAAATTGGTTACTCCATTAAGCAATGGAGATCAGGCAGTCAAACTCTATGATTACAAAAAACTAGACTTACAATTGGCTCTGGCTCCTTTCATAAGATTTGGTGATTATTTAGCCAGTGGTTATCCAGGAGCATTCATGATCATTTACAACGAAACCACCTTCAAACCCAATATATACTATTTCAAGAATGTTCCCATTAGCAGTGGTTGCGAACTAGAATCAAGGATGTGTAGGTAATTGATTGTGGATAATGATCCTGGAGATCACTTCTATCTGATCACGGAGATGGAGGGAATTAACGTAGCATTTTTCGATTTCGGAGAAAATGGAAGACTGGATTTCTTAGTTAATAGTATCTCTATGGACGAGGATCAAAAGCCAAGATACAACCTAGCAGCATTTTATAACTATATCTCTTTGGATGCCTTCTTCTTGAAAGCCTTAGGCATTAATGGACAATGTGCCGCAGATGAGGAGAGCAAGATTTCATGTCAAGGGTCTCTGTATTATGGGGCTACTTACCAATTCAGAGTGACTGACATAAGTGGAACCTATAAACCAGCTGCAGGAGTGCAATTGTATTAGTCTGCCTATTCTCCTTTGCAATTGCCCTATTCTTACATGGGTTTGGGGAGAACAAACAACTACATCGAGAACTTTTACTTGGGTGTTCCCTTATTGAATGGACAGATTAGACAGTGGACTCCCATAATTCCTAACTCTTAATTGATCGTATCGCCCTATAGAGATGACACGAAATAGTAATTAGTTCTCATTAATTCTTAGATGGACCTTGTCGATATTTATAGAACCCACTGAGGCTATATTGGTGGTTGTCATAGTAACCATCATAATTCTATTTGTGCTTGGCGGCATCATCATTTGGAAACACATAAAGGAGAAGGAAGATGATAAAAAGAATCAAGAATAGTTTTTTTAAATGTTTAGATGAATTATTTAATAAACATAATTATATACACTGATTGTTATGAATCTATTAACTATAACATTTTAAAGTTAATTATCATCATATGGCTTCTTCTTAATCCGCCTATTGAATCTTATTGTCAGCAACTTCATTGGGCAGATTGTATGATTCCCTCTTGGACGGTATGTAAAACTGGATGATGATACATATGTAAATGTTGATTAAACTCCATTCATTGACAGTGCTTAGGACTGTAACCTGTTTGGGTCTCAGTATTCTTATATATTAGTTGTAGAGTAAGACTATGAAGCATAGTGTGGAAAGTATGTGCAGGAGTTTGTACTTCCTGATTTACACTTTGGCAAATTTGGATTAATCGTGCTCAGGGAAAATCTCATATTGAATCTCCTAAATTTTGACTGTTTCGTTATTCATATTCGGCTGAGTGTAATTAAATTGTTTGTAAAGCAAGTAAAAAAAACATAGTGAGTATATGGTTAAGACTGACAATATGTATCTATCATAGATTTCGTAAAATAGAATATCTTTCTTGATGTCAAATTAGGAGTTGTTCTATTTCTGATAGAAGAGATACAGATTCATGAATGCTTACGGCATAGTGTACAAGAGAACAATAACAATCTAAAATGCATGTTTAACTTACAGCAACTTCCTCTTATTAATGATATCTTCCATTGTCATATTTTGAAATTTCTAAAACTCAAAAATGATCAACCAGAAATAAAACAAACTAGTGTGTACAAACAATTAGATCATATTTGTATAGCCTTGCACAAAATACAAATGAGAATATCTAAAGAGTTAGACTGGCATGTTATAAAATACCATCAAAACCAACAAAAAGGGTATCCATTTCAATATATCAGGCCATTATATTTTTTGGTAGCCATCAATGTTGATGTACAAATAACACATTGCATAAATGATGATCACAGTGAAAAGGAACTAATTAAAGAATGTGAATAGTGGTTACTTAGCATGAGAGCAGTATACGATAGAATTGCGTACTCTCAAATGTTGATTGCAAATATTACAATTTCAAGGTTGAGTACTCTGGTGGTTTAATGATGGATATATTGGACAGGAAAAGAGTGTTCTAATTTGTATTTATTTCCCTTAAGTCTCCAATGCAATTGAAATGATCGAACCATTTCAAACAATTCAACTTCGTCTCTATATATTCATCTATCATTGTTGTTTCGTATTTCTAGTAATTCTTCATTTCACTTTACTATTAGGATATAATCTATACGTGGAATTGTCAAGTGATTAATTGCTATACAAGGTTAATTGAACACCTATCCTACTGATTTAGAATTCAGATGAAAGCTTGCTTTTATTCAATTTGTATAAATCTTCCTAATGGATATTTGTAGTTCTTACATTCGAGATTGAAACGTTGATTTCCAATTTAACATCCTTCATCTCAGGCTGAAACATCCCAATCGAAGAACAACTCAACTTAGTCGAATTCTCGTAATCGCTTTCTTGGCATTCTTGATGATAAAATGGCTTAGAAATGAACTTCTTCCTATCCCCAATTCCAAAAAGCTACAGACATAAGAAAAATGCAATCCAGCACGAAATCCGAACACAAATCTAGCTGTGAGTGAATGCCTCTACTTTTAAAGGCACTTATTAATAAATTGAAATCATATATATTTATCATTAATTATCTAATTCCGCATTTTGCATTGAATATTCAAAACCACCTTCAAACTAAGTTGTGATTGCAGATAATAATAACCAATTAGGAACTATTTCAGTTCTTACTTCTAGTCTAAATAACCAAGTATACTAATGAAAAACAGTAGATTTGCTTAAATTAAATTGAATATAATCATGAATATTGTAAAACCATCGGAGAAAAATCATCACCAATGGCAACTAACTTAGTTTTATTGTCATTTATTTTCATTTATCTCACACAACCCTTATTCATTGCTCCAAATCCATATAGACATTGACCTGAATCATTATCATAAAACAAGATATTGCCATCTCCACATCCTGCAATTGTCATATTGTATATAGTCTCTATAGAAAATACTGCATCTTTGGCCTTCATCATAGATACTGGCTTGAAACCAGCCACGATGTCAGTTATTTTACAGGTTGCATCAGCACTACCTGTGATTACTAAGGAATCAATTCAAAATCTTACTAAAATTCTATAGATTCACTGCCAGACCATTGATTGATCCCTTATGAATCTAACTCTAATTTACCAATTTATTAGTCCTCATATCATGAATAACCAATGTCCCATCATTAATACCAGCCGTAATAACAAGATTATTATTTCCTCCATCAGAATACAATAGACATTTAGAAACAGCCCCTTGATGAGCATGTTTGGACATCACTGGCTCTCCTTCATTTATGTCCCAAAACACAACAGTACCCTATTTATCGCCACTCACACACAATGAGTTTTTCCAATCAAAATCCAACACTGCACTTTTATGTGGTCCAAACAATTTCCTACTCTCTTACATTGAACTCAATTGCCAAATCACCAATGTTTAATCATATGAACTTGAAATACACACTGACTATTCATCCACCATCAATTTAGTAATCGATCCTTGATGTCCAACCAAATCATTACATCTTACTCCCTTTGCATCCCATAAACAGATCTTGCTGTCCATCCCAGCTGATACTATTTACCCATTTTACAAATGCTAAACTGAACTAACCCATTCTGAGTGACCATATCTCTTTGCATACAATTCTTTCTCGTATTTCATGGATGACAAATTGTAACATCTCAAACCATGATCAGCTGATCCAGTAACCAAATGATCCTTCATTATGTCCATACAGAAGATCCCTCTGCCATCTATCGAATTAATCATTTAATACGTCCAGGCTCTAAGGGCACACTATTTGTTGGACCCTTCCTCCATTAAGACAACAATTAATGTGATAACATTTCTACCTATATATATATATTAATATTAATTCATAAATTTTAAGGAATCATAAAAGCACAAACATCTCTTTGCTCTTCACTACAAAAATTGAAATGACTGCATGCTTCAAATGTTGCAACCACATCCACCTTGATACCGAACTTTTTGAATTTCTCAAAATATGAATCTGGCAAATCTTGCTTCTCTCTTCCTGTCCCAATCAATACATAACCTATATATAAATTGAGCACTTCTTACTTGGTCTTGGCTTTATCACCTCCAAAATATCAAAACTGTGAGCCCTGATATCAGCGGCAGTTTAGACATCCCATAAAAATATTTATTGAGGAAATATTAATATGCTCCCTGGATACCAAACATCATTCACTGAAAAGTATCCATTGCCCAATCCAAACACTTGCTATAAAAAGGGTTTGTTATGCAGAGTTGGATCAATGAAATCAAATATGTATTCTGTTTTCCTTTTATTTTGTTTTGTATCATAAAATTCTCTGGGTTTGCTTATTGATGGATCCTTAAAAGGCAACTCAGTCTTCCTCTCCATTATTCGTTGCTTTATCTACTCCATATTCACAGTCACATTTTTCTTATCAATGTTTTAATTTTAACAAAATAAAAATTTCGGAAGCCTTCTTAATTATAACATAATTTTATATAAAATTAATTATTATCAAGAAATATACATTAGGTTCGACAATTATCATCAATAAATTAATTGTCAGATAGTCAAAATGAAAATTTTGATCTCTCCTTGATGAAAATAAAAAAACCATCCATTAATTTTTTAATGATACTTATTAGACCATTATTAACAATACACATCTATATTTTGAATTAATATAAATAATACCTTACTCTCTATTTTACCATAAAATAAATTAATAGTTTCATGTATAAATCTGTCACTCTATTAAAATACCTTGTTGCTAATGCTAGTTTAGGTTTTGTGTATTTTGGATACTCAGTTGGTTATTTGAATCCTGCATTATAAACAGTAGACGTAGTTTTTGGAATCACAGATAATGTTGATTATTTTAATGGTCTATTGTCAGGTATAAAATACTCCTATTTAGCAATTATGACTATTGGAGCTGCAATTGGTGTATTGACCATGCCAAATATGTTGCAATATTTCAGTAGAAGGCAATCATTAATTATTTTGGACTTCTTTGGAATTTTGGGATATGGAGTTTAATTAATTGGAGAATGGAAGTTTTTGGTAATTGGAAGATTTGTAGCAGGCGTAGTACTTGGACTTAATTCGGCGTTAGTAAATAAAATTAATCTAATTTCATCAAGGTTCCCGTTTATGTAAACGAGTTCAGTCCTCCAGAACTCTAAGGTGTATTAGGTTCTATTATGACAATGTCTGGTAGCTTTGGTTTATTTCTCTCTTTCACTATAGGATTATGGTATATTGTAAAAATTATTTTTGTTTAGGTATAAATAAAGCCCAACCATAGATGATCAGTATTGGAGAGTCGGATTTTCTTTTCCTTTACTGGTTTGTGCCTTTCGTAGTTACAATCTGATTAGCAACTTTAAATTAGATTCGCCTAATTATTATATCAGTATAAATGATGAGCAAAACGCAATTGAATCTATAAAGGTGATATATTAAGAAGAGTACGTTTAAGATATATTGAAATAAACAAAACAAAATCAAAAGTATATGATGTATTGATGTTTAGGCAAAATACGAGTTCAACAGAATCGTATAAGGATTTATTTTATGGAAGATTATTTAGGAATTTAGTTAGAATATCTGTATTAGCTTGCATAGGATAGTTGTTGGGCATTAATGCTGTGATATTTTACTCAACCTAAATCTTTAATCAGATTACAAATAATGATGTTTAGAAATCAAATATTTTAAACCTTTTCATTCCTTTATTGGGCATTCTTGGAGCTTATTTAATGGGTTTTATATTAAATAAAATAACGAGAAAAAACTTCTTTTTACTGGGAGCTGTATCGTGCGTATTAATTGAATTCCCACTTGGATATATGACATCATTAGAAGAATAGCCAGCTATCCTTGTCGTGATCTTCATATTTCTCTTTATACTGCTATTTTCTACAACAATAGGACCAGCATTTTGGGTAAATTGAATTTAATATCATAGGTGGTAATGCCAGAAATGGTTTCTCCAAAAGGAGTTTGTCTTGCGACTAGTGTAAATTGGTTGGGCACAGCTGTTGTCGGTCAATTTTTCCCAATGCTAGTCTCTTCTTTCAGCATATCCGTTTGCTTTTACATCTTTTCATTTGCAGGAATCTTAGGGATATTTTACATATAATATGATTTCAAAACAGACCCAAAAAATATAGACACTTAATAAAACACAGAACTGGTAATTTTAAATTAATGATTTCTGATTGTATTATATTTTAGATTGTGCAACATCCTCATAAATTTAATTCTGTTTATATTCTTATAGTTATGTAAAAATTAATTCAATACATTATTAATAGTAGAAAAATCAATTTTCAGTTTTTAAAAACAAATTTTTTAATGACCTGATTAAATATAATGGTTTAGATATTAACATTAATTAAAAGTAATAAAATATTTAGAGCATTTAATCAATTTGATATTTAGAGATTCTAATAAATCTATTTACATGAAATCCTTCATCTTTTATTCATTCTCCATCAAGAATTAAATGATTAAACAATATTATTATCTATCGACTTAAATTGCAAAATCACTCTAGTTTCGTGGTAAATAAGTAAATTTGCTGATTAGATAAGAGGTCAAAGCAATAAACGTTGAACTAGTTAAAAAGTTTAAGAACCCATAAATTTTCTAAAATTTATTCGAAATATTTAGAAAATCATTTCCACCAGATTTGCGATAATAATTCGAACAAATTGATCCGACCATTCACATAAAACGAGTGAGAAAATGTTGTTCAAATGAGGTGAACATCAAAAATTTGATATTTAAATAATCTATATAATTTTATTGAATATTTTATTGTTCAGTCATATAAATGGATTTCGTTACCACACTTCATCTTGATCTATACCGAAATATGGTACTGGATGAGTGAATATCGAGATGGATTTATCTGGTCAGTAAATTATCAATAGAAAACAAATTATAAGAGTTATTCAGGCTTTAACCAAACACTAAGCTTGAGGGGTAATATATTGATAATACTTAATTAAGAAAATCAATAATTGTAAAAAATATAATGATTTTGAGTAAAGCTCATTTCTAATATAAAAAATTCTTAATATCCTAATGCTGAGCCTGTAATATTTTTTTGGCTTCCTCAATAGCTGAAACCTTATTGATCCTATCTCTTAAATTCCAGTCCAATGTTTCAAAAATATTCGTAAAATTAGCTTTTAAATTTTCATTTAATCTTTGTTCATTAGGTTGAGAGCACTAAAAGGGAGCCTAGTGGCCTTAGGTCTTATGCATCTAGTCTATTTACTTCTTTATTTACGTAGATGCCAATCTTAAACTGTTCTCAACATTTTACTCCTTAAAATCAACATCATTCAGAAAACTCTCTGATCTTATATCTTTAATGTTATATTAATTTAAAGGTAAGTGACCTCCTTGCATTATTTCGATATGCAAGAAGTCAGATCCCAAATTCAGTTCTATTTTTCCAGTTTATTTACAAATTGAAACAAAAAAAACTGAGCGTTTAAGGAAAAACTTTCTATTTCGTTTCTCTTTCTTGCTAAATGATGATCGAGAAGATTCAATGTTCCTCATTTTGGAATGACTATCTCTAAATTCCATCTCAAATTTTAGAGGGACTTTAGAAATTTAATCAATTTCAAGATTTGAACAATCCATAAAATATAGTTAATTAATTAATAGTATTTATGAGAGAAGATTAACTGCATAAATTTAGTAATTATACGTGAATTTGATTAATACTTAACTTATAAGTATTAATGATCGGACTTACTATTATAGTAATCTTTCATCGACATGTTATAAAATAATATTTATGTAATTAATATAACTTTTTAAAAAATCATTATAAAATAATAGTAACATAGTATAATTGATATCTTTATTGACTTTTGAATAATCAGTTAACTCACCAAGTTATTGGCCTTTTAATTGTAAAAAATAGATAAAACATTAAATTTAAATTTTATCCCAAGATAAATATCCTTGAAATAAAAAGAGAGATATTCAGATAATCGAGTATATCTTGTAGCATTTTAGTTCTCCTACAGTATGAAGCACATTGATCGTTAGTAAGTCTTATAATAATTATTATTATAAATCCTGTACTATTCAACCAGTAATATAATAATATATATAAATGCATAAATTATTTCCAAATAAGTTCTAATTCATTGACTTTATTCTTAATACTAAGAATAAATTTCATCTAATATCAATTAGGTAATAATAAATCTGAGTTCGAATCAAATAACTAATAAAAATGTTGTTGTATGCAATAATTATAAAAGTTTCATCTGATCGATAATAATAATAATATGTAATACTCAATCATGATACCATCAACCTGTGCTGGATTTAGATGAAATTTTGTAGTTCTATTAAGTTGGTAAAGGTTGGATAATGTTTCTAATCAGATTTCAATAAAGAAATATTTTTTTCTTTTATTTTAAGTGACTTAAATATTGATTTCGAAGCCATGATCAGTCCTTTCTGAATAGATATCTATTAGTTCTCCTGTTGCCTCTATTTTTTAAATTAATTTTATTTATATAGTAAAATCTCCCCAGAATTGTAGTCGACTAAAACTGATGTGTTGAGAATATAAACTTTCGGTTTCCTTCTATGCTTTGACTACTGAGGAGCCACAGTACCTAATTTTTTATATAAGTTTATAATATATTTGGCCGATGAGTAATTGATTGAGTGGAGTTTAGAAGCCTTGTATATAAATTACTATCTTACTTGATGAATAGATAAGTGATCAGTCATTACACTTTCAATGAGTTATTGTTTTAGTGAGAGACTTATCTTCTTAACCTTTTTTGGCTTCATCTTCACTCTCAAATCTTTAAATTTTTATTCAAGCATTGTTCTTTATCAAAATATTTATTAATTAAAATCCTTGTAAAATAAGACTTTATAATCTCAAAGTTATCAAAATGAAATTAGATTTATATGATAGTATCCTAGTATTAATGTTAATCTATATTCATGAACAATAATATTTTTTGGAATTTAATTACACTTTTTCATAATATATCTTGATACCAAAGAGAGAATCTTCAAGAAGAAGATTAGCTAAACAACATTTGTATTTAAATTTATATTTTTAATTGATTTCGTAATTATAATAAATGAAGATCTATTATTTAACCTTTGTATTGTTTACGAAAGTATTTAATTAATAATACAAAAATGAAATAAATAATTTTTTCATTTTTTTCTTCGTCAGAATGTGTTATCAAACTAAAAATCTACTGAGCATTTCTTCATCTCAATCTAGTTTTATGATGAAATTTATGCCGAAAAATTTTGTCCCAACCACTTATAAATCAACTCTGTTTTTTATGCTCTTCTAATAATTATGAAAAGTCACCATAACTAGTCAATTAATCTAATATAGTCTAATGACCACTTCTTTATGAAACATCTCTTATCATATTTTCTTTATTATCTATCTAGAGGATTTTAAAATCCAACCAATCAAATTCCTTCATTTTTAAAATTCTTCAAATATAGATTGCAGGGGAAATTCTTCTCAAAAGTTTCAAAGCGACCTTAAATATCTCATAAACTATACCTAAAAAGTCAACACATATCAGAAGTTACCAAAATGATCAAATTTTATTTCCTATTGATATCTGATACCTTGGCATTTCTCAATTTTTTCGATGAATTTGTTATCAAAGTGCATTTATATTTAACTTGATATTTAATTAACCATTAGGAACTATTTCTTATTAAGAAGTTTTTAATCATGGATAATTTCAATATAAATTGATCATTTTCTAAAATTTCGATTCTCATGCATAAATAGCATTTACGCTAGTAGAATCTATATCTACCTTCTAAGTTATACTATAGAAGTTGAAAAAGTATTTTATATCATTCCAATATTCTAAATACTTTAATTCATCAGCAAATAAGTATCTATTCTCGTTAGTCGAGTCTAAATATGTTTTAAAGGGTGGTATTTAGTTTAATGTGCATACTAGTTCCATTCTTATTTGCGAATTCATCAAATCAAACTGAATCAGTATACAATCCAATTTATATTTAATATGCTATGTCACTTGGATGGCTAAATGTATTTGACTACTCAAACGATGACTGTCAGTCTTTATTCACAAAATCCATTGTATATTTATGATCTGTATTTAACTATTTGTTATGCCAAATTTTATGATAAATTTTAAACTTTATAGAAACAATTAAAATGAAATAATAAATACATATTTATAAGGTTTCATTTCTTAAATTATTGCAGAAGATCTATCAGAAAAATTTGTGATGAAAATGCTGAAAAGTATTCTTAATGGAAATGAGACTGCAAATAATATAGTAATAATATACATACAAAAGTTATGTACTGATTAAGCCAAAAAGCAATTTATTTACAGTATTAAAACATGCAGTAGTGTATCATAATCGATCTTAATAAGTTTAAATAATAACTAAATAATAATTAAGATAAAACGTTATCAATTTTTAAATTTTTGGGAGACAATCCAGAGAATGAATCATTTATATATGACATTCAATCTCAAATTGGCATTGATTTTTCATAAAAATTATCATTATATTTGAATCAGTTAAAATGCAAAGTATATTATGATACTATTTAGAAAAGTGACCCTGACTAAAAATTTCAAGTGAAAACCATGATACATTAAAGCTGCTCTTATTAAGCCTAAAAAATTTCTGTATCTAAATATATATGGGTTCTAAAAAGAATAATCTCCAATCAACATTTTAACAAACTATTTTTACTGATAAAGATATTTAAAATAAAAGCTGATATTAATTTAAGAATTAAAAAATAAATAACTAAAATTTCGAGTAATGATAATTCTAATAGACAAAAAATCATTTTTTTCCAGTTTTTTTTTGGTTTGCCTATGCTTTTTTTGGATCTTATGCTTATTGTTTTTCTAAATTCTCAAAAAATTTATCAGGATCTTAATAATTAGGATTCGAAGGCTTTAAGGTAGTTTCAATCCATGTATCTAAGTCCTATAATAAAACGCAATGTTTACATCAATATCTTATTTCTTTTCTGCATCCTAATCCATTTTTACTTTATCACTCCAAAGTGTTCCTTTCTTAATCCTAGATTAAATTAGCTAAATTTTTTTTTCCATTTCTTTTTCATGCAATTAGTTGATATTTACTTTTCTTTATACGTTGCTTGATCCTGTAATCAATCCTCCTTCTTTAAAAAAATCAGATGCATATTCTGGATTTCTATATATTTTATCTCCTAAGGCTGCTACTGGCAAACTAATTTATATACAAAAATTACCCATTTCTCATTTAATAAAGGTAATCTAACCTTTACTTTTTTCCCATCATTTCTTCAATCTCATGTCTTTTTTCGCAATGAATCGGTGGAAATGTTTTAATGCCATATGGAACATCTTCAAGATGTCCTGACTATCCTTCTTTGAGATGCAGCCTTTATGCTCGAGGTTTCTTCTCTTATGGACGATGATCAATAAATTATTTTCCTAATTTTATAACTGCTGTTGCATACCAGGAGGAAATTCTTACGATTTGCCATCACCTGGTCTTGGTATACTTGTTTTGAGATGAGGTACCCAAGTGTAAGGATCTCCATATTTTGGATCATAATGTACTCTTCCCAGAGGTTGTTGAATTTCTCCTCCTGCAAAATCAGTAATACAATCTTAAGGTTTTATGTGTATTTTCTATAATATTGATTCAGGTTTACTTCTGAATAATTAAATTTACAGGATTACAACCCATCCCATGCTTACTATGATTGCATTTGTTCAGCTATTATTTTCAAGTTTTATAAAATTAATATAAAAAACTTATATTTATATTATCCTGTTCAGACCATCAGGATTGATATAGTTATGTTATCAAAGAATTACAGATCATAATTTAATCTTATTTGGTTATTATTTTATCGAAATAATTTATATCTGTCATATTTAAATACAATTTACTTTATTTTGGAAAGATATTTATATCTACTAAGCTTTACAATCCATTGAAATGGTTACATGTTTAAATATTCATATAAATAAATAGGCAGTAAGAACCTTATTAAAACAAACTTTATTCATGATTTTTTGTTAGGTAAATATTATGATAAACTTAAGTTCGCAAAGTTTAGAAAATGTATTATTGAGATATATTATTTTTCGGTTGTATTTAATATTAGTATGAAATATAATCGTGTGCTTTTAAATACAATATTAATTATTAATTATTTTATTATGAATAGAGCAAAATCAATAAATTAAAACATATCAGACAAAGAAAAAGATCCATATGAATAATTTGAATATTAATTATACGCTTAACTTAAACATAAGGGTTGGTGCCAATCGATGGCCTTTACAAAAGGAAACTCCCTATTGTTTACTTAGTTTAAAACTTTAATTAAAGTATTATGTATTCATGAAGGGTAAATGAATCAAATTCAAATCTTATCAAGTCATAAAACATTTCTTACAACAATTACTGTTTTGTAGAAATTCAATTCTCTTATTTCTACAAGTTAAGAAGGATAAATTCATGTTTGGTCAATGGTTCCTATTGCAAAACCAATAATTATCAAGAAATTTGATGCCCCTTCATCCTTAGTGAGTTGTTTACTTTATAATGAAAGTTATGATATTATTATAACTGGAAGTAATAATATTATAAACTTTTGGAAGAATCCAATGAAATGGTTACTCATTTAATCAATAAATGATCATTCAGGTGCTGTCTGGGCATTAAGTTTGAATTAAAATGAAAATAAACTAATATCTTGCGGTTGGGATAAGACGATATTAATTACAGCAAGATAAAATAATGAAAGTTGGGTTGTAGTATAAAAAATTGTTGTTAAGGATTATGGATATAGACTCTGTTTTCTCGATGATGATTATTTTTTATATTAACCTTAATTTACAAGATCAACGGTACTCTTTTCAATATCAGATAATGGTTGCAAAGTAAAACAAGTTAAAGAAATCTCATTAGTGTAAAACCAAAAAGATTGTGATGCATTTTTTCCAATGTAATTTGAAAAATAAAAAAAAATCATTTTGAATAAATTTGGCAATACAATAATGGTGTTAAAAGTCATAGGAAAAGAATAAATACAAATTGTATAATTTATTAACTTTAATTCTCATCATGTTTTTGGGAGGATGAGCGATGATGGGGAATTTCTTGTTATTTGGGATGAAAGTTCAAATAAATTATAGATAAGAAAACTTTGTAATCTTTGATTAAATAAAATCCTCTCATATATATCATATTTATAATTATTAAACAAATTAATAAATTATCAATTAATTTTTGGAACTATTTCCAGTTATTATTTTACTAAAAGTCACATTTTGTCATAATTACTTAGAACTCTAACTTTTATAGAGAATTAAATATCCAATTTATAGAGATTATGCTTATTACGTATCAAGGAATTTGAAATACTTAATGGTTTTGAATTGAAGGCTAGAATATTTATAAGAATTAGATTAATATTAGTGCTTTAGAGAAGCTTTTAATTTACTAATTTTTTGATTTAAGGTATTCAACTTGTTTAAAGAAAAGTAGTCATCCACTTAATTTTGATACTCAAAAGCTTTTAATTGAAAATATGAAATAATATGCATAAAACACACAATATTTATATTAAAGTTTCCATTTAATTATTTAGAGTCTTTAGTTTAAATTTAAAGCTAATCTCTTACCAAATTAAAAATAATAAAATTAACCTTTTGAAATTTGCTTTATAAATATCTATTTTGAGGGATTTTATTGAGATTTATGAAGTACCATATTTTTTATAATAGGATTCAAACGATGAAGATTGTAAACCATTTTAATTTCTATAGAGTGAAAATTAGAATTAGTAATTAATCATTAATATAATAATTAATTTTTACAGAATAATATGTTCAATAAAGTAATAAATTATTTAATAGAATTTTTTCAATTTTAACTTTTGGTCTATTAAATCAAACCAAATAATGTCGTTTCTTAAGAATCAGAGTAAATACATCTTTTGATTGAATAGCAGAGTTAAGTGATAAGATTTATTGGATCTCTATCAAACAATTTTCATATTAGTTAACAAGAAATACATTCATAAGACCATTCTAAGAATTTTATTGATTTAATATTTAAATTTCGTAATTATATTTATCATAATAATATTAGAATGACGATTATAATTCAAAAAATTTGATTTATTATTTACAATGCATTACTTAAAGAATTCAAATCATTGTTAAAATATTTTAATAAATGTTGAAAATGCTGTCGATGAATTCCAACATTCTACTCTCCTTTTAAAATTTAAATTCTTGCTTATAACTTAATTTAGATTCTCTAAATAATTGTATTTTAAGAAATTTGTCTTAATTTAGAAATAATATTCCCCCTTATAGACTTTAAATTAATTATATTATTGATACGTTTTGAGATTATATGAATTAGAATTAGAATTATCGTATTTCAGATAATATGAGAATATCGATTGAATACTGAAAAGTACTACAATTGCCAAATGTAAGGATTTCTAAAAACACAGAAATAATGTACTTCAACTACAATATTGATATACTTAATGATAAGAAGATTTTAATCTAATAATTATAAATTTAGCATGTGTTTATTTTGTGAGAAATCTACTTCAATAATCAGTAACTTATTATTCTAACTTTTATTGGTAGAAGCTGTTTAAGATTATAATATCCTTATTTGATTAAGTAGATTCTCAAATGATGAAATATATATTTTAGTATGTAAAGCTAATGTATATATAAAAATATGAGTTTAAAAAGTTATAATCGATCTTTTACTACAATAATTCTAAAAAATATTACAATATTATATTGTATTATGGCGAAATTGTATTAATTCGATATCTCTAAATATTTATAATGTCTTTGATATTAATTTATTTACTAAATGATTGATGAATTAAAAATACAAAAAGTGCTAACTGAATTGCCAAATGAATTGCCAACTAAATTGCCAAATGAATTCCCTATTTATGAAGGAAAATCTTAAATAAATATAAATTTCAAAGCAAGATGTTATGCAATGGCTATCAATTCTTCAAATAATTTACTTTTAGTTGGCTCTGGTTATTACATTAAAATATTTGGAATAACTAAGAACTTTACCTAAAATGAATTATAGGATACAAAAGTGGATGATGAGATTGTATTTTGCCTTAAATTTTTACCTAAAAGTTTGTCTTCTAATTCATTCATCTCTGCTACGGATAAAATTATTATTTGGTAGGAATAAAATCTTAAATGGCATACTCAGTAATATTTGATAGCAGAAATGGATAAATCTCCAATAAAATGTTTAGTTATTCATCCTTAGGAAGATCTTATCATATGCGGCTCTTAAAAATATATATAATTTTGGTATAAAAATCTACATACACTCCAAGGTGCATTATAGAATAATTAATAAGAGTGGATTTGTGAAACAAAGAAAAATTCTGATACTTAAGGCTTATCTATCAACCAAAATGGAGATACATTAATATCATGTTCTTTCACAAATGAAATCAGAGTTTTTAAAGGAAGCAATAGATAAGAGTGGATAGAAATCAAAAAAATGGATACCAACTATTATGGTTTAAGATTGTGTTTTATTACAAATGATGTAATGGCCTTTTAAGAACGAGAATCTCGACCTCATGATAAATTAAATTTTTACTCTTTAAATTCTTAAGATGGGTAAGGTGAAGGTATCATTGAAGTTAAAGGTGGTTAAAATTCTTGTAATAGCTTATTTCCTTTAATTTATGTTCCATCTAAATAATTAATTATTGATAAAAATGGTTATTTCATAAATATTATTAGAATTGAAAAAGCGCCTTCTTAAAAATATCAAATTAAACAAATATAGTATATTGGTTTAAACAAAGAATACATTTACGGTACAGCTAGTGATGATGGTAATCTATTAATTTTTTGGAATGAGGAATAATATTAAGTTTAAGTAAGAAGATATATTGATTAGACATGATCTATTATCAAGAATTAAGTCATTAAATTAACTTTCTCGATTTTGTTTTTCTCTAAAAAAGTTCAATTTGATTAAGATAATATATATAAATTTTATACCTATATTGAAAGCGGTTGTCTCTCTTTAATTAAAAAGAACTTTGATGCTATATTCTTTTCTCTATATCAGCTTTATAGAGGTAATTGTGATATAGGGATTACTGAGGAAATTGATTTTAACAGAAATTAGAATTAATAAAACGATGAATATTTAATGTAGAAAGCATAGCTAAATATATACCCTTGATTAAAATATCAAATGAGAAAACCATTTATGTTATATTAGTTGATTACCAAAAACCCTTAATTTGAAAGAAAAGAGAAATTGTAAATATTTATGGAAATTAACATAGAATACCAATTTAACATTACTGGAATTATAAATCTAATGTAAAAAGAGACCAAGATGAATTAAATAGTTAATTATGAAGATTAAATTAGCAAACTCTAATATTAGAGTTAAAGGAAATAAAATTTTGATAAAGCAAGATATGTCTTTACAATTAAAAGAGTGCAAGCATTTGAGTATAATTAAATTTAACTTGTTTTTAATATGTAGGCCCTATGTATTTTAATACTTAACTTACCTTTCAAATAATTTTGATTCTCATTTTATATTTTATTGGAAAATAAATTTAAAATAAGTTGAATAAAAAACAACTTATTATTGTAATAAAAATAAAGTGTAAACGAGTTAGTTTACATGAAAATGAAAACCTCTTAACTTTATATTCAAATAAAAATAAATTATATCAATTATATTTCTTATTACATAAATATCAAAATTATAAATTTTTAAAATTATACCAAAGACTCTTTTTAATAGGTCTAATATCAAGATCTAAGAATCCATAATATTTAGTCATTTTATTATTGGATGTATTATTCTTATATCTCTTCAACTTTTACGTTTTAAATTTAAATCTATAATATTATATATTTTAGCTTTAATCAATTCCAGAAGATACAAGTGGATGCAAGATAATTTGATATGATAAAAAGACAAAAATAATATTGAAAAAATTAAGCATCTTTTATTTCACTTAATTAAATTATCCAGATGTTGGGGTTAAACTAAAAGAAAACTAAAATATTTAGTTGAATATTAAGGATTATCAAATTACTTCTATTCCTGATATTAAATACATTTTATAAAATCACAATAAAATAAATATTAATTATTTCAACCTTGTGTTTATTAATTATTAAATATCAAATTAAACAATGATTTATTATTTTACTTCATTAATAATCTAAAGTTCTTAAATTTTAAATGTGTGAATCTCTCCACCATTTCATTTGGATAATGAAATCACTTTTTCATCTGAAAAAGAATTTTTATATAAGTTTATCACAAAAATATATACATTTATTTGTAATTAGTTATTTTATATTTAAAATGGCCTTATTTTAATTAACTCAATCTATAATTAACTTTGTTTTTTAATTAAATTTATAACTTAAGGCTTTATATTTTAATAGTGGTTTATCGTTCAGTTATTAATTGTTTTATGAAATTTAACATCGAGATTATTCTTATTTATAATATACTCAGAGTGATTGGCTGGATTCAAGTGATTATCTTTTTAGTATACCAAACGAGTTTAGAACTTGAAGACATTTCAACCATTGCAAATTTAGTAAGATGGTTAATAGGAGCAAAAATGCTTGAAATTATATTTATCAAGCCTAATGATATTTTAAATCAACGAAACATTGTTAAATATTACTCCTATCTAACTAGGATATTATGTTTATACTATTTAATGACTCCTGGTCTATGTTTTTGTTCTTTTAGAAATACTATAAGCGGATGGGCATTCTAAGAACTTTTTGACTCAATTTATTATGTAGGAAAATCTGATTTAACAGCATAAATCAAAAGAATACTAACATATATATTAATTCCTTATACTGCACTAGGAATGTTTAGAATTTTGAATAGAGTTATAGAAAAAAATATGGATAATCTTATATTTTATAGGATTATTTAAATAGTGCTCATTCTTTAGTGCAATACATCACATGTACATCATTGGTTAGAACAACAACAAAAAGAAATCATACAAACTTAATTTTTAGAAAAATATATGATTATGTATATAATAATAAAACTAAATTAAGGCATACTATCTTGAAATTCTTCTTAAATGGAGAATTAGAATATTATCTATCTATCAAAATATTTTTAAATTATTTTTCTTATTTTTTTTGGAATAATTTTATTCGGTTTATAATCTAAATTTTTAATTTATATACGACATTTGAAGAACATGAGTTTCTCAGAGAAAATCATTCTTCTCATATTTTTCTGGTATTTGTGGACAGGAGACTGAGGGAATCTAGAATACAAGATGATGTATCTATACATTTTCAAATCATTTTTATTATGACCTCAAAGTTTGAAACTTTATTTATTTTTGTTCTCCTATTATTCTACTTATTTTATAGGTTTTCATTAAGTGCTGCTTAGAAGAATGCAGAAGATTAAATTGAACTTTCTAATTAGCTAAATGTGAGCATTTGTATACGGTCTGGAACAATGGATTTTAATAAATTCCCTAATCAATTGAGTATGTTGATATGAAGAATTAAATTAGGGAGGTTTGAATTTCGAAAGCAGGTATCTAGATCTCATATCCTTGTAATTATATAGAGCCCCTTGGATTTTGAATCTCTATTAATCATTTAAAAGTTTTAATTAAACATAACAATTTTAGAAAATCAAAATTTATAAATGTTGTATAAATTATTTCAATAAATATTTTAAAAAATAAAAAATATATTGTTTGGTAAAGTAAGTATAACCCGAATATCATATTTTTCATCTTAAAATAAGTTAATGAAAAAGCCTTATCTTGAATTTATACATAAATTCAAATAGAATTATTTTTATGTTCTAAACATTTAAATTGTATACAGATTTTAATAATCATAATTTATGCAATAAGTCTTAAAAATTTTACAAGAGAATTAAATACCTCAATCATTGCAAAAATTTGAGTAATTGAAAATTGAATGAGGGAGCTAAGGTTCTTCTAGATCGAGCAAATAGTTTATAATAATCTAACATAGAGGTGGTTTGCAGATGGATTATAAATAATAATTAAATTTCACTTGAAAATAAATGTGTAGCTTATAATGTTTTAGGTATGATATAGCTTGTATTTAGGATGTATTTTAGAAGATGAAGATGAAAAAATTGAACAATTTAGACATGCTATTAAATTAGCAATTAAAAATAACTTCGATATATCTAAACTACTGATAAATCTATAAAACGTATATTTACGTTTATAACAGTATGAGAAAGTAATAAATTGTTTTATACTTTTTGTGATAAAAAATTTAGGATAGTTTAGATTAACCATTTTTAGGTAATGATGTCTCTTTATTAAAATAAATATTAATTTTCAATCTAGTTTATTATAAATATTCTACTCCATTATAAGGAAAATAGAAAATAGAGGCACTTCACAATGCAGCTAAAGCATATCATGGGCTCAAACAAATTGTTTAATACATTGATTCTTCAAAAAAAGCATATCAATTTAGTAAGAACTTATTTGGAATTAGTGATCCTAAGACAGAAGAAATGGGAGAATATTTAAAATTAATGATAAATAATGATAATTTGAGATAAACTAGATATTTAAAAAATGAAAAATAACATCAAGCTAGAAGATAGATTTTCAATTGCTATGGAGTAGGTTCACAAGTGGAACACAGAATGAGAACAAAATAAGTTAATAAGACAAATGATATATATATAAGGTTATATTAAGAATAATGAGATTTATCTGATTTACTTCAATATGAATTTGATTTTTCTATAAATGGTTGACTTTTTATTCATTTTAGCTTCATTGTTTAACTAATTAAACAATTATGGTTAATTTTATTTAAATTATATAAAAATTAAACTAACCCTCATTGTTATTTGAAAACACAATTTAGAAACGAGTCTAAAGTAAAGAGCCAATCCTGTAATATAGATTTTTTAAGTTATAAACTTATTATTCAGCCAGTTTAATCTAAATTATAACATTTTACATTTAGACGATTTTCTAAGTTGCATTATTCATTTAACTGAAGCCATTCTCTTTAAAAGTCCATGACATTAGAATACTTTGTAACTTTGAGATTTCAAAAATTTAATAAGAATACAATTATTATAATTAGGTTCTAATTGATGTGATTGTTAAACAATAAAAAATGATCTATGTAATTAGGTTTAGGTAAACAAATTTTTTGTTTTTTAGAAGAATATATTTATTTTATTTGAAATATAATTTAAATTTATAAAAACATTCTTTGTTCAAATTAATTCCAAATTGTGAAAACTTAGAAATATTTTGTTTTAAATTATCGAAACAAATTTGAATGATTTTTGTAGTATTATAAATATTCTAATGCTAATATTGTAAAATTCTTTTCGAATTTGGAAAAAATACATAAAATTATACGAAAGTTCTGCTTGATTTTTGTTTATTATTAAATATATTATCATTAAATATCTCTTCAAAGTTAAGATGATGAGATACAGGCTTTTAATTATTTATATCTTGGTAGGGATTCTGGTGGAATAAAACTCGTTAGCGATCTATTTGATTTTTAATTTTACTTTTATTATTCTAATTGTAGTTTTGATATATAAATAAGATGGTGTCTTAATTTATAAAATATAGATTTTATTCTTTATTCCTTTTAGTTCCATAAAATCAATTTATTCCTTAGATATCTATCTATACAAGATGTGCATCTTAAAATTTTAGTAAGATTCAATAATTGCAACAAAATCTATTTTTTATACTTTTTATGATATAATGTTATTAAACTTTTGAAAAATGGAAAGCTTAATCTAATGCAAAGAAATACTAACATCATCTAAATAATAAAGGAAGTTGTATAATTATCTTGCTATTCGCAAATATATTTAATTACAGCCAAAAATATTGAAATAGAACAGATTTAACCAGTTTTTACATCTAATTTATTAAAAGGAAAGATAATGTAGGGTTGCTGTTCCAGTGCATATTACTAATAAAGTAATAAGCATAATCCTAAAAGTGAAGCTTTTAAATAAATATTTGTCTCAAAATAAGTCAGTATGACGATAACAAATGTTTTTTAAGCTAATTTAACCCATTCCCAAAAAAAGTTTTCTTTATTATATTCATTAAACAAATAGCAAAAGTGCTTTCTAAATTTAACAGACTCTATTTAATGTCTTTTCACGTACAATAAAATTAAGAGTGTAAATGGTAAAAGCCATCCTATTAATCCCAAACCTGGAATAACGAAACTTAGAATCCATTTAATATGGTTTGGTGTGCCAAAAATAAGTGATACATCGCCTTGGATGTAATTAATATCTGATATTTATCTTTTGGCCAATAATGAAAAAAATCTGATTATTATTCAAATATTTACTGTTTAATCAATGAAGCATAATTCGAAACGTATAAATACAGGGCAGTTATTGATAGAATACTGGCATCAAATTATTTTTTATAAATTAGTTCTATAATCATAAATCCTATATAGATAAATAGTAGTATGCACAGCATTAATATAAACATTGTAATAATCCTAAGGTAAATCAATTAGATATCATTCATTTTTGATAGGAAACAATCTAGATTATTAGCCATGAAATATGATGGATTGCTTGTCTAATCAATAAAGTTAAATGAGAATGTAAAGCTAATATTAAATGAAAAAATAGCAGAAAATATCCATAAGTAATTAAGAAATAATTTTATGATAATACTCCCGTGATCTAATTTATATTACACGAATACCTAAATTAAGTTTGAAAATAATATTAGAAAATTTTTATCTTAATTTGCAGAGTATAAATTACTTATTAGATTTTTCAATGCTACTAAGTGTAAGAAGTGTTGAAGCAAGCTACCTAAAACACATAAAGAATTATTTTTACCAGATAGATGCCACAATAAATAGCAATATCCTGTTAGATGGTTAATCACATTAATAGCAAAGCATACTATATTAATTGATAAAATAATATCCATGTCCTCTAATATTATACTTATCACATTCCTCGCATAGGCCTCCAAGGTAGCCAGAGAGACACAGCTAATCTCCGACAAACCATCCTCCTCTACAAATATTTGGATACTTAAAACAACTTTCAATATTGTCTGAGAATTGATTTGGTCTCCAATAGCCAACTTTTAGATTAATTTAATTAGAAGTAATATTTTCGAATTTATTTTTATCGAAAATAGAACATTTCGTTGTGTTGTATGTAACAGAATAATACCCTTAGTTTGATTAGCAAGGTTGACAACTGTTGGACATATAAAATTCTCCTAGTTAACACTTGAGAGTTGCTATCTTAATATTATAATATAATTCGGCAAACGTATTATTTGGTTAACAGATGATTAAGATTTGTTGTTATTTATTATTTTCCATGTACGGATCAAATGAAAATTATAGTTCTGAAAGATCAAAGTTTCCATAAGTAGTCTTAAATGATGTCATTTATGGATTCTTGGATAATTCAAGTCTATCTTCAGATAAGATCTATTCTTTTATCACACAAGTTGAATTTGTGAAACTAATAACTTGCTCATTTAAGCTATTCTTAAAAATGACAGAAAATTCATAAATATACTTCTGAAATTTCTAATTATTTGGATTGAAAAGGAGGTACTTCTTAATGACTTAATTGCTTGGAAGAACCAAAACCTTGGCTTAAATTATTTTCCCTTGTTCAATTATATAATATGGATCTATGTTTAGAAAATTAATTAAGATCTTTTCATAAACCTTTTAAATTGAAAACATTTCTAAACCATTTATAGATAATTATAAATGAGTTGGTACTTCCTATAAGTTCTAAGGTGATAATTTTTGCTTTGTTAAACAATAGAATTGAATTGATAAAATTCTAATTATTTAAATTCATATCTCCATTAAGATATATTCCTCCTGCTTCATTTGCTTGGTTCTCCTAAATGAAGGTGTTTTTGATTAGAAATTCATTTTTCTTTAATTATAGATTGAGCCCACCTCCTTAAACTTCAGCTTAATTTTTCATGATCTTTGAATTGTGCACTACTACTCTCCCATTTTTAGTGTATATTCCTGTTCCAAAGCCACCTTTATTCGAATAAAATATAGAGTTTTCTAATCTAATATTTGAGTTTTATTTGTCATTTGATTGGGCAAAAATGCATCCATATCTATTTAAATTATTCCAAAAACAATTAAAATCTCTTATATCAATAGATGAAAGACTAGACAGATCAAAATACAGAATTGCATTAAAAATTGATGAAGCTCTGACATATGTTGCTGAAATTGAACTTAAAACAATTTTAATGGGGTTAGATTGACTTTGAAAATAAATTAAGGACCCTTGTTAATTTGATTCCGATATTAATTAGTCAAAAAATTATTCAAATCCAATATCAGAACCATAGAAAATTGAGATCCGAATATCATTTATTAGACCACACTTTGAATCAACTAACTCTATTATATTTTAACTGCTTGATAAATTTTTAAATTCAAATGATTCGATTATAGTAATATTGGAGAAAACCACATCTTGCATCCGAACAACACATTCGGTGTAGGAACTCTGCACAATATGTATCAAATTTCCTTTGAGAACCATGGATATTTAGTTTAGATGTATTTTTTCGATATTTACTCTAAAAGCATCTCCTACCCTTAAAATTGAGGACTACAAAACACCTTCAAATACAAATTTCCTAACAGTCAAAATGCAACCATACACAATAATAACCCCATTATCGTTTAAGACTCTTTACATATCAATTGAGGATAGCGAGTTAAATTTCTAAAGATATTAAAATAAATCTAATTTATTTTGGGTGATTTTGACATTTTCTATTAAAACTTTATTATTTTTTAAATTCATTGAAGGAAATTCTGTTTTAAGCAGGAGGTTCATGAGAGAGAAACAATTAGTTGCAGTAATATTTCTAATTGAAATAGAATTTTTATTTTTGGATGGTTAGATAAAAATAATGGGAGACGCAAATGTATTTTAAACATCCATTAAATATATATTTAATAATTCTAATTGTAATAAGCTGTTTTATGATGAAATAGCAAAGCATCCATCACTTTCACTATTCTACAAATCTAAACTTTCAATTGATATGATATTTATGTTGTCTATTTTAATTATTCCTATTCCTAGAGTATGAATATTGAATAATTAACTATTTAAAGATAGTATATTTTATAAAGTGCCAGTTGAGATAGAACAATATTCAGCAGTAAGATATAGGACTCCTTCTTTATTTTGAATCCTTAATATCCTCTATAATATTTAATTAATCTGGTTTTAATTTAAGGCATTCTTAAGTTCAAAATCAAAAAGTGAGAATAGAATTTTTGTATTTAGTATGTTATGATTTTGGATTGTAAATTTTGATAAGCTAATCATTTTACTTTTTATCAAAATATAAGAACTAGTCGAATTTGTTAAAACATTTAACTAGCAAGATAGATTAGACACAATTACAGAACTTTATTATGAATTTATAAATAGCAGACTTGCTGTATTTTGAGATGAATCATCAATATATTGGTGATATATATTCTCTTCAAATTAAATGTTGTTAATTGTTATTTATTAGCTTTTTTCAGAATATATTGACATTAATGAAAATATACTCCTTAAATTGATTTTTAACAAAGTATTTCCAATAAATTTTAAATCCGATATGCTTATGATTTCGTTGTCCTTCATTGTTTTCAATATATTTGAAAATATTGAAATAAAGGACTAATCAATACTTTTATAATTCATAATTGTTATACTTACAAGTTCTAAGTAATTAAATCCTTAAACATAAAACAACTACGAATTCAAGTTCATAGATTCGATGCAATCCAAATATAATGGTACTTTTGTTTTGAGTTATGGGCGTTGAAAAATGATATTATAAACTTTGATATTAGTAATAGCTATTAAATTAAAATAATTGAAATAATCTGAATTCCTTGTCAAAAAGTTATGTATACTTAAATTTAGACAATTAATATCAAAAAGATAAGTAGAGAAGCTCTCCTCTTATATTTACTAATTCTGATTGAGGTGCAAATTCATTAAATAAATATCTAGTCCATTCTATACTGAAAAATCAGTTATAAAAATTGATGAGTTAGTATTATAATTTTCTTCGAAGACTAATTAATCTATGATTACACTACTTTCAACTTATGTTGTTGAAATTTTGATTATTATTTATGATTATACTAAAGTGTTGCCTTAAATCAAGATATCGTGAATTATTAAACTATTCCTAAATTCTATTATTTATGTGAACAAAAAAGTGTTTTAAAGCAATGAAACATTGTTTAATTTTAGAGAGTCAGCATTTTTAATGATGTATGATTATTGAAAATCTGAATTTTTGATAATTAAGAATTGAATATTAACATTTGATTAAAGAGTCAAATCAAATTAAAAAAAGGCAAATTATGAGTTTAAAAACTTACAATTAACTACAATTAGATCCAAAATTGTAACCTTAATGTTATTCTTAAATTTGAATATTGTTGTATTTGTAAATGTGCAATTTTCAAAAATAAATTTGCTAATAATAAATTCAGATTCTCTTGCAAAAGGAATAACTTCAAAAATAGTTGAATCTATTATATTCAAATTAACAAATTTTATATTCATTAAATTTATAGTGTTATAATTAGAAGAAGTAATTTCGAATTTAATAGTTTTATTCTCTTAAGCAATAAATTCTGTGTCTGCAATGAGAAAATCTTAAGGCATTACTGAATTATTTAAATTTAATTTAAACAAATTTTCTATCATCCATATTGCTTCTTTTATCTTAAAAGAATCATAAGCAATAATTGAAATTATTTAAAAAAACCTTAAAGGTTGATGATTTCCTTAAAAAACAAATTCAACAAACTAGATTGAAAATATATTTTATTTCAATATGTTGTTAAAATTGACCTCTAATTAATTAAAGCACTGATCGCAACTATTTTAAAAGGGAAATATTAATGACATTTTTTCATAAGCCATTTCATTTAGATATTTGAAATTAAAATGTGATTTGATATAATTTTCAGTATTTGAATAAAAATATTAAACCTAATCAAATTCAATCTAAAATTAAAAGTATTGTTACTTAATATTAAAAAAAAGAGTTACATTATTGATTGTAACAATATTTTGCTATCTGAATATAAGGATCCAAAAAGATATTTGGATGAGGAATAGATTTAATACATTTCATAGTATAGGTTGAATATTCCAATTTATTAACAAACAATGGATTAATTCTCTAAATATTTATTAATAGTATATACTTCAATCTCATCTGTCGTTCTAGGTTGGCACACCTAACATAGTTGTGCACAAGCAATACATTTTCCTTAATCCCTGACTCTAACTGGTTCCATATAATAATTTAAGAAGCATTTCGCACATTAAAAACCCTCTTAAGGATTTCCCATTTTTTTGCAAACAGAACAATTGCTGTCACAATATTTCTTGCAAAAAAACTTATTGAGCTCATATCCTTCCATGCATTTTATTGGTAAATCATAATTAGTGAATATCGATATGGATTCAGAATACATATATCTATTTGGCAAGAACTACATTAAGAAGCTCTAAAGCAACTACATCCATGAATCTAACTTGTAAAAATCTCCCTCTATACAATACTTGGCATAGTTAGAATTACATTTCTAGCAATGACCAGTAATAATCGAGCTTGAATAGCCATCTTCACAAATAATACATTTAATAACAGATAATGTAGTTTAATAGCATTATTTACAATTTGAGATATATTTTTGACAATTTATTATTTCAGGTGCAATATTAAAATCATCCACTGCAGATAATGTGCAAATCTCTCTATTTTATAAATCCTTAAAAGCTCGCAAACAATTAATTGTTTATGGTTTTTAATAATGGCATCCTCCTTAGACAAAATCAAAAATAAAGCCTTCCTAACACAATGCACATCCAACTTTATGGAATTCATCAATTTTAAAGTATTAAAAGTCCTTATATAGTGTGCAATAAGTTAAGTCATTGCTTTCATATTCAAAGCAATACTAACAGTTCTCTATTTAACATAGGCGGCACTTCTTTTCTGAAGTAATATAATATGGAGCAACACATTTTTCTTATTCCATTTACCCCATTATTAATTCTACACATAATCCATCTCTCAAATCATAACCAAAATCACATTGCAAACAGATCTACGTTGTTGAAATAACACCACATATCGCACAACCGATAAAATTACAAGGTAAACATTTTTAAGGATCTTTTGAATTTGAACAAATAGAAAGTATTTCATTAGTTTCTAACTGATAGTCTTCAAATACTTCATCAATGGTTTATAAGTTCTTATTTTATTTATGATTGCATGCCTTTAAATTATCACCGTCAAAGATATAATAAGTTTAACTGAGATCCTTTATGAATTCAGCTGGACTTCCGACATCGTCTAAAAATAGATTAGTCTGGCAATAAGGATTATCCATCCAATTTTTAGGGTCTGTAATACATTCAAGGCAAGTAATCAAATTATCCCTTATGATAGAAGGACTAGTCTAATTTTAATTTATACCATTTATAACAATATGATCTATATTCAAAATACCCTTGTTTACAATTTTATTCAAAATCTTGTTACATTATCAGATTCAAACTTTGGTAATCTTTACAATCCCCATCATCAATTGTGTCATAAGGGCAGATACACGCCTTATGTGTTGGAATATAAATACGTCTAGATGTTTCGGGACAAGATAAACAATCTAAATTAGTGGGGCCATCACAGTCTTTGCAACTGAAATGGCAATTTATTTCTTAATTCACCTGATCATCCGAGACACAATTAAAAAATTTTGATCCCCTCAATTACACTTTTAAATAATTGTTAGAAGATTGCAAGATATTTCCATATTATAATTTGTATTATACAATATGAAATTAGTTAACCAGTTAGGAGCGAAAAAAAATATGTTAATTCTTACCCTCAAATAAGGTGACCTTCATTTCAATGATATTGTTTTTTAAGATTACAGTCACAAATTGCCATAAATAGATATTAGGTAAATCATATAAATACTCATTCAAAAATGGATTTTTAGAGAAATCTAAATTGTAATATGGGATTGTATAACTATATGTTGTAAATTTTATTTAATAAATTTCTTTCGAAAATTTGTAAAATATTTAGAGAGCAGATAAATTATCATCCCTTAATTATTGATTTTCAAAATTACCTGATAGTTTAAATAGCTAATACAAAAATTCAGTTTAATCTGAAACTATTTATTAAACTTTAATCCAAGTTTAAAATGCAAAAGTATCACAATTTTCATTTGCAGATGCGAATATTTTATAATCCAACCAATCAATATCTACGTCAACCAGATTCTTAATTTAATTTTCATAGCATTGGCAAGTCCCATCAAACGTAGTTTATATGTAACTTATTATATCTATATCTAATTTCTCGAAATACCCTTTTTAATGCTCTAATAAAGTAATTTCACCTGGAAAATATGAAAGTTTTGAGGTATCTTTAACTTGAAGAATTTGATGATCATCTATTATTAAACTACCTCCAAACACAATAATAAGTTTTTCATCTAAATAAGGAAATTAGATCTGTAAGGATTGAATATCTACTATGCTTTCTCCTTAAAGTAAATAATACGTAAAACTATTCTAATGAGGTTGCAAGTGAATAGCAAAAAAATACCAATAATACTCGTATTTCATTGAATCCAATATAATTTCAAATTTATATTATTTTCCTTCTTTACTTATAAATTAAATAAATTTGCTCACAACCATTTGTTCTTTATTAATGCAATCGTAATACATGAAATTGATCCTTTTGTTTTCACTTTCCAATGCTGAATTCAAATGGAAACAATGACTGTCAAATATTCCAATAGGGCCTGTTTATGAAATTGTACTTAAAGGAGTGAATCTGCTCCAGATTCCATACATCATAATTTCTTCCTATTCAAAACTTTACATTGTTCCAGTAAACGATACCGCATAAAATTATTATTTGTCAGTCAGAGTCCAAATGTAGAAGCATTGAACCATTAGAGAATATTGATACAATAGAAGATCTAGAGTTTTCATTTTCTTCAATTTTATTTATTTAATATTAATTAGAAAAATAAAATAAATTGAAATTTTATTATCCATTAGAAGTAGTTGTTTGAAAATTAAAATTGCTTTAATTTAGGGTTTTTCAAATCCTTTTTCTCAGTGCATATAAGTAAATCGATTCTTAAAAGAGTTGGTCAATCTGCATTAACTCTACCAATTAAAGAGATGGTAATTGGCTATCATCATTGCCATTATCATACTTTACCTATAACAACTTGGTGTAGGTTTATTATATTTTAAGTTTTTAAGTGAAGGATCAATAATATTTGCTCTTTAATAGAAATATTCTTAAATATTCAATAGATTACAATTCTACTTTTTGAAGAAAAAACGTTGAGATCTCATTTAAAAAAACAATACTTTTCAACTAGTGCAAGCAGCGATTTTGTATGATTTTATTAGACAAGCACAAAAGACATCTAAAACTCTTAAAGAAATTATTTATTACTTCAGTGATCTAGTCAAATACAGGTTTAGTCTAATGATATATATGAAATTTATTTTATTTTTTGCTGTTTTACCTTAATGGTTAAGTCAAGTAATTTAAATTTTCATTCACTAGCCCTATGATACAAATAGTCAAATAAATTTGAAATCATTTTATTTAATATTTTTTAGAGATTTATTATTAATTTCAGTATATAATATACCAAAGAACAATTAGATATTTATGGATATTTTAATCTCCAAAAACAACAAATAATTATGATACACAATAGAATTGTTGTTTTTACAGGATATTAAAATCCAAATATTTCTAAAAAAATAATATGGATCTGTGTACTCATCGTTGTGCACAATTAATCAAAATAATTATTATTTTTGGTGAAAATAATATTATTTCAAAATGTAAGCAAAAAATAATGTTAATAATATGATATTTAATATATGATACTCATATTATTGCGAATAGCAACAAAGTAAAGAAACCAAATAATGTGAATCCATTAGAACTTGGATGTTTCACTTCATCATCTTCTTCTTCAACATCTCCTTTACAATTATCACTATAAAATCCATTAGCATTTTTTTCTTATTAACATGTGGGACAAGTGTCTGCTCCTTCTGCTTTAATGCAGGTAATTTCTTCTGTTTCACCACTTACTGTATCAAATGTGGTTTAAACCAAAATTCTTCTTCCTTAGGTTGTTGACAAAGTTGAGGTAGCTTTGATAGTAACTCCGGTCCAAGCAATTTCAGCCTTTAACTGGATAATGACTTATCCTTTCTTTGAATTATTGATTGATATTATTATGGCCTTTTTATTCAATCCATTACCAGTGTACCAAACTTCAGTTCCAACCAAATAGTAATCCATTCCAAGTGTAGTTACTTGTTACAATAAAACAAATTGATCATTCAAATGTAAATCTGGAGTACTAAATTTTGTGCATGTCAAATCTGTGCACCATTTTAAAACAGTATCAGCCTTTGTATTACAACTAGCTGAAGGAGTACAGCCTAAAGTAGATGATTAACTTAATGGTTTGAAAGCAGTATCAACTGAAGCTCCACTTGCTTTGTCTACTGTAACTTAGAATTCAAAATAGAAGGTATATTGAACTTGATCAGTACCTGCAGCATAATAAGCAATAGCAAAGTATCCTTTGTAAATAAATTGTGCACTATTTTAAGTAACCACTAATTTTGAACCTAATTGATCTCCTGGAATAGTAAATGAATAATATCTCCATTATTTTTGATTGTTGTTTTCATTTGTTATGGGTAAATCTGTAACTTAAACTGGGTCAGAATAAGTATTTGAAGTGAATTTCCATAATTTAAGGTCAAGACATGTGGTTTCTGCTTTTTTTCCATCTTCTTAAACAAGACCAAAGTATGTTGGATCATTAAACAAATCCACATCTGAATATCTTAATTTTACTTTCACGCTTGTTGAGTTGGTAATAAATGCAACATCACCTGTAAATGCTATTTTAGTTGCTCCAGTTCCATCTGGATTATTTGCAGTACCAAATTTTTGCAAATATTTATTGCAATTTTGATCATTAATACTAATTCTTTAACTTGTTACCAAGATTAAAAGACATAATCCTATAATTATGAGTTTCATGTTTATATTTTATTTTTATTAATAACTTATCTCTTGAATAATTTTAAGATTTAAATGCCAAAAATAAACAATTCTATTTAATAATAATTAGATTTTCTTATTAATTCTGAATACAAATTCTCTTGTTTTTTAAATTATTATCATCATCTTACAAAAATGATTGTTATTAGAGTTATTAGAAATCTTAATCCTCGCATAAAAAATAGTATAGTATGCTAATTGAAAATTGAAGGATTGTTGATTATCTATATAAATATGTATATAATTGAGAATGCATTTAAATTTGACTAAAATAGTCAATGGTTCTTCCTCCCTACTTGCTTCAGTTTAATGGATCACGCCATTTATTTAAACCAAGTATATTGGAAGCTTTATATTAAGATTTCATTATAATAGGTTAGAATATTCGAAAAATGAGAATTCAAAGAAGGAATTCAAATATTCATAGATGTTTGGAGGTTTATTGTGAAATATAAAGCAAGAACAGAGCTTAAGAATCAAAAAACTGAAGTAGAATGGTTTTTAATTTTTGAAATAAATCTAAGTTTAAAAACACTATAGTATTTACCTACCTGCATATCAACATCATTTTCTGCTTTTATATAAGAGTTAGTGGTCATAAAAAAGTTGATAGTAGGTATGAGATAATGTAAAAGAAGTTTAGACTTTTTTGGTAAGAAAAATTAGTGTAAATGATTATGTAGAATTTTTATCAATAAAAAATTTATGAGAGGGAACAACTTGGTCATGCCCTGCAATGCGGAGAAACCCTGAATTACAGATTAAATCGAAAGCCAATATAAAAAATCTTCCATTATTGATCGATTAGTAGGTTGTTATCAATCCTGATTTCAGAATTATGATGAAGATGGAACTCTTGAAAGATGAATTAAAAATTTTGAACTCTTACTTAAGAATCCGTTATTGATGAAGGACTAATTTAGATTCTGATAATAAATCTACATGAGGGCAAAAACCTCTTTCAGAATCAATTTATCTAAAAGATGTTCAATTATGTGGATGTTTTCAAATTTAAATCTACATGCCTATACCAAGAAATTTATTAAGTATTAATGAAAACCTTAAGATAGGAGTTATTTACTGTTGTATTGAACTTATTAATAGCTAGGAAGTTGAACAACAACTATTTATTTAATTTAAGAGAAGACAGCTTAGTCGATTATATCTTATCGTGAGGACAAATCCATCAACATTAGGGTAATTCCAAAGTTAATGCTAATATTCACTCAACTTAAACAGATTCAGGAGGTTTTCTACTGTGTGCAGAAGGAAAGCCTTTTGACTTAAGGAGGTAACTTATTTTACTTTACTACTGACTGGTGAAGTATCATAGAACAGTTATATGCTACATAACTCTAATTTGCTTTGGTTTGAAAACATTTCTAATAGAATTTCCTCAAGGTATCGATTTTTTATCTGAACTAGGGTACTAGTATATTTTTTTTAGGTTGAGTCAAAATTTGATATTACGAAAAACAAAAATCAACATAGGAATCTCAGTATGAGAAAAGGATAGTTGATAATTAGTTTGCAAAACTATTTTCTAAAATTTTATTGTTTCTTTCTTCCCTTAGTGTTTTCCTTTATCTTGATAAGGTTCTTCACTCTCAGATTTTATATTGATTTGTTGTTTCATTTCATTTGCATGTATTAATTGAAGTTTTAATTTATCGGGCAAATACCACTGTATTGAATCATGGCCAAATATATCGGAAACTCAGGAAGAAACCTCTCAAGGGAAAAGAATAGATTTATATATGAATACTAAATGAGGCTGATTTTTGATAAAGAATTTAGAATAAAATGTTGAGAATTTTATTCCTAGGATAGTAAAGAGGATGAGGATGAATTAGAAGCATTTACAAAAGGATGACCAAATGTTAGATGAATGACAAATTTAAATGTGGATCAAGAAAGGTAATATAGGAGATAATGTAAAATAATTTAGAATGTAGTTGAAGATTATTTTCCTCCTTAATTTTAAGCACTAAGAAATAATTTCTTAGATATAATTTTAGATTTTTATACCGCACATATCAGGTAATATCCTTATTCTAATTCACTGCAAATAAATTACAATTTATAATATAATCTAATTATGCTCCTGATTGAATTACAAGTTATATGTTATTTAGTTTGCATGAAGTGGCTTTTATTAAAATACTTTAATTAGTTAGATATTGTTCCACTTATATTTTGGTTTTTGGTTTTAAGACAATCAACTTATAAACCTTTAGAAAATGTAGCTGATTCTTTCTAATCAATTATGGGTAATTTAGGAATTTTTCATCCACATATTTAGTATATAAATATTCCACTTATAAGTTAAATTATCAAAAATAATTGTATAGTATGTAGGCATGATATTTTTTATGTTAACGATGCCTATATGCTTGCATTCTTTCAACATAGTAAATTGCTATTCTATATGCGAATCTATAAACTGTTGAGTGCTTATGGTAGCAAAATTCAATTATTTTTTCTTAAATGATAGTATTTGCAACGTATCTGATATGAGGTTTCATAGATTGATAACAGCTATTTAATTTTATAGTGCGCGCCAAAAATATTAGCAAAACAGCACAGAATTATTTCATGATTGTCATTGATTTTTACATGTCGACGGAATCCCATACCACAATTTTATAAAGTATTATATTTACTGCATAAAATTGAATATATTTGATGAGCCATAATATCCGCCAGTTACAATAAGTAAACTTATCACTTCAGCAACACAAGCTGCATATTTTCTCTGAGCAAAGTTTAAGCAAGATTTATATTCGCTGGCTTTTTAATAAGTAAAGGCATATGTGCATTTAGGGCATGCTATATTACACATTAATTTATATCTTAATCAACCTTTTAAAAAAAGAGAATTAGATTATAATAATAATTAAAATTAATATTGATATCAAGAGTTCTTCTAACTGCAGTTATGTAATTTTAAACTAACTCTAAAAAGATAATAATTAATATCATACAATCTATAAGTGTATTTATGAAAGAGAGTACTTTTAAATTAAAAATACAGATTATTTATTTTTTTATACTTTCTATAGGTACTACAATAATAAATGAAATAGAACATATTAAGTAGAATTAAAATTTAATAGAATTAAAAAAATGCTTTCTAAGTTAGATTGCGTTTGATGCTCTAATAAATCATAATAAAGTTAAATAATGAAGTTGGTGTAGACATTAATAATAATAATAATAATATGGATGTGTAATTATCTATCATTACCGGCGGCCCCTTTTGATTTGCATGAGGCCGGTACTCATAAGGCAGGAGTGTCTGAATATTTACAATTTGTCCCATGTTTAGATGACATCAAATGATAGGAAGGACAGAGTATGGAGTAGATTTAGTATAATACAATAAATATATAATTAGATTTGTTTAAACTGATATAAGTTCTTGTATGAGAGGTAAAAAAATTGAGATGGTAAAGTAAGCATTACTGGTTTTGATAGGGTTTGGGTTTGGGGTTTGGGGTTTGGGTTTGGGTTTGGGTTTGGGTTTGGGGTTGGGGTTGGGGTTGGGTTTGGGTTTGGGTCTG